GAAGCCTCTTTGCGCCCCCCGCGCCCCCCCCCCCCCCCCCCCCCGCACGTGGGATATGCGGCCATGGCCTACTTGATCCTACGAAATGTACTTTACCAGTGGCCGTCGCCGTGCTCTGTCGTGACGCGAGCCGGCCAACCACGGCCAGGCAGATGTTGATGTTTGTGATTAAAAATTGCATTGCGGAAACAGAAAACGACAACAACTCCCCGGGACCTTTGGTACATACATACATCTATTTTGATCGCCGGCAGCCCCCTGGTCGATGCTCGCCCCGACTCAAGGGAGGAGAGCCACAAAAGGGGGGTTGCTGGGGGGCATTAGAACTATTGAGTGCGTACTTCCGTTTCTACCACTGTCGAACTAATTTTGTTGTTGTTTTTGGATGCGTCCTAATGACAATCCACACACAATAATCCCGTCGGACTCCGTCGGCTGCAAATAAACTTCTCGAGAAAAAGACCGGGAAAATGAAGGGAGGAAAACACTTGAAGCAAGCAAAGTGACAAACAGATCCGGTGCTCCCTGTATACCGCCCGATCTAGAAAACATTTCCTCCTACCTGCCCGTTTACTCGGCAGCCTTGGGCTCCTCAGCAGGGGTGCTTTCCTTGGGTTGATCTGAGGTTGTCGCTGGGGCAGCCGCAGACTCAGGCGCTGGCTCGGCTTCAGAGGAAGTCCAGAGGGTCTTGGGGTCATCATGTTAGTCACAACCGTCGCGCACACCATCACAGACTGAACTAGGTGGACTTACTAAGTTGTCTCTGAGCAACTGCATGATAAGCGTGGAGTCCTTGTAGCTCTCCTCGCTCAGGGTATCAAGTTCTAAGCAAAGCTGTTAGCCGCAATGCCAAGTAATAATGCAAAAATTCGCACACATACCAGCAATGGCATCATCAAAAGCCTGCTTGGCAAGATGGCAAGCCTGGTCAGGGGAGTTCAGGATTTCATAATAGAAAACGGAGAAGTTCAGAGCAAGGCCCAAGCGAATGGGGTGAGTAGGAGCCAGGTCAGTCTGTGCAACCTCAGTGGCGTTCTTGTAGGCCTCGAGAGAGTTATCTGCAGACTTCTTGCGGCGATCGCCAAGAGCGAATTCGGCAAGATAACGGTGATAGTCACCCTTCCTGTAGATGTGTCAGCCGTATGTTCGAGGGGATAAGTAATGGGAAATACGGGGTAGTCTTACATCTTATGGTAGAAAACTTTCGATTCGCCGCTTTGGGCAGAAGGGATCAAATGTTTATCAAGAACTTCCAAGATATCCTCGCAAATACCAGCAAGTTCAGATTCGATCTTTTGGCGGTATTCCTTGATAAGAACCACTTGTGCCTCGTTGCCTTTCGATTCCTCCTTCTGCTCAATAGAAGTGACAATTCTCCAAGAAGCCCGGCGAGCGCCAATGACGTTCTTATAGGCAACAGAAAGAAGATTGCGCTCCTCAACAGAAAGCTCTTTATCAGCGGAAGCAACAACTTTCATATTGTTTACCATTTCTGTAGGGGCATGTCAATATTGCAATGTGTCTGGAGAGAAGGGAGGACGCGGTACGGACCTTCGTAACGCTCAGCCTGCTCAGCGAGCTTGGCGAGGTAAACGGCATCTTCGATACCCATGGTGAACTGAGACGTCTGCGGCCGATAGCGTCAGTATTTGAATCCAAAGGGAGTTTGAAAGCCAGTACGCGAGATTCTGGTCAAGGGCGATGACGTGAAGAAAAGAGGGGTAATCGAACGACAGCGACGAAAGGGGGCGACATCAACGCATCGCGCGACGCACATAGGAGATATGAGTGGGGAAAAAAAAAAGGCAACAGCAGATGCGAGTAGGGGTTGTTAAGTATTTAGTGGTGGTCATTTGCCGGGTGGTGGTGACATGTGCGGGTACCCCGGTCTGGGTGCAAGCGGCTGTGAGGAGAAGAGCCAAGGGGAAAATGGGCAACACATTTCAAGAGGATAGAATGAACAACAAAAAGGAAGGGCATATGCGACCTGGGAATTAGGGAAATCGACAGCAGGGAGATGGCGATGAAGACAGGGTGCCTCAAGGGGCCATGGTGGAGGTGTCATGGTATCCTGGGCCCGCAGAAATCAAGAGATTGACCTACCTAAAAAAGAGGAAAAGAGGCCGGCGAAGGCGGGTATGATTAATGTAGCAAGCGGGAGCGACACGAGAAGTAAGTCGACAGGAGCAGAAAAGTATGTGTGATTGACGATGAAGCGTTGGCGTTGTTGACGAAGAGGAGGGAATGGAAGATGGTGGAAGCAGATGAGGTTTTGTTGGAGGAGGTTGACAATAATACGCCAAAGGGGAGGCGGAGATGTTTTGGGTGGTGTGCTGCTTTGGGCCTAGCGCCGTTGGGCGCACAGCCAGAGGCGCCTGCTTAGGTAACGGATGCCCACCGCCAATCAGCGGCCGTGCCAGCGAACGTCGGGAGTCCCGATGCGGTTTAGCGCGCGCCTGGTCAAGGCGAGGTCGTGACCGGCGACCGCTTCTTGGTTGCTGTCAAAGCCAGCTCGCGGCGCTTCACTTCAGATATCGCGGCCAGAGATGAACATGCTGTCTTAGACGAGCCTTTCTACACATTTTGGCGACTGGATTCCAGCCTATTCATGGCAGGGCCCTTGAAATGCGCTTTCAGAGTTCTGGATCGGCCTGCAGAACCCCTATTTTCTGTGTAATATTAAATCAGTTGCTAGCCGAGTAGTTTTTGCACTGCTGGATTGGGTGTCACGCAGTCGCCCTTGCCGGGAGAAACTGGCGCAGTCTATTTCGAGACTGCTTTTCGGTAAATCGAGCCGCTGAAACGTTCCAGGTCTCATCTCTCAACGCGTCGCCTGCCAGACAATGCAGTTCACGCAAGACACCCGCAGATATAGCACGCGAACACTTTATGACTCAGTCCTTGCCCATGCATGTCTATTTACGGGTTAGTCTCTGGCTGGTGAAGGGTGATCAGCCCCCATTTTCAGGCTGCTTGACAGCGTGTATACTATTGAAATTAGGCTTTGCATACTTTAGAATGCGCAGATAATTATCCACAGCATCCACATAAAGAAATGACTTCTCTCTCCTAGTTTAGTAACATTAATGTTTGACACCGGATGCCAAACTCTGGGGAAATGCAATACACCTGCTAATAACGCCGCCAGAAATGAATCCATATAGAAAACGGCCCACATCCTCCCTTCGAATATTGGACCGCTGCACCAGACCATCATTTACCAATGCACCTATGTCCATGACTACCCCGTACTACCCCATATGTACTGCTGCCAACTGGCCGCTCAGCCCACAATCGTCTCCAGGGAGCATGGCGTCATCGTCAGTCACATGATAACTCGGTCACTCTAAGCTAGTCCCTTTACGTATTAGCGCGAATCAGTGTTTGTCACCACCAAACAACAGCTTTGCCTCCCAAGCCGAACGTCAGCCCATACACGCCTACAAAGCTCGATTATCACAAGTTCCCGGTAAGAATTCTCCTTTCATACACGATAGCCTGCAGCTTAAATTTAACGTCTGTTCCGTGATTTAGTTGCCCCGTTTTCCTCTCTTTGTCTCCACACATCCTCTACACCACTGCAACGATGCTCCGCACCTCTATCGTTAAACTCGCTCAAGCAAGCAGGCTGCCTGCCTACAGATCTTTCTCTGTTGCCGCCGCAAGAATGGGTGAAGGTGACACCGGCGCCCCACGATCGGGTGGTCTTCAATCGGGGTTCGTATTAGACACAAGTTGAAATGCTTTTCTCACACAATCGACCTAACTGCTGATGCGAATTATAGTGACGCTTGGACCAAGAAGGAGTCCGCACAGGAGAATCTTTTCATTAGGCAAAAGGAAATCGAAAAGTATGTCTGTAAATTTTTGTCTCTTAGGCCTCGAGATGCCTTTCTCAGCCTGAGGTATACTAGATCGATAGCTAATTTTTGTTCACAACAGGCTCCGCCTTCTTAAAGAGAAGTTGAAGCAACAGCGCCAACATCTTGATGAGCTTGATGCCCACATGTATGTTATCCCTAATTTCTACATCCATGCAGTTGCTCTCAATTGATAGTTTACTAACCAATGGATGTCTCTACTACAGTGACGAGCTCACTCGCAGCCAAGGCGGCGAACAACATTAAGTCGAGTTCCGTTCCCTAGAAATGAACTTTACGAGACTCTTTCAAACCACATCGAATTGAATCGCAGCCTAGTGGCCTTTCTCTCCACTCTCCTGTTCATGAACGAATCTTTGATTTCAATTTCATATCGTTGCTTTTAAGCGAAGAATTGAAGATCATTCCTCAAGTTCTGATGTGACGTGTATATAGCCCTGTGCATGTTATTCCAATTGAAACTAAAACCATGTAGCAATCTGTACTCCGCGGTTTACGGAAGCCTTTTAAGAGCTCCCGTTATACGCTTACATCCTTTGATTGCCTGCATACTACTTGTTGCAGATTTAGCAGCTTACCTTTACCTTATCTCTGAAATAAAACACCAAGTAGAACTCAAAGTACAGATTATTCCGTACTACAACCTCATTTTTCATTAAAATAGAGACCCCTAGCCCAGAGAAACCCAGTGTAATGACATTCCCACAATCTCTCAATGATCATATTTGCTCAAACAGCGATAAGATAAATATCAAACAGAAAAAAAAAGATAAGAGGCGATACAGGCCAAGTCTATTTTCCGAGTACGCATACGGATAGTTGATATCATTTATCGCCGTCGGCCCATATACACGCGATAGAAGTCTTCAGCGGCACCTCCACTTACACTGCCAGGCGTTCCACCATACTGACTTTGAAGTCCGCTCAGTGAAGAGCCAGATTGCTGCGTCGAGCTAATTTTTGCACGTAATGCTGCGGTTCCTTGGTCGATAAGCTGTAACTGCGAGAGGTGGGAATTGAGAATGCGAACAATTTGGGAGATCTGTGAAGTATGGTAAGTAACATGACACCGTTATGTTAAGAGCATGGATAAGGAGTGAAATGCGTTAATGTCCATCACATACCGGCTCGTCTGATTTTGTGGTTTTGCTCAGATTTGCGGATGCAGAGTTGACTTCTTCTATCATGCTACTCAGGTCTTGACCCATATCATTGAGCCGTTCAGACAAGCGCTCCGCAAGTTTGTAGCTGCCAGAAATTAGTCTTACTGGCGGGGTTCATGTGAAGGTGCGCACTTACGTTCTCTCTCGTTCTTGATCTGGCCCTTGGAGCGAATCTCCAACTCCAACTTGTTTAGACAGCAGTGTTTCAACCTCTTGTTCATACCTATCGAGCCAAGAGCCAAGTTCTTCTTGCTGCCCTTCAACGGCGGCCAACTGCCGTTCGACTTCTTGCGTAGCTCTCTCCGCATCCACCGTATTTCCGTACAGTTTTTGAACTTTTGACGAGTTTTCTACCAGCATGCGGTCCCATTCTACAACTTGCTCAGCCTGCTCTTGAAACTCTTTCTGGTATTTTGTCAAATCCGTAGCCCATCGGGTGATGATCTCGTCCATGGTTTTGTTCTTTAACCGGGATTGTGCCAAGGGGACAGGTCCCGCAGTGGAAGCACCTAGTGCTGTGGTACTAGCCGTGGCGGCTACGCCAGTAGACGGAGCAACTGTAGCTCCAGCGGCAGCAGTAATCGGGGCAGTGGTAGTGAGCGGTATGCTTGTGGCGGGCGCAGCAGCAGCTGCTGCAGGAGCTCCAGGTTTGGGTGCAGCTGATGTAGCATCAGGAAGTTTGGGGGCGGAAAATAAAGACGGTGTTGGGGCTTGTGGCGCTGTCGTTGCTGCCGGCGCTGCGATGGTTTCATTTGCACTAGATGTTTTCGGAGCAGCCTGCCCAAACAGGTTACCAGCAGTGGCCGGGCGAGTCGTAGTGAGTGCTCCTGAGGGGGTAGATCCAAAAAGATTCTGTGCCGGTTTTTCTACTGTAGTAGTAGTAGGGGTTCCAAATAAAGACCCTCCTGATTGTGGAGCAGTAGAGGGTGTGGCTGCAGGACCACCGAACAGATTTGGTTTCGGATCCGCTTTGGGTGCCTGGGTATTAACAGCTTCCTTATCTCCAGGAGCTTGACCGAAAGGTGTGCCTGAGCCAAACATAGCCGTGCTGGGCCCCTTTGTAGCAGCTCCACCGAATAATGTAGAACCTGGGGCAGTCGCAGGTGCCGTTGATGCCGCTGTGGTAGTTGGGGTAGGCTTAGCTCCAAAGAGGCTGGCGGGTGCGGTAGTGCTCTGTGAAGGTTGGCTAAAAAGAGATGGTGCCTTGCCAGCAGAGCTTGCCGGAGGTGGGCCTGCTGGAGTTGTTGATATATTTCCGAACAAAGCGCCGCCGGTAGGTGCTGGAGTTGCACTGCCGAACGGTGATGAGGTGACTTTTGGCTTCCCAAAATCTCCAAAGAGACTTCCAGCTTTTGGCGCTCCTGATGTTGCAGGGTCTGCAGCCTTGTTTGGTGCAGCGCCAAACGGAGACGGGGTTGACGACGAATCTGCGGGCTTCAGAGAAAATGACGGAGTAGTGGAGGTGGCCTGTCCGAATAAAGAGCTAGGTTGACCAGATGCAGCGGTTGAAAACAAGGGCTTGGAGCCGCCTGGTGCTGTCTGCGCTGAACCAACATTGCCAAATATTCCACCGCCTCCAGACGAGCCTGTAGTGTTTTGCCCAAACAGCGAAGTTGTAGGGGTGCCGGAAGCGCCGCTCGTCGTAGTCGGCGTTCCGAATTTGAATGGGTTCGCCATCGACTTTAACACTATCGTGTCTGTCGGCGGATATAGAAATTAGCGAGTTGTTTTGAAGGGAATTAATGTTGGGCTTCAGACCTCAGGCTGGGTATGGAGTACGCGATGCAAATCCTGTAGAGGGCCTAGTGCCGCATAACCAGTGCAGAGCGTGAAAATATTGCAAAAATCACGCGCAGCTTTGTTTCTTGAGTCCGCGAACAGGTACAAGCCAGAGACAGAGCTATGTCGCTAGTGATGGTGACAATCGCTGCAGCAGCAGCTGGTTTGTTTGAAGCTCACCTCAAAGCCCACGATGCGTATTTGACATACCATAGATTACGTATATTACGCCTGGTTCCCGCTGCGCCCTGCGCCCGCAGCGTATCGCTGTTTCCACGGTCTAGATCGGTCTTGTAGGCGGCCAACGGCTTCTTCCATCGTCTTCTCTCGTCATGCCATACGGAATAACAGACCTGGAATTCCCGCCCGTTGCTCTGGCTCTTCCACCTAGCCACACCGCTGTTTTGTGCTTCTTCCTGAGAGATGGCCGAGCCCATCAAGTCTCGATCTCCCAGTATTCTCCTGGAGCCTCCTCCAAAGGGCGTGGAGCTGGAGGACCCTGGTGCACTGGAATCCGGTACGCCCTCAGGGGCAACAGACAAGTTGCGTTAATGCCGGCTTTGACTGATTTCTGGGATTCTAGGCGTTGACAGCGAGGACGATCATTTTTCAGACGCTTCTGAAGGCCGACCGCAGACTGGATCACGTATTCAGACCCCCTCGCCCCAGGTGAAGGGGCCCAACCCAGGCACCGTTCTGGATCGCCTTGCGATCCCGCGCACTGTACTCGAGAAAGTTGATCCGGATGATACTAGATACGGAGACGAACCTGGTACTCCAGCATATGAGCAGCGTAAAATGGATGCTGTTCCAGATTTCGTTTATAAGGCTGGGGAGTTCCGTTCCGATTTATTGCAGGATTCTCCCGAAGATTCAAACCCAGCCGATTCTTCTGTCCCTGAGACGAAAGTGTCACGTATCGATTCTCCACCTCAAAGGCCTCTATCCCCAGCCTCTTTCACAGCACATAAACGAAAGCCTAGTGACGCGCTCCCGGATGTTGTGGAAATAGTGCAAGACTCAGATGGTAAGTTATTTACCCCATATACCACGCTCTAGAAGGACGATTGACGAACCAGAGCCAACTTTGTTGCCCGAACATAGAGCCTCGCCTACGCAATTAGACCTAGAAGTCGAGCCGGCTGGTGGTGAAGCTCCGAATGGGGTTTCTGAGAATGTTGCTCATTTTGGAGACGAGTTTGACGATTTCAAGGAGGGAGGAGATGATGCCGAGCATGATGATTTTGGTGACTTTGATGATGGGTTTGAAGAAGCGACTCTCGATCAAACTCGCACCAGCTTTTCATCTACGGAAGACACCTCTCCCCTGTCAACTGTGAGTGACCTGCTATCCAAATTGACATAACCATTGTACAAGTCAATGTCCACTTTGACGGCTAAAAAGAACTTAAATACTAACTGAATCAATGTAGCCTCCTCCTTTAGATTTCAACTCCCTCCGCTCTTTATCAGATCTCCTCACAGCTACCTCTGACCACCTCGATACACTCTTTCCCAGATCTGTAGATTCTTCCACTTTACCTCCTGTTGATGAAATCCCTGATTCCACTGCTATTTTCAACACTGAACGCTCCCTATCACTATGGTCGCAACTAGTCGCACCACCTCCTCTCCAGCCGCCTAACTGGACTAAATCTCGTATCCGCCGACTCTTCCTTGTCTCCCTCGGAGTTCCTGTTGACCTTGATGAAATTCTTCCTGCTTCTAAGCAGAAAAAACTAGTTTTACCTTCTATAACCGATAGCACAAACCGACAATCATATGATACGTCTGGACAACCCCGCACTCACCCTAAAAAACCACACAAAGACGGTGATCAAACCCGTTCATCCACTTCCACTGATGCACGCCGCTCTGGGTCTCACAACCGCCCTCCTCGCCGTCGACGTGGACAGCAAGCACCGCCGGAGCTGGACTTATCTGCCGTTCGGCGATTATGTGATACCACTGATGCCGCTCTAGATGGATTAACTGATACTGAAATGCAGCAGCATGTTCAAAATTTGGAAGACATGACCGCGCGAGCAAGCGAGGTGCTGCAGTATTGGCTTAAAAAGAGGGACGGGCAGTTAGGCGAGAAGGAGGCGTATAATGGTGTTATCGAAAATCTGGTGAAGCATGCACGGCAGGTAAGAAGCTGAGGGTGATCAAAAGTAGGATGGACGTCGTGAAATTTATGAAGCATACGACAATGCCCTTGAAGTATTATTTGCAAGTACTTAAGCGCTCTCTCAGGTTTATGACTCCTTTTAGGCTTTTTTATATACTAATAACAATTACAATACTTTCTGGTATCAACTAGTTGCTATATATATTTACCTTGATACTTAAAAGGACATCTTTTGTTATATTCAAAATTGAAAGAATTATTAGACGGATGTATTCAATAATATTGTGGAGGGTATCTTCTTCAAGCAACAATTTCATCGCTTTGTGGAAAGTTAATCGCGGATATAGGCCGTCATCAAAAGATTCAGGCAAAAAAAGAGGCTTGGTATCGCTTAAAAACAAAGAAGTGAAAACAACACATTGCAAGACAACAACACCCACGTAGTCCATAGGAACTGGACTTGAGTTTGGTTCAACTATATCCCACGCATTAGGACATAGATCTCAGCCCTTGTTCAATAATTCGGTTATACCCAAGAATATAAACAATTCACACCCTAAAACCCGGGTAAAGAGGAACACCAACGCTCGAATTTCAGGTATGCATGTACCCAGTACTACTAGGTGGAAGTGTAACAATGCAATGACACGGCGAGGTATTCGGAGAAATGCTGTGGAAGGAGTCGCTAAAATAATCTGATTTGAGAATATGTAACAGATAAAAATGTTAATCAATTTCGATCACTTGCGGCGTTGGCTTCCTCGTGAGCAGAGATGGTGTGCTTCTTGACGGCGCTTCAACTTTTCGCACAGTATCTTCCTCGCAGCGAGATGATGTTCCCAGTCCGTTTGTTGTAGCATTAATCTGCTCATATTTTGGAGTCCACAAGCCATCTTTTCTCACAGTTATCGCCTTTGCATCATCAAGTCTGTTGTTTAATGCTAATTGAGATCGAACATCCAGAAGAAACTCGTCAATCAGAAGCGATTTAGGCCGTGCGTCTCTGCTGCAAATTGGGCATTTCCAGTGACCTGCCATGTTCTGCCCTTTTGAAACCTTCATCATGCGAGTATTGAGAAAGGTGTCTAGATCGAAGCATTCAAGATGAGAGCAGAATCTACCACGAACGGGGGTTTCGAATATACGCGCCGTAAAAGGGTCGATCAGGTTAATAGCAATATAGTCATCGACAATGGAAATTTCATCGTCGACTACTGGGGCATTGAGGCGTTGCATAATTTGGTTGATTGAAGCCGATTTAGACAAGATTTCGACGGAATTTCGGGCGGACCCACGCGAAATACTCTGAAGTATCTCAACACCAATTGAATAGAATAACTTGTTGCACTCATCTTCGGTTCGTAAAATAGTTATCTTGATCTTATTACCACCCTGCTTGAGAGAGCCAGTTATATCAAGAGGTAAATCCTTTCCATGGTGGAACTTGCGACGCGCAAAATGTTCCACGTCGTTGATATGGATATAAATAGCCACTGGCCAACAACAATCCGCTGTCGCCCACTCTTGGTCGGCTAGCTGTTGTGTTGGCGAATCCAGTCGAACACATCTCAATTGATATGTATGGGTACCTGAAATATAGCCAAGTATCGGATATCCGTACTGTGATGTGGGTATCTTCGCTGGGAGCTTCTTAAAGTCATTTTGCGTGAGATGTAATTCGTAGGAGAAGTTTGAATGCACAATTCCAATGCAAAACGGGCGAATAGCAAAAGTCTGGAAGTAAATCAAAAGATGCTTTGAGTCGTCATCATCATCTTTAGGGTCAATCAGCTCACGAGTCCCAACTCTTAGGTCCATCTGATGGAGGCCGATTAAATAAGGGTTAGGATACGCTAATTCTGGTACACGAGCCCCAGGGCGAGGAAGTAATGTTGTAATTGGCGCTATCTGTGGGCTTTGGTGTGTGAAGGATGACTGTAAAGGAGTCTGGATTTGATGCTGTGCCTGTCTTGGAACAGGAATATTGATGGCGTTAGATACTGGAATGTTAGATGGTAATGTAGAGGGTGGTAAGGGTAGTGTGTGCTGATAACCAGAAAGTTGAAAGTGGGGGGGGTGTTGGGGTGATGTTGGAGTACTGTGCGGTGTTGTATACACATGGTTACCAAAAGCGCGCGGTTGTGTTTGTGGGGCAAGTATTCTCGGGCTTTGCCGAAAGTAACCACGGATAGGGGGCTGAAATTGAGGGGCGTTCGGATTCCTATTTTGGGCTGGTATTTGGGCTTGGGGTTGAAGAGAAAATGTACCATGGCTTTGCTGAGGAATATTGTGGACTTGAGGAGAATTTATTTGGTGCATCATGGAATTGCCAGGGGGCTGCGTAGCCTGTTGGATTCGAGTTATTGGTGCAGGCATCGCCCTGGGCTGGGGATGTGGGGCATGAAAGAACTGAGCGGCTCCAGGCGACTGGGGAAAGCTAGCCGTCAGGGGACTCGCATTTGGCATATTGGCAAATGAAGCAGTAGATGTAGGAAACGCAGCAGCAGGGGGTGGAGGGGGTATATTTGTCGTTGCCGCCATTGTCCCATTTGTGTTCCCAGCTCCTGGTTTCGCAGATTTATCGAGTAGCGAGATGGCGTGTGTATAATCGCTAGCAATGTGCACGTTCTCCTGGTGGGCAGTTTGTGGGGACACCAGCTCCCCCCTTTGTGCTTTCGCTAGTCTTGCTTCGTATATAGCTTGATCTTGTGAATGAATGGTATTTATCCGGGAAAGCCACTCCGAGTTGCGATCCGGGGATAAAAGTTCACAGCATCTAAGGAATAGAGCAAGCCGGATTCGGGACGATGGAAGTCCGAATTTGGATACTAGCTCGTCGATGAGCGGTGGATAACGGCGCTGGAGAATAACACTTAGAAACGGTGCCCAGCGTTGGGACATCAATGGTAGGCAGTACATAACAGCTCCTAGAGCCTGTGTATATATCTGGTTGTTTCGAACCAGTTCTGAAAATGATGCCGGAAAATCGCTACACAAAGTCAAAAAGCTCTCGGAATATCGACCAGGAGGGAATAGCGCATCTTTAAACATTAGCAATCCAGTAATTTGATTTACACCAAAGCCTGGAACAATCTGAAGTAATTCTGGTTTGGTAGCATATACACAAAATGCCTGATGGAGAGCAAGGAAAAAGAAATCATTATAGTAACAAACGGATTGAAGCATATCCACACGAGAACGCTCTGTTGGTGTGGCATGCAGTCTGATAAATTCCAGATTGCAATAAAGATCCTGGAGAATTTCATTCATTCCATGGAAGCATGGGTTAACCCGCACAGGAAAGCTCGGGCTGCTTTTGCTATGACACAGGGAACGATTCACAGGTAGTGTGGCGGGTAACTCAGAGTATGATGTTCCTTGGCAGGCAGGTGTTATGTGCAGATTGCTCATTTCGCTAGTTCTTAGCCGTTTATGTCTGTGTGTGGCAGGTGCATGGTACTCCGGCCTTAGTACAGGGGTGCAGGTGGCTGCCTGGTGTGCAATTGGTATGTTTTCGCTAGTATCACTGTGACCATTTATAGCTGTCTCTTGAGGCAAACTGTTTAAAAATGGCACTGTATCAACAGGCTCAGCATTATTTTTGGCGGCAAGGGTAGAGGTACCGCCACTTATCGGGCGTCCATTTATGTGTTCTCCATTTTCTGGCTCCACATTTGAAACAGGTGAAGGAGCTGTCAACATATCATGAGGCGTAGGAATGTTAGAGTATTCTGGGGAATGCGATGTATTGATAGAAGGGGATCGTGACGGAATCGATCGAGGAGGCTGCTGGGGCATTTGATGGGCTACAGAAGGTGGGGTGGGCTGTGGCACCGATTCTAAAATAGAATTCTGCAACGAGAGATCTTCATTGGGCGGAGATTGTGGCGATGGCAGGTGGGCTAAACCAGTGTTGATTTGTTTAGCACTCTCATTCCTCGATATTTGAGCAGGCTGCTTCTTCACGGGGTGTACAGCGCGCAGGAACGAGTGATTCGACACCGCTGTAGGCGAGCTCTGAAGCCAGGACTTCTGACTACCGCCAAGGAACCTACTAGCAGTTGCATTCGCAGTTGATATCGAAAGATCGGTTGTATGGAGCGCGACGTTCTCCGGTGGTGGGTGATTGGCTTTTGAGACCGCTGGAGCGTAATGCTGAGGCATCTTTGGCAAAGTTGCGATTCTGAGTTCATGATTTTATGCGAGAGGCTTGAGGCATGGTCCGGCTGGTTGCAGGTGCATAGTTATCCTAGTAGAACGGAGCTTCCAGATGGTCAGCGTGGGAGACGCAATATGTACCTCGCGGCAGTGCGGGCAGTAGAGGTAAGGGCGAGGCGATACTGACATGAATCCACGGCAAGGGAGATCTGTCTCGGGTCGGTCTTTCGCCAGCTTCCCTCGATTCGTTTGAAGCCGTACGTTGATCAAGCTCTTTTAATAGTATGGATGGAGTATGGACTGAAGCTAAGCATAGCACCTAGGTCTCGGCAGAAACCTAGTAGAGACTAGTGGCACAATGTCGGGGCATGTGGCTTGGGTATGCCAGCTGCTTGCCGCTATAGCGTTCAAGAGCCGTGATCTGTAGCAAACGTTGCGCAGAGGATGCCTGGAGACCCATCAGTGGACGTTTAGGCGTACTGATGCGGTGAAAGAAGGTGCCGATACAGGTAGGCAGCGGCTACAGGCGCGTCTCATTCGCCCGCTTGAAAACAGCCTAGCGGCGCGGATCATCATTTCGCCACGCCGCTCCATAAGGTGGCGCTGACATAAGCCGCCCATTCCCACGCTCATCTTGTCGTCCCACGTTGCTTTGGGACGGCAATCCTCCCTCCACCCTCGAATTCGAATTTCATAGTTGCCAGAGTGCTGTTCCCTCTAGTGTGTCCTTTCCAATTACCCTGGGCCCCCTGCGCTTTGATGTTTTGTTCCCTGTTGAGCCGAACCGAAGCTTGGGCGTGGAATTGAGCCGTGCATTCCGACTCCGCTGTGGCCTGGACGCGAATTCGAAGCGCGCGGCATCTGATCCTCGAATGTCGTACAGGCCTCCGCAGTCGATACCATTCTAACTCTATGTTTTGTTAACAACGCTCGTCTCTATTCTACTTGAATAGCCTCTCCGGCGATTACTTTTGAAAGTCTGGGCGACTGGGGTCACGGGAAGATCCATGACCTCCAGTGCGTGGTGATTTTTCCACGGATTTTAACAGTGCGGGCTGTCTCTGAACTGTCCGCCTTTACACCTAACTCTATACTCGGGTTGTTTTCTATCCGCTTTCGAAATGCCACTCTGAAAACAGCGCATCTTCACCACGATCTCTATCATCTACTGGACCCTTCGACGCCGCCTTCATGTCTAAGCCTTCGGAAGCCCCACGAGGGGCTCAGCCCGGTGATTTGTTACTCGTTGTTCGTCAGTATATACTATTCTAGGGCGCTGCTCTACCTGCTTCTTTCTGAACCACTATATTAACAATCTTTTTGCTCAGATAATTTTGATGCGCGTGGTGCTGATGAATTGACCCTTCGGCGGGGCGATAAAGTAGAGTTATTAGAGCTTGACGACGGTTTTGGCGATGGTTGGTATCTGGGACGGCATGTGGTTGAAAATCGCACAGGCTTATTTCCAGGAGGTACGACGACCCTCCATTTATGCTTCTATGTTATCTGACAAGAGCAATGCAGTCTATACAACAGCCGATACCACATCGCAGCCTAGCCTTGGCAAGACAGCCGCCCTATCGGCTTCACAAACCTCGGCGATTGAGCAATTCGAAAGCCCACAACATGGTTCGGAGACGGTTTCCTCAATATTGACTAATAACACAAATCCACAGGTCTCAAGATTAGCTGGCGGATCCGAACCTAGTCCTCCTGTCTCAACCGAGCCGAATAATGAGAAAGAGACGCTCCCGATCCAGCCATTATCTAGAAACGCTTCGACCAGCACTGCAAGGGCGCCTGAAATCCAAAGGACCATTAATCAGACCATTGTTCCGCATTTAAGCGGAGAAGACAGCCCGGTACTTAGCGAAACTCTAAGCGTGATTGATGAGCACATTACAAATTTTAGTACACCACGCCAAAGCGTTATTGCGCAAGAGCTGCATCGTGGTGTCAATGATTCCAGCAGTGAGTACAGCAGCCATGGTGGTAACCGTCTTTCTTATATTCATGGCACCGAAACAGACGAAGAAGAGGGCAGGATTCCTACAGAAGCGGATGTCCGACGCTGGGACCATCAACAAGTTTCTAATCACCTAACCGAGCTCGGTGTTGATCCTAGGCACTGCAAAATCTTCAAAGAGCAAGAAATAACGGGTGATGTCCTTCTAGAGATGGATCAAGAATTCATATATATGAAAGATTTTGATTTTGGAGTCATGGGCCGACGACTGAAAACGTGGCATATCATTAAAGCTTTTCAAGAAGAGACAAAGGGCATCGGACAACCTAGACAGTCGACTTCCACGTATTCGGGACGCGTGGCATCCCCAGTAGAGCACGACCGTTCTCAAAGCCGTGCTGTAACAGCCTCTTCATTTCTTCCGCGCATTCCTAGCGTTGGCGAAGCGCGTGGCCCTGTTACCAGGCAATCCAGGGGGGCCACTTTTTCAGGCTACCAAGGAAAGGCACCCCCTTCCCCAATTCCAACAACCAGTTTCAGCCGCCCAAGAACTCGTGACAGCGCGTCCAGACCCTCTCCAGATTTCATTCGACAAAGTAATTACCACCAGCGGCATTCCTCGATAGATGAAGTCTCGAAATCGGCTGGCCCTACCAAGACCAATCCTGTGGGGGCTGCCCATCCGAAAATGGCTCTTGCAAATGGGAGATCCTCTCCCTTCGAACGTCCTTGGCCTAGAAAAGCGGCAACAGATTCGCGGCCAAGCACAGCGCTGGGGACCACGACTACTCAAAACCAGGGGTTACCTATTCCAAACAGACACACCACTATTCCAGGGGGCATAGTTGCCGATGGCTCCCCTGAATTTGACCGCGGTTATTTCTCTGGCGGCGAAGTCGACTCCCGGAAATCTCGCAATGTTTTGAGAAAACGAGAATCAGAAGGCCGGAGTTTGAGCCAGTCAAGACAATCCAGCACGGCGGATGATGCAAAGTTGCGAAATTACAAAAGACATTCACGATTTAGTAGTGTGGACTCTTTGAAAGAGTTCGCTCCTTACTTAGCCTTTGGCAAATTGGGCAGCCCACCAGCTGCAGCTCAACGTCATGAGTTTGTCGAGGATAAATCCCATTCACCACCTGTTACTAATTTAGAACAATCAAGCCATACTACAGGAGGCTTTTTCTCCTCTTTGTCATCCCTAAATTCGAAACTACAGGAAGATAATTCAGGCCACCCTTCCCCGTTACCTTCTAATAGCAAGAGTGTGGGTCCTAAATTTCGGCGCACAATTGGGCTACGTGCCATCTCTGACGCAGTGACGGGAAATGAAAAAGCTCAGCTAGCCTCCAGTGCGTCCTCTCCGGGAAAAGATTACCCAAAATCTCCGGCTCGGACAAACTCCGCCACGCCATCGGGCACATCTAAGAGTTCCGAAATTGAAGCGACGGATCCTCTTTCATCAAGGCCTTCAGAAGCAGGCATATCATTACTTGCCCCTAAAACTCCCTCCCACCGAGGAAAATCAAAGAGGGATACGAGTGCCTATATCCGCGGGTTAGAGAAGAAATCGCCTCAGGAGCAGATAATTGGGTGTGACTATTATGGCTGGATGAAAAAGAAATCGTCAAATCTGATGGCCACCTGGAAGCCCAGATTATTTGTTCTTCGTGGCCGTCGCCTCTCTTATTACTATTCAGAAGACGATACCGAGGAGAGAGGACTGATTGATATCTCGTCACATCGTGTTTTCCGTGCAGATAACGATACAATAACGTCTTTCCATGCCACTATAACTGGGGCGAAAGCTTCACCCACATCTCCAACCAACTCCAATCACTCAAAACCTATATCTCCGAACCAGGATCAAGAGCCAGAGAAAGTCCGGCGGAAAAGTGGCTCCGACGAGCAACCTTTTATTTTCAAACTCGTTCCCCCCAAAAACGGTTTACCCCGTGCCGTACAGTTTACAAAACCGGCAGTTCATTATTTTCAAGTCGACACCCTCCAGCAAGGGCGTTTGTGGATGGCTGCATTGATGAAAGCCACTATTGAGCGTGATCTCAACCTACCTGTTAAAACAACAAACAAACAGAAAACCGTCAGCTTAAAGCAAGCCCGTTCAATGAATCAGCGCCCACCTGCGTTAATGAACTCCTCCAGCAACACCGAGTTGAGAACATCAGCTGATCAAAAGGATCCTCAGTCGAGCGAGGACAATCTTACTCCCCTTCCTGAGGGCATGACATTCGAGGCTATTGAAGGCATTAACTCTTCTTATCTAGATTCATCTTCCTCCCGTTCTTTTTCCACTTAATCTTTCTTCTTTCAGCTATTCTTCTCATCATTTATTTCGTACGTTTCCAATCTTGTTTTTCTGTTTGGTTTGGCCCCTCAAATCTCGCATGTTTTTTCTTCTTGCCTTATCTTTGTCTTGTGCTATCGAAGCTGTAACGATTCGGCGTTGGCCACTGTGATCCGGCGTCAATGATAGGGAGATATACCCTTTGTCCTCGAATATTTTTGAGTTCTAGCGCTTGTGTGGCTTTTGTGCCAGCTCTAATTTGGAGATGGATATTTACGTGCGTGATGGTTTAAAGATATTACTATGTTCTACAACAAACCGGCCGTTTGGATTTCCTATTGATATTTTTGGTTTTTTTTTTTTGCCTTGAATAGTCCATTATTGCTTAATCTTGCTCTATCAAGATCCATTACGACCTGGAATACCTGTACGATACTTAACTCAATGTTAATGCAATTCATGTCAATCATCAATTCTTTGTTTTACTTCCCAAAAGCCCTTACATCGTTACGTAGATTAGATGTTTACACAACTGGTCTGCTAATTTTGCGTTGACCTCGAATCCTTAGTTAACTCTAATCCGCAAATTGTTTGCCCCTTATTATGAAAACAAAGGTGCTCAGCACCGAGCTGCTTGCACCGTCCATGCCTTTTTCTCTATGTTTCTCTGCCATGTGCTCCAGCGGAGCCTCTCCATCCTGTTACCCATATCGATAGCGTCGCTCGTATACCTTTACCTTTACCCCGTTTTTCACGGTTGCGCTTTTCCAGTACCCGCGTCTGACCTCTCCGGACCTGAGCCTGCGTTGGCTTCGTTTACGAATATCTTGAAAGAACATTTTAGATACGGCAATCAGAGCCGGGACTCGAAACAATCAATTTCTCCCGCGCCGTTTAGATTACTGGTACTCGCTGATCCACAGATTGAGGGGGACAGTTCGCTTCCTGGGCCTAATGATGGCTTAGCCGGCCGTTTCTGGAAGCACTGGAACAGTGTCGTGTCGGCGGAGACGTGGGAGGACCGCTTTTTTGCTCTTAGGAAAGGCACAAAACAAGTACTTCTTGTGGATATTCCGCGCAGCCTTGAGACGGTTCGCAAGCAGGTGGATTTGGTCGGAAATGACTACTATCTTGCACACATATATCGCACACTACATTGGTGGGTTATACCATCACATGTCACAGTACTAGGTGACTTAATTGGTAGTCAATGGGTCTCTGATACGGAATTTGCTGTGCGCTCTGGAAGATACTGGAATCAGGTATTCAGGGGCGGCGTCCGAGTCGATGACGAGATAACAATTACTGGAATGAATGGGTATGGCAACGGAGCGGAGAAGACGGAGATGTTTACGTTATCAAAGGATAGAAGCGAGAAGACGGCATGGTCGAGTCGCATTATCAACATTGCTGGGAATCATGATGTGGGATATGCAGGAGATATAAGTGAAAAGCGACTCGATCGGTTTGAAAGGGAGTTCGGACGACATAACTGGGATGTGAGATTTCAGTATCCTATCTCCGCAGGGAACGATCCAGAGGGCAAGCAGATAAACGCTTCGATCCACCTTATTGTGCTGGATAGCTTGCTTCTTGACACTCCCGCTCTCAGTCAATCTTTAGCAAGCCAGACATATGGTTTTATAAATGATTTGATATCCCACCGCCTACGCCCTGTTGAAGACCAGAGCAGCTTCACACTTCTTCTTACCCATCTACCACTTCACAAAGAAGCCGGGGTATGCACCGATGCTCCCCTTTTTGCTTTCTTCAGCAAGGACGATGACAAACCTATTGATGGGGAGCTACGTTTTAAAGAGGGTGGGTTAAGAGAACAGAATCACATCAGCGCTCAGCTCAGCCATCACGGTATTTTACAAGGCATTTTTGGGATGAGCGGCGAACCCAATGCCCTTGCTGGGGGTATGGGAAGGAATGGATTGATTTTAACTGGACATGATCACACTGGCTGTGATACTGAGCATTTTATCAATCGAACTTCGGTTACCTCAGAAGACTCGAGCGACACTTCACCTGCCTGGACATGGGATGCTCGGCTATACAAATCAGAGAACAAACAGCATTACAGTTCACCCCCCAATCCCTCTATTAGAGAAATTACCCTCCGTTCCATGATGGGCGAGTTTTCTGGCAATGCTGGTCTATTGTCACTTTGGTTCGATTCTCGCCCATCAGTGATGGAATGGAAATACGAATTTACTACTTGCCAGTTAGGCGTGCAGCATATTTGGTGGGCAGTACATATCATTTGTCTGGTTACATCGAGCATAGTCGCAGTTTGGCTTGGATTGGTCCTACTAGGTAGAAGCACAAATGCTGATGTCGCTATAGTGAAATCGATGGCCCCACCAGTTGCTGTGAACTTAAAGATAAAGCAGGTATATAAGCCAAAAGCTACGTGAATAGATACCCTGGATATAGTGTATATAGCCAAATATGTGATCTAGCTTGAACCGCGATATTACTCTTTTTAATCTTAAATATTTAACGTATATGACCCTATTTCATTTAGTGGCAGGCAGATACGCATTGGTATCGGAACAATCGAGTGCTGGATATCCAAAATCCATGAAGGGTGTATCAAAGGGCTGACTCAAAGTCAATAAGTAGTTTGAGAAGTAGCTGTCATTTCGAAAATAGGCTACACCTGGTGTCACAAGGTGACAGCCCACCAGCCATCCCACACCCGCGCTGGGTTCTCTAGTCGGCGGCCAAGCTATATGAATAGATTCATTAAACGGTATGGGGTAGCATCCAGAAGGACTCCATGACACAATAGATATGAATAAACCGGGATATAGCATTTAACCTTGCGTATCACATTAAAATAAAACGCCTAGAGTGTGTATTCGTAGTTTTGTTTCGCAATCCCAATTTACATCACAACACCAGAGTTACTCGCGATACGCTAGATGAAGGGAAAATGTATTAGAGACAATAGTACCTAGTTGTCAAAGGGGTCTGATTAGCACTTACTGGCCATAATTCAGCGGCTTCCTTTCCAACAGGACCTGTGATAGCTGAACCCTTCATTTCACCCTTGGCGTTGACAATCTATGAGAAAGAGACTGATCAGTAATCCCTTCAAATCACGCACGTTTTGGCCCGCTGTGCCACCAGAAATAACTCCATTTCAGGAACACTCACCACACCAGCGTTGTCCTCAAAATACAAATAGATACCGTCGGGGCGCCTCCATGGCTTGCTCTGTCTGACAACGACGGCGGGCATAACCTTCTTTCGCAATTCTGGCTTTCCCTTCTTAACGGTAGCCATGACCATATCACCAACACCGGCAGCGGGAAGACGGTTAAGACGGGCGCCCCAGGCCTTGACTGAGATGATGTAGAGATTTCGCGCACCGGAGTTGTCGCAGCAGTTCATCACGGCACCCCTATTGGCAGGAAAAAGCAGGGAATCAGCCTCAGTTTCGTGGTTATCTCTCAAAATCCACCCCATCCCATCCCCCCCCCATTACCTCCTCATCATGATCGCGCGCCTTTGATTTTTAAAAATGGATGGAAAAGCAGCGGGACGTGAGTTCTAGGGAAACGTACACTGGCAAACCGAGTGTCATCTTAAGCTTGTTGCCGGCGGCACCGCCACGACTAATGCACCCCACGAGTCAGCACATTTCCTAATTCAAAAGTCTTTGGTACAAGTATCCGGCCTTTGGCCCTTGCAGGAATATATCCCAAAAGAGGGTTTTCGGCCATCCATTGATCATGGTTGCGGAGCAATTCTCACCCTCTCTTCGACATTTTGATAAAATATTAACTACGCGACTAACGACAAGGAGACAAAAGGTCCAAGAGGTGATCGAAGAAGTCGCGTTGCCGAGGAAGAGTTGTGTCGACTGCACTTCACGGTGATGAGATTCAATTTCCTCTGGATTTCGTTTAGTGTGGGCTTCAAACTCTTGGCACCGTCTGAGCATAGTCGCCGTGTCGCACGTGACTAGCCCTAAACCCTAATAGCGCCGATTTGGTAGTTATGTATTCAAAGAGGATAATTTGATATTCTGGATTATATTCTAGATACCACTGCTACAAAGGCCGTACCATGTAGAGCACAAAGAGAGCACAGTGTAATCCATAGATGTAACTCCCAACGCAAATAATCCGCCGGCTTTTCCCACGCCTCGCCAATCCTTGAGACCAGAAACTCCCAGTCCCTACCAAGCGCCAGACTATAAATGTCATATTGAGTACAAATAGGTATGGTGGGCGCCTTCGCTACTGTCCCGCCGTAGATGTTTCCTCGGGTTCAGCTGGTGGAGTAGTAGTCGATGGAACAGAAGGTAGGGGCTCGGGTTCGCGTGCAGGCTCGGTTTCAGGCTCTGGCGATTTTCGCGGTGTAGCTGACGGGGCTTCGTTGACCGCTTGAAGCTCTAATGGCTCCTCCTCCTCTGGGGCAGCATCCTCCATTACCGTATCCTCGTCGGGATCAGGTCGCGTAGACTCTCCAGGTGAGATGGGAGGAGACGGGCCCAATGCTCTTTCTTCAGTGGCAGGGACAGTGGGCTCAAGAGAGGGCTCTTCGGTCCCAATTCTTGATCCAGGGCGAGTAGACGGTTCCACCGTCGGTGTTGGTGACCGCTTGTCTTGCATATCGGCATCTAGAGCATCTTCGTTCTTTTCATCGGCCACAACGTCCTCGTCTGCTATAGAAGATGCTTCATGAGGAGTACCTATCCCGCTGTTTAGCCCGGACTCTGACTCTAAGTTTCGATAATCAATCTGATTCCGTCTTTTCGTGCCGTTAGGTTGACGACGAACCCCAATTTCGGCAGCCATTTCTTCATCCTCACTTTCGCTAAGCTCTCCGTCTTTCTCGATATATTGATCAAATCTTCGCTTACTATATCGCTTGTCTTTGTTTTCGTCTTCATCTAAATCGTCAAGAATAGCATCGGCTTCGTCATCCATCCCATCAAGTAAAGGATCACGTGGAACGTCAGTCATTTGGACAGAGGGGGCATGGGCAGAACGCTTGAGATTCTCGATGACCTGTGTTCGAATTCTGTCAATATATTCCCTGGAGTTGTTATTGTCCATATTCGAGGGTCGAACATCCAGCTCATAATCAGGTGAAAAATACTTTCAAAAGTGTCAGTCAAGGTTCTTTTTGAGTGAAACCAGAAACCTTACTTCATAATAATCATTGTACGGTAGCTCTGTAGGTAGCTGGTCACCAACCAACAGTCCAGTCTCAAATGCCCAGGTGCGCGCAACGTTCCTCATTGTATACCCACCGCCACCTAGAATCATTGTTGGAAGGCCAAATCCTTTGACATACTTCACGCAATTGGCATGACCTCTCATACTTAGGTTGAAACAGCCAAGACGATCACCAGATAAGCTATCTCCACCGCATTGAAGTACAACAGCCTCAGGGCGATACCATTCCATAACACTTTTGATAACGGGTTCAAAGATCCCTTTGTAGGCGACATCATCAATGCCATCGCGAAGCGGGACGTTTACTGCGTAATATCTGCCGGCACCGACACCAATATCCCGGAGCTCACCGGTACCGGGAAAGTACTCACCGTACTTATGGAACGAAACAGTCATGACTCGGTCAGTAGTGTAGAAGGCTTCTTCAACGCCATCACCATGATGCACGTCAATATCAATATAGAGAACGCGTTGCTTAAAACGAAGCAGCTCAAGAATTCCAAGAACAATGTCTTTTTAACGGTCAGTAGGGAGACTTTAATACTTAAATAAGAAACTTACCATTCACATAGCAGAACCCACTTGCTTCACTTTTCTTTGCATGATGCAAACCACCAGCCCAGTTCACAGCAATATCACATTTACCCCTGTTGAGTCGTGCAGCGCCTTCCATGGAGCCACCTGCACTAATACCGCAGAACTCAAAGAGTCCATCAAAAACAGGGCAATCGTCACCAACATTATATCGTTGTTGTTCTTTTTGAAATGCATCCATATTATCTGGCGTCACCTTTGACAAAAAGTCAATGTATTCATCTGTATGAAACTGGGTCATTTCCAGCTTGGTTGCTGGTTTGGCACGCTAGATTTGCCAAAACAAGATCAGCATGTCAATAACAGCAGAAATTCCATTTCCCAGTCAAATTTATGGACTCACATATATTTCCATTTTCTTATACAAGCTATAGTTCATGACCAAGCTGTGTGTCATTCGGATGCGATGAGGCTTCATGGGATGACCAGCGACATAGGCATAATTACCTACATCCGAATCGTAAAAGTAGGCAACCCGCTTCTTTTCAGCGGCGCCATTTGCCATGGACAGGTCAATGGGGCCGAGGCCAGCCATCGTTCAAGTCCAGGGGACCAGATGGAGCCGGTCGTCGAAAGAGAACGAAGAGAAGGTGAGGTTAAAACGGGGAAATGAAGGTTCAAAGTTGGTTAGACTGGAAAATGAAGCCAGTTTCATGGGCTACAATCAAGTAGCACCCCGCGATCCTCAGCTGAGAGCGCGTATTCTTGGGCTTTGACTGGTATAAGAAAGAAGAGACTTCTGGCGGCGGACTGCTGGCGGAATGATTTCATGGGGGAAGGGCCACAAAGCATGGGCGCTGAGCGTTGATTGGTGGCTTGCACCTGACCTGCGTTGGCGGATCCGCACCCGAACCTAGCGTGCTGACTAACCTAGAAGTTAGTTCACCAGTAGGTACTTGGCTGACTAAGCCTGAGAAATTCAGCGATTAACCATGATTACTAAGCGCTTCATGATGCTAGTTAATTGGCCCGTATGAGAGCTGTCTGTTTATGTAAGGCACTAATCTCGAACATGGCCCTAGAGGTTATGTTCAGTTTATAGGGACGGTACTCCGACCATCAGATGCGATTTTAAACATAACTTGACGATAGTTATCCATTACTCCTCTGCTAATATCCTCTCCACTTAAAACCACCAAACTCTAGACCTACCTTCTTTAGCTCTGTAACAAGTCCTGTCGACTTCCCAGCCCATTCCGACTTGTGCATACGCTCTGAACAGTATCAACATGGACCGTCTAGGCCGAATGCTACAAGCAGCCCAGGGTATGGGCATGAATGGCGCTGTTCCTAGCATTGTGAGTTTTTATTTTTACATTACCCTAAGGTGTCATTGGGTGTTTAATTCCAAAGCTCATCGGCACCACTTACTTTATCAAGAGCTGACATTGTTGTTGTTAGGATACCCAAAACCTCATCGATAATTCAGAGACAGTTCATATATCATCGCTTGCCTTATTGAAGATGCTACGGCATGGCCGAGCGGGTGTCCCCATGGAAGTTATGGGTCTGATGTTGGGAGACTTTGTCGATGAATATACTGTCAGAGTCGTCGATGTATTTGCTATGCCTCAGAGTGGTACGGGCGTTAGTGTTGAAGCTGTTGATCCTGTGTTTCAGACAAGTATGATGGATATGCTGCGGCAAACCGGAAGGTTGGTCGAACGTGTAGGCGCGAATTCTTGAGTTAAACATACTGATCTATATTTAGGCCAGAAACAGTGGTTGGATGGTATCACTCACATCCTGGTTTTGGTTGCTGGCTTTCTTCCGTTGACATCAATACACAACAATCCTTTGAACAACTTACGCCGCGAGCCGTCGCTGTTGTCGTCGATCCGATCCAATCCGTCAAGGGAAAAGTAGTTATCGATGCATTTCGGCTGATTGCGCCACAAACGCTTGTAATGGGACAGGAGCCACGACAGACCACCTCCAACTTGGGTCACTTGAATAAACCATCGATCCAGGCTCTAATTCACGGCCTGAACCGCCACTACTACAGCATTGCAATCAACTACAGGAAAACCGGGTTAGAAGAGAACATGCTGATGAACTTGCATAAGCACGTTTGGACGGACGCTTTGCAGATGAAAAATTTCCGTGAAGACCGAGAACAAAACGTGGAGAGATTACAGAAGCTAGTTGGGCTTGCAGAAGGATACGAAAAGCGGGTAAAAGAAGAGACTGAGCTCTCGAAGGATCAATTGAAGACTAGATACGTTGGGAAGGTAGATCCAAAGAAACGTAAGTTCTATTGGTTTCTTCGTTGATCGACATGTTCTAACTAGCTTGTAGATATCCAAGATGTTGGACAACAGCTCATTGAAGACAATATCGTCGCAATTTCTCGACAAATGATTGACAAAGAAGCGTCTCTCGCCCGGGAGTCAGAGAAGGGAGGCCACCAAGGCGACAAAATGGAAACAGATGAGGAGCTGTAGTATAATTTTCATATTTTAAGCCAGATGTGAAGTAGTAAGGCTAGATAGATACCAACCATGCTTTAAGACCTCTTCTGACTTAAATGGGGTCTTATCCGCAGAGTACTCCGTACTACAAATATATCTATTGGAGTTTCCAAGTGGGTATAGTATGTCAGTCAGTGTAGAGTGAATCACTATTTAGAATGAAAAATTCATAATTGAAGAGCAAACAATTTCATGTCAGAGAGCAACAATGCCTTAGTACTTGATGTATCGAAACGAACGGGACGACAAAGTCATTGGATCTCTCATAGTCGTTCTTGGAAGCCTGATGACCCGAACCAGGTCTTTGTCTCCCCAGCTAATACAACACAGTGCATACTCAGGGTTTTGTATCCCATGCAGAGCGTCAAATTTCTTGGGTGGTTCAACTTTCATTTGGTGAAAAAAGAAAGAAAAAATGGAAGCGAAAAAAGTTCAAGCACCTTTTATGGTTATTGGCCGCTAATCCCAAACCAGTTGTCACGAGATTGCACATCAGGCGGCTGTCAGCCGCCGTAGCAAGATGGAGCTCCAATGAATTTTTGAAGACAAACCACTCAAACTGTTCTCTTTATGTTATCTTTTGCTGCACATTTGGCTCTGGCACATGAGGAAAACAGTGCCTTTCTTTTCAATTAATGTGAAAGAGAACTTGCCGAGATGCTTAGCCGTGCTGCTCTGCCCTTGCTGAGGCAGAGAGCTCTTCCCACCTCCGTCAGAATATGCTCCGCATCCCTCAGAGCAAGATGTTACGCGAAAGATAACCGACCTCATGGCTATAAAACACCTCCGTCCGCCCCATCTTCCAGCTCCTATACCGATTCCTCTCAGAAACCGAAAGTTGTTCAACCGTCACAGAACACTCAAAACTCCCAAAACTTCTCGGAGCAACAGACAGAATTCGAATCGGGGCCTGAATCGCAGAAAAACAATGCCACACAGTATACCGGTGCTGGCGCTGGTGTAAGTCATGCTCAAGCAGAGTCACCCGGCGCCAATGCGAAAGCTCCGGACTATACAGACGCCCAGGCCGAATTTGAGTCTCACAAGGATGCTACGGAATCGGAACCCGTATCACCTCAACAACCTCTCCCTGATCTCACGCGCGGTATACCGTCCACAATTGCTGCAGAATTAGCTTCTAAGTCAAAACGTCGCGGCCCAACTGGACTGAACCTTACGGAAGATCCGGAGAAAGGCGATACTAGTGAGGGGGGTGGTGGAGGGGGCGATACTCCTAAAGATGCATACGTTTCTTCGCTTGAACGCCGCCGCAATCAGCTTGCAAATCTAACTTATGCTATTTTCCTTGGTCTTGCTGTATCCGGAACAATGTACCTTGGGCGGAATTGGTCCACAGACGAAGAAGAGAAAGCCCACCCAGACGCTCCATCGGGATGGGGATTTGATCTCTTTTTCAAGCGCATCAAGGCCCGCTTTAACGATTTGACAAGTTATTATAAAGACCCTGCCTTTAACCAGCTGTTACCGGACGAAGACCCCACCCTCAGACAACCTTATACGTTAGTATTAAGTTTAGAAGACTTACTTGTTCACAGTGAATGGACTCGAGAGCATGGATGGCGAGTAGCTAAACGACCTGGGGTTGATTACTTCCTCCGTTACCTGAACCAATACTACGAACTTGTCTTGTTTACCAGTGTCCCTAGTTTTATGGCTGATCAGGTTATTCGAAAATTGGATCCTTACCGCATCATTCGTTGGCCACTATTCAGAGAGGCTACGAAGTACGAAGATGGTGAATATGTCAAGGTAAATAAATATTGGCGTCATTCCAGCTATATATGATTTTCGCTAATTGAAAGTAGGATCTGTCCTATCTTAATCGCGACCTGTCCAAAGTCATTATAATCGATACACATGAGCCACACACAAAACGCCAGCCCGAAAACGCAATCATTCTCCCCAAATGGAAAGGTGACCCGAAGGATACATCCCTCGTTTCCCTTATTCCCTTCCTGGAATATGTCGCAGGCATGGGCATGGATGACGTCAGAACCGTTTTGAAATCCTTTGAAGGCACATACGTCCCTGCAGAGTTCGCCCGAAGAGAGAAAATTATGCGTGAAAAGTTTGAAAAACAACTAGAGGAAGAACGCGCCAAGCGACCCAAACACAGTATTGGCAGTATCGCATCACTTTTTGGTATCAAACCAATGGGTAACGCTATTGATGGTCTGGACCATAGCACTACTGAAGGCCTGGAGCAAGGTAAAATGCTGTGGGATCAGATTCGTGAAAGAGGACAAAAACAATATCTAATAATTGAGAAGGAGATTCAAGAAAATGGAGAAAAATGGCTTGCTGAGATGGCGGCAGAAGAAGAAAAGGCAAGAGAAGAGCAGATGAAAGGAATGAAGAGCCAATTCACGAGTTTCTTCGGCAGCCCTGAAGAAAAAAAATAAACTTGAAACCTCGGGACTCATTGCGTATGGGAGAAAGAATTAACGAAGAAGACAGCTACCTATGACCTATCATCCCCTTTAATTGTATAAACCACTGTTATTTCTGTTCAAGTTCACTTCTGACACGATTTAAGTCATGGCCCGCACCCCCCTACCCTTTTGTTCGACACTAGTTAGGTTATTTGGACTACCGATCTTCTATTTTTTCTTGTCCCTGGCATCTCCGATCATCTTACTCAATTGGAATTGTAAAATACTTACTTAAAACACTTGCAACCAGTCCAATATAACATAACTGTTAAGTTTACACGAATATCAGTATCATTCTGTAGCTAACAGTCAGGAATTTTGATGATGAGCAAGGAATACAGAGGTAGGAGTACATGTGTCTCCAAAATAATGATAAATAATATCACTGGATCATACCTTAGGCCCGATCTGGGATATGGTTCTTCCCCAACTTCAAAGTATCGCTAAGCTTTTTCATGCCTGCATCATCCTTGTCAAGGGAAATGTGGAAAGGGCAAGCCAGCCGAGGCACTCCGTATCGGATTAAGAGCTTCTACTCCGTACGAAATACAGGGATCATAACTACGCAAATGTATCACCAATGCGCAAGCATGGGTTAGCATGTGGTTTTTAGGATGAAGGCGGCAAATGGAGAACGATAAGGCCCGTCTTCCCGTATGGCGGAAATAAGGTAAAGCAAGGCAGTGGCTCATTTGATTTATGTATCAGGAAATATGACTAAAGAGGGCGTCCGCTACGCTGATACAAAAACGGGCCGAGTGACGCGGGACGAACGAAGGATCTAGAACAGGATTGGCCCCAAATTGAGACGATCCCATTCCCTTAGAGCTGCAGCAATAGGATAACTATCCAAAATGTACGGAGCACATATGTATGTTTCACCTGTGACGTGTTTTCCTGTCGTTTCGGCTATCCCTGAAGCCTCTCACCGGGAAACAATACGGGAAACTTCGGCGATCAAATTCGGGAAAACCTCATATTTATAAAGGATTGATAGTACTTAGCTATCTTATCAAGGTAAAGCCATTTGTACTCCGTATACGGAGTAGATATACATATACCAAATAAATACATACCTAGTGGACCTTTTTGAGTCCCCCTTCACCCTCTTGTGTGGGCTGGGAAGGAATACTCCGTATATCTCCATTGATACGAGTTCTTAGGTTTCCATCGTAAATTAGTACAGTCCGGATGGTTATCCCGTGGAAAACTTTTTGCCATTGTATATACAATTTCGGCATTTGGAGGTACGATCCCCGTAAAGTGTATAACTATATACAGAAGCCAGTCAAGAAGGGAAAAAAGAAATATAACCAGCTCGGCAGAATAATTTAAAAGGAATAAAATTCCCCTCCTCCTCTTCCTCCTCCTCCCGTCACATGGAGCCTGGTACACCCATAAAGTGACTCTCCTGATCTTGGAATCCAGGGACGTCCCATATTCCAGTCATATCAAATGGAAATCCCTCCATTGTGCCAAATGTGCCAGATATAGACATCATATCGCCAACTATGTCGTTATGGCATGGCGTTTCAGGCAACGGCATGCCGATTGACACGGGTGTGCCACTTGGTTCGCAAAGAGGACCAGGCGCCGATTGTGAATCTTCTGGATTTATCCCTGGGTGTTTGCTCAATATTCTTTCACAATGATCGAGGCACATGTCCGCAACATCCCATTCGTGCTCCAGACGAGCTTGTCGGAGGACGCCTAGGAAGATATCCACATTTGCCAGGCAAGATCGTGCAATATCCGCATCGGAGGTTTCCAATGCGCAACGAAACAAGAACGTGGCCGTGGATGTTAGATGGTATGCGCTATCTATGACGACTGTTAGTTCATCCCTTGTTGTTTTATGGTAGCGCCCGGATGCGGTTCTACTAAACATACAAGACATCCAAAATTCCTGATAATTTGGTCTTTTAAGAGAACGCATGAAATGAACGATATCTTCAGCTGCTTTTCTACATTCTGTCTGGAAATACCGACGTGCTTCAGGGTTCGAATTTTCTAGGTGGTTTATTTCCTATTCAAAACAGTCAGTTCGTCCTTCACTGCCAAAAAGAAGTTGAGCGCACTTGAAGTTCTATCCGACAAACGAGCATCTTTACGGATAGGAAAGCTAGCTGTAAGCTACTTGAACCGGACGTCGGAATACAGTTTTCATTTTGAGGGGATCTGAGCCACTCTGGGAGCGAGTCCTCCCATCTGTCTAACTCCGTTCGCATTCTCCTTACTGTCTTGGACGTCTCTTTCGAGTTCTTTGGTTGCAGCCCATACACTAATGGGAGTAGATCGCCAAGAATTTCAGTAAGGCGACACAGAAATATATAGCCGTGTGCTGCTCTAAATCTTTGTTGCGAGGCTCCAGAATGAGGCACCAGTGTTTCAATGGTCGGGAGCGGCACGTCATAATGATTTCGCGAAATCTGGGGTGGTACACCATGTCCTGAACTCGCCCTAGTAATATATCAGACTACTGTTTGGCTATATGATGCGGCGGGATTATCTACCATCGATCATGTATCACTACCGCCCACCAAAGCCGAATGCGATTGTTTTTTTCCGATGGGGATAATTTCCAGTTGCTAGGGTCACGATTGAGGCCAAGGCAGTGAGATAACGCTACTGTCCGTCCGGTGTTAATGGCGTTTCCGGTCATTGAGAATATTGGCCGACCAGTTAAATCGATCAATGCAGCACTCAGTGTTGACAGGCCAGGGGCAGAGAATTCTTCATGGAGCGCGGCAACGGCAAGATTTACCGCATATCTGATATCAGGTTTGGGGTGTGGAGCCAGAACTGGTGATTGATTCCAGTAAATAAGGGACATGGCATATACTTGACATAACAGTGGTGGAGGCAAGCTCCCGTCTGAAGCCTTATAGGCTTCCATGAACATCTGGTCATCGAAAATTGGAAAAGATGCGTTGATTTTTTCCAGAAAGCTTACGGTTGCTAACAGTTAGCACGAGAAACGCAGTTGGAAGGATTGGTTGAATACATACATCGTGACAAGGTCATGCTTGAAAGGACCCAAGATTTGCTCGATGACATCTTTCTGGTTCTCCCCAGGAATACCACATGGTCGTACTCCTTGCCTTCGCCGGGCGACTGTTGTGTAGAGAATGGGTTTTCGTGGGTCGTTGGAGTACACATTGTACGGGGTCTTGATATCGGGGCTTTTCTTCGACCTTTCAGAAGGCATATAGCGCTCAATAACTTGAGCGTCATCTGCCGCGACGGGTCCAATAATATGTACAAATTCATTCATGGACCCTCCGAGTCCATTGTGCCTGTTACCATCCGCACTTTGGTCGTCTCTATGTGTAGTTGGATGTTGCATTGCGGTTGTTGTTACAGAAGGTATGTTTGTAATGGCCTGGGCTGGTTGCTCGTCCAAGGGTGAATCATCCAACTTTCTCTTGAGTTTGCGCTGGGTAGTCGGCGGTGGGGACCACTGTTTCGTCTCACTGTTGCTGCCATGGAATGAGGATGTTGCTGGGGCAGTGTCCTCCTTGTAGTGACAATCGGCTCCCTGAATTCTGCATAAGAGGCAAGACTGGCCCGGTAAGTCCACGGTGCAACGGGATTTTCGTTTCCGACACAAGTCGCAGGCCCTGACTTTGTGTGACCGATATGGCCGGGACCCAGTGCTGATAGTATACGCAGGCGCCCCTTTGGCGGTGGCCGCTGAGGACACAGTAGAAGAAGCTGACATAATATTATAATACAAAATTTAACACTCTCATGCATGCGACATGACCATCAGCAAGCTCCGCCGGTGGTGTTGCTGAAAGTCCGTGGGTTGGCACGGCTAGTGCGGAGAAGCATGAGCCAACGGCCAAGGCAGTTAAAGCGAAGCGAAGAGCCCGAGCAATGGCGATTGTGGGCAGCGCATCGGCCCATCATGGTAGTACACGGTCTGCCATGGCATTCGCATCGTTTGAGGGCATCTGGCGGCGCATTGAGAAGTGGTGGATGATGCTCGGCTCCAGATGAAAAATAGCCGGGCAGCAGAAATGCGACGCTCGGCGATCGCGCACGCTGATTGGCTGTAAGCTGAGGTAAGCCGCTTAGCATTACTCAACTAGCTAACCGTATTTGAAATAGTGCATCACGTGTAAGCCAAGACCCGTGGACTTGGTACATTTGTGGGGGCTAGGCTATTTTTGGCAGCTGGTTGACGTTGACATCGGGACAACTGACGTCCATAGCGGACAGAGACAGCTTCCCTGTTCATTTTCTCTTTTTCCTGCGCACTCTGATGGGGCTGTCAGTGTTTGGAAGGCGTGCAGCAGACGCTAATGGATAATGTGCAGCTGGAACGCCGTTTAACAAGACTATGGAACCCGACCCTTCCTTGCAGCCACGAAAGGAGACCCATGGTGGCCAGCACCACGTCGGTGTGTCGAATTCAAGGCGTCGAGCCAGTGACCCAGGGCTGTTCAGAATATGCACTCCTCTGTCCTGCGGTGATGCGGGCCATGGCCACCTTTCAAACGAAGCAGTCGGAGCTCCCAATATATTTCACAATTTACCTGAGAACGTCATCGAACGGTTTGTTACACCTCCTTAGTATCCTATTGTACTATTGATATTTGCTCACTGCTTGTATTAGCATTCTATATGCCGTGGATCCTAATGTCTTTGCTTCTCTCGCGGTACTTAACAGGAAATGGAGATGCGTCTCTGCTTCCTCAAAGCTCTATTATCACCATCTGCTGGCATGCCGTGTTTCGGGTTCCGCAAGTCAGGATCCTGCTGCTGGATTGTCGCCATCCGATAATCTCAACGTTGTAAGAAGTAGATTCTTACGTGAGGCTAGAAGAAATACTTTCGAAGTGTTTCTCAGGCCAAAGCGCACCTTAGTCAATTTGATTTCAGCTTCAGCCAATTCGTCTTCCGCATTTCCGCAAGGTGAGGCTTTTCGATTTGAATTTTCTACCAGCGGACGTGAGCTCCTAGCATTGAGCTCCTCCCGGATTTTTGTCATTGAGCTAGCTACAGATCCGATTTCCATACGTTATGAGCTGAAACCTCTACGGCGTCCTCTCACAGCTACAATAGCTGGCGATGGCCGGATGTTGGCCGTAGCATGTTCTGAACTTCAGGCACACATATATACGCTTGCGAATGGCTGCCCAGATTTAATACAGAGCATTGTGTTGAACGAAAATCCGCGTACACTTGCTTTCTCACCAGATGCCGCTGTTCTTGCCATCGCTTACAGTGGGGGTATTGAAGTACACGAAATTGGGGAAAACGTGCTACCAACGGCCCACAGAGCAGCCCGATGTCAGGGTATCCAATCTTTGACGTTCTGTCACGAAGGATCAATGCTACTTGGAACTTCAAACGACTTTCGAAATTCTAATTTAACTATAATCTCACCGGCATTATGTATAGATCCAGATCCTAATCTCACAATGCGTGAACTAGAAAATCGAATGTGGACGTCACAAATACTATTCCCCCAAGTGCATACCGGCAACAGCCATGCGGTGCTACTTCCGTCTATAAGAGGTGATAACGGCTCACCGCTACTTGTTGGGTACCATGTTGAATCAAAAGCTTTTCGACTCGCTTCAATCGATGATCCAAACACGAGTACGATATACTTCGTAGGGCCGGGACCTGACATCGAAAGAGATGAGCCGAAACCATCATTTTTACCCACTGCTTGTGCAAGTGGAGAACATTTAGCTGCAGGGTTCTATGAATCTGAGCTATGGATTTATGGTATTCCTAACCTAGAGGATCGCGAAATAACCAATCCGTCGGTCCAAAGTGCGCCTAATATAGAAAAGGAACCCCCCTGGCAATCAAACCTGGCACCTACAAATTTCAACCGGATCAAGAAAACAATTGAAGGGACGAAATTCTTCGTTCATGGCTCTCCCTTGCGACTACCAGAGGGGGTGTCCGGCATCAAATGGGTTCAGGGCTCTGGTTCTGACCACATGGACGCGTTCGAGACCAGCCGCCTGGTGGCTGTCGCTCCTGGTGGTGTAAGATCATGGTTAGGATCATCAACAGGAGATACTTTACCTATTGATGGAGGGAGGATTTTGGTTCTTGATTTTGCATACTCCTTATCGAACGGTCGAGAAGCTGAACTTACGATCGAGGTAGGCGAAGCAGAGCCAATCCAGTTACCCGAGCCTGGTTCAAATCTGGATCAACAAGTTGAGCTTGAGAGAAGGAGATCGCGTATGAATCGTATTGGTGGCCTTGGAGACCCCCGAACTTGCAACATCCCTTTACCAGAGCCACGAATTCATTATCGACAAACTACTGCGTCCTCTAACCGAAGAGGGGCCCAAAATATTCACCTCCTGGAAAATCCGTACAATAACTCGTCACCGAGATCTCATGATACTCTAAGCAGAGCAGCAACGGCGGCAGCCAATCACCTCGATCCACGGTACGAGAACGCCCGGCAGATACAGATTGATACCAGTCGATCTGTAGCACCTTTACCACAGGAAAGTGATGGAGACAACTGGTCACCGCCCCCGCCACCGTATACTCCTAACGCCGAGTCTCCACTACCAGAGCATCTTCAAAGGACCCTCATGCCTCCCGCCACAGATCCGACTCTGGGAAATGAGGCAAGCAACTTTCGACTAAGGCGATCAAGGACATCGCGCTTGGCACAGGCGGTGATCCATCGCTCTTCTACATGGGCAAGCCGTGATTCAAGTTCTCAAATAGCGAATTTTCAGCTCGAGAACGCGCCGTTGGTTTCCCGGCGAGAGCTGCTGCAGCTACCCAGTTTGAACACGAATCAACCCTCAGCAGACTGGCCTTCCCAGACTCAAAGTGCCACGTTACCATCGCTAGATCCGGTCTCTGCTTTTCCGAGAACATACAGCTCTACGAATTCGAGGGCTCCGCAGTTCCCCGCCATGTATGAGGAATCTATTAGCCGTGCGCCAATGAACCAACTTCATTCGGAAAACATTCTCAATACTGACCCCCCAGTACCCGTACTGAATGCGGCCCAGGCTCCTCTTGCACCACTTGTGGTGCCTCCTACACCTGAAATACTCCCAATATCCAGGTTTTCACCAGATACGCCACCACTTCGAGGCTCCCCCGAGAACGCTGAATCTCGCAGGAGCTGGTATACTGTTCAGCCACAGGTAGTACCTTTGGTCGAAAACCCTGCTCGTCCCCTGACACCATTCCACGATCAGGCAGTTCCCAGTGGTTTGCGGACTCACTCTCACAACGACCATCATGCAGGCCCAGAGCATGCTCTAGGTGGCCGCGATCATAGATCCCAAAGGTCCCGGTCGCGCTCGCATCGACCGCTACCCTTAACAAATCATGGCCTTCGTGATAGACACACCGGGCGGATAATCCTTAGTTCACCATCAGAGACCAGGATAAATGAAACCACCCCGGCGGGCGAGTGGTTAGAACCAGGAAATAGTCGAAAAAAGGAGGGGAAATGTATTATGATGTGATGCTTACTCTCATTGATATAGTTCTTTTGGTCTTTTTTTATATTGCCCTAGCTGCAAAGCACTGTTTGGCATTTGACGGAATTTACTCCTGCAATGAGATGTGAAGTTTATGTTAGATACCTTGAATCACTGTACGGAGTACAGAGTACACCATTTGCATTTGTTTGTTTGTTCATCTTGGGATGCTTCTCTGGGTGCAAGATACCCTTCATATGTTGTTCCTTTGCTTATTTTGGGGTTTGAGTATAGCATTTGGTTCTGCAGTTATGGAGTATGGGGAAGTTGCATTATTGATATAAATGCATAACTAGCACAAACCCGCATGAATGAAGTCTCAAATGATTTTTCTGGTGATGGCGTTGCAAATGTATCCCTTGCTTGGCTGCAGTTTTCATCCACCTTTTATAGTTACATAATTAGCAATCAGGCTTCAACCAAACTAGCCTGCTCTGGGCGGTCCAACCAGCATACTTCGTACATCAAGCCACCTTTTTTCCACCCAACCAGACGCCATGATGGTTACGGAGCATACATGTTTCGTCTGCGACCCGACGAAAGTCATGTGCGAGACACAGCCGACCACGACATCCGAAGCAACTAACATCCGAGGCACTGCCGCTGGGGGCGCTTTTGCCTCTGCCTTTTACGGGCTGTGCTAGTTGAGGCTCCCTGCTTTGCATTCAGCCTCTAGTCGGGGCGACGGCACGCAGTTGAGAACGAGAGTGTAGTTTAACTACAAAGTTAAAGCTTTTGGTTCCCTGCTTTGAGCAGTTTGGATCTTACCAAACTAGTTAAATGATACTCCTCGAATTTCGCTATTGCACCTGTACTTTTGCTTGGTTTCTTAGGCAAAGGTGATTATGCTTAAAAACTCTTCAGATGGACAACACTCCAGCGCCTTGCCGCCCTATTCCGAGCCTCCTGCTGCAGATGCCAATGGCAAACAACACCTGGGACCTGGAGTTCGGCCACTGAACCTAGACTTGCCCACAGATCAAAGCAGTAAACAATCTGCAGAAATTACTTTAGACGAGTGTATTGCTCATTTGAAACTACTCGCTGCCTTCGCAGATCTTCGTGACACCATTTCCCAGTCAGATGGGCTTTTCGGCCTAGAAGATGCAAACTTCGTCGATCCAAATACTCCTAAAGACCAAAGAGATACAATCATTGCACTTGTTCGGGAGAAGAGATGGGCAATATATGTTGCGCGGGCGGTAAGTAGGTTCGAAGTCTGGTTTCTTGATGTGCTACAAGAAGGACCTGGATCATGTCAAGGCAGGATTACGATACGGGATATAGAGGAGAACTCGGGGTGGGAACATTTCCCAAGTTGGTCAAAGAGGATATCTTGGACGGCAGATTCTCTGCCCCCTTTGGGTGAGCAATTCAAGATTCCTCTTTTCTAAATCCATAACTCACAGTTTTGTCTCTGAGACGTCCTTATGGTGTGGCATGCGTATATGCTTAATCCGAGATTCTTCCTTGAGGATTGCTTACGATTCGGCAAGATGAGTTTCTGGGCCTCCGGCATGCCATGGGCCGTGTTGAATGCCTCGATTGACAACCACACCTTTGACTACGCTCCAGGAAGGGAGGCTCGAAGCAATTTCGAGCAAAAGACTTCATTATCGTGGGAAAGTTTGTATGACCCAATTTATAAGATTATCAGTTGCCCAGGATGCGGAACGCCACAAGAGGCATCTTGGGTAGGGGACGTGACGCGAATCGGCACGATCGAGATGCCGTTTAAATATTGCAAAGGCTACGCGGACCATAACTTTCAGCTCTCATGTGGAAAATGCAGGCTAGTATTCTATCACGAGAATCTCCACGCAGCCAAGTTTCTCCGAGACATGAAGGAGTTATCCGATTTTAATATTCCAATGCCAGGCACTGTACTTTCCATGGAAGGGGTACCAAAACGGCCGGAGAATAAAAGCCATTCTTTCTTATTCCCGAATAAATTAATATTAAATGCCCTTCATCAACAACTGTTGCGGACACTGAATTTTCGTTTGAATCCTCATGCAACGATGAAAGACGTTCGCTCACTGATTGAAACGGCGATCGACTCCAGGCGTACCATATCCCAGGCAAACCGTTCAATCTCAGGAAGGCTTATCCTGGAAGAGAAAGTTTCTGTTCGGAGAATGATGTCACGATACTGGGACAACTCTTCGCCATTTGCCCTTGACCTTATCGGTGCTGTGATTCGCCAAGGCGTTTTTATAGATAAGATGGACAACATTGACTGGATCCACTCTCCTGCTCTAGATGCTACAATGTCGCGTCTAATTCAGAAATATAAAGTATTCTTCAGAATTATGGCTGATAACCCGGGGAAAGTGGCAGTCCCAACACTTGACGTCGACCTAGCCTGGCACACTCATCAGCTATCGCCTCAGCGTTACTTTGTCTATTCCGTCAAAACGACCAAAGGGAGGTTTGTCAACCATGATGACAAGATAGACCAGCATAGGCTATCGGATGGATTCGCGTGGACCTCAAAAATGTATCAAAAATACACCAGGGGAGAAATATACAGCGAGTGTACCTGCTGGTACTGCGAAGCGGTCCGACAGTCCAACGGTACCAATAGCCTGTTCTCAAGTGCCCGCTCCAATGCCATTGCACTTCATGATCAGCCAGACATCACTTCCGATCCCACGAAAAACCCACACATCTCGGCTCACAATTCTGTTTTTCCTAGAGGAGACCCACGCCAACACATTACATTCCTCAAGCTACAACGAGACCACGAACGCGCCAAACGGCGGTGGGGGAAACGCAACAAGAGCAAGGACAAGGGCAAAAATGGGACTACTAGCAATAGTCACTATTCTACCACCGCCATGGTGTATGGTTGCCCCATTGTAGTGCCGTTCTATCTCCCATATGCGCCAGATCCATCCGTGCATTGTGATATGTACTCCTCTAATCCACTATGTATGGCGGCACCCTTCGCAATGCAAGGGAATTGCGTGGCGCACACATGCGGATCCTTCACAGCTACGGGAGGTGCTTGTCAAGGAAGCGCTGGTGGCGGATGCGGGGGTTCCGGAGGCTGCGCGGGAGGCGGAAGTGGCGGAACTGGCGGAGGCTGCGGAGGCGGAGGCGGAGACGGAGGCGGCGGAGGGGGTTGTGGAGGTTCTTAGGGCGGGATTTTCGTCCCATTACATCTTCTCACGAAATTGGACGATAGCTAATTTTGGAACTCTTAATGCCAAATGCCCAGCCTTATGGGCTAGGGCATCGAAAATGACTATCGTAACCATCGTTGTGAATTAAGAAACATCATAGTAAACTCGAAAGACTGAAAAAAGAGAACATCCGTTTATAGTCGTATGTATGTAGCTCTTCGATACCTTTGTGAGCCATTGTCTCGTAATCAAGTCAGATAGCCGTCTCCGGCCGCCCAAAATAAAGATAGAAAGAAAACGCTTTAGGCCGCACCGACTTGAACCTCGGCGATTGATGGACGCAAGAAAAATAAAACAATGAGATTGTGGTCAGGAAAGAGCTAATCAACGTTATGTAACACCTTGAGCTTCAATACCCTGACCTACACCATAAGGATATGGAAAATCGACCAAACCGTCCAAAATCCAGTTGAGAGGATCAAAAACCTCATAGTTTGGTTCTAGAAACCCGCTGGGTAAACCCATGGTGGCCGAATTTCCCCCGGTAGGTGTTCCAAGACTTCCAATTGCCGCGAGGGGAGCTGGCGGGGGGGGGGCAAGGCTAGGGTCCGCACTTCCTAAAGCTCCCGGGGTAGAAGCCGAGGTGCGCAGGTGAGATATAGAAGAGGAGGAAGAGTCGCCGCCAGAATCTGGATTTGTTGGGTTTCTTAGGTAGGCTAATAAAGGTGTCAGCTTGATGCTAATGGGGAGCGCACATGGAAAGATTATAACTTACTCTCTAGGTTCTTCCCGCGTGCCTGAAAATCTTCTCTCCAGCGCCAAACAGAGTCATACACAAGCGACATGCTCATGCGACAACGGACCTTTAAGCGCAGAGTGTCGTCCTTTTCCGATTGACCTGCCCCACTGCCCTTATTGTCCGCTTGTTGGGGCGGTGGTAAACTTCCCATCTTCCACAATTGGGCTAGTACTTCAGCTAAGCGCACAGGCAGGTCATTGTTTGAAACTGACATGCTACGCAAAGCCCAGATGGTGCGGTTAAAGAGTGACTTCGTGTAGTCCATATCAATGTGGATGGCAAAGAAGCTTTTGCACAGTTTAAGCAGCGTGAAACCGGCAGCAAGAGTCATCTGGTAGATGTAGTTTGGGCTATAGCTTAGACCAGGTCCTACTGTAGATTCTAGACCTAAAGCAGTCTCGAGAAAGGCAGTAGTTGCGACGTAAAGAGACGAAAGCCCCTGAAGATAATTTTTGGTAGTAGGGTCATCGAAAAAGATAGCTAGATGCAAATGCAATCCGGCAGCTCGAAGGTATATGCGAGTGATTGCTACGGACATATGGTAAGTCAAATAATTTTTTCTGAAAGTGCAGGGTAATACATACGATCGTGCTCCAGCAGAAGCCTGCTTTCCAGATCTTCAAAATCTCTTGAAAGAACAGATGTCATAACCGTACGTTCATCGTCATTTACCACGCCGACAGGATCACGATGGCTACTGTAAAGAGCTTTTGTCACCTTGTCGGAAAATTTTTCTATTTCCAATCTTGATTGAATGTCTGCGGGTAGCCTGAAAGTTGGGTCGCCTGCATTCCTGGAGGATAGTGTCCAATCGAATAACGTTATTGGAGGTTGACCATACCCAGTTGCAACCCTTTTCGGTTTGAATGAGCCAAAGAATCAGCCAAGGTAAGGTCGTTTTTGGAAGTCCATACCTTTGAGAGACAACATTACAGATTGCCCATGTCCGAACACGATCTTTCAATTCACCTTCTCTGAGTTCCACTCTGAACTTGGTGAAATCCTGTGCATGTGATGGGCGATGTAAGCCGATCTGCATGGCGATATGCATCATAATACCGCACAGCATGAAGGTAGGATCTGTGGATGTACTGCTTGTTGGGAATGGCCAAGTACAAAGTAGAGCCAGTGCTTTAATAATATGGTAACTTTGGGGCACATCAGCTATAGTACTCCACACAGATCTCATCACAGGCCCTGAAAGCGCATTTAGAAAAAGAGCATCGCTTTGATATCGTCGAGCACCGACACTGATAATAGTCCAGAATAGCAAAGGGAATGTCGAAGCATAATCATCAGGCGACTTATCACGATCGAGGAACGGAAGGAAAGGGTGGTAAAATGTGAAAAATCTGTGGGCCTGTTAGGTTGGGGGGTCTCCCTGATGGAAAATATTATGATCACGGACCTGTCGAATAGCTCAGCGACTTTTTCCGCAGAGATAGAGACATCTTCAATTCGTTTTTGTGGTATCGATTGTCCGCTAGAGCTTCTAATGTAACTAGATGAATCCAATCCTGACCTAAGGTCAAGGAGGGATGCAACAGCTTCATGAGGTCTCATATAATCATCAGCGGGAAGCATGGCTGAGCTTTGATTGACTGTCCTTGGAGTGGTAGTATAGCTTATTGGCATGGGTGGGGAGCCACGGCTGGATGGAGAGTGTTGGTGAGAGACAAACTGCTGTGAATTGGCTGCAGCATTGACGTTGGCTATTTGTTTCCTGAGCTCAATGAGCTCACGCTCCATCTGAGCATTCCTGCTTCTTTTTCCAATTCGTTTGAAGGTAGATTGGATTTTGCAATCTAGCTTTAACCGGCGACATCGAGTGCATATGGTAAACGGTTCTTGGATCACGTCACAGCGTAACTGTATCAATATCAAGCATCTGTTAGTTAGCACCAGCCAAGGCTGCTTGTCAACACGCCAGATGTTCACCTTTTGTTGACGACATTCATTACAGGCACGTTTAACTGGGTGCTTCTTCTTGTCATCCTGGGCCTCCTCCTCCCCATCTGCACTCCCTGGCGAACCACTCTGGCCACCAATGGAAACATGGCGCCGCTTTCCCGTGATAGGTCTGCCTGCAGCAGCGCCGCCTGGTGGGTTTGTGGCACCTCTCAACGGGCTGACGATGAAGTCGTTATTGCTTTCAGACGTAGTGGGTCGCATCTCTGCAGCCCTTATCCCCTTAGGGATCCCTTGATTGACGGCCCCTGTACTACCTCCGACACCGCTGCCATTAGGGGCCCCGACGACAATGCCACTGGCCCTGTGGCTGTCGGCGGTCAGGGCCGCCACACTGGCTGCTGCGCTTAAGGTAAAGCCTAGAAATAATAGCTTTGATTGAGAGTTAAGGAAGCCCCTTGGCCTAGCGTCGCCTTCAGCCTTGCGCAGGGCTGGTGAGGTTGGTGGTCGTTTCGTTTTCTCGCTTTTTGGCGTTTCCAGAGCGGAGCGGGGGATCAGCCCTACCCGCGCCCAGTGCCTGGGCCTCTCGCACACTCACTTTAATAATAAAAAGCAGCCCAGTGGCTCTTGCGGAATGTAGATTAAGCAATCTTGGGTCTGGCAATCGGCCTCAGATTGATTTGTCGACAGTTTGTTTGGCTGTGAGTCAATCCGATGTCGGTCACGGGTGCGGGCCAGCCGGTGGCCTGATTGGGGCTAGCTGGTCACGTTTCCTGTTCCTAGGAGCTATTCCTGATAAGGTTAGTGTTATATGTAACTTAATAGGTATCTCTGCCTACCTAACCTAGCCTACCTAGGGCACTCTTGTACGGAGTTGCCCAGCTCTCCCCAACCGCTCGACATTATATCGGCCGTCCATCGCAACTCATCCTTCAAACACGCGCCCGCAACCCTCCCGTACCATGGCCTCGAAGTCGCCTAACCGCCTTTTACCCAAGCAACCTCTCGCAAAACCTTCTCGGCACTGCCCCCAGCTGCTAAATTCCACCTGTAAAAGTGCGGAGTTTCAGTTTCGGCTCAATCATGCTCAACCGACCGGGGGTGCAGACCTCCCAACACAATACCAGAAGCTACGAGAGACGCCTGTCATCGAGTTCGACGCGTCTAGGGTGCTTCAGCCTTTTCTCGATGAAGAAAAGGTCTTGGCTGGGCTGAGAAAGCTGGAGGCTACAAAGTGATGGCTACGCGGGCTTCGGAATATGAGAATCTTACACCCAAATGAACATTCACACGAAATGCGGACCACGGACACCTGATCCTGCTAATAGCTCTCTACTGAGCGACCTTGTAATCCGCCAACGTTTTGAACTTCTACCGGGTTTGGCTGCTGGTAACTGTGTTCTCCTTTGGTATTGAGCGATTGAGCTATGTCAAGCAATGTTCGACTCCAGCCTGTCTGGTCATCACTCGCCAGGCTACATTTTTAAGTTTCCCACTCTTTTATTATATTCCAGCGCTCTGCTACTATGTCAACGTGATGATCGTCAAGCCTCAGCAAGCTCGCCTCTAAAACCGCTTAGGCTAGGACGGTTGCATTGCAACTTCTTAAGCCAACCGTCACTTTCACTAGAACAGTTGCCATGGTTCACTACGATGCACTTCCACGCGCACATTATTACGCACCAACAACATCATATCATGAAGATGTAACAACAGAGTGCTGGGTATGTAACTACAAGCAAGGACCCCTAGTCTGTCGCCCCGCCTACGCAAGCACGCATACAGTTCTTGGGCTGTGGAGGTGTAGAGGCGTCCTGCGCTTGGTTTCTTGTTTCCCTGTGGGCCATGAAATTTTAAAGCGACCCTAATGGTCACGTGAAACTGGAGTGCAATCGCTCCCATTGGCCACTTTTTTCCGGGTTCCGGAGTAGGCCTGCGCTTCAGGTAAAGAAGGTTTTTATCCACTTCTGTCCGGAGTACGAAGGACATACCTAATAATACCCAATCGTTCTGCTGCTGCGACATGGTTACTCGTTCCTCGGCTGTGGCTAAAAAATCGATCTCAATTCTCCTCGCCTGTGGGGTGGTCACTGGGATTGTGTCAGATTAACTATCCACTAGCTACTCCGTACTACACACTCACTAAGTAGTTAGTTAACTGGTTATCTGTCAGGGGGCGGCACAAGAACCACTTTTAATGACTGCACACATAACCAGTTGTGCAGAACAATATCCTGTCAGGCATCTATATGAGTTCAGTATCGGAATCTATATGCCAAAAAATAGTTAGTATGGTTGTTTTGGGCAGCGATATTGATCCAAGATCCCAGGATTGATGTGTATACTGTCTTTGCGCATATCTGTGCATTATTGTTACTTCAAGCGGCGATCCCGAATTATGAGAGCCATCGACGCCGGGGTAAACCCCACTCGGGTTAAAGTACCTGACGGCCTTGGGGCAGTTGCATTATTGCCTACTTGACCGGAAGCTGAAAGAGAGAACGGCTTTTGTCTTTGTGTCCCTCCTGTCGAAGTATGAGCCGTCTTTACTCTGTATAGTGTGAAACACATTTTGAATGTTCATAACAAATACCTCAAAATGTGTTGTAATTTGGCTCTAAAAACCAGGTCTCTGCAAAACTGTTTTGCAAACCCTGCCTTGGCATGTTCTCTATGTATCCGCTGTTGACGGCATCCATACCACGCTGTCGCTTTTTAAGTTCTATGGCAAATGCTAGGAGAATTTTCCTGCATGGATGCAGGATTCCAAAGAGAACCCTAGGCTAGTTGGGTTACAACGGCCAGCTAGCCCCTCTTCGATCATTTACGCCCTCCACATAGTCAAGCCTTACGCTAATCATTTAACAGGTCCCTGAACAGCCGGGACTGCCTCTTATATGAAAGGCTCAGCTTCAGCTATGCTGAACCACTCTTTTCTGAAACCGGGTCTCTCAGGGGGGAGTGATACAGCTCACGGAATTATATTGTCAAGAATATCAAACAGCAATATCCCAATTATTCAGCCATGAAGACCTTTGCTGTGTTGGCGCTGAGCGTCCTCGTCTCTCCTTCAGCGTGGGCTAGACCCACAAATGAGGCAGAGATGTGTTTGATTGAAACCGGGCCTAGCCAGTCGCGGTGGGTTACAGAGGCAAAGAAGATGGAAATGATAAAGGTATGGGCCAACTTAAACAATATTAATAATATCTCGACACAAGGCAAAATATGCCATATGTCCATGAAGTAATAGATGATATGGGATAGCGGCGCTAACCAATATGATTATTTCAAGGAAAACATCAATTTTATGGATATTACCGACTTGCCCGCTTCCTTAAGGTCCCAGCCTGTAGAGCAAATGACTGTACAGTTTCCAACGCAGTTGATGTTTACCAGCGAGGGAATGCCCCTAGCCAACAAAATATCCCAAGCAGTCATGCGAAAGGACCTTGAGAAACTGACTAGCTTCCACAATCGATATTACAGGTCACAAACTGGGCTTCAGTCCGCAAACTGGGTGTTTGATCATGTTCATGGGATCATCAAGTCGGCAGGGGCTTCAAAGGTCAGAGTGGAAAAATTTAGACATCCTAAGTGGTTGCAGCCCAGTGTCATTATCACTGTTCCTGGCAAGAGCAATAGCACCATCATTCTTGGTGCTCATATGGATAGCATTAGCGGAACTTCCGTCGAGGACGCCATGACGAGCCGTGCACCAGGAGCCGATGATAATGGAACTGGTACTGTTATTGTCATGGATGTTCTTCGCGCTATGCTCTCTTCCCAAAAGGTTCTCAGAGGAGAGGCAGAGAACACCATTGAACTTCACTTGTACGCTGCTGAAGAGGCTGGGAACCTTGGATCCCTGGAAATCTTTAAAAAATACAAGGCTGAAGGCAGGGACGTAAAGGCCATGATGAACAAGGATATGGCTGGTTTCACCAACGGCTGGAAGAAGGCTGGAAAGCCTGTCGCTTTTGGCGTGATTACGGACTTCACCAATGACGCACTGAACGACTTCGTCCGACTTGTCATCAAAGGCGTGAGTAAAACCCATGTATCCTTTTGGCACCCAATCTGCCTTTATTTCAATTTCGCTAACTATCTGATCTTCTTTTTAAAAAAGTACACCAGGGTCCCTTACGTTGACGGTAAATGTGGATACGGTTGCTCAGATCACGCTGCTGCCCACAGGTTTGGGTACCCATCTGCGCACATACACGAGTCGACCTCTCAATACAACAACAAGGACCTTCACACTATTAATGATGTGATTGAACTTGTTGATTTTGGCCACTGCGCTAACCACGCAAAGTTGGCAATTGGCTTTCTCTATGAACTTGCAATGAACAAATTCTAAGGGAAAACACTTAAACCTCCATTAACCTATTAAACAGTAATCTGAACGCGTAACTGAACTGCGTACACAGGTAGCCACTGTCTTTGAGAGGATTGATTTGTGAAGTTTTGTATATAAGCATGCGGAAATACGCATATTTTGCAGGATATGGTTGTTTGGGTAATGTATACAATCCCTTTTTTTACATCGGCTCTCCACCTGTAGCTAGAACCAAATTCTTGGCTCGAGTTGCTGCAGGTCTGCATTACACATGCGCTGTGCGAACTATTTACAATGTGCAGATGTGACAAATAATCTATCAAATGTCGAGTTATCAATTCATTACCTGCAAAGAGTCATGTACCAAGACCATAATACTCATCAATCTTTTCAACATATTCGAAACAAGTCGCGACGACACAAAAACGGAAATATCATCAAGGTTAAATGTGCAAAGCCAAATAAATGGACAAATTCGCCAAATAGCAAATGCGCCACCACATAATGGAATTCCAGGTAGGCTCGTATCAGACATAACACGCAGTCAATCATTTTCTCAGGGTATTTTGAAAAATAGCGGAAATTCATCAAAGCACGCAGCTCTCCACCATAAATCACAGAAAATATCATATCACATAGAAGTCGTCATATCACCGTAATTCATAATATCACACATCATATAAGGAAGAGGCTGCAACGTCCCAAGCAGATTAGGTTGATTGAATGCATCGGGGCGCGATTGAGTTCGGATCCACCGTCACTCTGTCACCAATAATTCCACGCAATTTTTGTCTTCTGGCCTCAATCTTCTCGCGCTCTCTCTTTCGCCGAACACGCTGGACCCAGCGTTGCATCTCGCGCAGGGATAGGAAAGGGGGCAGAGCATGGTGTTGCCGACCAGATAAGGACAACGTGGCGCTGACGACGCTAGTATGGCTAACATTCCTACGGCGTCGCGCCCGCAATCGAGCTCCGTTCGACACGCGTCGGACAAGAGCCATTGGGCCGCTCAGCAATCGTTTCTGTGGTATGCCTAGAGAATTGCTGATGCATTCATCGCTGCCAAGACTTGAGTGTTTGAGTGCGGGCTCGTCACGGGCGTCGGCGTCTTTGAAATCCTCCCAGAACCCTCGAGGTCGCCAAAGTGGATATAGCTTGCTGTCAATATCTTTGCCAGCTTTGCGGTTTTTAAATCGGTGAGCGGGCTGCCCCGACTCGCGGCCGTCCGCATAACGTCTATAAGTGAAACTACGTCGCAACGACTCCCATCGTCGTACCAACTCGTTGTTATTTTCTGTGGTGTTGCTATTTTTTTCGGGCGAGCTTGGTGGAGTGATTTTAAAAAAGGGAGGTCGTGGTCGTGGCGGAGGTCTCAGGTTGCGAAGCGGTGAGTCCACTTCTGTTGCTTGGCTTCCAGCGGGCATGTTCGATGTTCGATCTGCAACAGCCGCTCCATGGCCAGTCCGAGGCATACGTAACCGCTGGGCGGCATAAGGCTGCGCATACTGCTCAACAATCAAAAGTGATTTGTTGTTGTGCGCGAAAAAAGGCACAACACGAGCCTCTGAAATCTCAATAGGGCCAGGAGACAAAGACTGGATCGATGGTTGAAAGGGTGTTGTCGACAACGGAGTCTGCATACGTGGATCGTTACATTGGTGATCGGGGAAGAGATGACTTTGGTCATTATTTTCGGTTACGGTAAGCTCGGATGCGAGTTGCTTTTCACTACCTGGGGGATTAATGATCGGTATCAAATCTTCGGGTTTTTCGTTGGTTTGCTTGTTCAGAATAGGGTAGGTTTCCTGTACGGCTTCATACCGCTTCAAGCTCTCCAATGTAAGAGATGTCGTGCGCGATGCGTTTTTACTCGTAGGAGCGGACAAAGAGGACCGTCGTGTTGGTATTTTGGGCCTAGAAGTTGAAGCTCGCCGTGTGGCACCACCCGGTTTCTGTGCATAGGGTAAAGATTCTGAAAGCGTACGTCGCCGCTTCGGAATATCGAAAGGCTGAGAAACAGGCCCGTTATTGGGGGCTGTGGTCGGTCGACGATGTTCGGTCAAAGAACGGGTTTGTGAATGCGCTCTACCAAATAGAGTAGGCTTGGGTAGGCTAGACTTCAGGGATGACTGCCGTCGTGGAATCACAACAACAGGTATGATTTCTTCAACCTGCTTAGGTTTAGAGTAGACCGTAGATACGAATGAGAGAGTGTCAGATCCACTACTCCAACGATCGCAATCCGTAATTTGTATCGTTTTGCGAACCAAACGAGGCCCCTGTTCTGAAGTTCTTGATATCGAGGTATCACGGATCGACCGTGTCGTAGGCGAGCCCACAGAGCGAAGAGAGTCAGCTTTTCCAGTGTGTCTTAGAGTTTGCTTCTTCATAGGCGGAGAGTCAATTATGACTGCCTCGACGGTCGACGTGGCTGACAGCCCGGAAAGCCGGCAAGAATGGTTATCATATTCATCAGAGGGGAACCACCCAATTTCCTTTCCAAACTTCTCAATAGAAACTCGCTGCGCCCCTTTCCTAGAGTCCTTTACCCTTACGCGTAGAGATTTTTCCCGGTCTGATATGCATCCCAAGTCACGCACTGGGCGATCTGTAGCCAGAACCTTGGGCTGAGTTGCACCACCTTTAAAAGAATCCTTTGGTTTTCTTTGTTTCGGTAGCTGGAGTGACTTTGTCCGGGGTTCTTTCCAGTTCCCATCAAAAGAGGGAAAATAACGAGGGTCTGGATGCTCTGCCGTCGAAACATAATATGGACTACTCTCATGCGAACTATGGCCAGTTTGTTGAGGAATGCTGCTACGTGATTGCGGCGAAGACGGTAATCGACGCGAGTGTGGTGTCAAAGGGGCCACATCAAGAGGAAGTCCAGTATGCACGTCGTCGTCTGAAGAGAGAATCTCTCGCGCCGTCTGAAAAGATTCCGCTCTGGATGAGATAGACGGGAAATTTCGATTTTGCGTCAACCGCCTGCGCCCGTGCGATACAACCCGTGGAGGCGTAATATCCGGGGTGATGGGGTCTGTTTGACGGGTTGGTGTGGTGTTTACTGCTCCGTTAGAAGTCGGAATTTGGGACTCGTCGGAATCGGGAACCGGCGACGATTTCTTTCTAGGTTCCAATAGCGGTGATGGCGGTGTTGGAGGCGGAGCGGGTGTCTGTGTATGAAAAGCTTTTGTCAAGGCGTTTTCGGTCTGGGGCAGGTCGACATCAATATGTAAGGAATCTGAAAATTGTGCGGTGGCGCCATCTTTTGTACTTGAAAGGGGGTTGTATGGATTGACCTGGGCGCTATCAGAGGAGACCAGAGGTGCTCTCTCCTTGACGAAATTCGTCGCGGACATTACAACGAGCGCATATCCCGCCACTGAATGACCACAAATATGAAAGCAAGCCAGCCAGTGGCACGCAGCAGATATTAAAGTCTCACAGTGGGCGTAACATTCGCACGATGAGTGGACTTAACAGCAAGCATCCCATAACGAAATACGCCCTTAAGCAGCCACCAGTTCAACAGCACATTATCCCGATTGTTTGCGATAGAGATAGCCTTCCCTTCTATCGAGTTCTTCTAGCAGCGTTGTTATTTTAATAGGATACCGGCACCGCTCGAATATTTAGGGGCGCGTTGAAAAAGTGAAATTCACTGCGAGACAAGGATGAGGTTCGACGGGTGTTGGGGCGCGATGGCTGAAGGGGGTATCACGGTGTCAACGCGCAGATACGGAAGGATAACTCGAACGTATTAACTAGGGCGAGAACAGACCAAGATGAGATAGAGGAGAGAAAATAGCGTGTTGGTTGGTTCATGAGAGGCGCAGAAAGGACTGTTTTTAAAAGAGCGTCGTGTGTACGGAGTACAATGTAGGCCACACCAGGGAGCAGAATCCGCAAGCGTATTGTTATTGATAACAAAGACGCAAGAGGCTACCCGCTGGCCCGGTCGACTTTGTTTTGAGACTTCGATGCTGGGGAGACAGGAGGACGTGAAGAAGAGGACAAGGTGTGTGGACGGGCCGCCAACTCTAACTTAACAGGCCGCATAAGAGACCGCTTATTGGTGGGAGGAAGACGAAACTTGCGCCCACTGGGGCAAACCAGGCGCTGAGGAAGGAAAGGACCACGCTTTGCAGTCTAGATGCCGAGTTGATGAGCGCCCGCGTGTTTGTGTTGTTTCAATTATGTCAAGGAGACACGGCCAGCTGTTGGTCCCAGGCTGGGCCTTGCGACGGCGGTAGAGTCTGGCTATTTAAGACAGTCAACTATGCGTGTCACGAAATACGAAATACTGGTCATCACATCGGCCAGATGCTGACAGCCGGGCTTCTCTTCTCGTTTGGGCGCAGATGCAGTGGAAGATGCGTCTCATCTCGTTACTCCGAGCACTACGCGTATAGTTACATGAACCGTCACAACACCGCGCCAAGAGCATGACTGGCGTCTTCTCAAGCGATGGCAGGGGCCATGATTCACGTCGCCTTTGACAAGCTGCGCCCTGAGAAAGGGCACGCTCCAACAGGATTGGATCCTTCGCTCACCCAGCACGAAGAGAGTGGTCGGCTGCGTCTACGAGGACGAGATGGCCAGTGAGGGCTGACGTAGATTGTGGGCCATTTGCTATTGGTTCTCTATGGCTCGAGCGGGTTGAGGCTATCGTTGCGGTCCCATAACTCAGTTGGTTAGAGTGTGGTGCTAATAACGCCAAAGTCGAGGGTTCGACCCCCTCTGGGACCAGCTCACGCAACTATTTTCTTTTTTTTGCTTTCGGCGGAGAGCATGCGGGCTCGTTTTATCTAGTCTTCCCTGAGACCGGAGACTGGCACGTAGGACAAGCGCAGCTGGCTCCCGAACGCCCGGCCATGAGCTTTGCCACCGGCGACACATGCAAGCCACAGCTAGGCTGGGCAGCGCCTGTAAGTCCGGCGTACGGAGTAGGCTGGCAGCCTCCAGCACCGTCACCCAGCCGTCGAGCATGCAACGTGCCGATCGCGCAGAGGGTGGGATTGGCGGGGGTAGAAGAAGTCGGGCAGCCCGATATAACTCCGGGCAGGGTCATCTCTGGAGAGCGCCTATGGCAGGATTCCCGGCGGGCGCGCGCGATAGTGGCTGGTGCCGCTATCAGATCGCGGCGCAGGCGAGTGACCTGGCGCCCCGCCAAAACGTCGCGGGCACGCAGGTCACTCGCCCGTGACTCAGCAGGGCCAGGTGATGCTGCGGCCGCCCAGCCAAAGTACCTCTGCATAGCACCGCCCGCCAGAAGGTACACGCCCGCCCCCGATTCCGGTTTTCGTCATTTTTCCCGCCCGCCGCCTCGCTGCCCGCCCGCCTTGTCCGTCAGCCTTCACGCTACAACTTCTGACGAACCAACTACTTCTTTCTCTCTCTCTCTCTCCCTCCACTGCCTGCGTGCTACGGCCTCGTCTTTCTCTCCCTATCCTCGTCGCCACCCTCTGCGCGCTACAAGCCCCCCGCTCCTTTGTCTGTGCTGGTCGGCCAACTCCCGCCCGCACGCTCCGCAGTTTCACCAGCGCTCCTCACTGTCCTTAGTCGCCCGCGTGGTGTCGTCATAGCCCGTTTGGTCGCCCTGCCAGTTCCCTGTTCACCTCCCAAAACTTTGACGTCCGGCCTCAGCCCAAACGTCCACCTCTCTTCCCCTTGACTTTGGCGTGGAACCACGTTTTGCTTACCCGTTCTCTCTCTCCTCGCTGCTGTACATGCCACCGTCATCATGAGTACGATACAGAGTCTAAAAAACTTCATCCGTCACGGGAAGCAGGCTCGCGCCGCTGGCACCCCCCACGGCGAACCCACCACCAATGTCACCGCCGTCCATGTAGAGCGCCAGAAACAGCCCCAAGCCCCGCAGCAGCACCATGGCGGGTTCGATGGCATTGATCATAGAGCTGCTCCGGCGAAGCACGACCAGACAGCCCCCCAACAGCACAGCTCGGGCAAGCCCCGTGGACATGAGCAGGAGATCAAGCAGATTGTCGCAGAGGAGAAGATTAGTAGATCTACAATGCCTGTCTATCCTGGATTGGACCGCTGGGTGCTGTTGTCCAAAATGGGCGACGGGGCCTTTAGCGATGTCTACCGCGCCCGCGATAGCACCGGTCAATACGGAGAGGTTGCGATCAAGGTCGTTCGCAAGTTCGAGATGAGCTCCAAACAGGTGCGTTTACTGGCCGCTTCTAGAACTCTTTACCCAGCTGCTCTTTGACTGCTGGCCCGCGTCGCCACTTTGTCACTCTCCTGCGTATTTTTTGTTTTTCATTTACGTGCCCCAATATAACTTGATCGTCCCCCTCTTATAGGACGCCCATCTTCATGCGGACCTGAAGAAGAGACCTCACGTCGCCGAGGTGAGCCTTTCAAAATACCTCTGAGGGTCTGGCTCTTGGGTCCTTTCATACCCACTTTCTTTTTGCCTTTTATGACTCTCCGGGTTCGATGACGCTGAAAAATGACTGGACCGTTGGCTGACCTGTGCGGGTTTCTTTAAATATAGCGGGCGAACATCTTGAAAGAAGTCCAAATAATGCGCCAACTCGACCACCCTAACGTCGTCAAGCTTGTACAGTTTTCCGAGTCAAAAGAGTTTTATTACATTGTTCTTGAACTCTGTCCCGGCGGCGAGCTATTCCACCAAATCATTCGTTTAACCTATTTCAGCGAGAACCTTAGTCGTCACGTCATTATCCAGGTTGCAAAGGCAATAGAATACCTACATGAGACATCTGGGGTTGTGCACCGGTATGCTCTTGGATCAATATCAATTGAGATGCCTAATTAACCATCTTGCCAGTGATATCAAACCTGAAAATCTCCTGTTCTACCCCATTCCCCATATACCAACGAAGCACCCCAAGCCACCCGCACCAGGTGAAGAGGACAAAGTCGATGAAGGAGAGTTCATACCAGGAGTGGGCTCGGGTGGTATTGGCTTAATCAAGGTTGCAGATTTTGGTCTGTCCAAAGTCGTCTGGGACAGTGAAACAATGACGCCATGTGGCACGGTTGGCTACACGGCTCCCGAAATAGTGAAGGACGAAAAGTACTCAAAAAGTGTGGATATGTGGGCGCTAGGCTGTGTTTTGTATACTCTCCTTTGCGGATTTCCTCCCTTCTATGACGAAAGCATCAGAGTGCTTACAGAAAAGGTGGCCCGTGGCCAATACACATTCCTCTCACCTTGGTGGGACGATATATCAAAGTCAGCCCAAGACTTGGTGTCCCATTTGCTTACAGTCGACCCCGACAAGCGATACACAATCCGCCAGTTCCTCAACCACCCGTGGATTCGTGAAACTGACGAGGAGACATATGCTGCTGCAGACGCTCCCCCACTCGCTACACCTTTGGCGACCCAGCCGCAACTTTTCGAGGTTCCATACGCCGCTGGCGAACGTAGAGCTGACTTCCGTTCTCCCGGTGCTATGAACCTTCGCGAAGTCTTTGATGTCGGCTACGCCGTACACAGACAAGAAGAAGAAGCCAAGCGCCGCAAGAACTTCAGACACGGCTACCGTGGTGCCAACGTTGCTGGTGGGTACCGCGGCGACCTCAATCCAGTGACAGAAGACTACGACGACGAGTACGACGACTTTGAACAAATGATCTACAGCGACCAGGACAATAACGCTGCCAATATCTACAGTAGAGCCCGTCACACAGAGACAACCGATATGGCCGGCATGGAGTCCAAGCTTCGCTCCACAAACCTCGGATCTTCGCAGCACTCAAGCGCTGCCGCGCAAGCCAGGAGTGCAGCTGCTGGCCAGCAGCGCGGCCGACAACCGCAGCAAAAACATCATCCTCAGGCAGGCGGCTATGGTCAGCACAGCGCGGCGGTTGCGGCAGCCGCTCGGGAGAACGCTGCCCGGGCGGCGAGTCAACCTTTCGAGCTCAGCCTTGATAACGCGACTTTACTGGGTAGGAGGGGACGGCGGCTAGAAGGGCAACTTGCGACGTGAGAATAAAAGAAGAAGAAACAGAGACGTCAATTCGACCACCCACTTCTCTCAGACGAAGACCACTCCTATATCTGCTACAAAGGGTAGTGACGATCTCTTTTTATTCTTCTTTTATGCATGTATTGCTTTCTCGGCGCCATATCATCCTGCATTGCCCCTCTCCGTTTTCTTTCTTGTCAGCTGTAGCCTGGACTAGTGGACACCAAGGCACTCTTTTTTTTGTTCGTTTTTTATGCTAAGCTCTGGTTTACAAAGTATGGTATTTCCTTTTATTCTCTATTACCATGTAATCGCGATCTGTGTATCTGAAGTCGATGATGCATCCCCCCCTTCTTGGCCCACCAGCCGATAGATTTGAAATAATCAAATGCAAGCAACCCCTCCCTCGCACCAGGGAAACCAGCTTCTTTCGTTCCTTGATTTTTTTTTCAACATCCAGAAACCCCCTCTCCCGTGTTAGAACGGGTAGTTTTAGATGCCGTTTCTTACAAGGGTCTACGTATGCAAGCAATTCCCGAGTCTCCCCCTCAAATTCTTCCCGGATTTCCCGCAGGAGCAGGATCTTGATCCTTGCCTTTTGTCGAAATATAGCGAGGGGGTTAGGTTATGTCGTAATAATGCTTCGCCTAGAGTACCGCAGATGCGGATTGGCTTGGCCTTCTGATAAAAAAAGACAGGCGCGAATCCCATCAGGTCTGATGTCAGGGAGAGTGATAACGAACGCTAGGATTAATTGTGAAGAGCGCAACACCCGTCATACCATATGGATGTATCAGTACCAGGTTATGTATACATGATTACTGAGGACAAACTCACCCACATTGCAGTGCCAGCAAAATGCATATTTTTAATGGCTGTCCTATGACGAGCCCTCCTGCTAGCTATGAATTATCTCCGATGGCGTCACTGCCAATAAACGCCAATAAAATTGGTTCAGATACCCAACCAGCCAGCCAGCCAACCAAGAGCTGTGTACTCCGTAGTGCAGCCACTTCAACGCGACAAACACACAGCTTCTGTGCGGAAATATAGTATCCCACAATTCCCTACTGGAGCTATTCTGGATCCTAGAGCCGGACGGGAAGTCTCGGGAGTTGGGGACTTTCTTAAACCCAACGGCTTGTTACTACTGGTATGTTGTAGTTACGCACGTACCCGCCGCCTTTGTGTAGATTTTCCTTTGATAGGGATACTTCGCTACGCACTCTCAAAGTCGCTAGAATTGAAGGCCTGGTTATAAAAAGCCCGCTCGCCTTGACTAAATATTGATTTCACAGTAGCTTGTAAGCCTTCAGCTGAGGCATGGTAGAAATATATGCACTATGAGACAATAAAATGCATGTTCTCTGATTGCCCACCTAAACTGAAAACGGGGTGATGCTCTGACGGCAATTTCATGTTAAGATCAGGAAACTTTCATTTCCATTTCTTCGACTATAACAGCCGTGCAAGTTATATCATAGAATAATTGTAAAAAAAAATCCCGAATGAACGACACGGAGTGTTACCTTCCGCGGAAACATAGGTTCCATGCTCAATCTTGGGTTTTGTAAAAAAAAAAAACCAAAAAAAAATTCGTGTCCCAAAACATTGAGCACTGTACTCTCTATAGGGCCTGCTTTCCTCTTGTTTCGATGGGCAACAAGCACATGGCGACAAATGCGGCCAAGAACAAGCCTCCACTCGCATAAACCGGAGCATTCGGATTCGCATTGCCGGCATAGATGGCCACAATGGGCGCTAAAAGGCCACAGATACGATTTAAACAACTTGCAATACCAGTTCCTGTCCCGCGATTTGGTGCAGGGAACACTTCGGGGGTATATGCATAGAGGACACCATACATGATATTTTGGAAGAAGGCTTCAAGACAGGCGCAGGCGAGCTGAGCATTGGGCTCCCTCGAGATTGTGAAACAAAAGAGGATAATGCCTGTAATGCATGTCGAAATTGCCATGGTACCCTTGCGCCCGATATATGGGATGTCGACCGTGTAGCACGCGATGATGGAGCCCGGAACGCCGACAATAGATGTAATTGCGTAATTGCGATACACTTGCAAGAATGAGCTTTGGGGCCACAATGGCAAATCTGCTAGCGATGTGTAACTCACCGATGGCTGTTGATGTAGCTTCTTGGTTTCCAAGATATTGTGGCAGGAATGCGTTGAACAGAGGGTATCCCATACCAATGGTTGACCAACAAAACCATAGTAAGAGAGCTGTAAGGTATATTAACACACCGTCTTGTTCTTGGATTAGGGCACAACGTACTTGTGATTGCCATTCGCCTATCCGCAAACAAGGGGGCAATTCGATCGCCAGAAAACTTCACAAGCTGTCTCTTGATGACCTCTCCCGTACTTAACTTTCCAGAAGTAGCCTCTTCGTCTGGATTGCCACCAATCTCGTTCAAGATTTCCACAGTCAGCCAAGTCTTTGCTTTGTTCTTGTGAGCAATAGCATGCACGGTTGCAACGGCTTCGGCTTGCCGGCCGCGCGAAAGTAAGTACTTTGGTGATTCGTACAAATGAAACAAGAAGAATCGGCAAATAAACATGAGGAAAGTAATTGAGCCAAGAGTGAGCACAAGATATCGCCAACCCATGTTGTCCTCCCGTCGGCACGGGGTGTTGGGTTTGCAAGAGTATTGGGGCACAAATCCCCATGCCACAAGACTGGACTTGAATGTCAGCGTGCAGAAATTAAGATAAATGTACTTGGAAATCGCACCTTCCAACAAGCTGTCCAACAGGCCACCAGACGCTGAGCATGGTCAGAAGATTTCCTGAGGCGAAGGGCAGGAATTCGAGGAATAACGCTCCATCCACGGGCAGGTTTCCTCCAACTCCCAGCCCTAAGCATGCAAACAGGGAACAAACACTGTCGAAATGTAAGTTAGAGGATAAAAGGAGGAACACGTTTCGTTCAAACAATAAAGCTCACCCGATCCATGATGGGCCACCTCCAGCAGCCAGACCAAATACCGCAGTAAGAAGTAGTGTTACGTTAAAAGCAAGACGACGGCCAATAATATCAGAGGCAGTTCCCCAGAACACCGCACCAATACACAGTCCAATAAAGAGTGAACAGGTTGTAAATCGTACATGGGATTCAGTGATACCGAATTCTGCGGCAAGAGGGGGTAGGGTAAGAGCCACGCCCTATATCATGAATGTTAGACAGAAAGTTCCAATTTATATCAGGGACTCATATAATATGCACCTGGAGCCAGAGACTACAGAATACCAGTTAGCATGTGGAGGAAAAACGGTGCTGTGCAATTGAAGGTCGTCTTACTTATCAGCCGTCCAACCAAAGCCGCATAGAATGAACAATTCCCATTGGTAACGGCCCATTCCAATGTCCTGGATAGCTCGGTTAATGATCTTTGATTTGCCTGGTCTTAAGTGTTAGATACACGCCATTCGAAACATTCTCGTTATGACTTGATGATTTTCGGCCATATTTGAAGGCTCATCCTGAAAGAGTTGGGGCAAAGATCTCCGAAAGAGTACAGACAATGAATGACATTGGAGTTCAAGATCATGAAGAGCAAGGATGGATATTATTTTTGAGAAACATACGATCATAGGGAGTATCGTGGCCATTGGTAGCTACGTCGCTCTCTACCTCAGCTCTGAGGGCCTCGATAGTCAGCTTGGAGACGCTCTGGGAGCTCCGAACCGAGCCGGTCTCGGCGGAATTCTCATCGGCATCCTTTCTGTCAAGGGCGGATGATGGCTCCACGTTTCGCTCTTGGGCCAGAGGGATCAGGACTCCTGGATACTCATGGAGATCGTTTCGCTTGAACGGATTCACGAAGACAGGCATGGTTGCTTGCTATATATGTACACAGTGTATAGCAAATCTCTGTGACGATCGGAAGAACTAGCTGGACTGAACAGGTTGCATTAGGGAGCGGACAAGCTTGATCTAACACGGGCTCTAGCTTTCTCTTGTGCGGTAGGGGGGTCGCAAGCTGGTTGCACTGGGCATGTGTTCTCGGGTTGCGCTGGGAGGGTGCAGATCGTCACGGGTCGAGGGGCCGGACCGCGAATCTTGAACGCCTGCGCGACGGGTCGCACGGCAACTTGCTCGGGCGGCAGGAAAGGGGGGTAGCAGGATGAGCAGCAGTTAAAGCTGGGTTGAAAGCCAGACTAGGCGGATATCGGATGACTGATGGTAGGACGGCGCAATGGAGGAGTGTCCTTGGGGCTCAGGTTGAGGTGGAGGTCTCTGGCACGGCGGCTTCCAGCGCGAGTTAAAGGTCTGATCACGCACCCAGCAGGCCGGGAAGGGGCGGGCAAGGCCTTTTTGTAGAACGTCGACCGCCGTGGCGAGCGCGCAGCCAAAAGAGCCTTTCCTTGGACGCGGCGCGCAGTAAGTCTAATCCACGACCGCCAAGCGGGCACTGGATATCTGGTAACGGAACAGGGTGGGGAGCGCGCGCCGGAGCTGAGACCCTGACGGCGCGCAAATCTTATGACTGCCTACGGCAGGATTGGCTGCGCATCCCCTCGCAGCGCTACGACCGCTAACTTCCACCAGGACGGGTGCTGGCGGGCATGGTGAACCACGTCTTGGAAGTGGTCAAAGTCGGGCGGCCTCAGCTTGCCAATACGGGTGACGTGGGTGGCACCAGGATGCGGAGACGATCTTTTCCGCTTTCGCGGCAGCGCTCGCCCGGCAATGCAGCTGCACACGTACGGCGGGCGAGTAGCCGGCCAGCACAGCGCAGGGATGCCAGGCCTCTGCGCGCACTGCGCTGCTCTGCGTGGCAGCGGCCCCAGGCTGCGCGCCCGGCTTGTCTCGCGCGCCATTCGTTGCCCGGCCAATCACATGAGTGCTAATGAGCCACTGCCCTTGGCGCTGGTGCCGGTTAGCGCGGTGCCGCGATATTTCCGCGCCGCCGGAGCTTGATTGGCGCCCACCGCCCCGGTGCCAGCCAATGGGCCTGCCGCACCTCGCGCAGCCGGCTGCTGATTGGCCAGTGTGCTCGGTTTTCAGCCAATCGCGCGTGTTGCGCAAAACGCGCTTCGTCGCCCACGCCGCCTTCTTGTGCGGGCGTTGTCCGCCGCGCTGCGTCGCTTGGGTTCCTGGCCGAAGAAATCGGCCCATATGCCGGAGCGGTGCAAGGCAACGGGGCCTGCGCGCGACAGAGCCCACCGAGACCCGTCCGGTGGAGACCCGCAATGTGCGGCCATTTCGTCACTCTTGGCGCCCAACGACGTGAGAAGAACACTCCCTCTGAAGTCTTAATTATTATCTCGTGGCACAGCTGTCAAGCCTTTCTTCGAAGTTCCTACTTTTCTTCGCTTTTAAGACGGAGTACGGAGCACACGGAGACTAGCTGCATGCGGAATTGCGCCGTTGGCCTCAACACCAGGATATATCCCCGAAGGAACGGAGAAGAGGATTGGCACAAGAGCCTCCGGTGACGAAGGCCGTTCGGATATAACTCTGCCATAGCCACGCTATCGCCCGGAGGCCACCGTCGGGCAAGATTAATTAATAACGAACCACAAATCGCCCTTTGTTGTGTTTGCGGTCGAACTCGCAGTTTGAGAGCATTATATTCGCTTACTTGCTTTCCCAATTCGCTTAAATATTACTGCTTCCATAAGACCGGTGCATCAGAATTCTGGGGACGCCAGACAGGCTGGTCATGTTTGGTTCATGAGAAGCAAATAATGTGTTGATCGATTGTGTGAGGTCTTAGGTCTGTTGATTGTTTCACACCAACCCTTTCGGCGCGATCATCGGCTATCCGAGCCGCGGTTGCTGTTGTTTTAACTAGTAGTTATTCTTATTGGCGTCCCTTGACAAACTTGCTGGTTTTCACGGCACATTTTGCAGTAGGCCACCCCTGTTCTCCCACGGTCAATTGGACGTGAGATTATCCAATGCACTTAGTACTGCATTAAAATATTGCCCACTTGTCTTCCATAAAGTACGCTCAGGCTTGTGCTATGTACTCCATAGTGTAGCTCCTATGGCTATTTTCAACACATTTTATTCAGCATTTCCTCTATACTGAATTGGGTCTTTCGGCAATAAAAACGGTACCCAGTAGAAGTACAGACATAGCCTAGGACATAATAATCAAGAGAGTAATACCACCTGCATATCATTTGGCCCCAGGGAAGTCACGCAACCAAGAGCTCAGCTGATGCATGATTCAGTGCCTCATTCAAAGAGTTGAATACTTGAATACCCTAGTGTGTCAGATTATCATGAAGCTAGTCATGCAAGTTTTTTAAGTCGCAAAACATTACGGAGTACGGAGGGCTGCATGATTTCAAATGGTAGTGAAATGGCTCCGCTAGGAACAGGAATTCCTCTGCGCCGTCTTGGGTTAAGACATTTCAGGTGATTGCGCCAAGATTTGATTACTCACCTTCCGTGACTAAGCGATCCTTTGTCAGGGCTCGGGAAACCTCCGCATTTTCGGGAAAGTAAACCAATCAAGACGTGCAGGCTAAACCACAGAAACTTGGATACCCCTGGATGAAAGGAGTTTGTACCCATGGAACAAGATTAGACTCTGTAAGTCTCGCCAAGGGTCATCGGGGTTGGACCCCGTTAGAAGTTTCATCCTTGAGCCGATTTTTGAAGTAGATTTGGTCTGGAGTGTTTAGCACAACGGCGACTAAAGACGGTGGGAATCAGCGTGGTCGTCGCCATGACGCCGGCTGACACGGCAAAGTCTCGCTATCATACGAAGTATTATTTGTTTGCCCTAACTAAGTGACTACAGCAGGCCAAGTGTGGTAGTTAACCATATACAACTCTGTCTTGCAACTGCACCTACCTATCTGTGATCAAGCTTAAGTAAAGTGTGTAGGAGAGGGTTATCTGCGTATATTGAAAGAGAAGTAATGTGATGAAGCTATTAGAATTATTCTATTCCCCTTGGCCCCTTAAAAAGACGATCAGCCCTAGGAATATAAATATTTGGGGGTTTGATGGTAGATTATGCCTTGGGTTCAGCTTCTTCTCGCGGGTCAGAATGGGCACGGGGTGCTCCGTACGGAGTACACCGAAGATGAACCGTCAGCATATCGGGCGTGTACGTAGAGAGATGCGTCGTCATAGGTGACACAAAAATACGATATAATATGCATATGCCCGTTGTCGCACAGCTGGGTTTGAAAGAAGACGGCCTTGCAGCATTGTTACTAAACAAAGAGGTACATAGTCTCAGCGGTCCCCACCAAAGGCAGGTAATCCAAATAGTATTGTCTTGGAGCACTTTATAGTGAGAGGAAACCGGCTGGCGTTTAAGTCCCGTTGGCTATAAAAACGCCCTGCCACTCTTTCGATACGTTATCGCCCATTTTACCGTTTAGTTATTCCCTCTGTCGATCTACGAACTCGAGAGCATCCAGTATAAAACATATTTCTTCTTCTAACGAAAACGGGAGCTAGAGTCTAGTTCATGAGGCTCTGTTGCTTTGACCAGTTGGGAAAAATCGCTCCCATTGCTTTCCAGTCCGGGTGCACGTTGGGTCTTTTGATAAGACTGAAGAGTAACACCTTTTTCGATACGTCCTCGGGATGTCGATGCGATGCCTCTTCAACGTGATGTCCGCCCGCAACAGCCGCGACACGAAGCCGTGCAAATATGGGATTACTCAGCCAAACCGGCAAAAGCGGCGCGGTGTAACACGTGCTGCTATGTGTTCCACGCCTGAGCACGCACGTTGTGGCTTGGCAATAGCGCCGCTTTAAAGATGGCAATATCAGAAGGGGGCGGCGAATCCCGACACAAGAACTCCGTCGGTATCAAGAACAAAATTGCTCCGCATTCCCGCATGCTTTATGATTTATCTCGCTCCAGCTCGGCAAATCCAGGCATTTCTTCGTTCCGCCTGGGTCTAAGCCCCCCGTCTCAGGACAAATTGTTAGCCAAACGGCTTCGGATACATATCTTCCAGTCGCTGCTCAAGTCGCAAGTCGCCGACTTGCTGCAGTGCAGCAGGGGGCATCAGCGCACAAGGACGTAAAAGAAAGTTCAACCTGGATGATTGCCGGCAGCATTTCACCAGACCGCTATGTGATCGATGGAGAAGCTTGACGCTCTGACGCTGCACCATTCCTGTTTGCCTCGGGCTAAAGTCCGCCGTCCAATGTTGCAACGAACTCCGCTAAAGCGGCGGCATTGCGATGACCGGCAAGACTGTGAATCATCTGTGAAAGAACCCGTTTTTCTTCCTTCTGAATTGCTGCTTCCTTGAAAAATTCGCTGTATTTTCAAGAAACGGATAATCTGTGTCCGGGCCTTTCACAAACAACCTTCCCTCGCAGGGCCCATTCTTCCTTCCAGGTCTCGTGAGCGATATCCCCGTTGGATACAATAGACAAGCGTGACTTAAAGCGCCCATCTGCCGAAAATATGAGCGAAAGACTGCCCAATAAAGCCCAGCAAGAGCCGCGGCCGCAGGACAGCTGTATTTCCACATCTTACTCATCATTATCAGAAAAAGAGCGAGACACCATAGCCAAGGAGCCGTCATCGGAGACACAGGAGTATCTCCCTCCTGAAAATTTCTGCGACAAGGAACTTTCCACGGACGGCCGCGAAAATGCACAAAATGACCAGACTGGCAATATGGCCCCATGTCAGCGTTCTCATTCGCGATCTACACAACATACAAATGGTGACGGTGGTCCTCCACTCGCCCCTCGAATGTCCATGGATACCCAAGGAAATATCTATCCTGAAGGCGGGCGTGAAGCCTACATGGTAGTATTTGGCTCTTTCCTTGCGCTTTTCGGTAGTCTAGGCATCGTCAATACCTTGGGATCTATCCATGCATGGATATCCGTTCACCAGCTCAAGAATTATAACCAAAGCTCAGTCAGCTGGATATTCGGAATATACGCTTTTCTCCTTTTTTTCGGAGGACTTCAGATCGGCCCAATCTTTGATGCAAAAGGACCCAAACTCCTTGTCTTAGCCGGTACAATTTTGAGTGTTCTCAGTGTCGCGCTTCTCGGTTCGTGCACAGAATACTGGCATTTTATGGTCGTTTATTCCGTCATTGGAGGGATAGGTGTTTCCCTTGTTTTTACCCCTGCCGTCGCCAGCCCTGGCCATTTCTTCTTCCGTCTACGTGGTCGTGCCACTGGCATTGCAACAACTGGTGGCAGTGTTGGAGGAATCGTTTTCCCACTGATGCTGGAGTCGCTGTATCCAAAGGTTGGATTCGCATGGGCTACTCGCGCGGTGGCACTCGTCTGTTTGGTCGCTATGTTTTTTGGTTGCTTGCTGATTAAATCCCGACTGCCGAAAAAACGTGCGACTAAAGAAAACATTCTCCCGGACTTACGCATTTTATTTGAACCGGTATTTGCACTGACCACAGCTGGAATCTTCTTTATTGAATGGGGTCTGTTCATTCCAATCACATATGTAACGTCCTATGCTCTGGCTCATAATATGCCACGCGCACTATCATACCAACTTCTCGCATTGCTCAATGTCGGATCCTTCTTCGGCCGCTGGATTCCCGGTTTCATCTCTGATTATCTTGGTCGCTTTAACATCATGATCGGGACTGTTTTGCTTTGTCTTCTATCGACCACCTGCCTCTGGCTTCCTGCGCAAGACAGTGTCGGTATGATGGTTGCATATTCACTAATTTTTGGGTTTGCGAGCGGTAGTAACATCAGTTTAACACCCGTTTGTGTTGGACAAGTATGTAAAACAGAAAATTATGGCCGATATTATGCAACTGCCTATACTGTCGTTAGCTTTGGGTGTGCCTCTCCTTTCCCATGATACACCCTAGTGGCCCATTTTTCACTTTACTGACACTTGTCGCAATAGGACGTTGACCGGAACACCGATCGCTGGAGCAATCCTTACCCGTAATGGAGGGAATTACTGGGGCCTCATAACCTTCACCAGCTGTTGCTATTTTGCAGGACTTATCTGCTTCATCGCCGCTAAAATTCTCCGGGTTGGTTGGAATCCTCTGAAGATCGATTAATTGGGTATCTAGCATCTTGAAACTGGTCGCTATTTATGCATATATGTAGAAGTACAAACAAAAGTGTGTGATGGTATGGAGTATTCATAATGATTCTTCTTATACGTTGACTGTGAGCCGTTATCTTGCTGTCTTGTACTGCTTCAAAGTGCTAATTGCACGGTAGACAGTGGAGCCAGGTATATACGCTCCAATACCTAGGAACTACCGACCTTCTCAAGACACTCTGTTACAGAATATTTTTGTTAGGTATGACAACATATGACCAATTCTATTTTCTGTAAAAGAGGGCTGATCATCGTGTCGAAAACCTACAAAGAAGCAGGTTTGAGAACCGCCTCCTCCATAAATACCCGGCTTAGTAGAACAGCTTTTAGTTGGCGTGGAAGTGGAGCAGCCAGGGTTTTAGCTAAAGCTTTTGGGCATGTTGCTATCAAATCATTTGGAGTATTTATTTGACTCAGCACCCGAATCCCTTACGCACGATTTTGTACGAAGTTTTCTGGACACTTTGCAAACACGCCGATTTCAAAACGGCCTGGTTCACTAACTAGTTGGGGCGGGCGCTGTGCCGTTCGGGTCTATTGGTTCGTTCGGACCACCATCATTTGCAAACCAACCGAGTTAAGTTTGCTGACAGGGCGAAATGTGTCGGGGGTCAGACAACCATACTTTTTGATTGCTGTTATTTTCCCAATGACCCAGAGTTGAAATTCGGCTTTTGCAGTGAAGTGAGACTTTCTGAGGGACTACATTCTCTATCGTGTTTGCTGGAGCTGAATACCCGCCTCCTTATACCATATAGCGGGAAGCTAGGCTCTTTCTATAGCACTATCCTATGCCTTGCGCTACGGGTGAAGTCTCCGCTTGGGCTGCTTTGCATTGGCGGCCCTGGTCTTTAATGGTCTCCACGTTGTTCGCAAGACTTGGCGGACAAGACTGGCGTTCTCGAGCCGCTTGATCGGTATGCAGTTCAAACCACTGGACGCCTTGATATGGTCTGCCGGAATTGCTCGTGTCAATCCCGCCAGGCGCATTTACTCCTTTGTGCCTGCCGCATGGTAACACATTAGATTTAGCGAAAAGCCCTGTGGCATTGACAGGGGGGATCGTTGGTTAAAAGATGGGCCGTCTCTGCTGTTACTTCAAGATATTTCTGTGTTCACCCGATTAATCCACACTGCCCTACAATATGCATAGTCCTATACCTCGCTCAATTCCCGGCTTGTGGCCTCTATTCAGCCTTGTGCTTCTCAACATTTCCTGCTGTATCGCCACTGTTTCTGATGGTCCTCACCAAGAGGAAGTTATTACTGCAGACGTGTGCGTGATCGGCGGCGGGTCCACTGGCACCTATGCGGGCGTCAAACTAAAGGACGAAGGGAAAAGTGTAGTGATTATTGAGCAGGAGGATCACCTAGGTGGCCATGTGGGAACGTTCTATGTGGACGACAAGCCAATTGACTACGGCGTCCAAGGCTTTTTCAATACTGACATCACATTAAAGTACCTGGATCGCCTTAAAGTGTCTCATGAACCTCTTCAGCCTGCAACCACGGACAACCGGTACGTCAATTTTCGTACGGGGAAGCTTGTGCAGAATGAAAGCAGCCCCATGGAACTAGGTGCCTCGTTGCTCCTGTATTTTGCTGTTGTTTCAAAGTTCAAGGGGATAGCGGATGGCAGTTATAACTTGCCAGACCCTGTGCCGGAGGAACTCTTGATGCCCTTTGGGGAGTTCAGCAAGAAATATAAGTTGAACGGCGCGTTGCCCGTGGTTTGGATGTTCGCTCACGGTTGTGGTGATATTCTGGATGCTACTACTCTCTGCGTCCTTCAGCTGTTTGGCAAGTCGCACGTTGCAGCACTTTTAAAGGGCTATGTCAGAGCCAAGCGGGGTACTGCTGAAGTTTATAAGAAAGCTGCTGAAATTTTGGGCCAGGATGTACTGTACGAAAGCAAGGTATCCAAAGTCACCCGTTCCAACAGCGGAGTAACTGTTGTTGTGAGAACAAAAGGTGAAAAGATTAAAGAGATCAGGGCTAAGAAGTTGTTGGTTACCATTGTCCCTACCCTGGGAAACATGGAAGGCTTTGATCTTGATGAAAAGGAGAAATTTCTTTTTAAGCAGTGGAGCTGGAAGAATTATTATATTGGCATTGTTAAGAAGAGCGGTCTTCCAGAGAACTCTACGATCGTCAACCTAGATCCAACGAAGCCCGCTCAGCTTCCACATATACCCTTTGTCTGGCGCCTGGATTACCTGGGTGTTTCAGGGTATCACACCATCAAAATTGTTGGGGATTCAAAACTCACAGAATCAGACGCAAAGGAGCTTGTCCTTGGTGGTATCAGAAGGATGGGCTCTGAGGGAACATTTTCTATCCAGAAACCCGAAATTGCCGTTTGGGGAAGCCATGTGCCATTAACTTTGGGCGTTTCAACAGAAGCAGTGAAAGGAGGATTCTACCGGGACTTGTACGCGTTGCAAGGCCATAAAAATACTTTCTATACAGGCTTGTCTTTTTGTTCAGATTATTCGACCTTGCTGTGGGACTTTACTAATACAATTGTGGGGAAGATGGGTTTATAGACACCATAGACTGCGATGTATGCGCGAATTTTTTAGGCATCTTATCTACTAGAGAGAGAAAAATTGTCGTTCGGCTCGGATGGATAGCTTAAACCACACTTTTGAATGCCAGCTTGATCACTAGCTTCCTATGATCACCCACCCTCAGCCGTTCTATTCCTCCACTGATACATCATAGCTTAATTTAGATGCCCCATACACACAGAGTTTAGTAACGGCCCAGAAGATATAGTTATGCTGTCCTCAGTACTTAGTACTCTGTACAGATGCTTATCATTCACAATGACGCCCAAAAACCTTGGCCATTCCCCCTTTCGGTAGCATTTGCCGATGCTTGCTGTTCCTCGGAATATATTTCTGGCTCCAAGCCCTATTATCAGACTATGCGCTGACTTCAGTTGCGAGCAAAAGGTCATTATTAGCGCAATAAATATCTGAGAAGAGGCTGCATGAAATTTTCTTGTCTGATTTGGTGTAAAGGCCACGCCGTCTCGAGAGGAGAGACATCGGCTCGTATGTAAACGTCACACGCCACACTTTCAAGCGAACAACGTCTAGACTCAAAGGTGTCCTGCCACAAATCTAGACACGATCGAACGTACGTCGACATCACAGGGCAGCGGCAGAGCCTGCTCATCCGTTCGCGTCCGCCTTCGGGGCTTCTGAGGCTGACTCCGTCATAATAGTCCCGGAGGTTGGGAACGCCGGAGCTTAAGTGGCCAAGTCGGCCCCGCAGCCCTATTTTTAGGCGCGTGGCGGCTGATACGGTACCGTACGGGAGACGACGCGTGCTCGAGCTCCCGTCCCGCTACAACCGGCCGGCGCCCTGACCGTATTTTACCTGAGACATGGCGTAGGCGCATTAGTCAGGCCGTTCGATTGGTCATCGGCATCGCAACCCAGCCACCAGAAAAAAACAACCTCGACAACGAACACGATGAGTGGACAACTGAATTTTCCAAGCTGGCTGATGCCAGTTAAACTTCAGATTGCCGAGGGCAGTCCACCGCCTGCTCGTCTCTTCCAATCCCAGTGAGCTCGAGAGAATATCCTGCAGCAACAGCGTCTGGTTACCATGGCCACCACGTTTAAGGGTCCACATTGGCGCTGAAAGCAATGTGCAATATCGCTCCAGAAAGGCGTCGCCTCTGATCATCTGTGCTGAACAGTTGTTTTTTTTGCTACCGTCTCGTTGGGCAATTGCTACTCTCCACCTGGCCATGCCGAAATTTGGAAGCTTTATACGCTGCCTCGTGTGTTATAGGGTTAAATGTTTCTATTTCCGTTTCTCTTTCTATGAAATTGAAAAGCCTTTTCAATTCGGCTCGCCAGCCGGCCCATCCGTTCTTTAAGACATTGTCCCACTTTAGCTTTGGCGTTCAGCCTCCAGTGCTGGGCAGGCTTTTTACAAGTTTGTTCTGATAGTTGGGAATGCCGTTTCCTAAGAGACAGAGAGGCCGTGCGTACCGAAGCTTTTATAAATATCGCAAGCTTTGCACTCCCCGTTTTCATCTTTTATTTCTCAGTTATAATATTATCTTGTCTTGAGACTTTGGAACAATAATTCCTCCTCCAGTGGACTCATCTCAACCACTGGTCCCAGTCATTCGCTTCTTGTTTGAACGAAAATCTTTATATCCTTGTCTTTTTGCGCTATTGCCTTTCGTTCCTATCCAGAAGCATTGTTGGACGTCTTCAGCATGCATCATCTGAACTCAGTCCTGCTGGGTATCTTTGCAGGAGCAGCACTAGCCCTGCCAGGCCCTTATCCTCACCCAAACCCACCATTCCCTACGGGCCATGTTACTTTGCGACCGCCTATGTCAACGGGTGGTGGCTCAGGTCCCGGTCCTGGGCAGCCAACGCCTTCGATGAACCCACCCCAAGTCAGCACAAGGACCGATACTATCACTAAAACAACCTTTGTGCCATGCTCAACGCCTGTTGCCTCTGTTGGAGGTACCACCTGGTTCAGCACCTGGCTGACGATGTCTACATACACAACAACAACTTGCTATCCTGTCACTCAAACAAAAGTGCCATCGCCTCCCTCGCCCCCTTCTCCTCCGTCGCCTCCATCGCCTCCGTGCAACGGCGGGAACTGCCCTCAACCACCTTCACCACCAGGACCGCCAGGGCCGCCAGGGCCACCAGCGACCCAATGCCCTGCTCAAGTGACCGTCACCGTGACCGTAACGAAAACAGAGTGTGGAGCCGGTTGCATCCCCCCAACGCCTCCTCCAACCCAATTACCACCCCAGCCAGGCAGCCCAGGCAGCCCAGGCAGCCCAGGAAGTCCAGGAAGTCCTGGAAGTCCTGGAAACCCTGGAAACCCTGGGAACCCCCAGCCTGGTCAGCCCTGTCCAAGGTGTTCGACCTTTACAATCACAGATATCCACGGTACCACCAAGACCATTATCGTCCCACCCCAAACACCACCCGTCAGCCCTCCTCCTGGAACTGGAGTTCCCCCTTCCCACACCACGAAACCCCATCCACCGGTGGGAACTGGGACAAACCTTCCCCATAAGAAGTACAAGCCATATCCAAACTACCTGTAAGACCTATAAAAGGCAAGTTCAGTCCAAAAAAGGTAGTACATGATCTGGAGTTGATTAGCCACGGTGGCTTCCATTTTTCTTCTATTTTGAGTGGGTGAAGTTTTTTTAATGCCGATGTTTTCTTCTTCAACCCTTATAATATGTTCCTGTTTTCAACCCCTCCACGCCATGAAACTTCAAACGCCATCAACCTCTATCGCCGAAATTCTCACTCCTTTTGCATTTGACGTTCGCACGAATATTTACGATCCCCCAGCATTCACTCCTTAATGAATATAGAGATATACCCCCGGGAAGTCGATTACCCTCCCTAGGTGTTTTGATTAATAGCTGTTAGGTACTGTTCAGTACAGAGTAGATAGCTCCAAAATAAGAAACAATCCAAAATAATAACTAATGTTATTTTCAAATTTCTGATTATTAGGCCAATAAACAAAACCTGTAATACGGATTATGGAGTACGTAGCATCAGTTCGTTGATAATGTTACATATGAATAGCAAGTTGGGCCTCTTTTTTGATTTGTGACAGTTCTCGTTAATCTTCTGTGGATTTCAAATACAGAACAAAGAAGAGGGTGGGCGGCTGAGACATGGCTAATATAGCGGGCCCCAATGCGCTGTCTTGCCGGGAAATGGGTTGACGACTCCCGTGCTCCGTTATCTCGTTAGTGGTTCCACCGCGCATGATGCGCCAATGAGCGTACGGAGGGAGTGCCAGTGAGTTGATTTGAAGTTTTTGTTTTTATACGTGGTGACTCTCAGAAAATGCCGCCAGATGACAGGTCTAAAAGGCAAGTGAGAATGTTCTTGTTTGGCTCCAAGTAACGGGTTTCGTTCGGCGAGTATCAGCGGGTGAGGCGTGAAGAAGCTTGTTTGGTAGTTAACTACTAACTAGCCGAAGTCAGGATCTATTAATGGGAACATGTGGTCATGTCGTAAGATATGTTCTCTTGGAGAAAGCGTTTGTTGCCACACATCACTCTCTTTTAGGGTCAACCAGAAATATTAAGCGAGCCTACGGAGTAATTCAGAAGCATCTGTAAAGAGGTCAAGCCGACATGTTATGTGTCAAGAGGCAAATTGTAAGTTCCTGATTTCGTCACTTCTACTATTATGCGAAGAATAAATCTCATATTGGTTACTCTTTCGGATTCTAGGAGCAGCGTTGACTTTTACAGTCGAGTCATCAGCGATGATTCAGCAAAGAGCCCCTCTAAGAAAGGCCATCCTTTGTCACGGAGGCATCATCCAGCAGGAAAATAAAATTATCAAGCACTATTTGAAATACATCCAAAATACTCCTAGAAATTATCATTCTAGCAAGTGTTAACAAATAGTTGAAATAAAACATAATCAGTGCCATGGTAAATCCAACAAATAGGAATATCAATCCAAAGATCTTAGTGGGTACTCTTTAATTGTGTAAACCGAGAGAGAAAAACAAGCAATTGTTGGGGTAGTTAACTATGCAAACCAAAAAAACATAAACAGTATCCATTTATCACCAAAACGCCAGTCAAAAACTTGGGGTAGGAGGGGAATGGACAAGCATGAAACGCATGCAGCAGCATTGCATGCGTGGTCAAAATTGTCAATCATATAACAAGATAAAAAATAATAATTAAACAGCTGAAATTGGCCACAATGGCCAGAGAAGGAAGGGCATTGCATAAGGTAGTAGTAGATCAGAAAAAAAAAAAAAAAACAAGAAGAATCATTAATTGTATGTATCCGCAGGAAATGATAATCCTTGTCAACCACAGTAGAAATAACGAAACCTCCAGAAAGCGGAAGAAGTAAAAATATGGTTCATATACCAGGTTTTCATTTAACTGCTGTGTGTTCGAAAGAGATGCTGCTCAAAAATAATTGTTAGATCGTGCGCTTTAAAGATAATATTAAAGGTTACTTACGGGATCCAGTATGCTTGAGCGATTGCTGGCTGTAAGGGCACGGGCTTCAAGTGCTGGGCGTTGAGCCTTAGCAGAGGTCTGTAAGCCGAGTCTTGAATCCTTCCCCTTTTCAAAGAGAGGGTTACCAAGCGTTGCGCACTTGAGAATAGTTTGCATCATTTGGTTCTGTTTCAAGGGTTTTGCCAAATACTCGTCCATTTGAGCCTGGAGACATTTCTCGCGGTCTCCAAGCATAGCATGCGCCGTTAATGCAATAATAGGAGTTCGCGAAAGGCCATTTTCCCTTTCCCATTCACGAATCTTGCCTGTTGCTTCAAAACCACCCATAATCGGCATTTGCACATCCATAAGGATGACATCATACCGATGGTGTTGGACAGCTTCAACGGCAGCAAGACCGTTGCTAACAACCGTGATCTCATGGTTGCATTTTTCGAGAATTTTGACAGCAACCTTCTGATTAACTTCATTGTCTTCTGCCAACAAAATGTCAAAGGATCGGGAATTATCAACCGTGAGAGGTGTAGATCGGCCTTCAAGTGCTGGAAGCATACCGTTGCCTAGATCAATAGGCTCGCATGGCGTCGTCATGTATGAAGTAATACCTAGATCTAGAGCCGATTTCAGACTGACAGAAACAACGGGGCATAGGAGGACAATGGGGATGTATTTGAATTCCCCAAAAGTGCGCAGTATTCGGGCGACTTCGACAGAATCAACTATGATAACGTCGTATGCATGGCCAGATTCCTTTCCAGTCGGGTCTTGAATCTCGGGTGGAGGAACGTTACGTTCGTTGCGAACAACAATTGGTTCCAACCCTAGTTGTCGAAGCATGCGGGTAATCTTCGATGCTTCGTCGCCTGTTTCACCCTTGTCGATGAATAGCACATGGTGACTTTGATACGGCAAAAGCTGTGGCAGAATCACATCCAAGGACTGATTGGCAAGCTTCACTTTACAAGTGAAATGGAACGTGCTGCCATGGCCAAACTCTGATGTTACCCAGACGTCGCCGCCCATAAGATTCACCAATCGTTTGGAGATGGACAATCCTAACCCAGTTCCGCCAAATTTCCGTGTTGTGGACCCGTCCGCTTGCTGGAAGGTGTCGAAAATCATATCTAGTTTGTCCTCCTCAATTCCAATACCGGTGTCTGAGACCGAAAATTCGAAGGCGTATTCGTCCTTAACTTTGCATACTTCCCTTGTTGACTTGCTGATTGTAAGTTTGACCTCTCCGTGCTCAGTAAATTTAATGGCATTTCCAACCAAATTCAAAATAATCTGTCGCAAGCGGAACGGGTCTCCAATCACATAGTCGGGAACGGAGCTATCGACTTGATATGTGAGGTTGAGGAGCTTCTCGTTTGCCTTGACAGCAAGAGTCTTTAGGGCATTAAAGACGGTTCCTCGAACAGTGAAAGGGATTTTCTCGATCACCATTCGGTTGGCTTCAATCTTGGAGATATCCAAAATATCATCGATAATTGTCAATAGGCTGTTAGCAAGACTGTGCACAACATTCAACATTTCACGAGGGTATGGTTTCAAGTCTTCAGTGTCAAGCGTCAATTGGGTCATGCCGATGATACCATTCATGGGTGTTCGGATCTCATGACTCATATTAGCAAGGAATTCTGATTTGGTGCGATTAGCAAGTTCTGCAGCTTCACGAGCTTGCGTATTTCGCTGGATACTATCTCGCAAATTCGAAACCATCTTGTTGATTTTGCGTTTAAGCTCATCCATTTCACCAGAAGCATTGACTGTGATAAGCTTCGTGAAATCACCATCAGTTGCAGCGTCTGTAATTTCGCCGAAAGCACGGACTTGTGCCGTAAGATTGTCAGCCATAGTATTGACGTCTTCTGTAATTTCCTTCCATCTACCAGAGATGCCTTCAACATTGGCTTGACCACCCATTTTGCCATCAACTCCGACATCTCGAGCGACTCGTTTCAATTCGTGCGCAAAGTTGGCAAGGCGATCAACCATGTTATTGATAGTATCTTTCAGTGTAAGGATTTCTCCCTGGGCGTGCACTTCAATCTTCCTGCTAAGGTCACCCTTTGCAATGGCTTGTGTAACATCTGAGATTGCACGAACTTGAATGGTCAAATTTTGTGCCATAGTATTGACATTATCTGTCAAATCCTTCCATTTGCCTTCAACATTATCAACCTTTGCTTGACCGCCAAGCGTGCCGTCAGTGCCGACTTCACGGGCAACTTTGCTAACTTCAAATGCAAAGGTATTGAGACGGTCCACCATGCTATTAATGGTGTTCTTCAGATCCAATATTTCTCCCTTCACATCCGAAGTTACTTTCTTCGTGAGATCTCCTTTCGCGACGGCGGTTGTTACATCGGCGATTTCTCGAACTTGGGTAGTCAAATTCATAGCCATGCCGTTGACATTTTCTGTAAGATCTTTCCATGTACCCTCAACATCATGCACAGTAGCTTGACCACCAAGTACACCATCTGTGCCGACTTCTTTGGCAATTTTGGTAACCTCTTGGGCAAATTGCTTGAGCTGGTCAACCATGGAGTTGATGATGGTCTTCATAGCCAAAATTTCTCCCTTACAGTTTGCTTTTACCTTTTGAGTAAGATCACCCTTAGCTACCGCGGCGGTAACCGTCGCGATATCACGGACTTGAGTACTCAAGTTTTCAGCCATGGCGTTCACGTTCACGGTCAGCTCATTCCACATCCCTTGGACACCATCAATTTGAGCTTGGCCTCCAAGCACACCTTCAGTACCCACGTCACGAGCGACACGGGTAACTTCAGTAGCAAAAGTCCGAAGCTGGTCCACCATAGTATTGATAGTTTGTTGGAGTTCGAGAATTTCACCCTGACCCCAGCTCTTAATCTTTTGGCTAAGATCGCCATGGGCGACAGCAGTGGTAACTGTGGCGATTTCTCGGACTTGATTGGTGAGATTGGATGCCATGAAATTCACATTGTCCGTCAGCTCTTTCCAGATGCCATGAACACCAGTGATTTGAACTTGGCCTCCAAGGATACCTTCGGTTCCTACCTCTCTTGCTACCCTGGATACTTCACTGCCAAAGACTTGGAGTTGATCCATCATGGTATTGATCGTACGTTTGAATGATGTGATTTCAGGGTCCATTTCAAGGGGGTGAATCTGTACCTTCATCGAAAGGTCACCGTTTGCAACCTGAGTAATGATTCCACCTATTTCCCTCAGGGCTTTCTGGAAGGCTTCGTTTGCTTGTTGATGTTTTCGGAGCTCTCGCTCCAGGATACCGACATCTTCATGTTCCACTTTCACGAGAGCCTGTTGTGTGCGCTCTTCCTGCTGCCGCAGCTCTTCCCGTATTTTAGAAATTATATCTTTCTGGAGCTGAATCTGCTCAGCTTGTAGCTGAACTCGGTTTCGTAAATAGCTGATGTTGTCTTCATAGTTGTCCTCGCTGTCACTCTCCTCTCCATTAACTTCCTCGCTACGCTCGACTGAACCTTCCGCACTTCGTCCGTTGTTCAGGCTGCGAGAACTCATCAAGCTTGAGGTGCGCCCGGATCGCCGAGAGGGCGGCTGTAGAAATGTTAGATACCTTTGGGTTCAAAATACATCTCTGAGAAGCATCAGCAGAACGGTAGATTGGGCCTTACCACAAAGGTTTGCATAGTATTCACCCTCCGAACGAGAGCTGATAGCTCTTTTTCCAGAGCAGCCTTGCCGTCAGAATCTTCTCCTGGAAGCTTGACTTTGGCGGCATCAAGGCCATTTATCGGTGGGTTTGCTTTATGGCCATTGAATGGCAAAGCCATGGACTCGGGCACATCCTTGGCGAGCCCCTGTATGATGGCCACCGCTGCCGCTAGGGTCTCGTCACTGGTAGCCATCCTGCAGTACTCGAGGCGAGCCTCTTTCCACCCTTTCCCAGGTGGGGAAGGTCGATGTGTCTTTGGGAAACACGGGGTGGGGGAAACGACGTGCGTGAAACACTGGGTATACTAAATGAGCGGAATCGACATGGGTGCCGGGACTGGAGGTGAGAAGAGACTGTTCAGGCGCAGCGGCGAGGAAAGAACGGGACAGCACACTGCGAGCGGTCGGAGGAGAGCAGGATCGAGAGGTGTCGTGGGAGAGATAGAGAGGGTCGGCCGGCAGGCAGGCAGGCAGGCAGTTGGGCAGAGCGCGGAGGGAGAGTGCAGATGCGGAGGCCTCTGCGCGGAGGAGATGAGGTGCAAAGAGGGTGGGTGGTGGTAAGATATTTGGTTTTCGTATGGTTTCCAAACGGGTGGTAACTTTGCCAGCAGCGCTAGGCCGAAACGGGGCTGGCTGCGACTGGTCCTGAGCCCCCGCTCAGTTCGGGCCTCCAGGGGAACCGCCATGTGAGGCTGGGCTGGAGAGCCGGCGCGCGCTGCTCAGATGGCCCTGGCTGTCGACTTCCTCTAGATGTGACGCCGCCTGCAGGATGCGGCGCCGGCCTGGGGTTGGCTTGTGGTACCACAGAGTTCCACCGATGACGCTGCACATACCACCACGACAACAGGCTGGGCGTGGTGCAAGACGCGAGGGCTGTGCGGATAGGCCAATACGCCAAGCGACGCCGGGTGCGTGCCCAGAACCGCAAAGCGCACGCACACGCCGGGCTGTCTGTAGGGTGGGGATGGGCGGCCTGTTGAGAGTCAAAATGGGCAGTTGACATTTCTTCCTTCGGCCAAGAGGATCTGCCCTAGTAACCACCCTCCATCGTGTGACGGTGCGTCAAGAGCGCGGGAAGCTGACTGGGCCAGCTCGACTCCGCTTGTCGCACTGGCACCATAGGACCCCGACAAAACACTTGCCCAATTCGCCGTCTGGGGCGTCTGATGCATGCAGGTATCCATCCACAGACGATGCCTGATGTGCTGCACACCCGGAGCTTGCACCTGCGCGGGCGTATGGACCACGGTTGTTCGGTTACGGAGTACAATCTTTCCATACATCCATACACGCTGTCGTGAATGACGCCGTTTTTCGTCCGATAACATTGCCGACAGCGGCTACTGAACACCATGTTGTCCCACCTGCCCGCATGATGTCCAAATCGGGACCCGACAACTCGTAATCTGCCGTATCAGCCTCGCCCGGCATGCACTGCTTGGCCGCGTCGACTTCTTCCACACCCACAACCATTGCTGAACGGCTGGGCTAAGCCAGATGGAAGAGTCCGCTGAGCAGTTTGAGGCCCGCCTGCCCTGCAATTATGGTCCCAGATTGCGTTTTGCAAATCCCGCCGGATTTCCCACCGCCAGACGCTTTTGCCAGCGATGCCAGCTCGCTGTGTGAATCTGTGAAGGAAGCAAAGTGGCTGAAAGATCTCTACACCCCCCAGGGTTTGATTAAGGTAGCAGCATGGCCCCCCTGCTTTTATATTTTGACGTATACTAAAATCAGGGGGTAGATAGTAGACCACCCAGTGCCCCTTACACGGGCTACTTCAAAAGGGCTACATAGCGCAGCGTTCAAGCATGCCTTATATCTGCCCGAGTTTCCAAAAACCCGGCCCGATAGCCATACCTACGTGATCAATGTAAAAGGCTGGGATGAGGAAAAGGTCCATAATATTATTGAAGGCGTATGACTGAGACTCTGCAGGCTCCGATATTTAACTGAATCAGCCATAATAGATACATTATTCCCATCGACGTTGCCATGGGCGGGCAACTGTATTCTGCACGTTCTTAAACTGTTTCGTAAGGAAGTCAACATACCGTTGTACAGGAATAAAATCATGTCAATACCTTGATCCACTGCTTAGAGACGTTTGTCACTCGGAAGTCAACGAACAGCTATGGCAATATGTTCAAAATACACAACAAAAGCTAAATGCATCAGTGCCAGAAGAAGAGAGAAGGGCAACAATAACGTACGTGCTATTATTTGGTTGAAATATATATTTGGGGCGCTAATATGGTCTAAAGATACTATCGAAATATAAGTAAGCAGTTTGAGCTAAAGACAGCTTGTAAGAATTGGACCGACTCATGTCGGTTGATAGTCCATTTATCCCAACGCCCGGTATAGTATAGACTCGAAAAGATGTCTCTTCACTTGTGAAATGACATTGATGGCTGTACTAACTCTTCACAGGACTTGTGTCATCCCTTTGTGGGTTGTATAAATGCGATAAACTGCTCAGAGCCGGAAGGTCGAAAATCGCATTATTGCCGATCGCTTTCTGGTACAGACTCATTGGTTGTTGACTATCTGAAGAGAATATGCGAAACAGGAGACGAGAACCCCCCGAAACAAACTTGTGGAATTGTACAACAAACGAGAACAAGAGCAATTAGCTGTTGTAAGTCCAAATCATACTCAGTTGCAGCGAACCCGTGACTAAGTAGACTGTATATGACAGGTGTTTCACACCCTCAAGGTCTTGGGGTGCTGCAGAAACGGAACTGCAATGTGACATTTACAGTTATGGTTCCTGCAGATCTTACTAAATGTCATTTTATTTTATTTATATCCCATGGTGTTCATAATCATGTACCCCCACCGCCACATTTGGAAGCAGAAGAGATACTTGAAGATGTTCCTGTGATACTTCATCGACTTAAGGCTAGCCAGGAAGCTGCAGAAGGTGAAAACAAGATCCTCAAAGCACCCCTAAAGCTTGACATCAGCTCATATCATCTAATTTCCAAATAGTAATATTCCTACAGAATCCTCATGTCCAATCATTTTGCAACCAACATAATGGCCAGACATTTTTGCGAATTCAAGAGTGTTTTCTTAGAATGGATAAGTATATCGCGACTTCTCTGAAGGAACAAATTTTAATGTATCCCCATGGAGAGGAAATTCAACGGATGATGTTTGACTATCAATATGATCCTCCTTTAAAGGTAATGATAATGTATTAAACATTCGTACCCTCCAAGACAGAAAGACTGACGTATGTAGACTTATGTAAAGGGAATATTCAACGACCGTCATGGCATCACAGTTGTTTGCAGCCCTAATGAACAATTTAAAGCTTTTCTACGACTCACGTCTTTTAAGATTGATATATACTATAAAAGAGTGCAGTCAAACGGTTTTTACTATAATGAAGTAGTATTTTCAGGCTTTCCAAAGAAAGATAGCAAAGGTCAGAGAACAGAATCTTGCCTGAAATACCCTATAAGTTAACTAAGATACAGCCCCAGCTCCAGCGTTTTTACGAGTTTTTACTCTCCTAGAAAATGCTCTGGAGTATTGCACCTTGTTCCACCGCGCGTTTGGGTGTCTTAGCCACTTATGCAAGGGTGCAGTCAAGTTTCACCATATACACCGACAAGGAATTCGCGCAGTTGTTATGTCGCCCGAGTCGATGCTACTAGCAGGTATATACGTGGTGCCTTCTTCTTTACACTCTTCATATACACCAGATCGTGTTAGGCAATATTTTCTGATTATCTGAACTAAGGACTGGGGAATTACCTGAACCAAATCGATCCAGCACATCGCCCTTGGCAATGGCAGCTACAACATGTCATCGTGTTCTCGCCTGTCTTATTTGAGCTTGGAGTTGATACGACGATTGATGTCGGATGTCCGAATTTCGGGACCCAAGTCTCTAGGATTAAAGAAAAAATGATGACACTTACAACGGTTAGGTCCTGGGACGAATACACCGAAATCTGTAAACAGCTTTGCGGTACGATTTCCTCGGGGCGTTACCTTATAGGCTAAAATTGACAAAAGGAAACTGCATAGATGACGGGTGTGCTTCCAAACGAGTAAAAGATTGGGCCCGCCACAAGGCCAGCTCAGTGATAGCTGCCGGAATCAATGAGAACTTTTCATTGATAGAAAGACGAACTTACCGTAATATTCGCCTGCGTCTTTCTGAGAGGGAGCCAAAGTTTGTTGGCCCTCCACATGGAATTTATCAGTCCCTTGTTGTAGCTGTTCGAGAGTACGTGCTTTCTGTCCAGGAGAGGAAATCATTGAGGGTTGGGAGTACTTACAAATCCGCAGTGCCCTTTTTTCCGACAGTCAAATTGCATATGTACCCCCTTATGGCGAGATAGGTATTGCCCTCTCGTGGCGTTTGTTGATGTTTTCTATTGCTAATTAAGAAAAAGAACCAAGAAAACGCAAGCTCCAGGATATCGAAAGAGACAGCAGTGTTATCAATACGACAAACGACGATGTACATAATAATGAAGCTGCACCCATCTTCATCAATGAAAAACGTAATAACAACCAGGACAATAGCCCATTCCTGCATATACGCTCAGAAAATACAACACGACAGCAAGAGTGCCACTTTCCAAGGTATGCACGTATTTTATTCATCTATCTGCCCAAAACATCACTCCATCTCCAACATTAGTACTTTCTAACCTTTTGAAGCCCACCTAAGTTAGATCGTCTGGTGCACCTGGACTCACGCCATCATCAGCCCATATATAACCGTTTAGTTGATAACACCTATGAAGGCCAAGTCAGAGCTCTTGAACATCGTAAGAAGAGAGCTGAACTAGAAAGGTTAGAGATGGACATAAAGTTTCGGGAATTGGATCTGATTCAAATGCGCCGAGATTTGGAGCAAAAGCGAGCTCAACTAATGGGATACCAGGCGCAAGCCTGAGCGTGGACTTTGAAAAAGCTCAAAATGTTTGCTATTGGTTGGAAATCTCCGCAAACAGGCATGAGGGAAATTGAAATCGAAGCGCTGCATGATACATCATTATTCTCCTTGGTAAACGTCTATCGTTCGTTTTTCGCTGGTTCAGCGCCGAATATCACCCTTTTTTACGGAGTACAGGCCAACCGAAGCCAGGCGTATTGAAACACCCAGCAATACTCTGTACGGAGTACAAACAGCGTAATACCGGGTATCCAGCGTTTGCCGTTACGGATGGAACGTTACGAGGGAATGGAGCCGGCATTCCTCTGGCATCCTATTGGCTGCGGCATCTTGGATCAACATTGTCAAACAGTGCAAACTCCCAACACTTGCAGATGTGCCTTTGTATAGGAGGGGTTCTTTGTAGGTATAAAAAGTGTTTGTTCCCTGAATTGACAACCTGCAGTATGCTGTGCATCATGTACCGGCATGAGAGTGTTTGAGCGGCTTCTCAGTACAAGTAATTGCACCACGGCTGATTTTGGAGTAGGGGACTCTGGGTCTTGCTACTTTAATTTCGAAGGGCTAGATGTCGTTCAGACGATCTGGTGCCAGATGGCTAGCTGTACATAGATGGAGCCATTCCGGAACATGAAGTCGATGCGGTATAAACTGTTCAGCCATTATTTAGGTGTGGGCCAAAAGTAAGCTTCCTGCACTCTAGCTTGTTGCACGTGACATGTGCTGTCGCCCGCCCAAATGCGTCTTTGGTCAGAATAGGCAACCCAACAAAAGTGAAGAGTCATCGCGAGCTACCTAGAGCGTCGTGACTCCTGTACCCCAACTCAAGCAGACGGAGGTATTCGCGGTGAAGATCCTATTCACCCCTTCATCGCGATCATGGCTTCCGACCTTACGCCTCAGGTCCTAGACGCCCTAGCGTCTAGCAACGATCCGATTCTGTCTAGCGATGCCTTCCCCTCCGCCCCACCAACGTCCGTAAAATCCGCCCTGGATCGTTTGAGCTCCAGAGATATGGTGCAATATGAGACGATAGAGCGAGAAGAGGCTATTTTATCCGAAGAAGCCGAAGGAATTGTTGCCAACGGCAGTCACGAGGCGAAGGTGTTCGAAGCTGTTCGTGCTGCATTGGATGGACTGAAAATAAGTGAACTACCTAATATCGTTGGGAAAGATGTAGCAAAGGTTGGCTCGGGGAATGCGTTCAAGAAAGGGTGGATCAAGAAAGACAAGGAAAATTTAAGGGTGGCTACGGATTCTATTGAAGACACTGCCCGAGAACAGCTACTCACTATCAAACAAACAAAAACATATTCCGATGCCAAAATTTTAGCCGATTTACGAAAACGAAAACTCATCACGATGCAAAAAGTCATCACTTATAGAATATCCAAAGGCCCCAAATATGCTAGAGAATTTGTGAAAGAGCAAACCGATCTCACAGTGGATATGCTTGCAGATGGATCATGGAAGACCGCAAATCTGAAACCATATAACTTCAATGCGAAGGGTGCGGTAACTCCTAGCGGTGCGTTCCATCCTTTGAACAAAGTACGCCATGAATTCAGACAGATTTTTTTCGAGATGGGGTTCGAAGAGATGCCTACAAATCGCTTTGTCGAGACAGGATTCTGGAATTTTGACGCTCTCTATGTGCCTCAGCAACATCCAGCTCGTGATCTTCAAGATACCTTTTATATCTCAGATCCGCCACGCGCAGATAAACCTCGTGAGGACCCGGAAAGTGACCCTCATCTATCCAAACCTCCGAGCCAAACCAACTACTCAAAAAATAGCCCAGAAGCAGCATTAGACTATGAACAATATTGGAAAGACGTTCATGCCGTTCATGAGACTGGTAAATATGGCTCTATTGGTTATCGATATCCATGGAGTGAAGATGAATCCTTGCGACTTGTCCTCCGAACACACACAACGTCGGTATCAGCTTACATGCTCCATAAGCTGGCACAAAACCCACGACCAGCGAGATATTTCAGTATTGACCGTGTTTTTCGCAACGAGGCCGTTGATGCCACACATCTTGCTGAATTTCATCAAATTGAAGGAGTTATCGCCGATTTTGGATTATCCCTCGGTGGGTTGATTGGCTTTATGGAAGTCTTCTTCGCAAAGATGGGCATCCATGGCCTCCGTTTCAAACCTGCATATAACCCGTATACTGAACCTAGTTTGGAGATTTTTGGATACCATCCCACTTTGAAAAAATGGGTGGAGATAGGTAATAGCGGTATGTTCAGGCCGGAGATGTTGGCGCCGATGGGGTTGCCAAAGGACATGAGAGTCTATGGATGGGGTTTGAGTCTTGAAAGACCAACAATGATCAAGTAGGGTTTTTTTAAAAGCACCTGGGAGTATGACAATGTTAACCAAGCTTATAGATACGGTGTGAGCAATATTCGCGAGCTTCTCGGTCACAAAACGGATCTTACTTTCATTGAATCTAATCCAGCTGTCCGTCTAGAAAAAGATTAGACAGTTTCTATTTTGAGATGAGAGATGAAATATATGACGTCTAATTAGGCCTCCAATGAGAAAACTAAAAATTTACTCTTGAAAGCAGTAATGCTTCAAATAAGAAAGCATCAAATCAACTCTAGTTTCTTGGTCTCTATTATTAATGCATGTCCCGCCCGTATCTGTGCTCCAACGTGTAAGCTTGATCGTTACAGCTCTTCAGGTGGCGAAAATTTATATCCCGGCTGGATGTTTGAGATTTCTACCTCCTCACTCACAGAAGAAAAGCCATACCTTAAACAGGCATGGAGTGAGGAGGCCTTGATGTGCCGGTTGACAAAGTTACTACGGGTGTTGTAGGGGGGAATAACAAAGCGAGGTTGAAACCAAGTCACGCGGAAAAGGATATTTTGAATTATTCTCTTCGTGAAAAACAAAAAAAAAAATTGCTTCAAAGAAATTGTCCAGGGACTTGAAAACAGGTCTAGCTAGCGACAAGGCAGAAGTTTCCAGGAAACCGGATGGCAGATGAGGATGAAACAGATTTCGTCCAACGAGCAATTCGTAATGCCTTTTGTGGTTGTCGCATAAAAGATCCGTCGTGCCTAAGAGAAATACGGCATATGTATGTTCTCGTAGACTCTAGCAAACCCAGACTCTAATTCCCCTTATTTCACGAAATAACCTGACTGGAGAAAACGTGTAAATGTTAGCAACAGCACTCGTTCGATTTCTTTATCAATAATTGTCGGTAAGATGAAATCCCCACATACCCCAAAGTCATTTTCCGTATGTCGTTATTCCATGTCGAGCTGCGCGAGCATTTATCGCTGAGCACTAGCGCTCCACACGTTCTTCAAGAAACCATCGCGCTGAGCAAGACGGTTCAAGCTGTCATCACTCTCGCCTCTGGCCCGTACGAATCCACAAAGAGCATAGACCTGGTTTTCGCCAGTGTAGCGGCCATTCTCGTCAACCTTGCCGACGCTGATCTGTACAGAAGCGTGGTCCTTGGCTTTGATAATGCGGTTGGTAGCACTGCACTTGCGTGGGACGTAGCTATTTATTTTTGTTTGTGATGGTCAGCGGATTATCCGAAACGAAAAGATTGCAAAAAAAAATGAAGAATTATTCTTGGCGGGGGAAGCAGAAGTACGTACAGATCGACGATTTCTCCCTTCTCGTTCTCCATTTTGGCGAAATTGGTAGCGTGTGTGGTCGCTGGTTAAATGGGAGGAGGAAGTTGAAGCGTTGCTCGTGAGGCGATGTTAGTCGATGTTCTGATGTCGTTTCGATGTTCTGTGCGATCCGATTGTGGGTCATGTGATCTACCGCCTGCAGTGGCCATAATGAATATGGTCGTGCATGTATGGATGGAGGATAAGCCATCACATCTTAGGATGCATTCTCGAATTCATTATCCAGTTAAGTTCTAATACATCTAAAAGGGTATTCTACAAAGATATATTCGTTATCACAGTGACCCTTTCGTGGGAGCCACCTCGCTTCTCCAGCGAATCTCTACCTCTCGTGGGCCTTCCTTGCTAAAACGAGCGAGCACAACTCTGTCTACTTCTCCTTTCTTACCTGAATCTTTGAGCTCTGGCCCGCCATGGCTCAGGTCGAGAATTTGCCTGCCATCCGCAATTGTGCCCATTGGCGTGGGACAGATAAACTTATGAGTCCAGGGAGGGCTTCCGGAGTGGGCAAATTTAACCAATTCGGACCGTCTTCTGGTTGACTCTTCTGCAGAGATAGCTTGTCGATTACCTCCATTAGAACCAGCCTTCTCAAGAAATTGGGCAACAAAATCAAGCAGAAAGACCTGTGGTGGGAACATAATAACATCTCCTGTTCTAGCGCGGCGGAGCCACTCCGTCGCGGGGAGAAATTGTGCCTCCGTTATTTCGATGCCTCCGTCGGACGAAGGGACCTGGACCTCAGTATTTCCCGCGATATCCGAGATATCACCATTCGATGGCGGGAGAAAATAAAGATACATCTGCGTTGTAAAGCGACGCGGGTTTCTTTGCGGTGTTATCCAATGCGTAAAAGGCACAAGAGGGTCTAGCACGCACACAAGTGGCAAAATCTTTGATCAATAAGACCGTCCTGTACATAAAATTAAGAAGTTCGCTTGATCGGGGTATCTAACCAGTATCAGGTGCGGCTGCGGGATCCTGGTTCTTTAGCCATTTATCAAAAGTAGTTTTATCCATGTGAATCGCGTGCCGGCCCTTTTCCCTCTCTTCTGCACTGACATGGAGCATCTGGCCTGTCGCTGTATTTTTAGCTAGTAGAATCCCACTCTCTTCAAACAATTCCCTTATTGCAGCCCGGCGATAATGAATTCCTTCATCATGGCTGTCTGGGTGGCCGGCGGGTGGAAAATCACCGTCTTGAGGCGAGATCGTTCCTCCAGGGAATACATGCGCCGAGGGAAATGAGGAAGATGTCTTGACACGATGGAGCAACAGGACTTCATTCTGAGGAGAAATCAAAACTACACTGCCGAGTGTGTTAGACAGCTTTGAGGCACAAGATAGTAAACACTGGACTCTTGCAAGCGTACCTAGAGCTGGGTCGGGGTATCTTATAATCGATTTTTGCTTTCGGTTTCGCATTTGGGTCCATGATACGATACTGAGGTAATCGGCGTATAGTCGAGTAAAATGTCGTTCGCTGGAATGCAAAGGTTGTTGGTCTGTTGAATATTGCCGATAACTGGTGGCGGGGAAGTAATTGGAACTCTTTGCCAGGGAAAGTAAAAAGCATAGCTCCTCTCCTAAGAAGGATTTCAAGAGCTTTTATCCGAGCTCACACACACACACATTTCAGTCGCCGGTGATTCGGCTGCCCATGATGATTTGCGGGGAAGCACAAGCGTGATTCTCCCGAGGCCCAAAACTCACCCATGCAAAGTTAATACCGCCGAGGATAACACCTCTACTCCGTACCCAGGCAGGGTTTCAATATTTTGCGCCCGGCTTTTGGGCAGTACAGATATCCTGTGGGACTCGTTACATAGGTGTCGCCATAGGTTGTATAGAGTGTGGTGCTGGGCGGTCGGGTGATTAAAACATAAGGAGATTACCAAGTCATCAAAAGTTGATTGCCATAATATGACTGAGATTAATTAGGTGTGCATTTAATGCTGTGTATTTAAATCATGTAGGGGACACTTTTATTGCTGATGAACTAGGCTTTACAGCTCCACCAACTCCTTGTTGTCAACACAAATTTCAAAAACGCCATAACAAATGAATAAGTATTAGGGCATACTACTTCATGGCTTAAGAGTAGAGTTTCTTGTCATAGCTGTGAAGGCCATGAACATTACCTTCTGCCTGAGCGCTTGCCGTGCGGACTTCAAAACGGACAGTACCGTTATTCACATTGTCATGTAGCTCATGCAAACTCTTTTGGCCAATGTCCTGAAAGGAATGTTGGATACCAGCAATGAGGTAAGGCACAAATTTTGTGATAGATCCACGATCAAGAACAGAGCCCGATACTCCTTGGGCCACAAGAAGACGGTCTCCCTCGGAAAAGTATCTGGCAGTTCCAGCTGTGTTCGAGGCTTGGCCCTTGGCTCCGCCTCCAGCTTTCTTTTCCTCCATAGCGTCAATGCTACCCATACCACGGTAAGCCTTGACTAGCTGGCCTTCCCGACTGACAAAGTATTCCCCTGGAGACTCAGTGGTTCCGGCAAGGAGGCCTCCCATCATAACCGTGCTGGCTCCGAGAGCAAGACCTTTGACAATATGGCCAACGTTCTGGATACCACCATCAGCAATGCAAGGAACACCGAAGCGAGACGCAAATTGGGTAACGTTGTATACAGCGGCGGCCTGTGGGCGTCCCACAGCCATGACCTCCTGGGTAATGCAGGCACTACCACTTCCCATTCCGATTCGCAAGCCGTCAACGCCGGCAGCAATCAAGGAGGCAGCCTGCTCTCTGGTGACGACATTTCCGCCAATGACGTCAATCTCGGGGAATGTCTGTTTAATATATTTGATCATTTCAATTTGGTACATACTGTTCCCCTGGCTGCTGTCCAGAATGACAATGTCTAAACCAGCATCGACAAGTTTCTTGAGTCTGTCCTTATCTTCCGGGCGGGTGCCAATTGCTGCAGCGCAAATAAGCTGCTTCGAGTGTGGTAGCTTGGATGACAATGGATAATGCAGGTTCTTCATGAGGTCAGATCGCGAGAGAAGAGAAACAAGATTTCCATTTTCGTCAACAATAGGCAATTTGCCTTTCTTTGAGCTCCGCAAGACTTCGTTTGCCTCGGCCAGGGTTGTACCAGCGGGAGCAGTGACAAGATCTGTCGACATAACGGCGGTGACTGGTTCGTTTAAATCGGGGTGGAATTGAATATCCCGAGAAGTGACAATACCAACTAGTTTTGAGCGAAGTGTACCGTTTTCTATAATAAGTTAGATGCTGTTGCTAGCCATCAACAAATAAAAATATGAAAGGGTTATTATGGGTTCTCAGGAAATCTACTCTACATAGCAACTTTCGTTGCTTCAGTTGAACGAAAGTTATGATATTTAGATTGATAGCATCATGGAAATGGGGGGCCGAAAATGTTCAAAACACAGATGTACATACCTGTAACTGGAAATCCACCGAAGCCCCATTTAGCCTTTAGATCCTTTGCTTCCGCAACAGTGGTCTTGGGGGATATGACCACAGGGTCGAGGATAAAACCATTTTCGAATCGTTTCACCTTTCTCACCATCTCTGCTTGGTCCTCGGCGGAGCAATTGTGATGGATCACACCGAGACCTCCAAGGAGGGCCATGTGGATTGCCATAGAGTGTTCAGTAACAGTGTCCATCGGCGAAGAAAGTAATGGGGCCTTCAAGGATATGCGCTTTGTAACAGGTGATTCCAGGTTCACATCCGAAGCTGGAAAGCCTATTGGGGTGAAACAAATCAGTCTCTTGGCCACGGTCATAGATTGGCGCCTGCTTTGGGCATACCGATATAACCAGGAAGAACTAGGAAATCGTTGTAGGTGAGAGCACCACGCTTGTCTGAGTCGAGTAAATCCTTAATACCCAAACCATCACGGGACTGATAGTCTGATTTTAGCACATCCAAAGCCTTAGAGTAGTCGGGGAACTCGATGGAGCCACCCAGGCGCTGGACAGCACTACCAAAGGCGTCTCCATTGGAGATAGGCATCGCGGAAAAGAAAGATATATCTTTTGCCAAGTATGGCGAAACGACGAGATATGTGAGATAAAGAAAAAGACCGTCAACAGAAAGAAACGTCCTGCCGGCGGGGAGAAAGCAGCTTTCCCAAGGAGAGGAAAAAAAGAGAGAGAGAAATTTGAGAGAAATCGGAATTTATTTTGTTGTGGGGAGCCGCCTAGCCGCTAGCAGTCTAGCGTGGACCTTATCAAAACCCATCATTTAAGGGCAGCCAGATGCACACCAGAAGGTGTGCTTTCAAGCTGTATTGTTGTTCAACGTTCCAGCTGATAGAATGCTGGTGTGTGCTTTGTCTTTCATTGCAAAATGCAGATGGTGGCTGCAGCTGCACTTCGGGCGCCACATTTGTCCTCACCCCGCATGCATGTACAATCCGATGGCCGTTTAGATATGAATCACGTGAAGATATCAAAGCGTCATGACTCAGCCAAGCAAGCTAGCTGTATTTGGCACTTTGTTTTGATGTTTCCCCCCACGTCCGTCAACAACCCTGTTCGAAGTCCCGCCGCCAACCTGACATCTCTCGATCGTGCATTAAATTGAACCATAAGGACTTCAGCTCTGGACACATAACTGCCAACCGATCTTCCATACACTCCTAGCTTTTTATAACAAAATTGGGGTCGTGCTCTCTTATTCCAGCACACCAGTCCACGCGGAACTCACGAAATCCTTACAGCTTCCATCAACCATGAGCCGGCATGCGCGAAATTGAGAGGCATAAGGCTGCTTTGCTACTATATTCTTCTCCGCGTTTTTACCTCCTTTAATCGAAATGTCATATCAGTTTCCTCTGAAGCGAGTACAATCCGATTTGCCGAAGTGCTCCAGTCCCTTGCGCCATGACTCCACAGCATCAACGAACTCTTCGACTTATTCCACATATACCAATTCGTTTATGCCGAGCCGTACGAGCACGCTTACCTCTCATGCATCAAGCATTTATCGACCCGGAACCCCAGAGTATAAAGGAGACCGTGGCACAAGAGGGGTGAACGGTCAGAAGGAACCAGAGGGCAGGTCAAGTCCCGGAGAAACTTATGAAAATGTTCGCCGATCCTTGCGGCCGCTTCCACAGGCCCCAAATACGACACCTCCGAAATCAAAAGTCTCCTCGTACCATGCGCGCCGCCAAACCGTCGTCGACCCCATTCCACGTCGCGATCTCCAGCCTATACACAACGAGGAAAATGTGGTGCCAAGGGAAAAGGTTCATGGTTTTGATTCAAAGCCGGATGTGAATCGCCGAGTGTCCCATACACGAACGAGATCCAGCCCAAACCCACCAGTCCTCACAGCTACGTTGACTGCGCCCGAACTCCAAACTCTAGGAAAATCTTCAACAAGACATTTTCGAACTCTTTCTAAACTCACTCAGTCCGAGAGCGAGGAGTTTGCCATCACAAATTTGACACCATCGGTTGTGGGGCTACAAGGTCGTCGTCAGCTCAAACGCACTGATTCGGTTCGTGGAGTCCAGCCTGCGACAGATTTGCAGAGGAACAGCCCAGCACCATGGCTGCAAAGAGATTGGATGGACAAGCAGAGACAATTTTTACAAGCATATGAATACCTCTGCCATATTGGTGAGGCGAAAGAATGGATTGAGGATATTATACACAAGCCAATACCAGCAATTGTTCAATTGGAGGAAGCTCTTCGTGATGGAATCACCCTGGCCGAAGTGGTGCAGGCTCTATACCCACACCGACTATTTCGAATCTTTCGGCATCCCAAACTACAATTTCGCCACTCAGATAACATCGCTCTCTTCTTCCAATTTCTAGACGAGGTTGAGCTGCCAGAGGTATTTCGATTTGAACTAATCGACCTTTATGAGAAGAAAAACATGCCCAAAGTTATACACTGCATTCATGCACTCTCCTGGCTCTTGTTTAAAAAGGGAATTGTTGACTTTAGGATCGGAAACCTAGTTGGCCAACTAGAATTTGAGCATCATGAGCTTGAACAAACACAGCGAGGGCTCGAAAAAGCCGGTGTTCCTATGCCTAGCTTTTCTGGAATGGGTGAAAGCTTTGGGGCTGATCTGACACCAGAGCCAGAGCCGGAACCAGTTGAGACGGACGAAGAAAGAATAGCCAGAGAACTGCGAGAAACCGAAACATCAATATGTGATTTGCAGGCACAGGTAAAAGGCGCTGTCTTACGTCTCAGGCTTGGAAACCTAATGCAGCAGCTTTGGGATAACGAAGGGATTTTAATCGACTTTCAATCAAGAATTCGAGGAGACTGGACGAGACAAATTATGGACTACAGGTTGAACATGCGCCGTTTTGCTTTAAACCTTCAAGGAGCCGTGCGCGGGTTTTTGGTTCGACGCAGGTGCCAAAGTCGGCAAGCAGGCTGCACGGCGGCAGAGCCTGCAATACTGGGTCTTCAAAGCTTAATTCGGGCCAAGCACGCCAGGTCTGGCATTCAGCACCTTCGTATACGGGCAAGAAGAGAAGAGTCTGGCATAAAATCCTTCCAAGCTGCTATTCGGGGAGCTCTGGCGCGGAAGGAAGCTCACAACCAGTATGAACAAAGCAGAGTCTCTGAACCACAAACCGAATTACTTCAGGCAGCTATCCGTGGAATGCTTGAACGACATGCTTTTACAAGTGATGTTTCGTTCCTCCGCCAAAATGCAAATCAAGGGGTTTTGCTTCTTCAGGCCGCCATTAGGGGTATGAACCAGCGGCAGAGCATCTCAAATGATGTATCAAAGCTTCGTAATGTTTCTAAACAGGAAGTTGACCTCCTTCAAGCAGTAATTCGAGGAATGTTAAAGCGGTGTGCTCTTGCACAGGAAGCTCTAGATCTTCAGAAGAATGCCGATGCGATCTTGCATTGTCAATCAGCTATTCGAGGGGTTTTGGAGAGGAAACGAAGAGCAGCTGATGTAAATACACTCGAGAGCTTTTCAAGCACCTGGTTGAAGCTTCAATCGATTACTCGTGGAAGTGCTCTGAGAAAAAGCCTGCAGGCTCTTCGAATGGAACTCCAGAAACAAGCTCCTGTCACTATTGAAATGCAGGCTGCGGCTAGGGGGATGTGCCTTCGTAGGTCCAATTCAGAGATCCGACTGGCTCTCAAAGCAGAAGAAGAAAAGATCAAGTCGTTACAGAGTCTAGCCAGAGCCTTTCTTTTGCGCCGAAAGATCGAGCAGGATCGGAAAGAACTTCTTAAAGAGAGCCCTCATATTACAACACTTCAAGCACTAGCACGAGCCTCCATTGTTCGCATCGATATTGGAAATCTTCTCGCTCAATTGGATGAAAGCATAGAAGATGTGACTGAACTGCAGGCACTCGTGAGGGCTATGCTTCTTCGAATCGACATTGGAAATGCACTGGCAGACCTTGAAGGCGAAGAAGATACTATCGTCGATCTTCAGTCCCATATACGGGGATTTGTGGTACGCTGCCATTTTGCAGAAAAACAGAAGTTCTATCGCGAAAATATGGAAAAGGTTATCAAAGTCCAAAGTTTCGTCCGGGCAAAGATCCAGGGGGATGCATATAGACGGCTAACGACTGGCAAGAATCCACCGGTTGGAACAATTAAAGGATTTGTACACCTTCTTAATGACAGCGACTTTGATTTTGATGAGGAAATTGAATTCGAGCGACTACGCAAAACAGTCGTGCAGCAAGTTCGGCAGAACGAGATGGCCGACCAGTATATTACACAGCTGGACATCAAGATTGCACTCTTGGTTAAAAACAAAATCACACTCGACGAAGTGGTTCGACATCAGAAGCATTTTGGAGGCCATGTTGGAGCTGTTTTACCAAATACTGATATTTCTTCAAAAGACCCCTTTGATCTGAAGGCTCTCAACAAGAATTCCAGAAAGAAACTCGAACATTATCAGGAACTCTTTTTCCTTTTACAGACGCAGCCCCAATACCTTGCGGGGATATTCCGACGAATGAAAGAGCAGGCAACACCTGAGAGAGAAAATGAACGTATCAAGCACCTCATTATGGGTCTTTTTGGTTATGCTCAGAAAAGACGCGAAGAATACTACTTGATCAAACTCCTCGTCAGATGCATCAAGGAAGAAGCGGATTCATGCTCCTCACTGCAAGATTATACCCGCTGTATATCTTTCTGGCATAAGCTATTTACCGCCTATACAAAGTCTCCTCGAGATCGAAAGTTCATGAAAGACCTTCTTGGCAATGTTGTCAAAGAGAATATTATTGATAACCCAGATCTTGATTTGGAAAGCGATCCTATTCAGATTTACCGGTCTGCAATCAACAATGAAGAACTCCGAACTGGGCAACGCAGCAGACGGCCACCAGATGTACCAAGGGAGAGGGCAATAAAGGACCCTGAGACTAGAGCAACCTTTATTCGCAATCTTCAAGACCTTCGCGATATTGCTGATCAAATTTTCAATGCCATGGAAGAATCACTACATCGCATGCCATATGGTGTCCGGTTTATCGCTAAAGAAATGTACGAATACCTCCTCTTAAGATTTGAAGAAGAAGATCGAGGATACCTACTTCAGGCCGCCGGCCAGTGGGTTTGGAAGACGTACCTCCAGCCAGCAATGATGGAGCCTGAAAAATCGGGCGTTGTGAATCACGCTCTCACCCAAGAGCAGAAGCGTAGCCTTGGTGAGATCAGCAAAGTTATTGCACAGGTTGCATCCGGACGTTTATTCGGCAGTGACAATGTCTATCTTCAACCCCTGAATGCGTACATTGCTGAATCGATTCAGCGACTAGGCGCCATCTGGGGCACTTGTAAATCTCACTTTCTTGGAAAGTACCTTAACATATGCTAACGAAGCTATAGTGATCACGGTACAAGATGCGGAGACTTACTTTGAAATCGACGAGTATAATGACTTATACGCAAAAACGAAGCCAACTCTTTACATCAAGATGTCTGATATTTTTTCGATACATCAGTTAGTTGCTGCGGAAATATCGCACGTTTGTGGCCAGGAAGATGCCTTACGAGAGATTATTCGAGATCTTGGGAGTGTTAAAAGCAATGAACATGAGCTGATGAGTGTCAGTTCCTCTGAAATCAGCCTTACACTTACCCCAAAGCTGCATAACGTTGAAGGTGAGCCTTTGAGATGGTTAATATGTTCCTGATTCTAACATATAAGTAGATCCTGACGCCGAAGTGAAAGCTCTCCTTATGGAAACGAAGCGATGTATTTTATACATCATTCGTGTGCAGTCTGGAGCTAATCTAATGGACATTTTGGTACGGCCTCCAACACCAGAAGATGAAGAGCGATGGGATACTCTCGTACGCGAAGAATTTTCTCATACCAGTCGGAAACGAGCCGCATACTCAGACGCCAATACTCTCGTTGATATCGGTTCTATGAGCTACCCTGAGCTGAAACGAACCGCGCTAGAGAATATTGTTCGCCTAGAGCAAGCAGGGAGGATTACGCGGTTCAATCAATATCAAGATCTCCTCAATGATATTGCACTCGATATTCGAACAAAGCATCGCCGGAGAGTCCAGCGTCAGAGAGAATTGGAAGGCGCACGTCTCACTCTTGACAGGTTAAACGACCAAGCCGTATACCTTGAGCAGCAGTTGAAGACGTACAACGATTATATTGAACAAGCCATGGTTACATTGCAAAACAAAAAGGGTAAAAAGCGGTTCTTAATGCCATTTACCAAACAATGGGACCACGAGCGTGAACTTCAGCGATCGGGCCGCGTTTTCAAGTTCGGCTCCTACAAGTATTCCGCACGTAATTTGGCGGACAGGGGGGTGTTGGTTCATTGGAAAGGATATACAGAGCGCCAATGGGATAGAGTTGATCTAACAATTTCTAGTAATGAAGTTGGCGTTTTCACAATCGATGGCAGCAGCGGTAACATGATGGTTCCCGGTGCAAATGCCCAAGTTCCCCTTGATGACTTGTTGCAGGCACAATTCAACAACACACAGTTTATGGATCTGTTCGAGGGCCAATTACGAGTGAATGTTAATTTGTTTCTGCATTTGATTATGAAGAAATTCTATAACGAATAAATAACCTGGATGTGACGAAAGATTATATGGTACGACTGCGATGTCAATAGGGATGGATTCAAGGTTTAGGATACCCTTTTTTGCTATATGTTGACTCTTTCCCTCAGTTTCATTTTTGATTTGCATATCCCATTCTGTTCTTAAAATATCATGGTTCAGGAGCACTTACGGTCAGCACGAATTCCTGTTCGACATTAGCAGAGAGCAAAGGGAGATTCTGGCTTCATTTGTTGTTTTTTCATCGTTTAAATTTCTCTTTACCCCAATATCAGCATCTCTCAACTTCTACCCGGCTGTTTCCGAATGCCTCCATCCATATCTCGGTTTGAGTTTTAAGCGTGCAATGTACTCCGTAGTGAGTGACTTTAGGCATTTGGTGGGAAAATATAACTCGTTATCTTGATGATACTATATTCCTATAAATATCGCACAATTCCTGTTCACTTTAATCTAGCCAATTCTACTCCGTAGCATGCCAAAAGCATTCCTCTGTTTAGCTATGTAGGATCCAACAGGCGATATGATTGGCCAACACGAAACTCGGCTCCACACCGGGCTTCATCGCCGCACTTCACGACTTTCGAGCTGCGACACGTAGTATCACGGTGTCTGCGCTCACGCTCCTGTTGACGCCTAGACACGCCTGTGTCTGAGCGCCTGATTTTGATCTCCCAATTGAGACATAACTTCCCAGCGCAGATTTCCAGCGCTCTGGACCAACACAGGCATCTCACCCCTGAAACTCGGGACTTTGGTTCTCGAGACCACCGCATTCCACGATGGATTTCAATTCACTCAAGGATCAGATCAGTAATCTGACCCTCTATGATGTGAAAGCCGGTGTACGAAAGGTTCAAAATGGTAAGTTGCGCTCCCATGACCTTTGCGACGTGGTGGCGACACATGCCCGCTGGGGCAAGCCTCTGTCCTGAAAGGATTAAACAGAATTGCTGACTATGTGACGTTTCAATAGCAATGATGAACTATACTGAGATGGAGTCGAAAGTCCGGGAGGCCACAAATAATGAACCGTGGGGTGCCTCGTCAACCTTGATGCAGGATATTGCAAACGGCACACACAACTAGTCAGTATTTGTCTATAATGTCCTACCGGATTGTACCATTTAAAATTGAGCCAACTGACTGTAGACTTCAGCCAACTATTGAATGAAATTATGCCTATGATTTACAGGCGCTTCACTGAAAAAACGGCAGAGGAATGGCGTCAGATTTATAAAGTACGGTATAGTGCCACTACGGAATCAAGAGATCTGAAATATAACTTGTGATTCTTCCTAGGCGTTGCAACTTCTCGAGTTTCTTATAAAAAATGGATCAGAGCGAGTTGTTGATGATGCGCGGTCTCATATCTCTCTTCTTCGCATGCTGCGTCAATTCCACTACATCGACAATAATGGCAAAGATCAGGGTATTAATGTTAGAAATCGTGCCCAAGAACTGGCAAAACTTTTGGGTGATGTTGAAGCCATCCGTGCGGAGAGGAAAAAGGCAAAAACCAATCGAAATAAATTTGGTGGCATCGAAGGTGGTATGGGTGGCTTCTCCGGCGGGTTTTCAGGCAGCTCTCGTTACGGTGGCTTTGGAAGTGATGATACCTCATTTGGAGGGTATAGTGGAGGCGTTTATGGTGATGGTGGAGGGTTTGGAGGTAATACAAGCGGCTTCAATGACACTGGTAGGCGGGGCAATCGTTTCGAGGAATACGATGAGAACGACGAGGATGGGGGCCATTCTGCTAGTCAGAGGAGGGCCGAACGCAGTACTTCAACTGCGACAAAACAATCGGCGAAAAAAGCGGAGCCTCCAAAAGCCCCTGAGCCTGATTTAGTAGACTTTGGAGATATGGACGAACCAGCACCTTCGACTTCAGCCTCGCAAACAAAGAGTTCAGTATCTGCTGGCAAACAGCCCGCCAGCAGTACTAAATCTGCGAAACTCGCCCCACCGTCACTCGATGACGATGACGACTTTGATGATTTTCAGTCTGCCAGCCCTGCTACACAAAATGCCACATCGCAGTTCGCACCTATTCCACCTCCAACGTTTGCTTCAACAAGCGCATCTCAGACACAATTTGCAGCCCCAAAACCCGTTTCAGGGACACAAGGTGCAAACCTCAATGGATTGGTGGGCCTGACGTCCCTGCCTGTAACGCCCTCGGCTACTGGCAGCGTTTCTCAGACACCCGGTACCACAGCACCCGCGATGAAGTCCCAGCTATTGAAACCAACAGGATACCAAGCTGTTCAACCAAACTATTTCACGTCCGTCACCGTGCCGCAGACTCAGCAACAGCCGCAAGGCGGCGTTAAACCCCCCTCGGGTCCTTCTTTCAACAATAACAAGCCAACTTCACCCGTTGCGAAGACAACATCTGGCGATGCTTTTGGGAGCCTCTGGTCCTCTGCTAGTATGAACGCTGGAATCAAATCTACCGCGGCTACTCAGAAGGGTCCTAACCTGGCTAGTATGGCAAAAGAGAAAGCCAGCGCAGGCATTTGGGGTGCACCAGCAGCCGGGACGATGCCTACTGCCAGCAACAATACAAGCTCACCGCCACAGCAGCAGAAGGGTGGCAATACTCCTGCAGGCCACGGATTGGATGATCTGCTAGGTTAAGGAGGGCCAGTCCAAAATAATTTCCTGCGCCAGGTTTATATACATTATAAAGATTTTTAGCCGAAATGATTCTGATGTTAAATTGCAGTTTCAATGCACGTTATTTTTTTGTCTGTCTGGTGCCTGTACTAGGAATATAAAGTCGTTTAGCGTGCTTCAAATATCGAATAAATCGCCCAAAGTGCCTCTTGAACCGTGGGACTAAAATAAACACGCCAGTTGAACCAGGAATTATGATCATTTCCCGCTGGCAAGGTTCTTGCCTAAGCACCTGTCAGGGAGAATGTTAGTCTCAGACATGTTTTTGCCCCCATAATGAATATGAAGCGCTGCTGACGCCACAGTAATGGACAAAGCACCCCGTTGCCTTTTTGTCCTCGGCTCACTATCATCTACGTCTATAAGTTCATCCTTACAATACTTTAGTCATTGGAATCTGTCTGCGCCAAGAATTCCGGTGCCTGGCGCCGTTGGCAAGTAGATCAACGACGATCAAGTCGTCATCCCGGACGTTAGGCGTAAGAATTTTTTAGATAATAATAATACTTTTCAGTCTATTCATGCGGCTTTCACGCCAATCCAGGTGTTTGTTCGACTTTAAGATTTGTGATCCTGGTAGGGCGTGCATATGGAAGCATGGGAGGTGCATGCTCTACGGAGAAGTCCGTACACATGCTTTGACAAAGGAGGGGGCTTATACTATATTTGTACAGAGTGGTGTGTATGATTTTTCATCGATAAGTGTGCTAGTACTATCTGGGATCCATTGGTTACACTCAGTATGGAGTGCAGAGAGCACGACGCTACTCGGACTTATGTTGAGATTGATATAGAAGATCCACTGTGCTTCAAGATATTGTCAAATACGAGGCGTGTGCAACGGCCTTGAATATAGAATTTGGGAAGAAGAATAAATAGATGAACAGTAGCATTTTCCTTGTATTATACAAGGTGCAAGGCTGTTTTGAACAAGCGTACACAGTACTCAGACATAAAACAGCATAATAGGCAAATTGGAGCAATTATGAAGTCACCGGATTGGCTCAAATTTGGGGTAAATGGGTAAGGTTGCGGGAGAGAGAAGTGCCACCGGAAAGCGAAGGAAGAAGAATAGTAGTAATAACGGCAGTAAAGGCGGGGCAACGAAGTAGAAGTAGAAGAATAAGAGGAGGAAGAATGTAAAGGCAAAAAAAGTGATAACTCCATGACATACCGGCCAATCCCAGACCGACGATGAGAACTTAAGAAACCCTGTGCGCTGCAGAAAACACATGGCAAAAGGGTAATCCATACCAAATGGAAAATGGGGAGGGAGGCGCCAGCGGTACAAGGGAACCCAGCTGATTGCTACGCCACCAACCAGCCAGCATGCAGCCTGGGTATTTTGAGGGGGAAAAGAGAGAAAAGAAAATGAATATAAAAACAGTGAGGAGGAAGAAATTATGAGACTCGAAGGCGCGAATCGCTAGAAATGGAAAAAAAAAAAGTCTAGCCGAGAAAATAGTGATCGACGTATCACCCTTGTTTTGATATGCTCCTGGATCTCTTAGGCAGTTTTCCTGGCCCCTCAAGACCATCGCTTATATGCTCAATCTGCGGCGGGGTTGATCTACTATGCTGGTGCCCGCTGAGGAGGTGAGGTGGATAGGGTGCTAAATCGCGGCTACTGGTGGAGAACGTAGACACGACCGGCGGGTGCTTCTCTCTTTCTTTGCATTTCTGGCCATCTTTGTTTGTATCGGAAGAGTTGTCTGACGTTGCTGAGATGGGGGTTGCACCATCGCTGCTTTCGGACTCTGCACCTCCGTTAGAAGTGGCTGGAGCACTCGGCGTCTTTTGGTCTGTCGAGTCAGCTTGGGTTGGAGTCACACTCTCCATAGCATCGGAGTTGGCGTCGAATGGATGATCTAATGCTCCGTTCAAGCCCGTCAACCCACCCTCAATATCACGAACCAAACGAACAAATTCTTCTGGTACCAGCCCGCTTTCCCCAGTCCTTGGGTCTTCGGCAACAAGCCAGCCTTGACCATGGCGATAGGAGACCAGAATCACCTGCCCTTCTTTCAAGGGAAGTTCGTTTTCGTGTTCGCGCGTGAAATCAAAAAGTGCCACTGCTTTACCATGCATCTCTTCATCAGGAGATACAATGGTGAACTGATAATCGCGGGAGTATCTAGATGGATCGCGCCACTCGTCATCGGAGATATCATCGTCGGACTCAAGCTCAAAGTCGCCACCATGGGGTTGGCCTTGGAGTGAAGTAGTAAAATGGGAGTTGTTACCAGGGCCATACGAGCCAGGGCTTAAGTAAGGTTGTCGACTGTCATTTGCGGGGTACGTGATATATTCCCCTCCGGGGCCGTCATCATCAGAATCTTCACCTTTTACGTAGTATGTTTCGCTACCGTCGCCATTTAACCCAATAAAAACGCCTTTGTCGGTCTCCTGCGCACCAGAGTTAAAATTGCGCCCAGGACTCCTGGTCCTTCGCGATTCGGACTTGTGTTTCCGATGTCGCGAAGTAGTCACAATCGGGCTGTGTAGGTCTTCGTCTTCGCTGTATGGCGGGCCGTCGCCAAAGGCGATTGCAGGGAGCTGCTGCTGGCTGTACATTGCCTCCGGGTTCCAATGCGGCGCCGGCCATGTTGAGCGCATCGCATCCCACGAGGAGATCGGCGGATCTGATAACCTTCGCGACTCACTGATCGGGGTGGCGGCACGCGAATCTTTGGGGGGAGCGCCATAGTGTAGATGGTGTGTCGGCGGGTAGGCGAAGTCGCGTACAAGGGCGTAGGGTAGGCTGGAAGGAAAAAACGGAAAGACGTGAGACGCGGGGCGCGATCGAGGCATCGAGCCGTTTGAATGTGTAGAAAAGCGGTTTTTGGCATAGGACTGTCCGCTTACTCGCCTTGAAGCCGGGGGCGCAGCAAGGGACGCTCGTTTGGAGAGCTGGGCGGAAGGAGAGGCCGTGTCCAGTTGTGGCGGGGCGGACGAAGGGGACGTGATGATGGTGGCCATCATGACCTCGCAGGCAAGGATCGAGAAGAGCAGTATATGAGAGAGAGAGAGAGAGAGTGAGAGAGAGAGAGGTGAAAGGAACGGTGGCGGAGAGGGCAGGGTCTGGCGTACGCGCAACCCGCGAACGGCGCAGTGGACAGTCTGCAGAAAAGACAAAGCGTTAGAGCCTGGGGCGCTGAGCCGGGGGAGAACACAAACAAGACGCCAGGCAACCAGCCAGCCAGCGAATAATGCACCAGGCGTGGCAGACAGCAGCGGGAGGACGCGACCGGCCGACGTCGAAGGGCGACGAGAGCGGGAGCGAAAACACGGCCCAGAACACGCAGAAACGCGCGACGAGTCGACAGGCGGCAATTGGCGAGGAGTCAGGAGCGTCGTATGCAAGTCATCACGGGCGCAGGTGTTCCAGACAATGAAACAAAAGCGTGGAGGGCGCTGAGTGTCAGGGTGCCGGGTGCGTGCTGGGGGGGGGGATGCGGGCGAGGGCTGTGAATTAAGCGCCCGCACCAACAGAGGCGAGGCGGAACCACCAGGTAGGGCTGTGTTGAAACAACGTCTGTCGCAGCCGGCGGGTCGCGGGCAGGCAGGGCGGGCGGGCGAGAAGCAGAAAAAGAAGATGAAGAGAAGACGGCGGCGACAAGACGAGCGGCAGCGATGAAACACACCGCACAATACGCCGCGAGTCCGCCCGCCAGCGCCGTCCGCGGTTTCAACTCGGCCGGGGCAGCAAAATAGGGCTCGCCCGCCAGCCTATTTATAGGACGAACGCCGCCGCATCGCAGCGCTCGCCCGCCGCCCGTCGCCCGCCGGTCTGCGCAACAGTAATAATAATAATAATAATAATAATACTCGGTCTGTATTACGCTCTCACGATGGACTAGTTAGTTAGTCAACTATCTCACTAGCTAGCTAGCGCTCTAACGGCGTCGTTGCCTGGCGTTCATCTCGCGTCTCCATGCTCAGGCCACCGCCCGTTGAGCTCAACCGTGGAATCAGCCTGCGCCGCTCGCGCTAACAAATCTACTGCCAACTCCCCGACATTGCACCCTTGCCATGGCGAAAAAGGAAATATAAGTCAAACATCAAAAACAAAATACAAGAGAAAGGAAAAGCAAACAGTCTTCGCTTCTACCACAGCCTGAAGCGTCTCGTCCCGCGAGCTGTGTGGTGTTCTTCCGGCTCGGGCCGCAGGTCTTGTCCAGTCACTGCACTATTTCGGCGAAATCGAAAGTGCGCCGCGTGAGTGGGCAGCACGGTATTTCTTGTTTCGGTACGGGACAGCTGTGGGCTGCTCAGAGGCTGCGTAGTATTGGGGAACAGCGGGATGATAGTGATTGCCGGCGGGCCGCTAGAAACCCCCGTGGGGAGCATGGCTGCACTGGAAGGAACACCTATACATAGCTCTGATCAGCAGGCGTCAGGAGAAAATATGCTATGAATACCGTCTTACCTGTGGGGCTGCGGGTTGGGGTGTTGCTATCTTGGGTGGAAGGCCGAGACTTTGTGGAAAACGTTGTAGGCTCCAGCGATCTTGTCACCGTCGGGATCATCGGCGGGCTATTCAGCTGGGCCACCTGTGACTGAATCGCCGCATTGTTCAAAGGCTGGCCTTGGATGTACCCTTGCTGCTCTCCGTCTAGCGCCAATCTCTGAAACGCGGGTTTTTCAACGACGTCGATATCCATGCAGGTTGTGTAGATTTCGGCTTTGCCCTTTGGAATCCCAGGGTCTGCGCCTGGGGCGGTGGGCCAGTCCCACACCCAGTACAGCGTGTAAGGCTTCCCAGCAGGAACATTCTGCGGCAACGCAATATCCTGTTGACACCACATATCCGCGCCCATCAGTTCGTTTGCTTGATGAGGGAATTTCTGCTGCCGCATTTTAGAGATTGGCTGGTCGTTAATTTGATAGCAGCGGCCATCATCAAAATTCTGCCGTGACAAGAGCTGTCCTCTTCGGTCGCCGCCGGTACCGGCCGAGTTCCAGACCTTATGGATTGAGAGGAGGGTGTCGTCGGGGCGTGGGTTGGATGTCCCATAAACATAAACGAAGCCACGGTTCTTTGGTTTTCCCGGCTGAGCATCTGGCAAGCTAACATGACCGTTTTCTTGGAAGCGAAGAGCGATCATAGCGCCGGGGGAAGCCTTCAAACGTGGGCTCCCGGCGGTTTGCTCCCGGGTTCGCTGAGTATCCATGCACATTTTGTCTTCTGGAAGGACACCGGTTCCAATAGGGCGAGTATTTGGCGGCAAAAGATAGGTCATCCTGGTATCGCTGAACCCTGGGGCAGTCCGCTTGACATTTCCCCTGGGGTATCCGGGCTCGCCAACGAATGTACCATTAGGGGCGATGTTCATAAGTTGTTCCACCCAACTATGGCATGAAGCCAAGGGAACAGTAAATAGAAAAAGATAAAAAATAACGGAGGCTTTCAGCAACATGGGGCTGAGCGTCATTTTTCCAAAGAGGGTAGGTGTGGTGATATCGAACATAGGAAGTGCAACGATACGTAAGAGTTAAATCAAATAAATCGGCCAGCGATATGCAAAAAAAGAAGGGCAATATTGTAGCTTCCAGAGCCAATGAGGGGTAATTTTCAGTGGTGAAGAAAATAAACGTAGCTGTCAAAGAATGCAGTAAACAGCGGCTGGTGCCCGACCGAAGTGAATACTAGAAGAACAACGAAGATGTCAAGAGAGCCATAATTACAAGTATACAGAAGAAATAAAAGTGAAAAGGAAAGTTGGTACAATGTGACAATGGTACATTGAGAATGAATAGACACCCATCCCTCAATGCGCAGAGTAGATACTTGCCGGATATATAACACAAGGTCACACTGAAAGCTGCGGGCGGAGCCCTAGCCAATAATAGAAGAGCTTACCCATCGATCCCATGCAGGCCCCGATACAAAATATGTTTATATTTCAGCGTCCTGGGGCGAGATGAGCGCGATGGATGACCCAGAGCCAACCAATTCTGGAATTCTGGGAGAAGCTCTGACAGGGCCTGGGGAATAGCAGCGAGAGTATGTTTCATGTAGGCCAATCGAAAGCATTGGCACTGGGACAAAGAGACAGAAATATCTCCCATGTTTCTGCCCGGCGCGTAGGCAAATGACATAAATAGCGTCCCTGGTCCCGCGGTGGGGAGTCGAAACCCTGGGCAGAAATACACTGGGATCCACGGCGGTCGAGGCCAGAAATAAAACCTGCTGGATCGCGGGCGGACGACGGACCGGGTGCGAGCATTGTTACAGCTCCCACATGCCACTGTCTGTTCTGAATGCCTGGTGGCTGACGGCGGTTGTGGTGTTGACGCCGATGAAACGCGGTCGAATGTTTGTCGTCGCGAAGGGCGGCTTGGCGGGGCAGTTCGTTGGCCGCAGCGTCAACTTGGCGTGTACAGAGGAGCCATGGAGCACTCGGCTGGCGAACGCAATACCACAACAGAAACGGCCGCCCTTTTCTTCCATAATAATGCGCCTTTTGCCTACTTCAATCACGCGGAAATTATCTTCCCTTAACGATCAATACACTGAGCGAATTTAGCCGCCCGAAGACGGCGAGTTGCGCTTGGGTTGAATAACTTCTAACCGCCTTCCTGATCCCATGAATCAAACAATCAACTGACATGAATGTGGTTGCCTTAGGTGCGTATTGTTCCTCGAGCTCATCAATGTAACTGCAAACAGAAGATGAGGTAATATCCGCGGCCAGTACCGCAAAATGGCAGAGTTCGACTCGTAGGTTGACCAAACTCTGACATAATAAGATTATTCATATAAAATACCGAGAACAGAGTACTTCCAAAGACCAGCACTCGAGCTACTTAGGCAGCTTGCTAATGTATAATGCCTGCTTGTTAGATTTAAAGTGCGGCTGTTACGATCGCAACACGAGGGACATGGGGATGAGCTGACTAGTTACATATAACACAAGCTGATGTGATATTCATTGGAGGGTCACACTGGGTCAGGCGGCGCTACCTGCTATTCTGTATGGCTGGTGAGGAGATATTCGCAAAATATCATGACATCCTGATGGCCGATGTTCGTATGACACGCCCAGCCTAAGAGAAAAGCATGCAAAAGGCGAATCTAGGTTGTATCATTTTTCTATTATTTCAATAATGGCCCTTGCCTTGTTTTCTCAGCCTCAAAGGAGATTAACTACCTTGTAAAGGGCTGTGATGAATCTCAGGGCTAGCTGCTTAGTTACCAGGCCTCGCGTCATTAGTAGCAGTACGGAGTATACGGAGTACACACAGGGGCTTGGCGCAAGCGTTGGTCTTGACTCTTGACGGAGCTGCAAAGGCACTTCACCGCCATCAAGCAGCCAGCTGCAATGGCCTTCCTTCACCGCAGGCAACTGAGAACAAACAGCACAGCAAGGCCCCGCCGGCCGCGGTACATCGCCGGCTGGTGTTCTAGCGCGGCGTCGACAGAAACGGGGCTGCTTACATAACGGCGCCGAAGCAACGAGGGATTCAGCCAAAAAGCCTATCGACTCCCCGAAATCACAACTTTTTTCTTGCGGCTTTCTGGGGTGCTCCAGGCTTGGTCTTTATTATTCCCTGCGCCGCCCAATCTCACAACCTTCCGTCCATGTCTCCACTCCCGGCCCTGATCCGACTTGGTGCAAGATCCTGAGAAATCCTCTCGCCACCCCTCCAGCGTCACCCACCACCAACATCCAACTACCTGGAACTTTTCTTCAGCTACGCTGCCGAGTCGCAGTCCATGGCTTGCCAGTAGAATACTGCTGCCAATTCGCGTTCTTTCGACGGTGTGTTAACTGCTGATGAGCTTTGGACTGTCCTCGTCTGCTTTCTACTCAAAGCTGTGGATGAGATCCCCCTTTTTTTGTACCTGCTCCTTTTGACCTCCGTAAATCACACACATGCCACCCAGTCCCAATTGATACGCCAAATCCTTTCCATCACCTAACGCACCCCACGTCTACCCTGTCTCGCGGAATTATCTGAGGCTCTTGGCTCCGACTGGCACCTCGCGTGGTATAGTTTTTCTTCGAGGAAGAGCTAGCCATGAGAGGTTCATCTCTACTCCCTCAGCGTTTCCGCGAGGTCTCCTCCGCCGATTCTGCTGAGGCCGGATGGCTGAATCGACATGTAACGAAAGGGCTTCAGACGGCTGCTCGTCGAGCATGCGTTCATCCTATCTATACAATTGTCGTCATTGCTCTCTTCGCGAGTACAACATACGTGGGCTTGCTTGATGGCACCTTGTTTGATCCCGTTAAAGAAGCCACTTATAGCCCAGGTCATGTTGACATAGGGGCTCTTCTTGAGGGTGGAAGGAATCTGCGGCTTGGGGAAGAGACTTCATGGAGATGGCAAGTTGATGATGCTTTTCAGCCAGAGAAGAGTAATGTACGATCTAACGCCAGTGGCACTGAATGATGTTTTAATGTGTGTTATAACTAACTCTTTGTTCATCATAGACCCGGCATTTGGCTTTAACAACCTTCATTTTTCCTGATTCTTCAACCCGCTCCCCTCAGGCGGCCCCCTTAGCAGAGAATGTACCTCTTCCTCTTAATTCTTCAGCCCACTCCGTTCCACATACACCAAACCTACTTACTCCCATCTCGCAAGATTCTTCTCTTGCATTTGTTGTTCCTTACGATGAAGTCAACAATTTCCTCACTGCCGTACGAGAAATCCCGGATCCAGCAGGCTATACAGATGGAATAGAACAGAAAAAGTGGATAATGAAAGCTGCTCGTAACCCTCTCCCTGGCTCTCGCGCAGCTTTGCGTCTCTGGATGTCTGAAGCCTGGACGTCGTTCGTTGACTTGTTGAAGGTGAGTGCAGTAGAGTTGAAACCATATGACCACCCCCTAATAACTTTTGAAGCACGCGGAAACCATTGATATTTTTATAATGGTACTTGGATACATTTCTATGCATTTGACATTTGTCTCTTTGTTCCTGTCCATGAGAAGCCTGGGATCGAAATCCTGGCTTGCCGCCACGGTTCTTATATCCAGCGGCTTCGCTTTCCTCTTCGGCTTATTGGTCACTACGAAACTGGGCGTTCCCATCAGCATGGTTCTTCTCTCTGAGGGCTTGCCGTTTCTTGTCGTTACCATTGGTTTTGAGAAGCCCATTATTCTCACTAAAGCAGTTCTTTCGGCGTCGTTGGAAGCTTCCCATTCGAGACCTGAAAATCCTAATAGCCGAACTTCTTCGCCCCGAAATGCCAGATCTATCGAAGACGCGATCGAGTCTGCTGTCAAGAGCAAAGGATTTGAAATCGTTCGGGATTATTGCATTGAAATTGGTATCCTAGTGGTCGGTGCTGCTTCAGGAGTTCAAGGAGGCTTGCGACAGTTCTGCTTCCTTGCCGCCTGGATTCTCTTGTTTGATTGTCTCCTACTGTTCACATTCTACACCACCATCCTTTGCATCAAACTTGAAATTAATCGGATTAAACGACATGTGGCTCTCCGAAAAGCCCTTGAGGAAGATGGAATTACTCACCGTGTTGCGGAAAACGTTGCCTCAAACAATGACTGGCCAAGCATGAGTGGAGGTGCAAATGATAGCAATTCAAATGGAGGCTCCAGCGGCATCTTCGGCAAGAAGGTTAGAGCGAGCAGCGTTCCCAAATTCAAGTTCCTCATGGTTGGAGGATTTGTTTTGGTAAACGTTTTGAATCTATGTACCATTCCTTTCCGCAGCCGACAAGAGGGTCAAATTTTGCCAGCAATGACGAAGCTCTCCAACGTACTATCTCCGGTCCCAATTGATCCCTTCAAAGTTGCTGAAAACGGGCTTGACTCGATTTACGTGAGCGCGAAAAGCCAAAAAATGGAAACCGTCGTAACTGTCATACCACCAATTAAGTATAAGCTTGATTATCCGTCCGTTCACTACAGTGAGCGCTATAGTGGTGTGTTCGATATTGAATACACGGATGTCGTTGGTGGTAGAGTCATTGAAGGCCTTTTGAAGAGTCTGGACGATCCCATCATCAGCAAATGGATCATTGCTGCTCTTACTTTGAGTTTGATCTTGAATGGTTATCTGTTCAATGCGGCGCGATGGAGTATAAAGGAGCCAGCAGCTATTGGTGAGCCGGAATCACGAAAGAAAGAAGCTATACGCGAGCCTGTTATAGTCAAACAGCCGATTATCAAAGCGGATGGTTCGGCCAGAACGCGGGAAGAGTGTGAACAGATGCTCAAGGATAAACTGGCTCCTTTGCTAGATGATGAAGAGCTTATCGATCTCTCTAGCCGCGGCAAGATTCCGGGATACGCTCTTGAAAAGACCATGGAGAGCGAAAGCCTCAGTCGAACCGATGCGTTCACCCGAGCCGTCAAAATTCGGAGAGCGGTTGTGGCCAGAAACCCTGCAACTTCGGCGATTACTGGCTCTTTGGAATATTCCAAAGTTCCCTATAAACACTACAATTACTCACTTGTTCATGGTGCTTGCTGCGAAAATGTGATAGGATACCTTCCACTACCGCTTGGTGTTGCAGGACCTTTAACGATTGACGGTCAAAGTTACTTTATTCCAATGGCAACTACAGAGGGTGTTCTCGTTGCCAGCACAAGCCGAGGATGCAAGGCCATCAATGCTGGCGGTGGCGCTGTTACAGTACTCACTGGTGATGGCATGACCAGAGGCCCCTGTGTAGGATTCCCCAGTCTTGCTCGCGCTGGCGCCGCAAAGGTCTGGTTAGATTCAGAAGAGGGACAAACTATCATGAAGGACGCTTTCAATTCGACTAGTCGCTTTGCACGTCTCCAATCTATGAAGACTGCCCTTGCTGGAACATACCTTTATATTCGATTTAAGACAACGACTGGTGATGCTATGGGTATGAACATGATATCTAAAGGCGTTGAGAAAGCTCTCAGTGTCATGGCGACCGAAGCTGGATTCGATGACATGGCTACTATTTCTGTCTCCGGTAACTTCTGTACTGATAAGAAGCCCGCTGCCATCAACTGGATCGATGGCCGTGGCAAGTCTATTGTTGCTGAAGCCGTTATTCCAGGAGATGTTGTTAAGACCGTATTGAAGAGCAATGTCGATGCTCTCGTTGAACTGAATATTAGCAAGAACTTGATCGGTAGTGCTATGGCAGGAAGCATTGGCGGTTTCAACGCGCATGCTTCCAATATTGTCACGGCTCTTTTCCTAGCAACTGGTCAAGACCCGGCGCAGAATGTGGAGAGCAGCAACTGCATTACGATCATGAGAAAGTTAGTGGTTTCTAATGTCTACCGGTACAACCTACAAGGCTAACTAATTGTTTTAATATAGTATTGGCGGCGATTTGCACATCAGCGTCTCTATGCCATCGATTGAAGTCGGCACCATTGGCGGCGGTACCATCCTAGAAGCACAGTCCGCGATGCTTGATCTCCTTGGGGTGCGTGGCGCTCATCCTACGACCCCTGGTGAAAATGCTCGAAGCCTTGCGAGGATCGTTGGTGCTGCTGTGCTTGCTGGAGAACTTAGTCTGTGCAGTGCACTCGCAGCCGGACATCTGGTCAAAGCGCACATGGCCCACAATCGTGCAGCACCACCATCAACCAGATCGATGACTCCTGTCTCTGCTGCCGTGGCTACGACTTCTAAATAACGAGCCGGTGTTTGATTCTCTTGTTCATTAGAATTTCTCGGGTTAGAAAGTTGTCATAGCGTGACTCTTTTAGCAAAAGGGTTTGTAATAAATATGCCAGTTTGTGCCATCGTGGCTCGACTGTATATAAGATTCGAAAAAGCGAATAATGTTAATGTCGGCAACGCGTCTCGTATGAAAAGATCAACGTTTCATTTCTGCCCTACCTAGAGAATATCCCGCATCCATGCTATAGTACTGACTCCGCCTTACACGTCCGTGTGCCCAGGCCACCCACACACTAACCAGTTCAAGAGCCAAGCAGAAAAAAAAAAGCAATCGCTCAGAGTACGGAGTACCTTGGCTGGTTGACTAGTAGAACTTGTTAGCGTACGGAGTACTCCGTATTTCGTATGATCCTCGTAAGCTAATAAGGGGAAACACATCAGACACGCATTTTCAAACTGGTAGAATAGCTGGACAGAGTCTCCTGTAAACCTAACTGCGACGAAGCGCAACGGCCCAACGGCTCACGAAATTGACTTTGCCAGGCGGGAATACGCTTCGGCGTCAAGGCTGCAGGGATGAGGGATCGCGGGTTTTCTTTGCAGTAATATAATTAATGCTGCTACTCCGTACTCCCGCGCCCTTGTCCATAAGGCGGACTACTATGTAACTAACGAAGCGAGATTTTGCTTCCAGAAAAGTGCTCAGTCGTGTTATGTAAGCTGGTCACGTTGGCCGGGAAAAGGGTGCGACGGTGAGGTCGACGACCAGCGACAAGCTTCATCCTCCTGCTAGTTAGTTAGCACGGCTGGTCTCTTCTCGTCTGGGGTATCGTCTGTTTCTCTTGTGCGCGTTGCTTGACACGCCCTTGGTCTGCGGACAAAGACGCCTGGTGCCGCGCCGCTGCGTCTCTCGTTTTTATCTTATCGACGCTCTTTTGTTTCACGTTGAAGGAGTTTGCTATTGGCACGGCTACCTTTTGGCTCCTGATCTGCATACGAACGCTTGCAGCGAGCAGGCATCTCCTTTACGGCAAGGGAGACTTTTCGCTGTTTCGATCCTGTCTGGCGGACAGGCTGCCGTTCCACGACATTCCTTGATGCGCCTTTCCGTCCGCGAGCCGGATATGATCTGTTAGAATGCGAAAAGGGTGTATATATATTTAGGACGGCTGTTAACATCGATGTATAAATCTCTGTGAACCTCGTCGGACTTTCGCTCCCCCGACTTTACCCTCCGCTTCCACGGACACGAATCGACCTTCGGCCATCCCCAGCCAACGCCCCCAGTGCCTCGGGACAACGATGTCTACAGTTTCCATGGATGGTAGCGAATGGTCAGGGATAAATCAATATCAATCCAGCGGTAGATCAGAACCTGCCCTATCACCCAATCCTCTCAAGAACAGAGGCAACCTTCCGACCCCGCCTGCCTCCGGCAGTTTGATGTTCAATGCGCTTGGGTCAAATCCGCCTGATGCCAATGGTTTAGCTCCTCCAATGCGTCCGAATGGCACACCGGGTAATCCCTCCCCGCCTAGCTCCGTGGTATCGGCTCCCAGATCGCGAGCAAGTGACGGAACACTGTCGGACCCAAATAGTCGGAGATATAGGCACATGGAGGAATTGCTCACGCAGCACCACACGTATCTGAAGAGATTTTTTAATACAACTAGGGATAATGACGAGAATAGTCAAAATGAAGATGGCACACCGAATGACCCTAATAGCAAAAGAGCCAATCGGGCGCTTGGAAAATTATTGCGCCTGTCACCTGTCCAATTTCTCGAACTGAGTACCGATGTTTTCGATGAGCTCCAGCGGCGCCAGGCTCTTGAAAGACCGGTTCCACCAGGATCGCAGCGGCCCGACGTCCCACCCCACCTACTTCCTCGTCCAGATTTCCATGAAAAACATAATTCCGCGCGTCGAAAACTGTCCACATTGCACCCACAGAGGTTTAGGGAACTGACTATGGATGTGTTTGCCGAACAAGAAAGAAGGTTTCCGCAATTGTCCTCTGTAGATGTGACTCGAATAGGGAGCCCAGCCCCCAGTATCCGAAGCCGTTATGGACCTGGCGCAGGCCCAGAACAGCCGCCGCGCTCGTCATCAAGGGGGCCTCCTCCTGGTCCTGGTGGCAGGGGTTATCCACCCGGTCCTCCTATGCCACCCAATGGCCGATTTCCTCCTAGACAAGGCTCCCTCAGTGCTGCTCCTCCAGCTGGTTTAGGAATAAATGGCGAAACAATCCCAGAAAATGCACCATATCAAAAATCTTTCCAAAGTAATACTATTGTACCGAACAAGAGTACGCTTGTTGAAGATGACGAGAGCCTTAGTGAGGAGGATAACAGAAGAAGCGACGCATTTGCTTTAGATAGAGTTCTTGAGAGCAGGAGAGGTACCGCGGCTACCCTTGTGGGAGGACCGTTAGAACGCCAGAATACCAAAGAATTACTAGACTCTGAGACCAAGGTAAAAGCATTACAATCCAAAGTGACGGGACTAGAGGCGCTTTTAAAGGAGAAGGATGGAGAAATAAAAGGCCTTCAGGAGGCCGAGAACGAGCTCAAGGTACGGTTTTCCGTGACAACTTACCTTGTCAAACTCCTAACTTTTCATAGGCATTAAGAACACAAAAACAGAATTGGCGATCCCTTGAAGATGAACTCACGAAAAAATTAACAGACGCCCAGAATGCGAACAAGTCTCTTCGCGAAGATCTTGATGATGCCCGACGTCAACACGATATAGTAGAGAGGGAGATGCAAGAGCATTTAGAGCAGATACAGCTCGAGAAGCAGCAAGTACCTTCGATAGGTGTCACGACTTCAGACGGCGAAGATTGGAAAATCAGGTTTGAAGAATTAAGCCGAGAACATCAGTTTCTCAAAGATGAGTTTGAACAGCAACAAGCAGTTACCGAGCAAGTACGAGAGCAAGCTCTGGGGTCACTAGAAGAGATGAGAATTCTTGCAAGTGAATCCAATTGGGAAAGGGAAGAGTCTTTGACTCGAGAAATTCACCGATTAGATGGCGAAGTGAAGCACTGGAAGAACAGATACGCAAAGATAAAAACGCAGCAGCGTCACTTGCGGTCATCTTCGCTTGGTTTGCCTGCGCAGACCCAAGACGCGTCCGTATTTGCGAAGGAGCACAACTTAACGCAGCCGGATGGGTTAATAAAAGATGTGCATATCACGAAGTTCCAGATAGCAATCGACGAGCTATTACGGATTGCACGGTTAGATGATCCGCAGCTGGTTCTGGAGCAGATGAAAGCTGTTGTCGTCTCCGTGAGACTTATCAGCCGGGATATCGAAAGGATGCAAAGTAAAAGCGATGACTATGCGCAACCTCGTAACAGAGCGAAGTCTAGGGTATCAGCTACTGCCAACAATTTGATAACAGCCTCGAAGAATTTTGCGAATTCTCATGGCCTTTCGCCTGTATCACTGCTTGATGCCGCAGCTTCCCATCTCACAGCGGCTATTGTTGAGCTTATCCGCCATGTCAAAATTCGGCCTTCACCCGAGAATGAATTGGATGAAGATGATGATCTAGACAATCTTGTTCCCATGCAGTCTCCAGGTTATTTCAGCGTTGCCCCGAGTCAAAGTAGACTTAGCGAAAATGAGTCAGTTTACAGTGCCATCAGCACTCCTTCTATGCGGTCGCGGAGTCAGACATACTCCCGCATTCCAGGCACAAGAAATGCTCGCACAAGCGGCCAGAGCCTCGTTATTGGTTCGAAGCTCGGGGCTCCACGTGGACCTGACCGGGAATTGGAAGGGCTTCGCTTATATCTTGAAGATCAGACGGAGGGTCTCGTACAGTCCATCCAGGCACTGGTGGCCAGCATCCGCGCCGAGGACCATATCTCGATTGTGAAGACACACGTCACATCTATTTCTAACGTAGTCGGAAACGTTGTTTCGTGCACGGAAGACGCCATGGCCCAGGTAAATGCCAACCCGAATCTACGAGCCCGAGCGGGCCCAGTGGTCGAAATTCTCTCGGCTTGTGCGAGTAAATTAGCCGATGCTGGCCAGGCCGGAAGCCAGCTGAGTGACCCGGAACGGATCCAAGAACTAACGGCCAAGCTACCGCCGATCGCTTTCCAAATTGCGCGTGAAACGAAGGAGCTCGTGCAACGAGTGGATCAGCTAGAGATGGAAAGCCGGGATGATGATGATTTCAGATGAGTGTTTGATTTTGGGTTTTTACGTTGGTTAGATTGGGATGGGAGTGGTCTTATTTTTCTTGCCTACAAAGTACTTCAGTATAATGCTGCCGTTCGACTATTCGTCTTCTTCTCTAACTATATCTTTATTATTCTTCGTTGCTCGGATTTGTTCCTTCAGTGGTGGCAAACTGGTCTAGCATCATTCCTATTATTGTGGGCGACGATATTTAGTTTTTTCTGCCCTCTTTGACCCTGAGTTTCATCCTTTTCCCAACCAGTCTCTTAGCCCTCGAGGACTTTTGGTACCGATTCGTTGTTTCTGATTCCGTATCTTCTTGTCAACTTCCTTTTTCTCTCTTTCTATTTATCCAGCCTTCTTTCTTAACTCAAAATTACCTGAGATACACCTTGTCCCTAATCTCATATCCGATTCCGATTGGACGATTTTGGAGTATGGGGCGGGGGATAGACCCGGCCCCATGCGCCCGATAATAAGAAATTTTCGGATGAAGAGAGAATCCGTGCCTGAATCTCTCCATCACCAGTAGGTGTCTAGGCGAAGCCTGCTGCAAAGCCCAAACCGTGAGTGTCGTTTGAATATTTCAACTTGCAATCGGATTCAAAACGGCAAGAATACGTAAATCTTGCCCCGCTTTCATTATCGGCTGTCGTTATCCAGTTGCTGTTCGTTATATATTACTACCCTGGTGTCAAACGGACTAACTACCCAGTCGAGCAGGGCCCGAAGCCCGAAGCCGAAGCCACCAATATTAATAATTGCCAAGCAGGGAATAAAGCTACTTTCGCAAGTCACAATCCATGCGTTGGGATCAGGCTTCGTGTTAGCTTCCTCAAGGTCATATGGGCGATTGGGTGTTCCAATTAAAATTGTGTAGCTTGTTCCGGTGTCAGACCGAAAGTTGTGTAGCTAGACGTCTGGGCAGCGCAAAACTTGGACTACCAAAACCACTAACTAAGTATTTATTTGCTATAGTCAATAATGGTAGATGATCTTACCAGGCTCCAAGGATTGGTACTAATACTCTGCAGACCCTTTAGCCACCATACCAGGCCTAAGTAAAGAAGGAGCAAAGACACAACCTATCACAGATTGTCATTGGCATACTCCGTGCAGTTGAGACTGAGAGAAAAGACCACGCACAGAAGGGTCTAGGGTGTCTTGCACAACGCCCATGCCGCCGATCTTTGCCTTCGAGGCTGCACAGCACCATCCATGTAACTATTCGGGTGGCGAATATCCAGGCATGTGGAGACGAAGGAACTGCCGGATTGATAAGATAATCTTATCTGATGGGCAGCACATCCCGTGCCGACCGGCACCTGCTTGTTGCCAGGATGCCAGGGTGTCATACCAGCATCAGAGGCACAGCCCAGCAGCCGAATAGACAGCGTCGTGAACCGGGAATGTGTGGAAGGCTTCCGCTGTGGGCCTGCAGAAGAAGCCTTTTTTTATAAGGGCTTTACCGCCTGTGCACTTCCGTGGGAGGATGATTCTCTCTCACCTTGACCAAATTGGCACAAAAGACTGACAAATATTTGTAACGATGGCGGGCACTCAACCCACTCTCAACGACCTTGCGGCGAAGATCACCAAACTTGCGGAGACATTTACCACCTTCCTTCGTGACAACGATGTGCCCCAGCCCACTTTTGCCGCCGATAGCCCCATCAGCTATGAGAAACTGACGACAGAGAGTTTTCTGATGCGCCAGGAGCTCTTAGATACACTGATGGACATGTGGTACCTGACACAGGGTCCTAGTGAAAGTACTTTTAACTATGTTCACAGTGTAAGCAGTCTCCACCTCATCTCCAGCAGAATACAACATTGGTAATAACAAGTACAGTGCATGCCCGATGCGGCGGCTCTTAATGTTCTGAACCACTTTGACTTCTGGTCTGCGGTGCCCCTGGAGGGTTCCGCGTCATATGCCGAGATTGCAAAGCACACTTCTCTTCCAGAAGAAGTTGTGCAGCGTGTCATAGAGCATGCAACAACCCTCCGCATCTTCGCACAGACAGAACCCGGCAAGACGTCAACGCGGATTGAGCATTCCAGTCGATCAGCTGCTCTCGCGCGCTCTTCAGGCCTGAGAGCCCTTGTATCAACGCTTCTGGACGATGCTGGCGCACCAATGATGGTCTTGAACAAAGCCCTGGAAATATACACCTGTGGCAAACCTGAGTTGACAACCGATATGTCTGAAACATCTTTTGCCTTGTATCAAAGCGGGAAGACCCTTGGTGGATACACCAACAGCTGGCAACTTCTTGAGAATGATGGTGAGGGAGAAAAAAAGGGATGGCGTCAGAAGAACTTCGTAGAGTTCATGCGTTACATTAAGGAGATTTTCCGCCTAGAGGAATTGGTATTAGAATCCTATAATTGGAAAGCGGCGGGTAAAGTAACAGTAGTTGATGTGAGTATTATTGGAATCTTTCAGGCTCCTCTTTTTTTGTCATATTTCGAGTTGCCCTTGACTGATAAAAAGATTATCTAGCTTGGTGGATCGGGCGGCCATGATGACATCGCCTTGGCGCGGAAGTACCCGGATCTTAACATCGTGGTGCAGGATCTGCCCAAAGTCCAGCCGGCCTTTGAGGCAAACGTTCCAGAGGACCTCAAATCTCGTGTGACTTTTATGCCCCATGATTTCTTCAATCCTCAACCGATTCAGGCCGATATCTACATGATAAAGCTGATCCTTCATGACTGGCCAGACCAGGAGTCGATCAAGATATTGCAGGGTTTGAGGCCAGCGATGAGGCCAGGGGCGCGTGTCATTTTCATCGATTACGTTGGTAAGCAAGGTGAGCCAGATGGTCCACCACTGCCGCGTTCCATTCAGCAGATGGGAACAGCAACAGATATTAGAATGATGGCATTGTTCAATGCCAAAGAACGCCCCGCCAGTGCTTGGAAGGATATTTTCCGCGCGGCAGATGAACGTTTTGAAATTACCCGATTTGAGGTAAACCCTTTGACGTTCTTTGTAGTGATAGAGGCGGTTTGGCGCGAGTGAATCAATGGCTAGAGGACGCCTGGGGCAGTAAACAAAAGCTGTGACATTTATACGGATAAGACTTACCACTGCAGATATAGGTAAACAATTTCTATACTAGCCTCATTGCAAATATTTGCTCTCACACCTGTTCACATGCTCATATATTCTGTAGAACTTTGGGGTATTACGATATACTCCATATGTACTCTGTACGTACTGTATGTATAATCATATTCACTCTGCGTCAACTTTTAAAGAAAGAGCCAGAAAACAGGAAGGAACACTTGAAGAGAAAGCTAGGAATTTGTGCTCAAAATAGACATAGTCTAGAATATCTTAAGGCACAGGAAGGGCTTCAATGCCAGCTTGGGATTCTCATTAAAATCTGGTAGAAGTCCAAGCAGGGCAAAGTGATCGGAGCGGAACATGTATTAGTCCGGATCCATCAATTTTTCTGCCATTGTTTGCGAAGCAACAGAAGACCGATATCCAGCTTGTTGCACCATTCTCATCCATATTGCGCCGTGCACCTTTCAATACTAGGTAAGTGACTACACTATGTTGAGTCTCTCCCTTCACCCACATCCGCACTTTCTCAGCATAGAGATTCAGCTGCCATCGAAGTGCTGAAGCTCCGCTCCAAGTTAGAGCTCTAAGAAAGCTCTCTAAGCGGCTGATTCACCCACCTAGCAAGCATTGCAATTCTATTGAGTCAATATCTACGATGCTCTCCAGCCTCTCTTCATGTGACCTCTGCCTGCTCCATCTGTTCCGCTCGCGCGCAGCACTGTCGTCTCCGGACTAACCCGGCCTCCGTAGAGTCTATCCTATTTTCAGCCTAGCGCATCCACGCTCCCGCTTACTCAGCCAACAAACTCTGCAAACCCACGTGCCCGGCAGAAAAATGCCCCTCCTCGCGCGCTGCCCCACCTTCCTGGCTACCCCGCCTCTGCCCGCTACAAGTGCTCTGCTTGCCCGCGCTCTTCCTCGTTCTTCTTCTTCTCCCCTTTCTTCCCTGCGATCAATCTCTCACCCCTCCACCAAGTTCAATCCCCAATTAACTCGTAATTTCCACGCTTCAACCGCAGCCATGACCGTCAAGACCTACTTCGACATCCAATACACCGATCCTTCGGGCACTTGTAAGTTGTTTACCTTTATTTTGTCGATGCTTTTTTTTGCAACATACTCTTCGTCAACAATATGCCTCCTCCGCTACCCATACATCTATGGCTACTACCCCTCCCCTCTACCCAACTTTTCTTTTCTTTGCATATCGGGACAATTGGTTTTGGAATGGCTTTCTAACTTTGTTCTGTTCAGCAAAAACTGAGCGTGTCACCTTCAACCTCTTCGATGAGGATGTCCCAAAGACCGTAGAGAACTTCCGTGCCCTCTGCACTGGCGAGAAGGGCTTCGGATACAAGGGTTCTTCTTTCCACCGAATCATCCCCAACTTCATGCTTCAGGGTGGTGACTTTACCCGCGGCAATGTGAGATTTTCCACCTTCGCCAGAAGTAAATGTCGGCGTTCAGGCTAACATTAGTCTTAGGGCACTGGTGGAAAATCCATCTACGGTGACAAGTTTGCCGACGAGAACTTCAAGCGTGTCCACACTGGCGCCGGTATCCTCTCCATGGCTAACGCTGGCCCCAATACGTAAGTTCGCCCCACCCCCACTCCTTCACTCAACCCCGCGGGAAAACTTGAAAGGACCTTTTTGTGCGCGACCTTATTAACACTTTCTTTTAGCAATGGATCCCAGTTCTTCATTACAACCGACAAGACCTCCTGGCTCGACGGCAAGCACGTTGTTTTCGGTGAGGTTGCTGATGAGGCATCCATGAAGACCGTCATGGATATCGAGAAGGTTGGCAGCAGCTCTGGCACTATCACCACCAGCACCAAACCTACTATCGTCGACTGCGGCCAATTGTAAATTTCCTAGAGCTTCCCTAACTTCAAAAATGATACGACTGTGCCAACGTGTACAAACGGGATATATCTGGGGCGGCTGTTTTCAATGAGAGTGACCAGACGAAGATTAAAACTGCTTTCCAATTAATCCACATATCATCAATTCTCTCCTTAGAATCCTTCTGATACATTGCTCATTGTCCTTGTGCACAACACCAAAACGTATTCTACAGGCCTTAGGGTAAAGAGAAAGTCGTACCATTATTGCATAGTTATCTCTGTAGTCAATATGCAATAAGTTTTTCTAGTATTTCCCGCTGCATATAATAGGGTCAGCAATACTGGGTGTCTCCCGCCTGGGCACTTGGGATAGCCAGTCTTGTGCTGATAGATGAGAATATTCACGATTGAAGATTGAGCCTTGCCTAACCAATCTTCCATGTAGCATTCCTAGGTCATTTTGAGATGACACACTTGTGCTCTGCCTTTGGAAAAACTAGCCAATAGAGAGTGCGATAGGGGCTTCGGTTTGTGACCCGTCGTCGCGAATGGGATCTGGCACTCCGTACCCACATCTTTCAACTACATGGTCGTGGATTGAGGCTCATCAATTGCCGGCCCATAGTCGCCCCGCATGAAATCAGCTAAGGTCAGTTGAGAGGTAAGGTGTTCGTATCGGGCCTGCTTCCATCTGGCCAATCGCTTGTGTCAAAAATTGGCGTATGAATTTGCCAGAGTGTTGCCATGTGTGTCTTTCACAGGTTTTCACAGGTCGATACCAGCGCCCGAATACCCGGCCTCTCCTTTTAGCACTCTTTTCCCCGCACCCTTCAGGACCCCATTCAAAACCTCTCTCATCTGTTTGCACCCATCAATTCCCACCGCAAACATCGTTTCCAGATATGAAATATGCACACCAGATTCCATCTTCACAATTGACAGCATCTGTGCTTCCTCTTCTCCCATATCCCCATCTTCTCCAGCGTCATTTGCAACTGGATTCGTGTTGGCGAGTGTCATATGCGGTAACTCTATCTCCTCTGGATGCGATAGATCTAGTAGAGGGTCTAGACTCTCGTTAATTCCTCCAATGCGTGTTGAAGATTGAGTAAGTTCGGTGGCAGGGGTGGAGGCACGCCCACTCATGCCTACAGTGCAAGCGCAGAGGAGACCAGGCATGGGAATGCCGGCGTCGACAAGTGCGAGAGTGCAGGCGTTTATGCAAGCGGCGAAAATGGAGCCGTCAGAGGATAGAACAGAAACGTGTATTGATATCGTGCTATGCGGGTAAGTTTGTGTGTGCAGATGAGGCTGGAAGGCATCTCGGAGCGCGGCAGATAGCTCGGTAGTAGCTTGTCTGCGGATATTCAGGTGTGAGTACGGTTTGGTTAACGGACAAGCAGGGAATACTGCATTGAGGGATAAAATGGGTAATCCAGAATGCAGTACTTACCTATCACCTCCACCTCCACCGCCCATCACGCTTTTCTTCTTCCTATCAATACTTGCGAACCCAGCAATATTGACAACCACAGAGACCACCGCGCCGCCTCCTCCACCACTGGCGTCTGATCTCTTCCCTTCCGCAGGGCCATGCACATTGCATATCACCACAGTGTTGCCCATTGCGACGTATGAGGATCCGGAGCTAGCTGGATTTGTGGAAATTTGAGCTTGTATAAGCCGGAGTTCGTTCCATCTCCGCCCGTCGAGCCGGAGGCGCGTAAGGCGGTAAGTGGTGGATGTGTCAAGGGGCATTGAAATTAAGAAAGAATCGGTAGTAGAAGACTTTTAAAGATGCCACTTCCTGACTGCTAATTTAAAGTATCAAGTAGAAAAGATTGGGATATTTTGGCACCTTTGAGTCTGGGAACATCGAAGCTGAGTTTGCAATGTTTGCCTGGGCCTCTTGACAAAGAAACTTTTGGATGAACAGGTTCGGCCAGAACATACCATGCTCCGGGCTGCCCTGAAATTAACAGATAAAAAATGTATTCTGCTCAATAGAAAGGCTACAATCTGAACTTTGAAGCATTTTACTTTGTACAGCCTGGTGCTAACTAATCATGTGACTACGCGCCACCGATGAAGTCGCGTTTCGCGCCCCCACATTATCCAGTGAAGGCAGATACGAAGTACGATCTCGCAGCACAAATGGCTGGCAACTGGGAATTGCTCGATTCCGACGCTCCTGAACAGAGTACCGAAGATGACAATTCAGCTTTGATAGGCATCAAAAGAAGAGCCCCCCGTCCAATACACATCAAAGATACTAGCCGGGATGCAGGCCCCAGAGGAAGAAGCTCTAGCCCCATTGATCTTCGAGATACACAGAGCGAAGAGGAATACGAAAAAGACATTTTTAGTGATGGAGAAGCTACATATCTACAGTTCAAGAATAGGAAAAAGCGGAAGCGCTCTGCTGCGTTCAAGCGAAAGTCTAAGCCCACCCAAAAAAGCTCCATTGTTGGTCGCCGTGAGAGGCGGATAGGTGATGACGAAGGACCAAGCCGTAAGAAGCCACGCCAAATGAAAAACTATGGTGAGGTTTCTTCTGAAGATGACATGATGGAGGACACCTTGCCTGAATACCTTCGAACCCGTCGCCGTCACTTCGATAAAAGAAGAGAACGCTTATTAGAGGCTGGTTTAAAGTTGCCGCCGGATTATGATGATATCGACTTCTCAGATGAAGACCACTTAGAAGATTTAGACGAAAGGCCTATGTTCACACATATTAAGCCTTGTCGAAAGTATGAGGATATCCAGCTTCCGTATTCACTGGGGCTGATACCGGCTCCGGTGGCGCAGTGGCTACGCGACTATCAAGTGGATGGTGCCAGCTTTCTTCATGAGCTGTTTGTTTATCAGAAGGGAGGTATTCTTGGGGACGATATGGGCCTTGGTAAAACCGTTCAGGTCATTGCTTTTCTAACGGCAGCCTACGGGAAAACAGGCGATGAGAGGGACGCCAAGCGCATGCGCAAAATGAGACGAAAAGGTGATGATATCTGGTATCCCAGGACTCTGATCATATGCCCTGGCACATTAATTCAAAATTGGAGGGCAGAGCTAGAACGATGGGGGTGGTGGTATGTTGATGTATTTCATGGAAGCTCAAAAGACGATGCATTGCAATCCGCCATGTCTGGTAGAGTTGAAATTCTGATCACCACCTACACCATGTATCGCATGAACAAAGACACGTTGAACATGGTGGATTGGGATTGTGTGGTTGCTGATGAATGCCATCTAATGAAAGAACGCAAATCGGAAACTGCAAAAGCGATGCACGAGCTTAATTCCCTATGCAGAATTGGCCTCACTGGGACTGCTATTCAAAACAAATATGAGGAGTTATGGACTCTCTTAAATTGGACAAACCCTGGTAGATTTGGCCCAGTGTCAACATGGAAAAGTACCATCGCTGACCCCCTGAAAATTGGGCAATCTCACGATGCCACCGTCTATCAACTCAGCAAAGCCAGGAAAACTGCAAAGAAATTGGTCCAGAACCTGCTTCCTGCCTTTTTTCTTCGGCGTATGAAAACTCTTATTGCTGATCAGCTGCCCAAGAAAAGTGACCGTGTTGTGTTCTGTCCTCTGACAGAAACCCAGGCTGATGCCTACGAGAATCTTTTGAGTAGTGATATTGTGGAATATATTAGGACATCCTCTGATCCTTGCCCCTGCGGATCTGGAAAGAAATCTGGTTGGTGCTGTCATAAAAAGGTCCCGAATGGTGGGCCATGGCAGAGCTACGTGTTTCCTGCGATCTCAAATCTACAAAAGCTAAGCAATCATCTTGCTATCCTCATTCCACAGCCCACGGATCCCAACGAGAAACAAGATAAAGATCTCAATATGTTACAAATTGCAGTTCCCGATAAGTGGCGTGAGTTATACCGGACGAGAGGCTCCATTTTGAACTACTCAAACCCGGAGTTTTGTGGGAAATGGAAGGTGCTAAAAAAGCTGCTTAAGTGGTGGCATTCAAATGGGGACAAAGTCTTGGTATTTTCTCATAGTGTTCGGCTCCTGAAAATGCTACAGATGTTGTTCAACCACACCAGCTACAATGTCAGTTATTTGGATGGTGCCATGAGCTACGAAGAGAGAGCGCAGGTGGTGGATGACTTCAATGCGAATCCCCAGCAATTCGTTTTTTTAATATCCACCAAAGCTGGCGGTGTTGGTCTTAATATCACCTCTGCGAATAAAGTTGTTGTTGTAGACCCAAACTGGAATCCCTCGCATGATTTGCAGGCACAGGACCGTGCATATCGTATTGGCCAGCTGAGGGATGTCGAGGTATTCAGGTTAGTATCTGCCGGCACTATTGAAGAAATTGTGTACGCACGCCAGATATATAAACAACAACAAGCCAACATCGGGTACAATGCCAGCATAGAAAGGAGATATTTCAAAGGGGTGCAGGAGAAGAAAGACCAAAAGGGCGAGATTTTCGGGCTTCATAACCTATTCGAATATCAGAATAACAATATTGTGCTGCGAGACATAGTCAACAAAACGAACGTGGCGGAAAGTAAAGCCGGAGTTCAGGTTGTCAATTTTGAGGTCTTCGATCAAAGAAATGATGACAATAAAGGGCCAAACTCTGACAATGCAGGAAACGAGGATACCGCAATGAGCCAATTGGCCGCTTTGGTACAAGATGGTTCCGATGCTGTAACGCAATGGGGGGAAGAAAAGAAGTCAACTACATCAATAAGGCATGATCCAATCCATGCCATATTGACAAGTGCCGGCGTAGAGTATACGCACGAAAACTCAGAAGTGATCGGCTCTTCGAAGGTTGAAGAGCAGCTCAGCCGTCGGGCGGAGATGGCTGACGAGAGGGGAGATTTTGGCAGGGAGCAGGTATTTCAAGAATCGCAGGGTGATTCAAGCTCTGCAATATTCCTGGCGCCCACCTCACTTGTCAAATTCAGGTATCATCCGCCAGAAGCCGTGATGAGGAGACAATTCTGTAGCATGGCGAAGGAAAATGGATTTGACAATGCAACAGAATTTGCACTAGCGGTGGAGGGCATGACTCAGGCTGAAAGACGGGCATTTTTGGAACAGTGGTATAAGAGGCGTAGAGAGATTCTACTGGGAAATGGGGAAAAGATAAGTTGACAGAGCAATTAAGCAGGCGAAGGTAAATTGCGGTGGATGGCATTCTGTCAATTCAATTACTCCGTACAGAGTACTGGCGAATCAAACGATAAATTAAGGCGATCTCTAGAAAATGCCTAGCAAATATATCTTCAACGAAGAACGTTAGTTACCTACCTGCCCCCCGGCATATGGAATGCTAATTTTTCGACTCACCAAGCTTAAGAGTACTCCGTACATAGAGTTGTTTATTATTTGATTACTCCGTTCTAGAGTTACATGATACCATGCATCGCATCGCGTGTTCATCCTGCTCAAATATTTTGACTAACACAACAGCTATAGCTACCAGGTCAGTCCAGCAGCAACTCGAAGATAATTTCAAATGAAGGAAGGTGGTCAATGTAACCCGATTTGGAGATTTGTGGGTGGTTGCCAGCAGATTCGAGCAATACACGCTAATTACAGTACTGTCTGTTTTGTAATTTAAATTCAACTAACTACAAAAGCGGAAAGGTCGTAATGTATTTAAGGTTTCTTAGATCAAAGTTGAAAAAATAACATTTCATGCTTTCGTGCCCACAATCTAGTACGGAGTACCTGTTACATGAATCTAGCTTTCTACAGATCTTGGACGCGTTTTAATTCACTATATTTGCTGATTTCAGAGGATACTCTCACAACATATACATACTGAGCTTGGAGCGCCTAATCTACTTCTGAAATACTTGTTGATGCAGTTGAAGTTTGTTCTTGAGCCATCAAGGCAACGCGTTCTCTGAACAACTGCTGTCTATAATGCTTTCATTTCTATGGTATTATTGTTCGACAACATGGGCTGCATTTCGACGGCTCGTCCGTCACCCGCTGTATCTTCCTTTACATGTCTTCGAATATATAACGGGCGAAAACATCAACGCTTCGCCCCCCGCCGGCTCCACTCCAAACGCCAAGCCACGAGCTCTAGTAGCTTTGACACTGCCCAACGCAGAAGCAGCGCAATGGAATAGAGAAACTATGCGAGAATTTGAAGCCGCCTTAGAAGCAAATCCTGCAGTGGATCTCATGTCCCTTTTCTCTGACTCTTATCGTGGTCAGCACCGAGCTGCTCAATACGATCAGCTGTCTTATCCCGGAGGAATCAACCTCCAAATGGTAAACAGTCTGCGCGATACACTCCAGCGTGAGCCGGAAGTCAACCTTCTATCCGCGTTTCCGGTAAAGTTTTATACGCGCAGAATCAAAATGGCAACCTTCAGGGCTCCAGAAAAGCTTCCTCCGTCAAAGGAACCCGAATTTCGCCAAATCCTTGATCGTGCTAAGACTGCTTCAGTTGTTTTCCCGCTGTCTGAGGCTGTCACTTCCTTGCTTGCACAGTCCGGAGCATCGACGACTGATGACGCGGAGGAGTCATTATTTGTATCCTTGAACAGACTTCTCTGGGATTCACCCACCATCTGGCAACAATGTGTCAGAGGCATGGTGGTCAGGTGCAATGAGGACATTGTCGCTAAGGTCATTTCGGGAAATAAAAAAAACTATACGGAATACACGAGTATGCAATTCCTTGAGCAACATGCACCTGACATACCTGCACCAAGACCCCACGGCCTGATCGATTTTGAACCATTTCAGGTCATATTCATGACCTATATTCCGGATATGACTCTGACCGAAGCGTGGCCCGACCTTTCCCACGATGAAAAATTATCAATACAACGCCAGCTCGATGATATCTTCCGTCGACTGAGAAGTATTCGGCAGGATGATGGCAATATGCTTGGGGGCGTTTGTGCAGAAGGAGTTAGAGAGCTCCGCGTTGACGAATGTGCCCTGTTTAAAGATATCACCAGGGCTATCGACTATAACAACTTGCAATTTTCCGCCGACCACCGTGGCAGCGCCACTTATGCTGAATTACTTCGCTTATTTCTGGAAAATGAACGCCCTTCAGTACAAGGATCGGTATTCACCCATGGTGATGTTAGAACCGATAACATCATGGTGAAACGCGACCCCAACGGCTGCTATAAAGTTACTGGAATTATTGACTGGGAGCTTAGCGGGTTTTACCCTGAGTACTATGAATGCACTGCGCTGACCCGCACTTTGAGTTTTGTGGACGACAACGACTGGTATCTCTATTTGCCCGAGAGCCTGTCCCCAATGCGCTTTCCTATACGTTGGCTAGTTGATCGACTTTGGGGCCTCCAGCTAAGAATGGCATAGCCGAAACTAATATGGATTCAAGAGGAATACCTTCAAAGCACCTGTTCTTGTATGGCATCCGAAGTACAAGAAACCAACCTCTTAACAACGAGCTAGTGTGAAAACAAGTATGGCTGACGATTTAACAGTATATCATCGAAACTCCCCCGTTCCCCCCCCAGCTCATACCCCTCCGATTTTCCTTCGAGAATTTCCTTCTCTTCACTATATTTCGCATCGTTCTCACCAACAATATTCTCCAAACTTTCCAAAAGCTCCAAAACATAGTTTTGACAATTGTAGCTCGGGTACTCATTGTGAATTACCATATTTTCCGCAGCTTCCTTAATCTCATCAATATTAGATCACACGTGAATCATTTCCGAAAGAGTATTCGGTTTTCAAACGTTGGAGACCCTCATATCGGAACGATGCCGAGTAGAAGAACCCATAACATGGAGGATGATCTTTCGCACGACGAGGTAAATTGAATAGGAGTCTAATTATCACAAACCTTAGACACGTACAGGAAGCTGTTGCGTGTATAAATTCTCTGACTTTGGTCTCATCCTGTTTCTGGAGAATTTGGATGCTTTTTATATGTGTGCTCTTAACTTTATTGGGCGTGACTGTTAATTTGTATGGTGTTTGAGATGCATATAGATAATGCGCATAGTAATTACCAGTCTGACAGTAATGGCTTCATAGGGGAAGGGTCCTGGAATTAAAGAAACACATGGACTCCTGCATTCCGTACGGGATTGCAATCAGGGCCAATGGGTCGTTTGGTAGGGGTAGTTAAGCATGAGCTACCCTTCTCGTGAAGAAGTGAGGTGTGCACTGTTGACCCTTAGAATTCAATAAGGTAGCTACCCGACAGATAACCACGGAATAAACTGCCTTTATAATAACTCTGACTTGATCCCTAGACCCCTTCTGTGCCACCATAAATACACATATTTTCCATCGATTTTACAATATTGAGATTCCTATCACTCACCATATTCAACACATCTAATTTGAGTGTCAATAGTTTGCAGAATTAGACGACTACTGTGGGATGCTCTTCAGTTGCTAGTTTTGGAATTTTAAGATGATACCTCTTGCTGATAGTAAATGATCTGCTCCGGTGCCACGCCTTTTGACGAAATGTCCGACACACCTCTGATTGACGATGCCAGAATACACCTCGAAATTTTGTGATATAGCCTCCTCGAGACTGCATATGAAGAGGACGATATGAAATACATTGGACTTATGTCCCACTAGAAACCTGCATGTCTGAAATACCCTTTCGTATGTTGTTCTCTGGCACCCACAACATCAACACACCATTCATGATTCAAGAGAAGCACCAAAGCTCTCATCAGGGTTTTCAGTATAGTCTTGCCAGTTCTGTTTAATAGTCTTTCAACTCAGCGAATAGTTCTTAAATTGGATTCAGATCCGGCGAGTACAGTGGTAGGTATACCAGCTTGACCTCTTCATCAAAGCACATCTGCTCAATTTGTGCTGAGTGATGAAAAGGCAAACTGTCCCTTACTAGCACCTACTTCGGCTCCGGCCATGTACCACAGTGTTCAAGGAGTTGCCCAATGAAATTCTCGAAGACAGAAGTATCAGTGGAGCCCTGGAAAATACGGGAAAGGACAATTCTATCTTAGGTATCGCTGGAGAATCAGCAGCCGTACTGAAATATCCACAATTAAACATTTATAATCTGTCACGCAACGGGGCTGGACAACTCACATTCTCAAGTGTCTATTCCCCCCTCTTTATATGATACTAGTACCGCTCCCTTCCATCTAAATAGATATTTTTGGTGTATTGGTTATCATATCACATAGTTACTTTCCCCAGCGAATAGCACAGCTCATTTGACGGTGCTAGAAAAAAAATCATATCCCATCGCGCCGCCATCGTAACCTATATTCCCAGAATCCACAACCAAAGGGCTCCTAACTCCGGTGTTTCTATGCCAGGAAAGCAATCCATATACCCAAGACAGAAAAAGATCAGAACCATGAAAGGGTCCATAAGGCCGGTAGATTTGGCCATTTCTCCTGCCATTTGGCAAGTATCTCTGGTACTCTTTCGTCGAACCCCTTTCTCGCTGCGCCGTCTCCTTGATTCCAACCATCTGCTCCGTTTGTCTTTCTCTCTTGATCTGCGGATTCGTTTAACCGGTCAGCAAGGTCAAGAATAGCTTTGCTTCCAACCAATGCCTCCTCGTGGTTATCCCGTATGTCAACATTGAAGACGTGAACTGGGCGATTCAATGGAGCGCCACGAGTCATCAAGTCATCAACCACGGCATCCCAACACTTTTCTTCGCACGTAATTATTACATCGACGACGCCGCCTTCTGTTCCAAGGCTACCTTTATCTCCTCGTGAGAGATGATCCATACGTGGCAATCCAGGAACCCACTCCTGGAAACGCTCAGGCCCCCATTTCACGCTTTTGTTTCTCTCCAGCATGGGCAGGACGCCGTTGCTCTTGTATAGCCGCGGGTCTTTCGATAATAATTCATCGTAGATGTGAGAATATGATACAGTATTGAAGTTATACACGTTCGGTTGGGTAATCGTTGGCCCTGGGAGGCGAACCAAAGATCCAGTGCCGAATGATATGACAGGATACGAAGATGGTGGAGCAGCAAGTCGATTATGAGCTTCCATAGAGCGATTCTGATTTGCGGCACATACTGTGCAGAATTTAAGCTTATAGGATGTAGATGTAGGGTGAGGAGGAGTGGATGATGGGTTATCTACGGCTCCGTCGGCTGTTGGGATTGAGACTGCTGCTTGTTCTTCGGGGGGCGGTGGTGGTGGAGGCGGCGGGGGTGGTGAGGAGGTTGGGATTCCGGATTCTGAGTTGCCATTACTAGCAAGACGTGGATCAGAACTCATGGCGGAATACTCTGTGTCACCTATTGAAGTTGAGGCCCTGTGCTTTGGGCACTTCACGGGCGGATGAAAGGGCGGATTCTAAGCACGATTCAATTAGCAAACCAGTAGTATACGGTTTAGATTACGGATCATGCGGTTTATTAAATAAATACGGCAAGTATCAGAGTCATTAAAGTTGCGTAAAAGTAGTGTCTCCTCACAGAGAGATAGGACAGCTCCAATAGAGAGTTCATCAGGCAATTCGAGTGGAAAATTGAGAAGAAAAGTGGGTATTTCGGGTTACCATACCTAAAAATATCCGTGCCCACTTCAGCACAAGAGTCCTGGGATAGTAATTCCTGAGTTGGAGTCCTACGCTGTGTTGTTGATTTGTTGAAGCTCTTGGTGGTCAAAGAAAGGTTTGTATGGTTCAAATTAGTCATCGAGAGAAGCGTTAACGAATTGCTTAACTAATCATCAAAAGCTTAACTAACTAATTACCTAGCGTCTACGGAGTACGAAGTAACCTTTTTAATCAACAGATTCAACATAACTTCAGCTATTCAGCAATATACTCTATACATATGAACTATCACACAAAATGAAATATTTGACCTCTATACAGCTAAGAAAACTTACAATCGCGCATTTGCGGTTTCAGTGCCAAAGACAATGCGCTTATCCCACGCAGCCTGCGCTTTCCAGGACTCCTGTGATGAGCTATCACCCAAAACCCACCGCCTGGTAATTTCTCTGGCGACTTCATCCCGGTCTCTAGAAGCATCCAAAACCAAAAGACAACCACAGACCAAATATTCCATATCCTGAAGGTACTTTCTGCCTTGCCATTTGAGTTGTTCTCGATCCAACTCTTTTGTCTCCGCAATCCACTTCTCCCATGCTCGCTGCAGGGCTTGGGCCTCATTGCGGAATCCCGTAGCATTGCCCACATCCAGAGCGTTCTGAATCCAGCCACTCAATACGGCCAGGACAGCTGGACCTAGTTTGCCTTTCACAACCCGGACAACGTCATCTGCCATGATATCTGTGGTGCCCTCCCAGATGCTCAGAACACAGGTATCTCTGAACAAACGGGCGACATTGAATAGTGGATCCTCGTTTTCGAGGAAGCCAACACCGCCCAAGTTCTCCATGCAGGCACGTACTCCTGCAATTGCCGCAAGTGCCGTCTGGGCTTTCGCCATAGGCGTTAGGAGCCGCAATAAAGCCTGTGCATGCTGCTGGTCTTGTGGGACGATATTCACCTGCGCCGCTGGTGTGGCGCCGCTCTTCTGGCCTTCAGAAAGACCCAGCAACGCGGCAATGAGCATTACCAGCTGCGTATTGGCAGCATAGTGCACATGGTCCTTTGCTAGCTTTCTGACATGGGCGGGCATGTCTGCCAATGCGGTGTTTCGAACAACTCTCACTTTTGCGTACGCCTTTGATATGGCCAAACCACGACCCCAAGCGCCAACTGACGCAATGGCGTTTTGTGTTCTCGTTATATTCAGTACTGTGGCAATCTCCTTGACTCCTTCACCTTCTTTTCCAATGAGATAACCTCTCACACCCTTGAGTTCCAGCTCTGCGGTAGGGAGTGCTTTTGTACCAAGCTTGTTCTTGAGTCGCTGAATTCTGATTCCATTGAGCTCAGTTTCACCATCACCACCCCTCACTTTTCTGCGGAGCGGAGCGTAAAAAGCACTAACTGTTCCGTCCGGGCTAGTCTTTGCAAGCATGATGGACATATTTGCATCGGTTGCTGAGGAAAACCATTTAAAGCCATCGATACGCCAGGGTCCAAGTGGCATCCCGTGAGCATCAACGCCATCCGTCTCTGCCTTTTCTGCGCCGGAAAGTTTTCTGGCCACCGTTTCTGTTCCACGGACGTCGCTACCTCCTTTTCGTTCTGTCATCCATTGACCACTTGTCCATGCAACCGTTGGGTCGCGGTGGATAAGCCTTCTCCGAGCCTCTGTGAAGATATCACCGTTCTCATCGTTCAAATGCCTTTTTAGTAAACACGCTGCGCCATCAGTCATGCTGCCGGGGCAGGTCACTACCGCCGAGCCTGGATTCCAGAGAATGAACTTCAAGCTCTGATACACCCGATTATTCCAAATTTGGCTGCCGCTGGGCAGCTCATGGCCAAGGGCAACCATTCCCTCTGCAATTCCAATGTCTTGAAGTTTTCGCCAGCCTTCACTAGTGACTAAGGAATCGTACTTGTTCTCTACGCCAAAGGTAGTGAGAGGCTTCAAGGATGGCTGGTTGCGTTCTGCATCGGCGAGATAGGACTGGATCTGGTTTGAGAGTACTAGGCGAGATAGTCGAGTGAGGTCTTCAAGGATGCCTTGCGGCATGGGGTTAGGAAGGTGGAGGAACACGGCACGTCGAAATATACGATCATCTTCGATTTGAGACTCGATGACTGGAGGGCTCTGAAAGAAGCCGGCTGTAGCGCTGGAAGCCTCCATTTTCGTAGTAGAAATGAGCCACGACCTTGATAGTACAGTGTCTGACCTTGAAAGGATGTTCAATATGCATATATATACGTGGGGCGCTTATTTACTTCTTTCGTGTGTTGTGCTAGATTGTACTTAGTTAGTAGTGATGCTGACAAGGCCGTCCCCGCATATTCTCATCAGATGCTTTCTGAGAGCCTCGGTATCTTGCAGCTTCGGCAAAATCTCGAGGTCCGGCATAATTAGGAGTGGTCAGACTAAGGATCGTCACCCCAATCCCCATATCCCCAGCGATCAAATCCCCATTCATCAGAAAAGCCGTTGTTTGACACTGGCTGACCTGCCCTTGAGCTGCACAAACATAGCAAACTTTCGGGCATCCCCAGCCACTGAATCTTCTGACACGGCCGTTCGGTAAAATCAGACTCCTACCAACAATCATATTATTCCGACTCAACCGCCAGGACACGGCATGGCGTCCGATGCTAGCCCTGGTTTTCGGCCGGCTCTTATTGTGGTGGATATGCAGGAGGATTTCTGCATTCCAGTGAGTCTCGCCTCCGCCGACCTGCACGCGTTACGGAGAGGCCATTAAAGGCCATACGTCCTCGAATCTCACGAAACCCGTTCCCCAACAGAATCCCCTTGGTGTCCAGGGTGGCCGTGAGCTGGTGCCTGTGGTCAATGAAGTCCTTGGTTTTCCTGGCTTCGTGATTCGAGTCGCGACCCAGGACTTCCACCCCGCCTCCCACATTTCGTTTGCCACCAACCATCCGCCGCCGAACAATAGGCCGTTCGAGTCTTGCATTCGCATGAGAAACCCCGTTTCAGGCAGACAGCCGGAATCTGTATCCCAGCGGCTATGGCCGATTCACTGTGTGCAGAACACCCCTGGTGCCGAACTTCTTCCGGACCTCAATGTGGGGCTTCTTGACGTCGTGGTGAAGAAGGGCATGGATGAGCGCGTGGAAATGTATTCCGGGTTCGCCGACGCGTTTGGGAATATAGACTGTGTGGCTACTGGTGGTGCCAGCGCGGACCTTACAGTCATACTTATGGACAAGGGCGTGACAGATGTCTTCGTGGTGGGACTTGCGGGAGATTACTGCGTCAAATACACGGCTCTGGATGCTGCGAAAAATGGATTCAGAGCCTATATGGTAGAAGAAGGCACCAAGTACGTTGATCCGAGAGATGGACAGCAGCAGACAAAGGCCCAGTTTGCTACTGAGGGGGTCATGGTTGTTGGTCTGGATAGCCCGGAGTTGATGCGGGTAAAGATGGCCACGACGTAACCGTGAACATTGAAATCGCTGCCATATTTGCGACTAGGCTGAACGATTCCCTAATACTACGACGTATGTATGTATATACATAGTTGTCCGCACACTTCATCCGTAGCTTCAAGAATTCGTCTCGATCATGTAACTATCGTGTTCTCCTATTGAGATGTAATAACCGACACCAAATCTAGCATTCCCCAGGCCGGCCTTAAAACATCGTTAAGTCAGCAGAAATCCTGGATTCTGCAGGAACAGGGCGTGTGAGGGATAAGGATTCCGTATGGTGGGATTCGACGGAACGTCTTCTCATCAACACCGCAGAGGCTGGGCAGGTCGTGACGTCAAACAGCACTGGCGGGACGGCGCTCTCTCACTCTACGGAATATCTTCCTGCAATCCTACAGCTTTGCGAAAGGACGATGCCTCACTGTGTGTCCTCTGCCAGCGCCGACGCATCCGTGGCGGCCGAGTCACTGGCGTCCCCGCCGCCAGATGCGCCTCTGCCCTACTGGCTGGTCAATGTGCCACGCGAGGAGTGGCCGTCCGAATGCCCCGAGTTCCTTCGCGACCTCCCAGAGAAATCAATTCGCGTGCTGGCGACGCCCGACTCAGAGTACGTCCGACTGGACTGGCCCGCGGTGCGGCACTTCGTAGGTTGGCTGCGCCCTCGACGCGAATCGCGATGCTTTGCACCACCACTCATTCTCGCTTGCAGAGACGAACCAGATCAATCGATTTCTGCGGCTGCCGTCGGATTTGCGCCGGTACCTGGAGTACATGGCCCAGATCAAGGCGCAGTACGGCTCGGTGCTAGACTTCATCATCCAGGAGCGACTTCGCTGGGACAGTTTGGAACCTACGTGTCCAACGCCGTTTGCGTACCCTGGTTCGTGCTCCAGGCTTTTTTTGCTGTGCCTTGTTCCTGCCTGCTTGCTGCAGGGCGTGAAGGATTGACTCTGGAGCGGCCAGCGCTGGGGCTAACATGACAGGGCGGCAAATTGCCTACATATGTACACAGGCGACTACAAGGTGCTATACAATGACTGGCCGTACGGCATCGACGCAGATATCGTCCATCTGGTCGTGTGGACGAAATTCGAGCTCCAAGACGACCCACAGACAGACGACCTGACAGTGCAGGCCCAGCGCGAAATCGACGAGTTTGTGGACGGCGTATTTCGATCGCGAGTGCCGGGCGAGCAGGTGGTGTGGTTCAAGAACTGGAGGTCGCTGAAGTCGATCCATTCTGTTGAGCATTTCCACGTTATGCTGAAGGCGCCGGATATGGGGTTTGTGCACGAGATCACTGGCGGTGACGTGCCGCTGGCTGAAAAGCTGCGTGGTGTAGCTCGTGGCTGTGCTGCTTGACACTGGCGGTGAATGTATGCATACAAATGGCCATGGAGTAGTTAACTATGAGATTGTGAATACTGAGCAGTATGTCATTGTTAACTGTTTAACTACTGTAGCTGATGTAGCTGCTCCATCTACTCTGTAGTTAGATCTGCGTTTCACCCGCCAGCAACGGGCAAACAAGAGTGCCAATCGCATCCAAGCCTCGCCGTCCTGCCACTCCGCCCGGCCGGCGTCTGCTTGCTGGGATCAAGCGGCCTGGGGGCTGCCCGGCTGCCCCTCCTCAAAGCTTCTCGCTTTTGCCCACCAACACCAAGAAAAAAAAAAAAATACTGCAGAGCCCACTGCGCCCTTCACGCATCTCCCCTCCACCACTCGTTCTGCTTCTCCCCAGTTCTGGCTTGCTTCACTGCCTGTAGCCGCCCCTCGTTTGGTATCCTGCTGCTCTCTCTGCTGTCGTATGCTCTGCGTGGTCGCCCGCTTGCCTTGTTTCTCGCTGCCTAGTTCCCCTCCGACGTAAGAGGCCCCTGTATTTCGCCACAGCCGTATAGAACAAACATCCCGCCGGGCACGCGCGTCTGCTGCTCCAGCTTGCTCTTGTCACTGCATCTGATGTCTTAACCCACCCTCCATCGATCTTTCGAGCTGAGATATCTGGAAGTGCGTGGGAGGAGGCCCTCTGATCCGCCATGTTGCCCAAGCTGCCCCTGGTCGGCCACCATACCCCTCGCAGGTCGTCATTGAACAGTGCGTCTAGAAACTCTTCGCTGTGGATTTCCCCCCCTCTGTTGACTCACACCGCTGTCGTGAATTGGGGCATGAGCTGACGAGATTCGCTCGCTAGGCAACCGATCATCAATTGCAGACCAGCCGAGCCAGCCCCCATCTCCCGGCGCTGATGATGAAACCGTTGTGGAGCCTGACCAGGGCAATGGTGAGTCTCCTACTTGATGATGTCAATCGACGATAAAAATATTGGAAACAGTTCTCATGGCATTCCAAGATGCTAACAGCTCGCTCCTTGTTCATAGTCCTGTCTCACATTATTTCTCAATTACGACCCGGTGCGGATTTAAGTCGCGTAGTACTACCCACCTTCATCCTCGAGCCGCGGTCTATGCTGGAGAGGATCACAAAGTATGTTGTTACAGTATTCTGGAAAACTCCGCCGCAAAGCCCACTAACGGGGGTGTCTCATAGTTTTATGGCTCATCCCGAGACTTTGCTGGAAATGCAGAAATTTGATGATCCTCTTGAGAGATTTGTATCTGTGGTCAAATTTTACCTCAGTGGATGGCACATCAAACCTCCGTATGTTAAACACTTCTCCAGTAGCATGCGACACAGAGGAACTAATGCTCTGATGGATAGAGGCGTTAAAAAACCGTTGAATCCGATTCTAGGCGAGACTTTCACCGGGTACTGGGAGTATCCAGATGCTAGCCATGGCTACTATATCTCAGAGCAAACGTCACATCACCCTCCTAAATCGAGCTACTTTTTCATGGTCCCAGAACACCACATCCGTATTGATGGTACTCTAAAGCCTCGAAGCCGATTTCTTGGAAATTCTGCGGCCAGCATGATGGAAGGTGTAGCTGTGTTGCAATTTTTGAATAGAGGTCAGGATCCACATGGTGAAAGATAGTACGGGGCCTTTGTCGCAACGGTTTGAATGAATGAGCTAATTTGTCATTTTTAGCATTCTTACCCAGCCCAATATGTACGCTCGTGGCATACTATTTGGTAAGATGAAATATGAGCTTGGTGACCATAGCTATGTAAGATGTCCAGAGAATAAATTAGTCGCAGACGTGGACTTCAAAGTTAAAGGTTATTTTTCTGGTGCATATAATGCTATCGGTGGGACAATAAAGAATGAGGCAACAGGAGAAATATACTACGAGCTTTCGGGCTATTGGAATGGCGAGATGTATATCAGAAATGTGGTCGTAAGTCTACTACCATACCATAAAACATCTCATGCTAATAATACACATTCAGACGGGGAAGAAAGAACTACTATTCGATGCTACAAACGCTAAGCATACACCCCCTCTCACTAGACCACTCGAGGAACAAGAACCCCGTGAATCACAGAAACTTTGGTATAACACAACCCAGGCACTGCTGGCAAGAAATCATGAACTAGCAACCGAGGAAAAAACGAAAATTGAAGACCAGCAACGAGAGGAAGCAGCGCAACGCATCGATGGGGGTGTGGAATGGCGACCGAGGCTATTTAGACGGGTCAAGGGAGGACCTGGAGGCCCTGAAGAAGGGGAAGAAGATCTTGACTGGATCATAAATGCTCATGTGTAAGCCTTTTGCTGTTGAGTTCGGCTTTCAAGAAACTAATTTTTCTTTCGCTAGCGACTCTAAGGACCCAAAGTTAGCTACACGCCAAATTTTGGCCATAGCGCCGATACTAAAGGGTCAAGCGGTCGATCATCAATTCGATATTCCACCACATTGTTCATCTTCACATCAAAATTGCGATGGCGCTTCGGGTTCCGGAAGCCTTTCTGTATCTGAAGCCAAAAATACACTCATTGACCTCGGAAATGATGCCGAACCTGCATCTGATCCCGCCAAGAAAAAAACCGCCGAGAAATCAGAGGATCTGCTCGGTGATATTGAGAGCCAAGTGCCGAATGCCGACTCATCTACAATGAACACCCTCAAGCCAACTACTACGAATACGATTAGGAGAAGGGATTCTGTTTCATCCGGCGTGGATGAATTTGTTGATGCTCGAGATTGATGGCAGCACCCTATAACCTCGTTCTACCAAGACGCATCGTCTTCAAATCCTCGGCCAGGGAGTTTTGTTGGGCACTGGCACAACATCAGGCCACGCTCTGGTGTCACTACAAACCCTATCAATGGGAAAGATTACTATGATGATTTAGCATTTTGTATCCATATGACCCAAAGTACCTCCATTTGCTTGGTTTTACATTGGAACAAATACCTCGAGAAACAACCGCTTTGCGATTATGGACCGGGTGGGGGCTGCTGATTTCCAGATGCACTGACGAGCTCATTTTTATCACCTTGCATGCAGCGTTCAGGTTGCTAGGTTGAACGAATGTGAAGGAAGCGCCCTTGACGGTATGCAGTCTACATAGATCCTTGAAAAAATGTAGTATATAAGTCAAGGAGACCAAACCATGTTCGCCCCCATTGTAGTCAGATACATAAATTCCTAGATAATATTTAACCTGGGTATCTTCTCCTAGTATACAGAGGCACCCGACTCCGATCCATTGAACAGTGCCAGTCCGAACGCCAAAACCGGTATTCAAACTCTGAGGAAAACCAGCCATCATTACTCGAAAACGCCAGTAGCTAATAGTATTTCATTCAACCTCGGAATTGAAAAATATGGCTTGAAAATAAAGAAAATCACCGTTATTGAAGGATCATGTGAAAAGTTCTCCTCTAGTTCCCAGACCTTTCTCGTGGTCTTTTCTTCGGCTGGATCTCCCGCCGATACCCTGCGTGCTTACTCCAGCCCCATCGCGATCTTCTAGCTCCTCTTCACCAAGCAGCTTCTCCTCTTCTAGCTCTTTCTCAACTTCCTCTCGCAGGCCTAAAATATCTGGAGGAATCACACTCATCTGCACGCTGGGAGCTCCCTTGATATACCGTAACTGTTCCAAAGTGCTCTGCACCAAGGTTTCTAAATATGCCTTGGAATTCTTATTCTCGAGTTTGCGCATTTCCGATAGTGGAGGGAAGAGGGAGCAATCCGGCCGGAATTGGCTGCGGAATCTTAAGGTGTCAGGAAGCATTGGGTTGAGGTCGTTTTCTGCGTCTAAGCAGATGGCAGTTTCGTAGGCCCAGAGTCGAGAGACGTTGCGGGGCGTGTAGCCGCCGCCGCCGACGACGAGAGTCGGCAGGCCGAAGGTTTTCGTGAAGGCGACGCAGGCGCCGTGCGCACGGATGTTCAGGTTGAAGCAACCAATGCGGTCGCAGCCAAGACTGTCAGCGCCACATTGTAAAACGATGGCGCCGGGTTGGTAAGTGCGAATACAAGGGCCGATAATGGCTTTGAAGAGAGTGACGTAGTCATTATCCTCGATACCGTCGTTTAGTGGAATATTGAGCGAATGGTGAGCACCTGGGTTGAGAGGATGGGAAGGCCCAGTGCTGTCTAGAGGTCCAGTACCAGGAAAGAAATGATCCTTATCGTACTTATGGAATGAAACTGTGAGGACACGATCCGTAGACCAAAACGCTTGTTCCACTCCATCACCGTGATGCACGTCAATATCGATATACATTACTCGCGGGTGATGCCGGAGAAGCTGGAGAATGCCGAGGACAATGTCGTTAACGTAACAGAATCCGCTGGCTTCGGCCTTTTTTGCATGGTGTAGACCACCTGACCAGTTGATAGCAATTTCTGACTGGTTATTACAAAGTTTTCGTGCCGCATCCAACGTCGCACCGGAGTATAGGGAACAGTAGTTGTACAGTCCGTCGAAGACTGGGCAATCGTCCCCAAAATTGAACTTTGCGAGTGTATCTGCTTGGGTTGCAGATTCCATATCAGCAGGTATCACCTGTGTCAGGAACTCAAGATAGTCCGTGCTGTGAAATTCCGACATCTCTTCATATGTTGCCTCGCGGGACAGATACAAGTCCATCGCATGATGCATTCCGTAGGCGAGAACCAGCTGTTTCGTAAGGGTAAGGCGCCATGGTTTCATGGGGTGATTGGAGCCAAAATGATGCGGTTCGACAGCTGGGTTTGAGTGCCATGATACTCGGTAGCCTTTGGGTCGTTTGATGGTGTCGTGTTCGGCTTCATTTGCCGTTTTGGAATCGAGTGTTAGGGTGTGATTTGGGATCGGCGGCGCGCCATATTCCTGAACGACTGTCGAGCGGGGCATGGCTGCTTAGAGGGATAGCGGTATAGAAGAAAGGGCCATAGGAGGGGAGAGAGGTCTATGAATACCAATTGGGCTCCCGTTTGAGGGAGCGAAAGCGATGGCGTGCGAGGTGAAGGCGGCGTAAGAGCGTTTGCGGAGAGTTCAAGAGAGGCTCTTGGCCATCGAATCAGTGGGCCAATCACGACATTGGGCCTTGCAAACGTTAAACTCCACGCTCTATCCTATATAGGACTAGCACATGGTCCGTGCTGACTCGCCACCCAAAGCGGTGAGATTCTGCCGTCTTCTTTCGATTTCGCGCCGAAACAACATCTCCAGCATCTCACTCATACCCATTCCTCAGCGTCAGCCCCGTCTGCCAGGACTTCCTCTAAAACAGAGGATAGATTTATGTCTATTCGGTTTGATTAATTTTGGTTTGTCCAACAACTAAGCAAGATGACGCACACCGAGGACTGCTCCATGATTCTGGAGCAGTTCGTTCATGATGGTAAGCCAACAACATATAGATATTGAAACGAAATCTAACATGCAGCATAGTGGCGAACCTTCCTGCTGAGATAAATCATTTGATGGAGGAGATCCAGGCGAAGGACAAGATAATTCAAGAATGCCGGTCGGTGATCGGCTCCCGCGATGCGAGCCTACAAAAGTTCGTCAGACTAAACGGTGGCCACTCACTGAACCCTAAAGAGGAATCTTACAACAGTATTATACTTCAGAATATGGATAGGTGTCAAGTGTTGCAGGATGAGAAAATCGCCCTGAGCGAAAAGGCAAGCGTTATTCTTGACCGGCACCTTAAGAAACTAGATATCAAAATTCGAGATTTACAAAACGATGGCCTACTTCCTAAGGACCCTCCAATTCCTTCCCTTTTTGACCTAAAAGATCAATATCGTGATACCTCAAAATCCCTGTTATTTATTGAACCTCAAGCCGAAACATACCCATCTCCATTAAACCCGACATCGGGAAATCATGCGTTACCAACGAATGTGCTTCAACGATTAGGCGGCGTAGCAAACGCTTCTACTGCTGCCTCTCCGGCTACCACCTCCGGTGGCAGAAACTCTGCGCCGGTGACTCCTAGTGCTGCGACATTGCATCTTCAACAACGGCAGCGCGAATCGTCGACAGGTGCAACTGAAAACAAACGCCGCAGGTTAAATCCTTCGCTATCAAACCTACCCACTGCGCCCTCGGGCCTCCGCCAGTCGTCAACTGGCCCGGGCACGCCCAAGGCAGGGACTCCTGCTGCCACTCGCGCCGGAAGCGCAGGACCGAGAGCCATAGCGGGCGTTAAGAAAGTTACGACTAAAAAGGTCGCTCCTCATCAACAAGTAAGGAAGGTTAAGGCCGGGGTACCAGCTAGCAAAACAACTAAGCGAGCTTCCGCTGTAACTGGTCGCCTAAAACCGGGGAACACTAGCTCGCGGAAAAGGTCACCGGCCTCGGCTACAAGCGCCGTAGAAGAGGAGGATGAATCTATGCTCAGCAGTGCTGATCTTTCTGATTCGGAAAATAATGCTTCCCGCCGCCCGGCTGAAAGGGATTCTGATGAGGACATAGAGGATGAGGAGGACGAGACAGGTGAGGATACTAAAGTATACTGCACCTGTCAAAGTGTAAGCCACGGTGATATGGTTGCTTGCGATAATGACGGTTGCCCATACGAATGGTTTCACTGGAAATGTGTGGGCCTGACAAGGGAACCGTTGGGAACATGGTACTGTGACGAGTGTCGTAGGAGTTTGGGCAAGTAACCGCTAGGTATCTTGTGCATATTTGGAAACCATACTGTATTTCTTTTATGACTTATGAAAACTTTTGTATTATGATGAATACCAGGGCAGGGTTGTTTACCTTCACAATAGATAACTATCTATTTTTGTTATAATACTGATATTGCTATAGCACATAAATAAAATAAGTGAACAAAACCCAAAGAACTCCAACGCTATGCTCTTCATATAAGGCTACTTCAACAGTGAAATCAGTAAAATATTTCCGATACCAGATATCATATTTGACATCAGATAATAGTGAAGCCTTTTTTGACGGTTGATAATTTCCCTTCTAGGAATCGGGAGAAGGTGAGAATGGGCAATGAAAAAATTTTCACTGGCCAGTAATAGTAAGAGCCGACGCCTTTGGCGTAGATTCGCTCACTGGGTCGCTGAAGGGCTTGGTTTGAAGGCAAAGGTCCAGATCGGCATCAAAACGAGATTGCGCCATCTAGCCAGTTCTGGAAGTATTCGCATGTTTCCGGGTTGACAGGTCCACCTTCTTGACACAAAGAAAAGACAGGGCAGCGGCCACATGGTGCTTCTGTGAGCCCATTGCCACCCAGTGTAAGCTGTTCATAGTCCAGAAGGTCCTTCCCAACGTCAGTATCACGGCGGCCCAGTTCTCTGTGAAGAGATATCTGGTTAGGTTTTTTAACACTCTTGTAAGCAGCCCCATCTCTGAGGGAAACTAATCTTCCATCGTAACAAAGCATTTGCAGAAGTTGAGCAATGCTGCCTTCGCCCAATGTAACAGGAGTTAAGCCTGACGCGTTAATCGCCTTCGTTATATCTGTTACAGTCGGGTAGGCACCGTATGTCGGTAGATATGGTAAATATTGGAATTCAGGTTTGGTAGATTCGCTATCTAGCTTCCTTTTTTTCTTCTGCCGGTCTGCTTTTTCGGTATCATACCAGCTGCGAGCACTGACCCAACGCTCTATCCAAACACCTAAGCTGTGGATGAAATCTGCATCTAGAACGCCATCTGTGAACCAAGCTCCGCCAGTGACTTCTTCGCTAGGCTGAAGGCTCGCTAGCATGTAGATCTTGCGTTGCGGATACTTGACATTTCGCACCGATTTGATATAGCTCTTTGTTTCTAGGGACTTGAGACAGCGGTTCATGATCGTTTGGTGTAGGTTTGTTCGCGCTTTGATGGTCTTGGTCCAAACACCCTGACGGCCGGTGGAGTGAATGACATTATATACCAAGCGCTCTTCAGAATTGAGGTTTTGGAGCCTAGAGTCACAAAAATATGAGCAATCTTTTCATTTCATCAGTCAACGCTAGGTACTCACTTTTCTGCATCGGACTGCTCGATAACTTTCCATGCAAGCCGGTCGTCTTTCCCTTGAAGGAGGCGAAACAAGCTCTGGTCCACCAAGGACTGAGCGCATTTCATCAAAAGCGCCACATCATTGTTTGGAATAACGCCCACGCTGAGGAGGTCTTGCTGGTAGAATAGGTGGTCGGAGGAGAACTCTGAGACGCATTTGCTATACAGAGCGGATGCAAGCTCATTGACGTCCTTCGACGCCTTAGCCCTAGATGGGCCGGCCGAAGAGGACGAGGCCATGTGAGAGGGAGGAGCGGAAACGCCCAGGGAATCGAGCTGCGAAAGGGATCACCGGTGAGGTAGAGGATAATTCATAGTCAAGTATTCGGCATTCATCTGATGCGCGTAGGGTTCACCCTTTTGCAGCAACACGGCGTAGGTCAGCGGGAGAGCATTCTCGTCTGCTGGCGTTGACTTTTTTTGGGAGGTGGGGGACGCGGAGCTCAAAGTGGCGGTACTTGCGCTTAGCGGGCAGCCGCCGCACTGAATGAAGTCACCCCAGCAAACAGCCGCGACAAGCTCGAAATTTCCAGAAGCTCTGCCACCGTCCTGCGCTTGTGTCTCCCCGCCGCCCGTTGTCTGCGCTGCTTCTTTTGCACTCCAGTTGCAGTTATCCTCCACACTACCTCCCCAGTATTTAACCTCTTTAATTCCTCTGACCATGGCGGACGCTCTGAAGGCTGAAGGCAACAAGGCCTTCGCCGCGAAGGACTTCGATTTGGCTGTGTGAGTGTCCTACCCCAGCTGCCACCAACGCTTTACTGACTGGCCGGATATGAGATAGTGAGAAGTTTTCAGCTGCGATTGAACTCGACCCTAGCAACCACGTCTTGTACTCTAACCGCTCTGGCGCTTATGCTTCACTCAAGAACTTCGCCAAAGCCCTTGAAGATGCCAACAAAACCACGGAGATAAAACCAGACTGGCCTAAAGGCTGGGGCCGGAAGGGTGCTGCGTTGCACGGATCTGGAGACCTTGGTGCGTTTAAACAGACTGCTACTTGAGAAGAAACTGTCCAACTCATAAGATTATAGTTGGTGCACACGACGCATATGAAGAGGCCCTCAAATTAGACCCGTCGAATGCACAGGCAAAATCTGGCCTTGACTCCGTAAAGCGAGCCATCGATGCTGAAGCAAGAGCAGATGGAGTGGAAGACCCGTCTGGTGGCCTTGGCCAGATGTTCAGCGACCCGCAGATGATCCAGAAGCTGGCCAACAATCCAAAGACGTCGCAGTACCTTGCTGACCCTACGTTCATGGAAAAACTCCGGAAGGTGTCACAGAATCCAAATGCCATTGGCGAAGAAATGCGTGATCCTAGATTTCTCCAAGTGATGGGCGTTTTGCTTGGAGTTGACATGCAGTTTGGAGCTCCTCCAGAGGGAGGAGAGCAAGCAGGTGGACGAGCTGCGGAGGCTGAAGAAGACATCCCGATGCCGGATGCGCGTAGGGCTGCCGCGCCGGAGCCCGAACCAGAGCCTGAGGATGAGGAAACAGTCGCGAAACGAAAGGCAAAGGCAGCTGCAGACGAAGAGAAAAAATTGGGCACGGAGAACTACAAGAAGAGACAATTTGATACCGCCATTCAACATTATAGTAAAGCCTGGGAGTTATTCAAAGACATCACTTATCTTACCAATTTAAGTGCGGCTTATTTTGAGAAAGGAGACTACCAGAAGGCAATTGAAACCTGCGAGACAGCGATCACAGAAGGCCGTGAAATTTTAGCTGATTTTAAGATCATTGCAAAGTAAGTCTTTTTTTTCGACCTCTTTTTTCGACTATTTCTTATGCATTCAAATAGGGCTTTTGGCAGAATTGGTTCTTCATATGAAAAACTTGGAGACCTGCCCAAAGCAATCGTGAATTATCAAAAATCTCTTACTGAGCACCGGACGCCTGAGATTCTTGCCAAACTTCGAAGCGCTGAAAAGGAGCAAACTAAAGCCGAAAAGAATGCCTACATCAGCCCCGAAGAGGCCGAGAAGGCTCGCGAGCTCGGCAACCAGAAGTTTAAGGAAGCCGATTGGCCCGCAGCGGTTGATGCGTATACAGAAATGACAAAACGTGCTCCTGAAGATCCTCGCGGGTATAGTAACCGTGCTGCTGCACTGATTAAACTCATGGCGTTTCCCCAAGCGGTGCAGGACTGCGATGAGGCCATCAAGCGTGACTCGAAATTCATCAGAGCGTATCTCAGGAAGGCCCAGGCACTGTTTGCTATGAAGGAATATAACAAATGCCTTGATGCTTGCACTGAAGCCGCCGAGCAGGATGAGACCGGAGCCAATGCTCGCGAAATAGAACAACAGCAACAGAAGGCATTGGACGCGCAGTTCAGTGCCCGTGTTGGCGAAACGGAAGCAGAGACTGCAGAGAGAATCCAACGAGATCCTGAGGTACGGCTATTTTCCTGATATATGTTTGAACTGAAGTACTAACCTCGATAACACCTTGCTAGATCATGGCGATCGTCCAAGACCCGGTCATGCAGAGCATTCTCCAGCAGGCCAGAAATGACCCGGCCGCTCTGCAGGAACACATGAAGAATGCTACAGTAAGAATGAAGATTCAAAAACTAATGGCTGCTGGTGTCATTCGACTCGGACGGTAAATGGGTGTTTGTTATAATGAGCTGCTAGATACTGATGAGTGTATGAACCGGAAACGAAAGCGAGACTGCAATAGTACTTTGATACTCGACTACCTAGCTACTGATAACGTTGCCAATGAATCACTCTTTTGCTTCCTTCCTCCCCTTATAGCAAAATGTAGCATTGCATGTTCACCCCCTGAGCTTCCTCGGCCATGCTTTCCACAGACGGGAGGCTGTTCTTCGCCGTCAAGGATTGCTACTGCCAGCTATGGTTGCGGGAGCGACTTGCCCTTTTATTTCCTGTTGTTTTATTGCTTTATTTCCTCAGCATTCGTCCTAAAATTGCGCTTTGTATTCATATTGCCAGTTTGAATCTATTTTCATATCTCGGTATATCTTTTTGACTGCTCATCCGCTCTTATATCAGCTAAAAAGAGGAGTAAGTGCACCGGCTGGTTTTCTTTCAGTGGGTAGTATACCGGTAGTCTTTGAGCTGTCTATTAACCTCCGGCTCCTAGGCGTCTAGGTTTGGCATAATGCCTTCAAACACAGTGGTTGCGTTGCGAAAATTCTTGCATCTCCAACCGCAAAGACATCGTATATACATAGTTGTATACTTTCACGATTACATATACCCTACGCAGGGCACATGTCTGCACTTCGCCCAGTTCCGTTGGGCCCTTATCATGGCGCCCCAGAATGCTGATGGGAGGGACGCCTACATTTGCGAGGCAACCAATCGCGGGGAGCTTCCCGACCAGCCGCAACCCCACCCTCCGCGCGCGAAGAGATGGTATTTTCATTCAGATGTCATTCCCGATCCCACTCAAGAGGATAGAAGTGTGCTGGGGAAGATACTTTTAGGGAGGGTGCCGCCTGGATATGATCGCCGGGACATAGAGGCGATACTTGCGTCGGTGAGATTGCCGGCGATAGATTTCCCCGGAGGGTATACCTCAGCCAACTGGGTGCAGAACAGTATTTGTGCGTTGCAGCGAGGAGGCGTGCTTAAGAAATTTAACCATGCGAAGTGCATGGTCAGGGCATATCACTATGCTGTAAGTCGGCGCGGGGACCCCACCAAACTCCCTTGGATTATCAAACGCCGGCATCTACCAAAATAGCTGGCAACATCGTTGAGCTAGGTGGAGCGTTATATTTGTATTTCATAGCCAGAAGATAATATTATTATTGCTAAACGCATTCTAGATGGAGAGTGCATTGCCCACACCAGATATTGCTTCCGGATGACTTGTTTGCGCCTTGGTTGTAGGTACGCATGTAAAGACAGTTGGCAGGCTACTTCACCATAGTGTAGCGGTAGATTGAGGACGTCATGGGAGAAAAGAGTTTCTCAGCGCCAGCTGGGTCCAAGAGTAGGTATAGTTGTGTGAACAGAAAAACCGTTGAATCATTTGAGAGGCCTCTGGTTGGATATGGAAGCGAGGGGTTTTCCCCCTTGAGCCATCGATATTGATATGGCGAGTTGGCCTCAGCATCAACAGCAACGAGTCTGGTCAAATTTGCAAAATTTCCCACGAGTATTTGAAATAAATAAGCTGCAGGGATAACTAACTAGGTGGCTAGTTACAGGTGGAGATTTCGAAAAGCAAAACCTCGATCGGGGGCAGGGAAAGGCAGCAGGCGCCCCGGCAGTGCCGCGAAGCACATCTCAATATCCCGCACCAACGGGAGCGATGCCCTGTTATATGTAAAATTTATTAGCTACGGAGTAAAGGACAGCATGATCAAGCAGCTCGATCAGTAGTTAAGCAGGTTTGGCTGACGTTCGCTATTCAATTTGTATCCCCTCCACCTGATAAGGTCCCATTCTCGCGACAGCTTGCTTTTTTTCCCAGTACTCCGTAGTAGCTAACTAACTAGCCGTCGGAGCTGCCTGGACAGCATGTGCAATTGAGTTTGCTCCAAGCTGGCACGGTTGCGTTGTCATTTATTATTCCACGCCGCACGGCCGACCACGACTGAAGGCCGTGGAGCGCCCGGCGTGTGATTGATTTCGCCACCGGGTTGGCAGGCTGCTTGGCAGAGAACTTTCGCCGTGCATGCTATTTCCCAGCGCCTGGCGGGTGGCTCGAAACGCCTGGTGAAAGAAAGACCATTGGGCCGAACCACGGAGTTGAGCTGGCTTGGATCAGGGCAAAACCTAAGAGGGGGGGAAGTGGTGTTCGCACCGGCGCTGCAGCGGATGGCGCTCGGCTCAACTCACGACTCTGCACGTCAGGCTGGGCTGATGATGATGATGATGATGCGCGGGCGGGTCGCAGCTCAGCGCTCTGATCTCTCTGGAAACATAGTTTCAGGCAGCCCAGCCACTTTTACCGATGATGTGCGCTTGGGACCCTGCTGGGGACACGCAGGCTCGGGCTGCAGTTGGCAGTTGGCTGGCAGCGGCGCCAAGCGGGCCTAGCTAAAGCCCACGGCCAGCAGCTAGCGAGGCCGCGAAATCACTACTACTACTCCCGCAGAAGCAAGCATGACGAGAACGCTGGCCGGTGTGGTGCGGAGAATCCTTCAAGCCCCAGCCTCGCCACCGGCTCTTCTCCGCAGCGGGAGGGCGTTCCACGGGGACAGGCAGGCAGGCAGGCAGGGAGGAGGAGGGCGCGCCGGCGCTCCCATGGGTGCGCGGGTGGAGCGGCTGCCCTGCGTAATGTCGCGTAACTTACAGCCTACCTAGTTAGTTACTCCGTACGTACCGCGCAAACAGGGAACGGCCGGCGTGTGGCGCGCGCGGGTGGTGCGGCCGTCGGACAGGGGGCGGCGCCGTACCGTACCGTACGCCCGGCCGCACGTGTGGCGGTGCGGGCGCGGACTGGCCGTGTGTGGCGCGTACGGCAGCGTTTCGCCGCGTATTTTACGGCGTCGCTATGACGGAGCCCCGTCGTCGTCGTTGCGCGTGCGGGAGAAAAAGACGTCGCTCAAAGGAGGCGGCAAATCTCGCTCTCCTGCGTCGTCGTCGTCCTCGTCGTCGCTCTTCGCCAGAGGAATCTCCCTCCCCCTCGCCCTCTCTCCCCAATTGGCCTGCTTGCTCTGCCTGTCTGCCCTTTGTTGCAACGCTGCCTGTCGCCATTGGGCCCTCTTATGAGCTGCCAGCAGTGTCACCGCGCCGCCTGTGTGCACACACTTCCACGCCTGCTGTCTCCTCTCCCCGCACAAGCGCCCTCCTGTGCCGCCTCCAGGCTGCAAACCCTGCTGTATAGTGCAGCAGCTTCAGCTCCAGCTCCAGCTCCCTCTGTCGGCATTTGAATGGGCTTGCGACGTTGATCGTCTTGAAAGGTCTCCCGGTGCTAGCTCGTTGAAGCATGGCTCTTGCCGTGGAGAAAAATGGCGCACTCCCGAGTGAAGTCAAGCAGGAGGCCATCATTGAAGCTGCGCAGGACCCCCAGTCGGGCATTCCCGCTGAGGCTGCCGAAAAAGCCCTAGTCGCGGAGAGCAAGAAGGCTGGTGCTGCTGTGTACCAGTTCGATCCCAATGCAACTCCCGAACAGAAGAAGCAGCAGGTAGAGAATGTACGTGGTCTCGATCTCTGGGTCTGGAAACATCATGAATTTGCTTACACTGCTGTCAACCCGCAATAGAGCGTGCCTGCAGGCTTTCACCGTGACAAGAAACCGCCTGCGGTTGCCATCACCACCGATATTGTATGTACACTCCTCTATCCTGAGTAGCTGACGAACATGCTTATACATACCCAGGTGAATGGTACCACCACTACTAACGGAAAGGTACCCGTGAAAGAAAGCCCAGTAAACGGCCAGGCAGTCGAGCTAGCGTCGCCTCAAAAGCCAAGTGCCGAGCTCACAGAAGAGCAACGATGGGCAAGAGATCGAACCGGATGGGCTCCTCGCTTCCATTCAGAGGACGACGATGCTGATGACGGGGAAATCCTTCTTGATCACCAGACCGCGCTGGAGGGTAAGCTGGACGAAAAGTTCTTTGGAGGTATGGCGCCGTCTGTTGATTACGATAGGCAAAATCTATCCATATAGCTCACTAACATACATAGATTGGTACCATAATGCCGGCATCATCATCTTTGCTTGCCTGACCTCCTGGTTTGTGGCTCTTATCGGCGGTGGATTGGGATGGGTCTTCATCGTCATGGCCGCCTGCGGCACTTACTATCGAACCTCCATCCGCCGTACACGAAGGAACTTTCGAGATGACATTAATCGCGAACTTGCTAAAAATCGATTGGAAACCGATACGGAGAGTTTGGAGTGGATCAACAGCTTTTTGGTTAAGTTTTGGCCTATCTATGCTCCTGTAATCTGCGATACGATCATCAATTCGGTGGATCAGGTTCTTAGTACGGCAACGCCTTCATTTTTGGATAGTTTGCGCCTCAAAACCTTCATCTTGGGTACTAAACCTCCGCGCCTGGAGCACGTTAAGACGTACCCGAAGACAGAAGTTGATACTGTGTTGATGGATTGGAAGTTCAGCTTTACGCCCAATGATACCATGGACTTGACCGCGCGCCAGCTGCGCAATAAGATCAACCCTAAAGTCGTTTTGGAGGTGAGAATAGGCAAGGGTCTTGTCAGTAAAGGCCTTGACGTAATTGTTGAAGATTTTGCCTTCTCTGGTTTGATGCGTGTCAAATGCAAGCTTCAGATTCCTTTCCCGCATATTGAACGAGTTGACATCTCGTTCATGGGTGAGCCGGAAATTGACTACGTATGCAAGCCGCTAGGTGGAGATCTTTTGGGCTTTGATATCAACATCATTCCAGGTCTGGAGAGTTTCATCAAAGACCAGATTCACAGCAACCTAGCGCCCATGATGTATGACCCGAACGTATTCCCAATAGAGATCGCGAAGATGCTTGCGGGTAACCCGATAGATCAGGCTGTCGGTGTTGTTGCGGTCACAATCCATTCAGCCCACAACCTTAAGAATTCTGACAAGTTCTCTGGCTCCCCCGATCCCTACGCAGTGGCATCCATCAACGGCCGTACCCCATTGGGAAGAACAAAAACGATCACTCAAACCACGAATCCCAAGTGGAATGAAACGATCTACGTTATTATCACCTCCTTCGCTGATTCGCTCACTCTACAAATTTTCGACTACAATGAAATCAGACGGGATAAGGAACTTGGTACTGCGACATTTCCCATGGAGGTACTTGAAAGCGTTCATGAGCACGCAAATCTGTCACTTGACATTATGGCTAACGGACGACATCGCGGCACAGTCCAAGCTGACATTAATTTTTTCCCAGTCATGATGGGAGGCAAAAACCCCGAGACTGGGGTAGAAGAACCTCCACCAGAATTGAATACTGGTATCGCGAAGATTACTATTGAGCAAGCTAAGGAGCTTGATGGCTCTAGAAGTCTTATCGGCCAACTCAACCCCTACGGCGTTTTGCTGCTAAACGGGAAAGAAATTCACATTACGAACAAGCTTAAGCGTACAAACAACCCGATTTTCACGAATCCTTCTAAAGAAGTGCTCATTACTGACCGGAAATCCGCTCGTGTTGGCTTGATCATCAAGGATGACCGTGATCTTGCAACTGATCCGATTTTGGGAACTTATCAAATGAAATTGACCGACATGCTCAGTTCAATGGAGAAAGGACGTGAATGGTTTAATCTTAACGCTGCCAAAACCGGTCGTGCTAAGATGAAGCTAGAATGGAAACCTGTTGCACTTAAAGGTGTCGTTGGCAGCGGCGGCTACGTGACTCCAATTGGTGTTATGCGGATCCATCTTCGCGGCGCAAAGGATCTTAGAAACTTGGAGACGATGGGAAAATCCGACCCATACGTTAGAGTCCTCCTCTCCGGAGTGGAGAAAGCTCGCACTGTTACTTGGAGAAATAATCTGAATCCCGATTGGGATGAGGTGGTTTATATTCCAATGCACTCCGCTAGAGAAAAGATAATTCTTGAGGTGATGGATGAAGAAAGCCTTGGAAAAGATAGATCTCTCGGTATGCTGGAATTGTCTGCTGCAAACTATATGCATGAAGGTGAAGATGGCCAGTTTGCGGTCGATGACGAGAAACAACTTTTATACACCCAGTTACGCCTCGAAGGACGTGGTCAGCCAAAGGGCACGCTTAACTACACAGTTGCTTTCTATCCAACACTGAACGTGATCGACCCCGAAGAAGAGGAAGCAGAAGCTCAGGCACGAAAGGCCATGGAAGGCCAAGTGGCCATCGAACCAAAGAAAAGTATGGACAGCACACGCCCTTCTACCCTTGCATCTCCTACCGAGCCGAAGAAGAGTATGGAGAGTGCTCGGTCCCCCACAGTTGCATCTCCTACCGAACCGAAAAAGAGCATCGACAGTACACCGCCTTCCAAAGTTGCCTCTCCTACTGTGCCAAATGCAGATGTTAAGGCCAATGGCCGCCCAAGTATTGAGAGCACAGGATCCAAGTTGTTAGCTGACAAGGCGGGTCTCGAATCTCCAGTCGAAAAATCCGCGCCCAAGATCCGACTTACACCTCAAGATATTCACAAATACGGTATGTTTCCGGTCAACATCCCTAGGCCAAGATGGTGACGTATTCTAACATATATCCACAGAGTCTGGCTTGATCGTTTTCAAAATTATTGAAGGCCAATTGGCCCATACGGATGTTCAGCTTGAGGTTGTGATGGATGACTACGCTTTCCCTTGCTACACGTCATCGAAGGCGCGTTCCAAACATATCACGTTCAACGATGGTGAGAATATTTACTTCCCCTAGGCTTCGAATTTGTACTTATTTGTGAATTTTAGTCGGCGATGCCTTCGTTCGTGAACTTGAATTCTCCAAGATTACCCTTCGCCTCGTCGAAAAGACCGATAAAAAGGGTGGTGATGATGATCATGACCATTCTATCGCGAGGCTCAGCGGCCCTACACTTGGTACCCTCGAGCAATGCTTGGTAAATATCCGATCATCCCTATACTTTACGGTCCGTTGCTAATTCTTCTTACAGTACAAACCCACGGAACTGACCTTAAAATCCTCCGACGGCGGCGTCAACAAAGTCACAGTTAGTCTTAAATACATACCAGTGAAAATGACACTCGATCCATCTGAAAGTATCAACAATATGGGCAATCTAAGAGTGGATGTTCTCGATGCAGCAGACCTGCCATCAGCCGATCGAAATGGCTTCAGTGACCCTTACTGTAAATTCAAGCTCAACGGAAAAGATGTTTTCAAAACAAAGGTTCAGAAGAAGACATTACATCCTGCCTGGAATGAATGGTTTGAATCCCCTATCCCATCACGAATCGCAGCAGATTTCAAGGTCGATGTCTATGATTGGGATTTTGGAGAAAAGGCCGATTACTTGGGTGGTGCTGTGATTCCTCTCGATCAACTTGACCCATTCCGTTCGCAGGAAATATCTATTCCTTTGGATGGCAAGTCAGGCGCTATTCGATTGAAGCTGCTCTTTAAACCAGACTACATCATTCGATCTCGCCACGGTTCTTCGACGTTCTCTGGAACTTTCGCGACTCCCGGAAAGATTGTTGGCGCTCCAGTTAAGACCGTCGGGATGATCGGTGGTGGCGTTGTGAAGGGCGCATCGTTTTTGAAACAGGGGCTTATGCGAGTTCGCAACACCGGCAAGGAAGACGATATCTCCTCCGACATGGGAACGTCAAGAAATGGCTCTCCAGCCCCGCCAAATGTGGAGGTTACCCCAAGTCCTGGTCGAGCTCCAGCCCTGGCAGAAGGCTCGCCGTCCCCATCAGTATCTCCCTCTCCACAAGCACATGGCCGCTCTCGGAGTAGCATTTCGCAGGCTGGCGATAGGCTCGGCGTAGGTGCAAAGGGAGACTCCGGCATGGCAACTGTCACAATCGTCTCTTCCTCTGGGTACCCACCATCCACGAATGTCCGCGTCACCATCAAGCAGTCTACGCCGAAAGGATGGAAGGAGATTCACAAGTCCAAGTCGCACAAAGCTTCCTCCTCAGGTTCCTCTTCTCCAGGTGGACCCGCTGTAGTCACCTTCGACCAAGCTCACGAGACTGTCCGAATCAAAGATGTTAGTGCCGATGCCCAGTTTCAGCTCCAGGTCAAGGATCATGCCACTTTTGGCTCGGACCAGGTGCTTGGTGAAGGCATTTTCTTCCTCGACGATCAAGGTTCGAGTGCCGGGAAGGAACGCAGCGTTAAGGTCGGAAGCGGGATTGTGAGCATCAAGACGGCGTTTACGCCAGCTGACAACGTTTCGCTACGGCCCGGCACGGCATATTCGAACGCGGTAGGCGAGGACCCTGATAGCCCGGACTCGCGGAAGGTGAGGAGGAGTTTCTTAACCAAGCGGTGAGGAGCCTCAGGTTGAATAGGTATTATTTAAAATTTGTTCCAAATGGTCGGCTCATCTGCTTGGTTCTTTTTGGAAACTGGAAACCACTTCATGTTTTTTTGATTTTTTTTTGGTTTTGTTTGTCTTTTTGATTGGTTTTTTTTTTTTTTTCGGGTTGGCATTGGAGGTTCTTCCACTGCAAGCGCTGTTCGTAAGATTCTCCTTTCGCTCGTCAAGTATTATATATCCACATATACTACGCTGTACCCTTACTGTTTACACCTTGTTCGTGGGAATGGAGTAGCGCGTTTCCCAAAAGTGCTACGACTACTAATAATAACAATTTTCAAGGATCTAGTTATATCTCATTGGAGGCTGAAGTTCCCAGAGCTTCACCTATACTACATGGTTCCTTCTTGGAATAAAGGTCACCAAAGACACGACCATATATAAATTATCTATTCTTCACCGTCGCCACTGGCCAGGCGATGCTGACGTAATAACTGTGTAACTGCCTAGTTAGGCTCCCCTAACCCATAACCTCGCACCCTACCCTACACCCAACCCAACGATACAACACCCGATGATTTTGCGCCCAATTAAATGTTGCGATCATTCATATGATAGATTGAGATTTGTTTTCAGTCACCGCTTACGATTTCAAAAATAAATTGCTGTAACGGACTGACCTCAAGGAATCAACGATTGACTGGAATAGAACAGTCTCCAGCTACCTAGTCACTGCACCCTCCCTCCTCAAAATTTATCGGCGCCTGGCAAACTATTCTTAAATAATGGGCCAATATTTTCGCCTTATAGCACCTCGCCGTCGCGAGGTACTCTCCTGGCATGGCAAGCTTGGTGAAATCCTTTTTGATGGCTCCGCGTCTGAGCTTGTTACCCTCTTTGCTAGACCGGTATTACCTTTGAATGACACGGAAGAAGAGCCCGAAAATAAAGCCGTTGCTGTTCAGGGGGCGGTTGTTCCGCAAAAACGACGACGAGAGTCAGGCAGCGAGCCATCTCATTCCCAAGAATATCAACAAGAAAAAGCTGCTCGCTGTCGGCTCCTTGAAGTTCCTGCTGAGATCAAGTACATTATCTTCGACTTTTTGAACATTCAGGACGTCTTTCTCTTAGGCATTACCTGCAAGCAACTTTGGGCAATGACGAAACCAATATTTCAACGCCACTTTGCAGCATACTTGGGTACTTGGGCTGGGACACCCATCGTTTGTGCTGGTGACGAAACTGATCGTGGTAGAGATGCTGCTTACCCTCACGGACTACTGTCCAAGGATGATCTTGATGAACTCCATGAAGGGCTAGACGTAGAAGAATTAGAGCATGATTTGGAAGAATACGCCGAGAAGCCTGTCAATCTGTTCTCAATAGCTCATGCTCGATACGATTTCACTGAGGGGTACATTTCTTTTCCCCAGGACTTGCTGGGAATTGCTCTTGACTGCAAACGCCCTTACCCGGAGGACAGACTTCGAGTAGCAAACCCGCGCCCTTCTTCTTTCTACCCACCCGACCAGGAATGGGTTCTTAGAAATCTGACAACCCAAGAATTCGTTCGTCCCACGGCTATTGCTTTGAATGAGAAATACATTTCTGGTCCGTACATCCGTTTACTAGGCTATGGCGAAGTTATCCTTTCAAGGATCTGCTGGTCCACGAGTGATTCTACGTCGATGTGCTGGGAGGGAATCCATCAAGGAGTGTGGGCCGGACATGCTCTGGATATTGTCCCCTCTACCTACCTGGATCGTGGGGGCCCGTGGAAAGATATTAGCGATGATGTTGCGATGGATATCGCAGAGATTTGGAAAAGTGAATATGGCGATGACTGGAGAAATATCTTAAGCAAAAATTAGCAAGATAAAAACTGTACATTATCGGCCATAGCATAATTTCAGGCTATGCGCTCCCTGGCACGATGAAGCTAAAGCAGGGAAAGTTAGGAGGAAGAACAGAAAGCCCAAAAATAGCACCTGGAACAAAGAGTGTGCTTCAGATCTCGGCATTTCTGGAAAGTAATGATAAAGTAGTTAAATGTCCATTGTTGATGTATGCACAACAGAAATATTAATGACTATCTTAATGCTTTTGTATCCTTTATAGCTCTACACGATGAGGAGTCCCCCAGGTAAAGAGCGACATGAAAAGGGGTAATGGGTGTGATTGGGGTGGATGGAGGTGGAGCACTTTGCCAATGCTCAGGAGAAAATCTGCTTCATCCAAGGCCTTGTTGTTTACCGTCTCTATCTTTTTAAAATACAATATATAATGAACTATTGTGCATAAATCATGTACTCTGATTCAGCGAAAGTTAAAATATTTGAAAATGATGTATATCAATACAGTTCATCTATGGGAGTACATCAATATCTATTAGAGGATTCTGTTCAGGGTTTATACTGCTCTCCGTCGTAGTTCGCGGACGAGACCCGCGCCACGCAGAAGATTTGGAAGAATTTCCATTATTCTCGCTCTGGCGCTCCTCTGGCTTGTCGTTGCTATTGCCCTCGCCCCACCGGTCCCTTTCAGTAGGCTTCTGCGAATTACCGCGAGCCTTGTTGATGTGCACCGGGCATCCCCATACAGCGCTCACACCGCCAAGTACTTTAATTGCTCTATCAGCCTCCTCGGCAGATTCGAGGTCGACGAAGAGGAAATAGTGACTTCCTGGCTGTGCGCGCTTGGAGTGGTGCGGTGATACGACCTTACTGATCGCTTCGCTAATTATCAATGGTAGTGTCAGTAGTGGGTTCGCCTTAGGTAGGGAACTAGGGGGCATTGCACACATCTTAAAGCCGTAGAACAGTTTCTGAATCTCGTAGTCTGCAGCCGCTTGGTTGGGCATTCTTGGTAGGCCACCAACAAAAAGGCGGCGGCCCTCCTCAGCAACGCCATACCAATGAGTGGCGGCATCGTCTCTCCCCCAACGATCGAAGATGAATGGCTGGGGAGGTTTTTCATCCTGGCCAGAAGAGCCCCTTCTCCCAAAAAGGGGTTTGGGTGTTTTTGGCACACCAGGCTTTATCTTCACCGGGCGTCCAAGCATGTCGATACCATCGAGTTCTTCCATGGCATTCGTCGCTTGTTCTTTGCTAGCCAGCTCAACAAAGCAGAACGACGGGTTTCTGCCAGTAAACGGGTCGATGGATATATCGATGCGCTCTCTGGAAATTCAAGAGATAGTCCAGCATTAGTCACCATAGGCAGGAACGGAGAGATAGCCAAGCTGCAACGACAGCCCATACATTTGATAGTATCCTTGCCCATGCTTAGTTGCATTGCTGAATAGTACTTCAACATCTTCCCTCTTGGCCATGTACGGCATGTTACCCACGTACAACCGCCTTCCCTCAAGGAACGAAGTCGGGATATCGGGCGCAGCCAGGGGGCCATCGTTTCTTTGTTCCAAAGGTTTGGAAGACGTACGAGTAGAGCTAGAGCCTTGAGTTCGATTATTTCGATTATTAAACCGGGGATGGCCGGCATCGCGATTGAAATTGGGTTGAGCAGGGCGGGCATTGGATTCGGAGTTCTCTTGGTGGGCCTTAGGAGCGGCGGTTTTCGCGCGCCAGTTTGGCGAATTTTGCCAACGCCGATTCATAGCTGGCTTGGATGTCCTGAGAGGAGGCTCATTGCCTTCGCCGGCTTGGGCCATTGTCTATCTTGAGGGGATGATGGTCAGCGAGGCAGTTGAAAGGGAGCGGGCAGTGCAAGCAACGCAACAAAGCAGCGGGCAAGGACACCCGGGCGCACAGGCACGGTCTACCTTCACTTACCCTCCAGCTGTGCGGCGTGCAGGTCCCCGACCGGTCGCAGCGACAGGCCAACGGGGCACAAACTGAGATGAAATTTCATGAACAAGGTTTGCGGGCGCCAAGCCCACGAGAAATTGTCACTCGCCATCGATCCAGGCGCTGCCAGGGCGCTGTTTGATGGGCGAGAGGCACAGAGACACGACTTGGCCCGACGCCTCTCCCTCCGCTGGCGGTCGTCTGCGGGCGACGCCGTGAAGCCTCCTGGGTGGCCGGCTCGCCAATATGTCGCCGTCAGCGTTGCGTTCCAGGCCAGTCCTCTGTAACCAAGCTGGCTCAAGGGCTGCCAGTCACCACGGCGGACCAGCCACCGGCCTCCTTGTCTCCTGAAGCCCCCATCGCAATTAGATGTATTCCCCGCCGTGCAAATTTGGTCTGGCTAAAAATAGCCGAGCTGGTGAGAATCAGGGGTGAAGCCGTGATCGCTGCGGGCCGGCGAAGGGAGCGGGAGCCAGCCGGTAAGAGCTGGCTCTCTGCGGATGTAGCTCGCTCGTTGCCTGGCTCTGTATGCATCTGCTGCGACTGCATCGCGAACTGCGCAGCTGTCTCGTCGTCAGCACCGCAGATTCAGACCCAGACCCAGGCTTGACGGTTAATCAACAAATCGCTAACTAATCGCAGGATGGCTGGCGCTCAGGGGCGCGGTGGAGACGAACCTTAAGCCGTCTCCTTTTCGCGGAGATCTGCTGCTACTACTAATACGCAATCCTCCGCCGCTCTCTAGCTGCTGTTTTTTCCCGAGTGTTGTTGTGTTATGCTGTGTTGCGTGTTGTTCTCATCGCCGTGTTGAGCTTCAACTTCGCCTCATCGCTGCGATCCAACTACTAACTAACCATCTACATCTACACGTCCTTTAAACCCACCACCCACGCCCACATCCGAGCTGATCAGGTATGCCCGCTCCCGTTCCCTTCACTGCGCCCTCTCTGTGCTGCCGGCCTGCCTCCGGCATGCCTGTTCCCGCCAAGAGCACGCCCAATCCCAGTCTTGCCGCCAACTTGTTCCCTGTCGATGCGAGCCCGGCCGCATCCATCACCGGCGCGCGTTAATAAATGACTGGCTCGCAGTGACTGTGGCGACCTGCTGTCTCTGCTGCTATAATAATTGCCCGCTGCTGCTGTTGCTCCTGCTTCTGCTGTGTTTCTCGTTCCTCTTCTCTCCCCGCCCGCCCTGACTGACTGTTTGTTCGCCTCCGCCCCCGCAACAGAAACCCGCCGTCGCAACCCAAACCCAAGCGTCTCTGCCAACATGGCCAGCAGAACGTCGTTCCCTTCGCACCTTCGCGCGGCTGACGCCGAGTCTCGCCCCGCCGAGGAAGGAAAGGGCTTGTCCAGGCACCATGGCAAGTCTCAGTCGCACATGGTGAGTCCCTCGCCTCGTCCCTCGCCACCCATCGTCCCTTGCCACGCTGCGTGCTGCGTGTATATGTGTGTGTTTTGAATTATCTGTATTGCACGTCCATAATTATCTTATCATGGTGGTGCTCCTTCGACGGGCTATAACAGCTAACAGTGGCTCTCTGGACAAGGCCTTCGAACATGCCTCCACAAACGTCGCCGCGTCGCAGATGCGGAATGCACTCAATGCCTTGGCCGATACTGTCAAGGAGCCCAATGAGAAGCAGCGCTTCGAGGCTGAGATGGACAATTTCTTCTCCCTCTTCCGCAGATTCTTGAACGACAAAGCCAAGGGCAATGTCCTCTCCTGGGATCGCATTGCTCCGCCCCAGCCCAGTCAAGTCATTGAATATGCCGACCTCGCCAACTCATCGTCAGTCGATTACCTGAAGAAACTAGCTGTTATCAAGCTGAACGGTGGTTTGGGTACATCTATGGGTTGTGTTGGCCCCAAGTCTGTTATCGAAGTTAGAGAGGGCATGTCCTTTTTGGATTTGTCTGTGCGCCAGATCGAGTATCTTAACCGCACCTACGCTGTCAATGTCCCCCTCGTGTTGATGAACTCCTTCAACACAAACGATGACACCCAGGCTATCATCAAGAAATACGAAGGCCACAATATTGATATCATTACCTTCAACCAGTCACGTTACCCCCGCGTCCTCAAGGACTCCTTACTTCCTGCACCCAAGGACTACCACTCCCCTATCACCGATTGGTATCCCCCAGGCCACGGAGACGTTTTCGAATCCCTTTACAACTCCGGAACTCTTGATAAGCTTATCGAGCGTGGCGTGGAGATTGTCTTCTTGTCCAATGCTGACAATCTTGGTGCTGTCGTTGATATGAACATTCTAGAACATATGGTGCAGAATAAGTCCGAGTACATCATGGAATTGACCGACAAGACCAAGGCTGATGTTAAGGGTGGCACTATCATTGACTACGAAGGCAAGGCGCGTCTTCTGGAAATTGCCCAGGTGCCCAAAGAGCACGTCAACGAATTCAAATCGATCAAGAAATTTAAGTACTTCAACACCAACAACATTTGGCTGGATCTTAAGGCGATCAAGCGTGTTGTGGAGGAGAATGCTCTCGAAATGGAGATCATTCCAAATGAAAAGTCCATCCCTGCTGATAAAAAGGGAGAGGCTGACGTTTCTATCATTCAGCTGGAGACTGCCGTTGGTGCCGCGATCCGCTTCTTCAAGGGTGCTCATGGCGTGAACGTCCCTCGTCGCCGCTTCTTGCCCGTCAAGACTTGTTCCGATCTTATGCTGGTCAAATCTGATCTCTACACACTCCAGCACGGTCAGCTGGTCATTGACCGCAACCGATTTGGCGGTGCTCCTCTTATCAAGCTGGGAACCGACTTCAAGAAAGTCTCGGACTTCCAGAAGCGCATCCCAAGCATCCCACGCATCCTCGAGCTTGACCATCTTACCATCAGCGGTGCTGTCAACCTCGGCCGCGGCGTGACTCTCAAGGGTACTGTTATCATTGTGGCCACTGAGGGTAGTACGATTGATATTCCTCCTGGCTCTATTCTCGAGAATGTTGTTGTCCAGGGAAGTCTTCGTATCTTGGAGCATTAGGCTATCAGATGCCTTTCGCTTCTATTTCCTATGATACTCAAAGCTACGTCTTGTTTTATTTAAGGTGTTGTTGCTAAGCGTCGAACCCCCTTTATGGTATCGCTTTTTAATACTGTGTGCCTCCAAAAGAAAAAAAATTCAAAGATGATTGTCCTTCAGCATGTCGTTCCTTCCTGCATATCCAAAAATAGCTCTAGCAGAGTTTGTATTATTAGGCTGTGCTGAGCAACTCCTCCCGAGAGAAATGTCATCCCATCTCGGCCTTTCGGTGGTATCTCGGACGTGCTGTATCGAGTAGATAAAATTTCCCTTCTGTAACGCTGGAGGAATTTGAATCTGATCGTTGTATCATTGTTCCTTTAGGTTATACGCATAATAAGTTCCGTACCTTTTTTTTTTACCGCCAGCCATGTGGCGTGTGGCTGCCAGGGAATGGCTGATGTTCCATTAAGGTTGATCATGTCGATCATGACGTGAGTTTGCTGGAGACCTTTCGAACCTTGACGACAGAGTCCACAGCGTTTTGAGCAGGATTCGTCTTCGCTTGTTACTCTTCCTTCGTGTTCGCGCCCACATGGATTTTTATACCCTAATGGAGAACGAATGACGAAATCATTTGTTCTGGCGTGCCTTGGAAGCTCAAATATTGTTGCGCGAGGCTGGTGTCCTCTTTGGATTGATGGTATCTTGCACTGTGTGGTAGCCGAGGTTCTGAAGAGTTAAACACAATAATGAGAACTCCTGTAGTAATAATTATGACGATGTGGCTTCGTATATATTGTCTATTTGTTGGGAATAACTACCTAGGATTCTTTCGATATACCTGAAATACACACGCGTAGGGTTGGGAGAGAGGAAGAAATAACGCAGATCAGGGTAAATAAAAGCATGAAATATGGACGGTATCATAAGTCGTCTAGCTGTTGGCCATGTTCTGTTCGCTCAACAAGAATGGAACAAAAAAAGAAAAAAGCAAATGCTAGAGCGTTAGATCATAAGGGAAGCATCATGATAGAGTTGAGAAAGCACTGAACCAAACACAAAATAAATGCTGGAATTGACCAATGCAAGAACAATCCAAATGTTACGGGAATTGCTAATACTCGTTAAAGACCAAAAAATGTGGGTGAGAGGATAGAAGAGAAGGAGACAAAGGCGGGGGTGGCAGTAGTAATCGTAGCAAATTTTTAAGAAAGATTTCCTAACCCTAGGCATAGGGCATTCAAAATTCATTCCCAGTCACGCCTATACCTTCTGTTCGAGCCTGGAGCCGGCGGCTGATACTTCGCGCTTGACGATACGGTATACGTTGTTTCCGGATCGACCCTGCTTTGACCTTTTCCTGGAGCCTTCTGCTTCAAGTTTCGGCGCGAGCTTGGTGGAGAGGGCGCGTACGGCATGGGAGCCTGTGGAGCCACATACCGACTATAGGGTGAGGTAGTAGAAGGGGCTTGGGAGTGAGAGTTTCGTCGTCCACCAAAGCTGGATGCTACGGGTTCCGGTCTGGGATAACTTGGCTGACTGTTATGGTACTCCTTAGGCCTGGGAGGCATGGGAGTAACGGGAGGAGGAGGGTTAGGGTATATGGATTTGCGGGTAGGTGCAGGGGCGATGTGAGATGGGTACTGGTAGTCCTGAGAAAATTCGTTGGCGTACCTCTCCTGGTGGGGATAGTATCGTGGAGCCGGGCTGCCATGAGGCCCCTCCTCGTTGTCTGCATGCACATGGGAATAGTAATACTTACGAGTTGGCGGGTGGGAATGCCGCTCTTCCTTCAATGTATACGTAGGCGTTCTTGGGGGCGATCTGCTCCAGTCACGTTGGCGAGAGCCGCCAGCATCGTGGGAGTGACGGCGGACGCCGGGAGGTTCCATGTGCCGTGCTTGCGGCCTCCTTCGCCGAACAAACAGATATTCCGTAGATTCTGAAGAGTTGGGGGAATCTGAAGAGTCAGTGCTATGCTCCCGTCGCCAACGACGCCTATTTGGCGTACATGAACGGCCGCGCCTCCCCTCTGCAAGAGGTGGGGGACGACTTCGTCGAAATGATTGCGAAGAATGAGTTTCTCGCACCGAAGATGGAGATTCTTGCCTAGATCGACGGCGATTTTTCTGAGGGGCAGACTCTGAGTTTTCATTCAAAGGTGAGAGATTTTGGTCGTGGGGATAGAAATGCTGTGAATTCTTGTCACGGGCTGGCATTCTTGGCGGCACATCCGCCGCGGACCTTGAGGAATTCTTCTTGGAAAAATAGTCATGCGAGTTCTGGGAAGGATTCCTTGAATTCCCGGAACGCTTGCGGGACTGGCCGTTTTGAGGAGTCGAGCTGCCAGGGAAGATCCCAGCATTGCTAGCCCAAAAATCATGCTCCAGCTTCTTACTTAGGCTCTCATGCCATTCGACTATTTCTGGATCTGGTTCAGCCGGAAACACAGATTGCGGAATGTCTTTCGGAAATATGTCTTTCGTGACGGGGTTGACGATGTCAAATTTCCGCACGGCTTCTTGGAGAAAACGCGAGTGGTCTTCTGGACATAGAAGAAGTTGGATTGTCTGCCAGCGGACAAAACCATGTGGAAGCATTGCCGGAACTGAGGGCGGCTCGAAGGCATCACACGTTGGCTGGAGGGAATGGAAGCAGCCCAACTTTTGATAGATGAAGGACAGGGACGCGGGCGGGGTTGAGAGAAAGATGCTATCGTAATTCCCGCCAACCTGCTGGTAGAAAGATGCGAGTCCCTCGGGTGTGAGGTGCCGTGTGTGCGATTTGGCTGATTTTGACTGTTACCCACGTCAGTTGCCTCCACAAGAGCGAACAGAGTCGGGGTCCACTACAATGACCTGTGCGATTCCCAGGCATAATTGTTCAAACTGGGGAGTCGGACTTTTATCGTCGTTAATCAAATACTCCCATTGCACCCGCGAAGGGGGCTCCCGTGAGGCCATTGAGTACTCTATCAGGGCCACCATTCGGACGAGTATCGAGTGGGTTCAGACCGGCAGATTGATCTTCCTGAAACCGGCGGCGCTGGGCGTATTTAACAAGCCGGCTTCTGTGAGATGAGGCTTCAGGCAACCGTTTGCTTGCAGGGCGACTGTCATTGAAGCCTGGATATTTGCCACGGAGGAAACACTCCGAGCCCAAGCGAGTTGCGGGCAATCTAGGGAATGACAGTCGGTCATGCGATGGAGGAGCCACTAGGCACCCCGCAAGATCGGCCGGCTTGTGACGAGCAAGATCAGGTTGCTCACCGTATTTCTGCAGGCAAACGGGTAACGCAAGGCCTCGCAGGGCGATTGTGTGTTTCTCATCGCATCTGCTGCCTGAAGCTGCGTCGGGCCCCTCCATGCGTTGTGATTTGACTGACCACGGAGCGGGCTGCTGATTGGCTGCCTGGCGTTCAATCACGTGGATGCCTCGCTGGCACCAGGCGGGCGGTGAGGTTAGCCCAATGAGGTTTAGTGGCTGTATGATGACGTAAACATTAATCTGCTTAATAAGCCATTTCACAGGGAGCACCGCGAAAACCAGGGTACGGAGTACGCTGCTATAAACAGAGCGGAGTCGCGATCTAGCCAATACCTAGAGCTTAGAAATTGTGTGGTCCAATGGGTGCCTAGGAATCATGGAAAATTAATCGTCATTCAATTGTAACATCATTGCTAAATAGGGATATATACCCAATCGCGTTCAAAGTCCTAATATCAAAGCAATAATGTTCAGAATTTTGGTAGCTATAAATTATTCAGTACTGACACAGATCTCTCTGTAAGAAATGCAAATTACTTATAGCTTCATCGCCTGAACGCCTTGCCCGGGGCACCACCGTGACATGACTCCGCCATGACACAGAAACGAATCAATAATCGTAAATGTTCCTTGAAGAAATTGCAACAAAATCTCAACAGCATTAATACCTTCTCTTTCCTGGTTCTGGGCTAGGCGTCCGGCTAACACTTCGTTCATCACGGCCCCTCATTCTTAGCCATTTCTTTGTCGAATTCTCTAGCTCCCTTTCCAGCTCCGTGCTCGGCTCTTTGCGGTGTATAAAGTTACAAAAGCCGCCCCGAACACACCCTTCGCCACTGTTTAATCGGCAACACGCTTCTCTAAAATCCGTGACTGGGGACAGCTCGCAGTATATGGGTCGCGCAGCGTACCAGCGGGAGTTGAGCGCATCACAAGCCTTCTGGGCAGAGTCTTCGTATTTAAATCGCGCATAGACATTACCAATTAGGTCTGGACAGCCAAAACAGGTAGCAAGTTAATATGGTTCCAAAGTACCAGACTGGATGGAACATACGGTCGTTGTTATTATCACACACAACTACCTCCTCCAGCTCGCCATACTTGCACATTTCGCACCAGAAGTCCTCGTAAAAAGCATCGAAATGATTTTGTAGCTGGCTAGGATTCATTTTATTTTTGGGGTCGAACGCAGGGTTCTGGTACATATTTGGGACGAGGATGGTCTGAGAATACGACGGCTTCACATGTTTCCGAGAGCAGCGATCTCCATGGCGGCAGGCTCCAATTTTGTAGTAGAATGAGCAATTGACCTAGAAATATGTTAGCTGGCGGCGCATAAAGTGGAATCAGATGAGGAAAGGTGACCTTATCTTGCTCAGTACCGAAGATGGAAGCCAGGTAGTTGGCCATATTGTAGCTATCAAGAAGTTTGTAAAAGCGAATGAGAATGAATAAGGGCTCTGAGAAACAAAAGCTGCGTTGCGCGTGGGTATAGGATCAACTGGAGATTTCGAGACCTCAATAGAATCGCGAAATTCAGTGGCCAACACGTGATAAGTAGTCACCTATAAATGCTGACTAATGCCATAAAGAATATTATTACTAAGCAATAATAGAACTAGCTTTAAGTAGCCCACTAAACCAGGAATGGCAAAAGCAACTTCAAGGCCCGAACTTGTGAGTCCAACGTGGGTCAATCCAGCAATACAATCCAAACCTGTGATCTCATGCTGCCTACCAGACAGAGAATTCAGATTTCAGCCTCTGAATTTTTTCTAGAGTGTCTTTTGGCTCGCTCCCAGAGACCCTTGGCCTGTCTCCGGAGGGCCGCTCGCAATGAAGGCATCTCCAGAATGAGGCCATCTGCGAGAAGGTCTTCCGCGGCACAGCCCTTGGTGATTTCCTTATACCAGCTCTCAATTAGTTGGATCAAATTTTTTGCTGCCTGATCAAGCTCGGGCCGTGTGTGTGCCAAAAGCTTAATTGTAACCGTTCCGTTGTCTGGTTCAATTTCGTCTGTTGCTCCATTAGCAAGTTACCGAGAAAAATGTGTGTATTGTCGCATGTCTTACAGTGAACGTTCGATACCTGTGCTATTGCTTTAACCATCGCCGTTCGCTCGCGGACGAGCTCGGTAAGCGTGGCTACCCTCTCCTTAGTATTTGTCTCTTGTCTCATATAGGTAGCAAGATATCAATGTCTTACCCGGTAACTCCTTCAAGGATATGTCCTTCCAGTATGCTCCGTGGTGCACTTGATATATTGTTAGGCACTTTGTTTTTCTATAGGGGTTTATTTACTCACACATTTTGAAGCGCAACTTAATGGCAAGGACTGTGTTTAAGGTATCTTCGTACCATGTTATCATCAGTTCGCCATCCTTCTCTTTGAATACCCACGGATGTGCATATACGCAGGTGTTTCCCAGATATGTTGGATGAACATCTGCCGGATCAAGTATCTTTGTTATGTTATACGGTCCTGCAACATCCTTAGCATATCCAATAACGATCTTTGGGTTTGTCGACTGGATTGCTCCGATAAACGCCCAACTATAACAATGGCCAAAGATGTCCGTTTTGAAAAAAGAACCATGGGAAATTCCAGAAAGAACCGGTATCATCCCCTCTTTTTCCTGCGAAAAACTTTCCCCATCCCAGAATTCGTATAGTTCAGGCTGGATCGCGTGCCAGATTCCCACCCGTGCAAGATATATATCTTCTTCGAGCCGACCCCAGAGATAGAACCAATTCGCTTCCCGTACCGCGCAGAATGTGCCAAATGCCGGCTCGCGATGGTCGAAAATCACCGCCCCCCCCCTGATTCGTTCGCTGATTAACTTTCCAGTCTCACGGTCAATTTTGACTGGAATTATCCCGGTTCCATAGAAAATACGCTCCATGCCTCCTTCGTCATTCTCCTGTTCGATCACTTTATTATACCACAACCAACCTTTTCCTGGTGGAGTGGTTTCACATAGTCCTCCTTCTGGTGTAAGGATGACCTTGCTGTCGCTCCGAGCTTCAAATTCTCGCTCCCCCTTTGAGAGGGGTATAATGGGCACCGGCAGTCCATTTGGCACATGGGCAACCTGGAGTGGACTTTTATCCGCGTCCAACACAGTGGCGCTAGAGTTATTAAGAGTATCGACGGGATCTCCATCCGCAGTTTTCAGGACAGTTTCTCCAAAAACATAGAAAGGAGTTCCATCCAGAAAGAGTGACTTTGGATTTGTCTTATACTCTGCCATGCGGTACTGGTCGCTTATTTCACCGATATTATTGGCAGAAATCAAGGTTGATGGGATCACAGCGCGATACTCCTCTCTACCGGCTGTTACCACGATATCACCACATGGGAGTGAAACTCGCCGGGTGGTGTGAATGGGAATTGACATTTTGAATCTATTCAGGGTCAGGTTATCTTGTTGGCCATATGCTGAGCTACTCACATTGTTTCTGCAATGGTTCAGCCAGAAACGACGCGTCATCCAACTTCTGGTAGCAAACCAGATATTCTGGCTGCAATAACAATGATGATCTTATCACAATATCAACAAGATGGTCAGCAGGAAATATAGACCTTCACAATATATGAAAAAGCATCCAGGGGAAAACAAAAGGTGGAATCCCTGGATGCGGGGAAAGGTGTTTGTTTTTGTGCGCTTGTAGACATGAGATGTTTTGGTTTCAATATCCCCTTAACTCACTTACTCGCGGGTCTCCCCGCAACCAAATGATACCTTGTCACGTTACTTTGTTTCGACCCCTTTTAGGAAACCTCTCAACAGATGCTTGCGTGGGAAGACGATATAATTCAAACAGTGGCAATCACAGCATTGCTGTGCTCCATAAGTGTTCCTGCTATTTCATGGTATTTGTCGTTGTACATTCAGCCCTTTCAGCATGTTCTAGATACCCGCAGCAACTTTCTTCTGTGTCTTGAATGTAAAAGCCGTTGTGCCTAATCTACTTCAAGGGCCAGCTCTATAGCTACTAGATAATATGGCCAGTATCTATATATAGATGTATATACCTACAACTACTATTTAATCTCATTGCGTAAGTCCTGTAGCCGGCTGGTGACAAGACACTATATGTTTGCGCTGTTTGCCTGCATCGCATCTGAATGCCAAACCAGGGAAAGCGCCGGGTATTTCCTTGGATTAGAAGGGTATAGCGCAACTGTCACGTGAAACAGGAATGCGCCAGAAACCCCCAAATTTGGCCAAAAAACCATTAAAAAATGGATGGAGTAGGAGAAAACAATTTCTATATATATAGTAGGGGAATTGCAAGAATGTAGATCTCTTTTTCATATGTTGTTGCAACACCTCTGGGCCTTAACTACTCCGTGCGGAGTACACCCTACTTAAAACATTAACCCCGGAGGCGCTGCCTGGCGACCTGGGCAGTGATTGGTCCCCGGAAGGCTGGCGCCGGCACCCCCGCATTCTTCTCGGCGCAACAGCTCCAGTCGGACGAGCCGCCGAGAGCATCGTATAAGAGCTTCCGGCGCTCCTTACCCGGACACTCTCTTTACTCCCTTTCCACACATCCTGATACCACACCTGCCGTCAGATCTGCCGCCAACCCATTCTTAGGCAGTCATAATGCTTCCGCCGTTCGATTATTTCCAACACTGCCGAGCTCGGTAAACCGACCCCCCCCCCCCCCCCTGGCGCATAAGCTGGGATTGCTAACCGTGTCCTTGCATACCAGCGACCTGAAGCAGAAACAACGAGCTCAGCGATTTGCCAGTTTGCCTGCTGCATACCACGCTGCGTTTACAGCTTTCGATAGATCAATCATCGCCGCTCCCATTGAAGACCTCGTTGAGGATGTGCAGAAGGGCACAGTATCGGCACGTGCCGTCCTGCAGACGTACGGCAAGGTTGCTGTCAGAGCGCAAGAGAAAACGAACTGTATAACCGAGCTCCTTATACCAGAAGCAGAGAAATGGGCAGAAAATGAAATCAACCTGAAGGGCCCTCTCGCTGGCATTCCTGTTTCGCTCAAGGACAGCGTCCACGTTAAGGGATTTGATACTTCAGTAGGTTATACAAAAAACACAGACCAACCACTTGCGGAGGATGGACCAATGGTCAAACTATTGAAAGATGCTGGTATGCTAGTTTTTTTTTTCTCTACTACAACGCAGCTATCTGGAAAACTCCGGAGTTGACTTGTTTATTCCCATGACAGGTGCCGTTCCGTACGCAAAGACAGCATTACCGATTACCCTGTTATCCTTCGAATCAACCAATCCTCTGTGGGGTGTTTGTCGAAATCCGCATAGCCCCGGATACTCGCCAGGTGGTTCTAGTGGTGGTGAAGGTGCCCTTCTTGCCATGGGTGGCCGCATTGGCATTGGCTCTGATGTCGCTGGGTCTGTTCGCGTTCCGGCCGGGTGGAGTGGGACCTACTCCCTTCGATGTAGTACAGGTCGTTGGCCTAAGGCGGGAGTAAATACCAGCATGGCTGGGCAGGAAGGTGTGCCCAGCGTGTTCAGCCCAATGGCTCGCACGTTGAACGACCTGACGTACTTCACCCGCGCTATTATTCAGATGAAACCCTGGGAATACGAAACCACCGTGCATCCAATCAGCTGGAGAGATGAAGAGAAGGAAGATGCGAGAACGAAAAAGCTTAGGATTGGTGTCATGAAATCCGATGGTATGAACTATCCTTTCTGGTGTATATCTCTCTTTTTAATCAAAATATCCTAACGGGAACGTTTTTAGGAGTTGTTCCACCCGCACCTGCCATTGCTCGGGCTATTGACTCTACCCGAGCAGCTCTTACTGCTGCTGGCCACACTCTCGTTGATATCAAGCCACCTTCCACCGCCACCCCATTGATCGGGCTTAACCTTGCATCCCTGCTTCTCAACTCTGATGGCTGCCAAACCTATAATTCCCACATGCGGACTGGTGAAACTACTGATCCCGGTGCTGAACATCTTACTACATATGCCAACCTATGGAGTCCATTCCGCTACCTTTATTACCTCTACGTCCGCTATATTAAGCGTGATAAAGTTTGGGCCTATCTCCTTAAGGACTTCCGCCTGAAGACATCGACTGAACTATGGAAGCTTGTCGCGCAACGTGAAGCCTTCCGTGCGACATGGCATGCTTGGTGGAATGCCAAAGAACAGAACTACGACTTTATTCTCTGCCCTGTGAATGCTACCCCTGCTCTTCCCCACGGTGCTATGCGTGATGGTTTTAGTTCGTGTGGTTACACTTTCCTTTGGAACTTGCTCGACTACTCTGCTGGTGTTATTCCGGTTGACCATGTCGATAGAGTCCAGGACAAGCTTATGGCGCCTAATGGAACCCCAGCCAAGAAGAATACATACAAGAGCTGCCTCAAGGAGTTGGGCGCAGATAACGCTGTGTCTAGGGGAGCTTGGAAATACTATGATGCTAACGCTATGCATGGATTACCTACTGCGGTACAGATCGTTGGGCGAAGATGGCATGAGGAGAGAGTGCTGGGCTACATGGAAGCCGTAGAGAAGGCATTAGAGCAGTTCAAAGGTCCAAGTGGGGGAGGTAAGTATCAACTTCTTGAACTCGAGGGTTGATAAGTATAGACGTACATATATACATACGTATATTTATAACCAGGGCTAGTGCCTGCATACTTTACTAAAATTTAGAATTTTGATATTTTGTCCTAAGATCATCTAGACTCGTCCCAAAATGGATATGTATGTCGCTACACAGCTCCTGATATAGAAGCTACTTTGTGTATACCACAAGTACCGTTATTCACGACTTCTCTGTTCTCGTCCCAAAGAGTCATATGCCCGTTCTTGTCCACGTAAAGACCCAGGGAGTAACCTTTCCGTATCACCAACACCACTTCGCTTACTGCGTCCAGACGCCCTTGGGCCAAGTATTTTTTTCACCTGCTGCCGGGTAAAAACTATCAGTGATCCTCCAGCAACTGCCCCCACGCTTGTTAGTCCAATGTTGACCGGTAGCGGATTCCCTTTCAATATCTTCATTGTTAATATGTCTAACGGGCTTTGCAAAAAATTCCCGACTCCAGCAAGACAAATCATAAGTCCATATACTTTTCCAAATGTCTGAAATCCAAATATTTTAGCCGAATAATCTGAAATCACGGAGTAAAAGTAAGGCCTATAGAGCACAAATAGAATTATATTTGCATATGCAGCTGAAAAGCTATGTGATATGCAGCCCAGGATTCCCACGAGCGTAGCCCCACATACGAGGAGGGTGAGGGTGGTTAGAACTGTATAATGATCAAGAATGATGCCTATAAAAGGAATGGCAACAATACCTCCGATAGGTAGGAAGAAATCAAAGAAGTCATTGAGAATTTGTGCCTGGCGTTCCGAGGAGAGGAGATATTCGTATTGAGGACGGATAGTGGATATGAAGTAGTTTAAACGGAGCATTTGAATAACCGTAAAAAATGCGATGAGAACAAACCAGGGAGACCGCATTTGTTCAGAAGCTGAGGATGTATGCATGGCGCCCCAGGCAGGATCGGTGCCTAGTGCAGATGTAGGGCCGTCCGTCAATCCACTTTTATTACCAATAAGACTATTAATTTTGGAGACCAAGCCACGGTATCGACTGAATGCTTCTTCGGAGCTGCAATCCTGCGCAGACTCATCTTCGGCTAAAGTCTCTTCAGCATGCTGGAGCAACTCCCTCGCAGTGCTATAAGACTGGGAAGGCATAAGAAGCACTTGGCAGGTCAATATGAATCCCGGCACGCACAGGTATATTAGGAACAGCGACTTTATGGTAACGGTTCCATTGGCTTTCTCATGTACCAAGCGAAATTGGAGGAAAATTCCACTCGAACAGTCAAACGCACCCATGAGCATGGATAGAAGAAGACCCGAATTTTTGGGAAACGTATTTGACAAATGGAATGAGGATATGAAGATAAATGGACCGCCAATTGAGAGCAAGGAATAGCCTGTTAGATATCTGTCGTAGGGAAAGGAGCCAGAATATGCAAATATTAAGGCTCCCAGAGCAATGATAATGCTTCCAATAGACCCCGTAGCTCGTGGACCACATATATCTAAAATGCTCCCGACCGGAAGTGCACATATATTCGTAGCAACTACCGCAACCGTAAACATAAAATTCAATCTGGTGTGGCCAGTCAGATCTTCCGCCAGCAAGATGCCGTGATAAATTGTGGACGGCAAAGAGGCACATACATACCGTATTTCTTGTTCAAAACAAACATCCACTTTGCGTTGAAGCTCATCACTTGTGCAGTATTCTCGATATATCCCCTCTTTGATGAGAAGAGGTTTCAGTGCAGCATATCCAAATATTATACCGGCTGCGAGCAGACAGTACAATGTTGCAACGCATATCTGCACTACTCTCTTGTGTTAGCCAGTATGTATGTATGTACTCCGTATGTATATATATATACCTACATACTCCGTACTATAAAGGTTCATACATAGAGGGAACTAACAAATTCTTTTCCGCTTGCTCACATCATAGGCGCCCAGAATTGGAGTCTTCTTCCATCGACGGCATTCCATTAGTATAAAGCACAAAACATCACAGAATCTGCTGGAAATCTGAGATATGGATTCTTAGAATAGCTTCCAGTAATTTTTACTTGTAATCATGACATGTGTGGGTAGATGCAGGCATATATTTAGCCGTCAAGTTTGGAATGTCAAGGGTTGGGGATTGTAAAAAATTTGAGAATAAGATGTGGACCAACAATTATTGATTTGGTGCTACAATAGGTGCGATAGAAGACATGTCTGACCCTCCCAGATTTCGTTAAAGAGATGGGAAGTGGGAAATGATTTCTCCGCCCTGGTATCAAAGTGCTCAAGCAACTGTACAGGCGCCGGAACATGTGGAGCACGGAGTAACTATGATGACTAACTAACTAACTAACTAAGCAGGAGGCTGCCTGTGGTCACATGCACGAGTTAATTATGGACATAACTACTCTGTAGTTACCTAACTAGCTAGTTACTTCGTACTCCGTACTCCGCACCTCTTCCGCTTACTCCTCTGTTTACCAACCTCTACTCCGTATGATCATCCTTAGGATCATATGACCGAGGGCACTATTCTTATGGCTTTAACCTCCTGAAAACTTGCCCTCCTGAATCCTCATCACTGTGAGTAGTAATATACCAGGGAGAAAAAACCAGCAAGCTCGGATCACGCTAAGACCTTCCCGTCCCCTTTCCAGCGCCGGCTGGGGAATCGCTGTACAAACCCTATAGCCCACTTAATATGGGTGACGGGCCGAAGCGGGTCGTATTTTCGAGCGAGGAAACAAGAGACCCAGCGTCAGCTTTGACTGAGGGAATAACTGTTGGGAACAAGCAACTTCATTTCTCCGCCACAATCACCTCTGGCGCTGTCGCCCGGCTCCTTAAAATTTCCCGGGTGTCAAATTTGCGATGCCAATGCACAATGGGATTCAATGCGGAGTACCGCCAAAGATACCAATGCCTCTTTAGGTACCAATATCCTCGTTATAATGGCACCTTAGCAGGTAAGGATAATTTAATAACAGATTAAGCATCCTTATCCGGCACATGTTAGCGCACCTTATCCACCATGAGAGCTCTTAAACCCCTCGCCCTAAGTTTTTGGCCTCTATCCTTGTCTCGGCCATGTTACTGAACATCACCTCGGCCTATTCTAGCTTTCTTACGGAGTACTGGCCCCTCTTCCTACTGGTGGCAGCATCCGTTAATATTTAGGCCTTGATTATGCCTCCAAAACTCTAACTAGTGGTAATCGGCTGCCTTTGGCTCCCAGTCATCTTACCACTACTGATGGACAATTAGTAGTGGTTTACGTGGAGGAGCCATAGATTGCGTGTCTAACTAGAGGATAGGGAGCCTACCTGATATGGGATGATTAGGTGAACCATAAAAAGGAGCAATGCTAAACCCAAAGTGTAATGAGTATGCTAGGCAGTGTCAAGAGAGTGACTAATGGGATAGCTGCCGCCAGACCTCAACAATTGTGTGTGTTATATCCTGGGTTACTATGCAGGTTATGCCTGTTTGGGTACGGAGGCCGCAGTACATCACTAGCCATATCCTGTTAGTCACTCTCTTGAACTGCCTGGCATAACTATGCTTTGGGTTTAGTGTTGCCCCTTTTCACCTAACCATCTTATATCAGTAAGGCTCCCTGGTCTCTACATAGTTAGACACGCAATCTACGGCTCCTACAACGCCGAGCCACGGCATAACCAAAGTGAGCCAAGTTACGGAGTATTATGAAAGGACTTGGCATAACTCGCGCTCTTACCTACTAAAGCTACCAGTCTGTACTCCGTACGGACTACAGAGTATAACCTGATAACATACGCCGTGGATAACTAATCAGGGGGTCGGTGTTCTCCTCTAGGAGGTCGGCATTTTAGCTTTGAGGCCCATCACTATCTAAGCTTATAGCCTACGGAGTTATTCGTGCGGAGTACCCCGTATCAATAATTATTAATAAATGATAATGATGGCCTTGTTGACTGAACCCTAGAGATGATTCGAAGTTCCCGAGACGGCACGCCAAAAAGGTCAACTAACTAGCCTAGCGACTTGATACCCCTTCGACTGAAAGTATATGAAGTAGTCAAGACGATTACCCACCCCCAAAATAATTACTGAAGCTCACCGAGCCGACTGGGTAAGGTTGGCCATTACGGAGCAAGCATCGGTGAAGAGCTCGGAGTTGAGGGGCAAATATAGGTAGTTTGGCAGCAAAAATATGATCAGTGACCCACATTGTTTTCGACCGTTGGTCTCTTTGGGTCTCTGTACTCCATACAAACACACATACAACCGGTGTACACTGCATAATGGCTTAACTGATTGTATGACCCTAAAGAGATCCGAACAAAGTGAGTACCACAGCACAAAATCAAATGTTAAACCCTCACATTCAAAATGCTACCATTATTTTCTAGTTTTCAGAGTGATTCCACATCAATTCATTCATGTCTCACCGGTGGACTTAAGATGGCTTTCACTGATGTAGCGCTACAAAGTATCTCTTGTCTAGATCGACTGAGCTTTTACAGCAGTCAGGTGAAAGCGTAGGTGGATCACAGCTAGTCCAAAGACTTTCTTGGGATAAGCACTTTCGCCGGTATGTATCTCCGAATCACGCCATTCCAGTCAATATCAAGAAGGCTCGGCGATTAGCATAGGGTGTGTGCAATTCTAGAGTCCCATTCCTACAGACCATTTTTTCCCTTTGAATCCAGTGGTCTAGCTAGTGATAGGAAATCTATATATTGCGGCTTCTCGCTCTTCAAATGCGGATTTTTTTTCTAGACCATCTCAGTCTCTTTCTTGTCAAGCTCCAGAAAACCTCCAGTCAAGCCAACTCCACCTCGTTCGAAGACAATCTTCTTCCAACACAATCATGAAATACCTGCTTATTGCAGCCCTGGCTGCCTATGCCAACCCCGCCAATAGACCGGCCAAGTCCCGCTGCCATCAATAGAAAACCTCCTGAAGGTGCAATCATCAATGCTCCAAGCATCCCCGAGCCTCCGCCTCTTCAGCCTCTGTCAAATTTGGGCTTATTGACCGATCCTTTGAACGCACACGCTGGAAGAAAACCCAGTGTTTTTGCCAGACAAGTAACTTCCAACGGATGGAAAGTTATTGAAACCACGGAAACGAAACTTGCAAAGGCCAGAATTCAAGCTTTGGAAAAAAAAAATGAAGCTCGACGCAGCCAACCCACCAGTGTTTGCAACGGAAAAGAACTGGGAGCGTACCTGCTTTTTCTATCTTACGTACTGCACCGCCTGGTCTGGGTTCTTCTATAAACATATAATGAAGGAGGCCACAAAGGTGACGGTTAGCTTTAGGAGAAACATTGATGCCCAAGGTTCTGCTCTTAACGATGCTGAGATCACCATCAAATCATCACAGTCTATCTGTTGCAAACGCAAGAACAAAAGGATGGACAGTTGGAGTCCAAGCATCTTTTGGTGGCAGCATCCGTGGTGTTGCCACTGGCTTGGATGTATCATCAACCTATTCAGACTCGACAGCAACAGGAACAACTACAACTTCAACAACAGAACGCAGTATTGTCTGCCCTAGAGGACAACGATGCTCGTTCCAAACTTGGAGTTTCCATGTTAGAGTTTAAGGAAAATGTGAACTGGTACCATGGATTGATTGTTCTGGAGATACAAATATGTGTACACCATTCCCAACGAGATGGTGGTTCAAGCACGAATACTGGGGTGCTTGCCCCCAGATGACGGGGCATTGGAGGAAATGCCTTAACCGATTCAACCCAGTGCTTGTGGATTGCGGATTCGATGCGCCAATTCTTGATAACTCGGGCAAACAATATGTCGAGCATCACACAATATCAGAAACGCGTATCACTAGCAGCCAGATACCTCGCGAGGGAGTGGACAGTGAGAGATGAAGTTGATATTTGTCAGACAAAATGGAGATAGAACAGATTAGAGCATCGAATATACAGTACTTGAAAATGTGTTGAACTTCATGTTTCCTACCGGTGCAACCCAAAGCTGGAGGTACAGTGCAAATATAGAAATACTTAATACATAATTCCTACCCGGGAAAGGATCACAGTATTGGGTGGGAGATTAGTAAAGAGGTAGCAAATTCATCTATGGCCCGTATCTGTATAACTAAGTGGTTTGTATAAATTTATTAGCATAGGGTATAGCCATATGATTGCCGGGCACTTTTCGCATCCTAGCTTCGGACGCTATGGATGTTCGCAAGGGAAATTAGCGGATATGCACGTTTGGCACAGATGCCAGCTAATTTTATATTCCGGGTTGAGTGATATTTCTGCATCTTTTCCGTATTAAAAACAGCTGCTGTCATTCACGAACACTATCGGCTATCGTCAAAGAGGTATGGGGCTCAGAAAGGGATTGTGACGGGGGGGCAGCCGTTGTATAAGCAATGTTGGGCCAGAAAGCGGCGCAGGGCAGTGGCGGCCAGGCAGGAAGTTGAGAGCAAAGGAAAGCCTGCAATCCACTGGATGTGCAGTTAACGCCAATACATGATCAACACCATTTGTAAAGCAACGCCCCTTCATTTGGCTCGAAAAAAAAAGGAACTGTGTGACTAACCTTCCCATACACCTACCCAGAGAAACGTACCCATCCAAATGGTCATGAAGGAAAAAAAAAAAACTTGAAAAGAGGTTTCATCGTCGGTAAACAAATACCAAACATTTGGCCAAATGTTCAAATCGATACTTTATGCACAGGACATTCTGCCTTACGCTTAAACCATCCGGTGATGCAGGATTTATGGAACTTACAAAAGCAGACTAAGCGTGAAAGTTCCACTCCAACTTCATACTCCTCCATACAAATGGTGCACTCTTGGGGCGCACCATCTTGCCCAACGCAGTCTTTTTCAGTAGCTTTGAAATGGATCATCTGGTCACATCCCGCAGGAGGCGAAGGAGAGCGACCGGACGTCGTTGCACGAGTCCTATGGAAAATTTGGATACATTCGCGGATGTGTGCTTCTCGTTGGGTTTCACTGCCACCTTGGTTGCGGGGTCGGAAGATATGATTGCATATTGGACAGGAATCATTTTCGTTAGTCGGCCGTCGCTGTACTGGCGCTGGAGGAACAGGAAGAGGCCGATTAAAGTCAACCCTGTGGCGCGAGCGGGGTTGATGAAAGTGGGTTTGGTGGTGTAGCGGCGCCGAACGAGCCGCCATTGGACGATTCGAGTAGTCCTGTAATGGGTGTCAGCAGCGCGGACAATACAAAACATCCCCTACAGGGATACGGTGGGTGAAAATGCTTACAGGAGTGCTAAACGGATAATACATAGGGAGGTTTGGGATCTGAACAACAGTATTTTGTGATGATCCGTATGTACCAGCCGGAGCAGGAACAACAGGGGGGGGCACGGAATGGCCAACAGATGCTGGAGGCTGTGGTCGCTCGCCCTGCATACCTGCTAATGTTGGCACCGGATATGCCTCGGGGACAAAGGGCTGCTGCTATGGTAGGTATTAGAGATGGTAGATACGAATGTCTTTAAGGCAGAGTCAGCTTGGAACATACATTGGGGTTTCGCAGGCCATGTCGTATGTTTCGAGTCGCCTCTGGGCCAAAAAATGAACGTGTTTCGGAAGGAGAATAAGGTCTATGGAATTGCGGTAGAGCTTCGTATAATCCAGGATTGCGGACAGAGGGTGGGAACATATGGCGATATGCACCCCTGGCCGTGCTGGATGGGGCCGGGAGTGTCTGAGAATCTAACAAATTGTATTGTCGAGGAGGGTCCGGGTTCGGATCGGGGACACATGGGTTACATAGGCGAACCTCCTCCCCTCCACCCAAAGCTGGGTTTGCAAGATCATTAGGCTGATTAGCACGTGAAGAACCCGATGGCCTGCGTGCAGAACTTGCTTCTTCTTCATCATCATCACCTAAGTCGATGAGGTTCTCTGGGGACCGATTCGATGAAACAGGGGGGGATGCCGGTCCGCGAAAATCAGGTGGAGGACGCACGATGAACTGCCGCGGAATAGTAATCCTATGAGGTGAGCAAGAGGCGCAGACGACACGGCCGCATTTTCTGCAATGATGTTTCCTATACCAGAAACTGAACGCCGCCCCGCAGATAGGGCAGTTTGAAACTTCTGAGTCCGGCTGCCATTTAGGAATACTCCAGTCCGAGAAGCTTCTTTCTCGCTGAAGTGCTGGATTATAGGCGCGTGGATTGGCTGTTGGGTCTTGGAAAAGAGGGAGATGATTGTTGGTATGAGAAGGCCAAAAGTCCCACGTCCGTGTTCGAGGTCTAACAGCGGGCTCTGGTTGGGTATTGGGAAACACGGAGGGGCCTGGATGTGGCTCTTTAGGCTGTGGCATTGCGTATCCTCGTTTTCGGCCGTTGGAATTTCGTGTCTGGGTTTCAGTAGGGGAAGAATGGTCATCTAGGAACTCAGCCAACGTCTGTTGCGTAGGATGGATTTCTTGCAGATCCTCCTCGATCATCGGCGGTATGCTATGCTCTGGGCTGTCGCCTGTCAAATCCACGATGGGAGCCGCCGTGATACTCGCCGAGCTGATCTCTATTCCCCCACTAGAATATCCTCGAACTCGACGGGGGGCATTGCCAGGGCGGGATCCGGAGCTCGACGGGTCTGTAGGGGACGACATGAGGTCGATGATCGGCGGCGAGGAGTCAGGAGGTAGCGACTGCAAAAGCAGAAAACCCTCAGAGGGAGACGAGATTAATCTCCGTCGTTTAGCCGAAGGATAGTCATTTGCTGCAGGCGTGAAATATTCCAGGATGACTGCGGAGCGTGACCTGTCGTCGCGCAAGGAGGGGTAGGCTTTCGAAACCAAATAGCGACACGAAGGAGAGGGGGTTTCGGTAGGAGACGGTCGACGAGAGAAGGCCAAAGAGATCGGTTGATAGCTCTGCTGCAATAAGGAGGGTCTGTCGCTGGGCTGGAGGATGGGCGTGATGGCCGGAGGTAGTCGAGCGGCTTCAGACGAAAAGTGGACGATCACCAGTCGAAGACGGCGGTGTGTTGCCACCCAGGCATAGCTTGGCTTGTCTTTGGGCGCTCTCTACCTAGCCGGCGCACCAGGGAGACGAATAGGACACAGCCTGCAGGCAAGCTCTCTGACGTTGACTCTGGAGAGAAAAAGAACAAAGAAGAGGGGGCGCCTTTATGATGCACCGTCATCCAGCTGTTAACCGACTACATACTCCGTACCAGGCTCTCGCTCGAAGTCAAAGAGGATGACTTGCTGGCCAGAACACCCAAAGTCTGGAGAAGACAGAATTAGCTAGGTTTGAATTATTTGCTATATTATTAACGCTGTAGAGCGTATTAATGACATCCTCCCATTGCAAGAAATCATGACCATTGACCATCGCTGGAAACCGATATTTATACAGGAGGCGGAAGATGATAGAACTATTCAAGGAAACACAGGCAAACGACGCTTCCAACGCAAACCATTTTTTGAGAAGATAACCAGGAAGAAAGAGAAAGGAAAATGGAACCCAAATTTCGGAGATAGCAAGCAAGTTGGCAACTCAGCGCGCTGCCCCCAACGACAGGGCGAAAACACCCAAGAACAAATATCAACAACGCTGGCAAAAAAGCTTTGACAGAAAATACTGCAGAGTTTTGAGGGGTCAAGGAAATTCGTTGTTGGTGTCATGAAGGCGATCCTGCTGCAATCGTTTTTCTTTTTTTTACCCAAAAACAAGAGGGGGAGATGGGGAGGGATGGCGGCGCTAGGCTGTCGTCTTTAAGTCCGGCGAAAATGTATCAAGGCTCTCTAACAATCTCAGCCGTGCTCTCAGAAAACGGCGAGTTGGCCGAGTTCGCGTTGTAGATGTGATCGCTGGCTCGATGTTGCTGGACGTATCCTAAACTTGATGGCCGGTCGGCTCGTTTCGACAAATAGCGCTCCGGGCCGGACCTTCTGCTGCGGTGGGCAGGGCGAGGGGTGGCTGGGTTGTCATCAAGAGGGTGGTGTATGCTTGATGCGGTGGAGGTCGAAGATATTTGGTCACTGGGGGTTGACGACGATTTGGATGCGAAGGGCAGGCGACCGGGGTCCTGCAACAGTTTAGTCTTTGCTTTCGGCGTTTCTACCTCGGACTCTGCACTGGAATCCGGGTGAGGGCCAGTGTCCTTTGCAGCATTGTCGGTGGAACGGTCAATGTCCGTCGAAGAATTCCGCTTCGAGCTGCGTCGCGGGATCGTGGGCGGTCGTATTCGCAGGCCCTGGAGCTCTGGGGGCTCTCGCTTGGTGCCCACCCGACTCGGCAACTCAATGGCATCGGTGGCGACGATTGGAGGCAACGACGGAGCTTCCGGGGCAACATTCGTCGTATTTTTATGCTCAGTTTCGGCTTCACTACCCTGCCCGGCCCCTGCGTCTGCCTCCGCATCCCTGGCTTTGCTCCCTGCAGGCTCGGGATCGTCCCGGTAAGGTTCGGGAAACACGTCCGGTTCCTCAGGAAGCATCACCCCAGGAACAGGTGCACGGGCGCTGCGAACAACCTCGAAGCCTCGTCCTTGCTCCTTCGTTTTGCCTCTGAAGAGACCCCGCAACCAGCCCGTGGCAGACGAGACGGGCCCAGTCGGGTCGGCCGGACCAGTCTTCAGCTTACGAGCAGGAGCCTTGGACAGCGCGGGACCGCGAACACGATAGAAAAAGTCGGCTTCACGAACAGCATAGTCAGTTCTAGGTTGGCGCGGATCCTCCTCTCCATCAGGATCATCTTTAGAGACACCCAGGTACGCAGGAGCAGGCGTTCCTCGGCCCGATACCGAAGGACCGTCGACTACGTCAATCTCATCCCCGCCCACAGTCTGATTCGAATCTCGTTTACTCCAATTACCCCACGATGTATGTCGCTGGCTGGATGGCGACATTCCGTCGAGCGTGGCACGGCGCTGTCTAGGAGGTCGATAGAAGTGATCAGCCGTCTCCGCATGTTTAAGCTTCACAAGGCCAGTTCGTGGCGAGCCGGTTCCCGAGTGTCGTCCTGCACCAGGGAATGCGCCGGCGGTGGCGGGCGTCGTTGGGGTGTATGGCACGCTTCCATCACCCCGGCTGTTCGCTACGCCGTAGGCACTGTTGGATTCCAATCCAGTGCTCATCCTGCTTCCAGCACCAGGCCTGCCTAGAAGAATTGCAGAGCTGCCGGAAAAGCTGCGGGCTCGATCTCCGTCCAATTGCGTGGACGGTCTTTCCATGTCACTTCCTAGCATCGCTGCCTCCGAATTTATGCTATGTCGTGGAACATGGCGGCGCCTGGACGTTCGACGGGAAAGTTGACGCATACCGAAAACCTATCTCGATTGTTAGTACGTTTTTCAAGCCCAGGTTTTAAGGAGCCAAAAGATGCATACTTTAGAAAGGCCTCCTCTAGCAGCCCCTCCTTCAACACCTCCCTCACCACCAGCACCAAGCAAACGAGCAGCAACCTCAATCAACGTTTGGATTGCATTGAGAAAGAAGCCAAAAAGCAAAACGACCCCGTGCATTACAAGAATAATATAACCGATCCAACCTCTGGAGGAAGCGGACACTTCCAAAGACGGAACAAAAGCGACACACAGAATAATTGTCAGAAATCGGATGATGGAAAGAACAGTATAATATGAATTCATGGACGTGGGATATTCAAAAGGCCGAAATGCTGCAATGGTAAGAACAAGGGTCACTTCGCAAATGGCGAGTAATACTATCTGCGCGATGCCAGATGGCTGGACCGCGCCGATCGCGATTCCTCGGATGAATGTAAGGAGAACTGAAATCCATGCAAAGGGTGCAGCGCTATCCGAAAAGGTGTTGTACAAAGGGCCGTAAAGAAGGACGGTGGGGAGATCGTCGAAGAGATATGACCGGGGTCGTGTTTTGGCGATAAGAATCAGAAGCCAGCCGGCAAAGAGGACCAGAAAAACAAGCAGAAGAGTAGCCAAAGCGACGGTAAGTATAGGTGAAGAGCTGGCTTTGACGAACTGGAACATTGACAAGGACACGATGGGTAATAAGAAGTAGTTGAACACGATACGAATGACGTTTCCAAGGGTAAACGGCAGATTTTTCGATCGCAGGTCCTCCTCTGGCTCATGGGCGATTTTGCGGTGTATCCATTGGAAAGAGAAGACAAGTTGGGTGAGCAGGGTGACACCGGCGATGATGGAGAGCAGCCATACCACCATGCCCGCCCATACATCTTTGGGAGCCGTCATGCCAACATATTGTCTCATACGATCAAGTCCGTAGGTGCCATTGACAGTGTATAGTCCATCCTGAAGTGATTGAACGCCAGTTCCATGGCTCACCAAGCTCTCATTGAACATCAGCGCGGACCAACCCACTTTACTTGTAGCAGGCTGGAAGAAGCCAGGATAGTCTAGTGTCAGGGAGCTGGTTAGAATAATGAATTGAATATACTGCAAACAGTCCCCAAATCCCGGCGTGACGAGACGAAGCAGATCTTCGTCCCGGCCATAGTTGCTGGTCCACCGAAAAATATCTGAAGTACCCCATGGGCTGAAGATCGCGGCAGATATAGTGGCAAACCCAACTATTATCAAAACGACCAGTGGAATATACGTGAGGACATTGGTGAGAGAGCGGCCTAGGTCCGGTACTATGTCAGCGGCGACGCAAGCAATGGGTGTTCCGGCCTGGTCGCCGGAATTCACTTGAAACGTGGGAAGTATTGAAGCGAAGGAATATGATGAGAAGAGGTCATGCGAGAATGAGAAGGCCCGTAGACGCGAGATGTCCGATCTATGGAAGACATGACAAATTAGTATTCAGGGAAGACATGAAGCTTGCCGAAAACGTACGCGTTGGCATGGAACACCGGGCCCATCGGGCACTGTCCCTGCACCACCGTCTCACAGAACGGACGCGAATTCGCCTTGTAGACCGTGAAACTCAACACATCCAGACGAGCGAAAAAGGTCGTAAACACGTTCGTCGACGGCTCGACATTCAGGATCTTGCCGGTGGTGACATTGGGATTCGACCACCGGGGGTCGTCGGGCAGCGGATAGTCCTCACGGGTCGTCAGGCCCGTCACATTGCCGTAGACGGTGACGTTCAGGGTGCGCCTCTGCGGCGAAGCGGCGAGAGTCGCCGAGACGTAGAGGGGTATGAATTGCAGACGGACGGGCTGCGATCTCACGATCGATTCGGGCAGGCAGTTATGGAAAGGAACGGAGGCCGCGTGCACGGGCGCGAGTAGCAGGAGGAGCACAGCGACGGTCTGGAGGAGGGCGAGGAGGGGCGCTGGACAGCGCCGCCGCAGCAGCAGCGAGGAGGGTGATAACGATGACGATGGAGATCTTGTTGTTGTACGATCCATCCGGCGACGACGAAGACGACCACCACAACAGCGCGCGTCGCTATTCCACACTCGACGGGGCCGCGTGAGGCATTGCAGGGCCAGATCGGTCTCCCGGGGCGAGTCGAGCGGCAGGGCAGCAGTAGCAGTACGGCGGCCAGGGCTCTTCATCACGATGGGCGAGCCAGCCTCCCAAGGAGGACAGTCTCCTGCGGGCGTTTCAAAGCCACAGCTCCGCGATGCCCGCGCTGCAGACTAAGAAAACCGTTTTTGTCTCCAAAGCGGGCGCTGCTCGACCTCCCACACGCCCTAGGGAAAAGTATGCACGGGTATGGTGCGCGGGTTGGTGTTGGGGGGAGGGAGGGATGGTTGCGGGCGAGGGTGACAGGGGAGAGCTCGGAAGGACGGACGATTTGCGATCGGGGTGGGCGGATTGGAGTGGAAAAAGGAGGGAGGAGACTGGCGGTTCCCAACAAAGGCCGGCAGCAGGCAGAGAGACAAACGAGCGGCAGGATTGGAGCGAATGTGGTGGTGATGGTAGTGGTGGTGGCAGAGTCGAACGGGCGTTGGCTGAGCCCGCAGAAACTCTTCTCATTACTTTCTTCTCTTCTCGCCCGCTCAAGCGAGGAAGGAAACCCCCCCCCCCCCCCAGCGGCCACGCCTTAAACTACTCCGGAAACTTGGAAACACGAAATTCACTAATAACGACGCCGCCGCAGTCGAGCCAGCATGCTTTGGGCTAGGCAGCGTGCGTGTGGCGTATCAGCGCGCGCTGGGAGAATTTATGAGACACTCCCAAGGCCTGCCAGCGCATTTGGCTCCCTGTTGTGCCGCTCAGCCGTTGCCTCCCACACCTGCGGGCGCGCCCTACAAGGAAGCCCGGAGCGCTGCGGGCTCTGGCTCTTCTTACATCCAGACGGACGGGAACGCGGTGCTTAGGCACTCAAAGGCCGCGAGGGCTGGCATCCTACGCGAAAGTAAGTTACGATTGCCGGATCCTGTGTGGAATCAAATCCATGCAGCCGTTCTGCGGGTCCTTGCTGCTCGGGAGGATCGTTCTTTTTTATGTCTATTATTATTATTATTATTATTTTTTCTTGAATTTTTTTTCCAGATCGCCGTGAGAAGCACGACAGACCTTAACTACCGGAGGCCCCAGCGAGGCTTACAATGCGACAGTGCGCCCGCCAGCGCGCATTCGATGGAGAAGCGTTGAGAGCCGGATCGTCGGCGGATACGGGCCGCAGCAGAGAGCTTGCAGGTGGGCTGCAGACGCTCCAGGGTGTGCCATGGCAGCTGCTGTACCTCGTCGCACATGCGTATGCCGTAAGGGACGAGGTGGTTATGTAGGTAGTTAGGTAAATGCCCGGCAGAGGCAGTCCAGGGGATTTATATCAACAGCTCCGTCGTGTGAGCCCTCCTCCTCCGCACTCTCTCTGTCTCCGCCACTGTCTCACCGACTCCGCCTGCGGCTGAGAAACCACGGCTCAGCCATTCCTCACCGTTTAGCCAATAATAGCCAGCGGGCGGCCCTTCACTAAAAGAAAAAATGGGCTGGTATCAGCCTTGCGGTTCGGGCGCAACAAAAAGGAACGCACGTAAAACAACCTGCCGGCGACAGGCTTCTCAACCCCAATCGCCGGCGGCTTCGTCAAGCAGCGTAGCCCGAGTGCAGCCGGGGCCGGCGCTAATGCTAAATGGCGTCGTCGCGGTGTTCGTTTCGTAAGTGGCCACTCTGATGCCACCCGGCGTTTTGACGGCTTGGAGGGCTTGGAGGGCCCAGAGGGCCCAGAGGGATTTTTGGCGCTCCTGTGCGCACGGCTGGCACGGCTGCTGGGAAGGGTTTTTCGTGCTCGAAGCTGCTCCCGTGGGAGAGCGCGTCGGTCGCCGTGCTGGGGGAGTGGCAGTGGTGAGTATTTATTGCAGCTGGGTGAGACGCGATCGCCGCGAGAACGCGCGTGTTGGTGAAGCCGCGCCACCACAGCTGTGGCGCCAACACAGTCGAGCCCGACAGCGCCGTCTTATAATATGGGAATTATATCGTGCCAACTCGGTAGGGCTGCGGTGCTGGCACCGGCTCAGGGCGCCAAACAAGCCTCGCGACGGGTGTTCAGGCACCCGGACAGGGCCAACCATGGCACGGCCAGAGCCTGTAGTAGTAGTGGGAGCGGCAAACGAAGAATAATACTCAGTAATGTGCTCCGTCGACGAAGCGTCTGCTGCGTGGTTACTAGTCCGCCGGGTTGGCTGGTTGGCGCTGCGAATGCCCGCCTTGGGCGGATCGGCCGGCGTTGCCTGGCCACCGCACGCCCAGCACGCGTCACGCCGGCGCTGCGATGACGCCGGGCATTCTGCTTCTTCTTTATTCTTATTCTGCTTGTTGCTGCTGCTGCTGCCGCCGCTGCTGCTCTGTCTGCTCGGCTGGCTGGCTGGCTGGCTGGCTGATCGACGGCCCGTCGCAGCACCGAAAGTGGCTCCTCGTTTCAGGACCGGCGCTGCAGCCAAGGGGGCCGCCCCCGTCCATGTTTCATCTCGGCTGCTCGTTCAAGCGCTCGACCTCCATCCTCCACGGCCTCGTCCGTCCTCGTCCTCCACGCCCTCGTGTGCTCGCCATCCCTCTGCGCCTAGTCGCTGCGCAGCCTGCTCCATCGCGCCCGACTCCTGCTGCTTAGCACCACCGTGGCCTGGCCTGTGCTGTCGAACCCTGCTACGCCCGCTGTCTGGCCGGCCCAGCATTCCCCATACATACCGTTCGCTTGCGCTCGACTCACCACCAACTACTCGCTCGCTCGCTCTCACTCGCACCCTCGCGCCCGCTCGCCCTCGACAGCTCGCGTCCCCGACCCCCCCCCAACCCGCCCGCTCGCGTGCCGGCGCTCGTTCTGACCCGTCGTTCGCATCCGCCGCTGATCCTCCAAGAACTCTGGCCCCCCGGTTTCGCTTTCGGCTGCCCACAATGATCGGCACGTGAGGCCTCGCGACCCCCCGTCCGCTTGTGCTGGTGGCCCGACTCTGTTGCCAGACCAGAGAGGCATGCTGGCCCGTCGATGCTCGCTTCGTCCTCGACCTCGCTTCCCCCGTGCCCGACTGCCACCATGGTTGTCGAAACCTCAGACCTCCGCATCAGCGCTGTCGCCGAAGCCAAAGCCCGCAAATGGCGCGACAAGATCTTCTCCAAGGAGAAAGACCCCAATACTTCGCGAGATGCGCAGATTGACGACTTTCTCGGCGCCTCTCGCAAACTCCCATCGCAGTCGCATCTCCCCATTCCTCCTCGTCCGCCGCTCCCGTCGCCGCGTGTCGATGTCTCCCTCCCACATTATCAGCCGCCGCCGCCGCCGCAGCAGCAGCAGCCGTCGCGTGCCGTCCCCGCCCCCTCGTCCGCATCCCTGCCCTACCACGCCCCCAGCATTGCTCAACCCGTGAAACGTCGTCAGCGGAAAGGCTTGACGGTCAAATTCTGCAATGAGCCCCCCCAAGTCATGGGCGAGGGCGGTGACGAGGCCGAAGAGCCCACCAAAGACATGATAGCCGCCTACCGCTCGCGCTCCAATTCCTCTGCCTCGACCTTTACCGATAGATCCGACTTCTCTCCAATCGACAGCCATTCCCCTCCAGACTCCCATCTTCGCCATCAGGCCACCCCGCCGTCAATCGCCATAAACCAGCCCCAAGACGAGTCCTTATGGCGGCCCCCACTGATAAAGAACTCGCAGGATTCGGACTTCCTACTGTCGCTCGGAGAAAACAACACACGTGGCTCCCGATTATCGTTGAGATTGTCGACAGATCCCAACTCGTTTGCGCGCCGTGTACAGGCAAAAATGAGAGCGGATGAAGGATTGGCCTTTCAGAAGAGTTTTGCAGAAGATGATCCCTCGTCGCCTTTAGAAACAACGTCCCCTACGAAAACAATCCTGCCACCACGAACTGAGGAAAAATCGGGTGGTCTTTCGTTCTGGTCTAGCGTGCTCAGTGCCCTCCCCAGCGAGAACCAGCCCTCCCGTCAAAACTCACCACCCACCTCCACCCCAACACCTTCATTACCTTCTATAGATACGTCGTCACATCACCCAGTTCGACCTCCTCCATATCTCAAATCGCCCGAAAGCTCTACAGCATCTACACAGCCCTCCTTCCAGAGTTACGATAGTGGCAGGGATTCGCCGTCGCTCGCCAAAAACTTGCGAAATGTTACGAACACGGTAGGCGACACCGCTTTGTCGGATTTTTCTGACTACGTGGGAAATTTCAGCCAACTTTTCAGTTTTGCCGCGGAAAATGTGAAACCGTCGATGGAGACGTCTCTTTCAGAGTGGGTCAGAGCATGTGTTTGGTGGTTTTTGAAGGGCAGGGGGGAGCTGGAGGCGTTCATGCGAACCCGTCCATCAAGTGCTGGTGGTAGTCCTGCACATATGGGCCTGGGAGACCAGTCGCAACAGGCAGTTGTGAATCTCTCAAAGGCCTGGTGGATCAACCAGACCATTATCCCCCAGCATCCAGAATTGGCAAAATTCGGCAGGATAAGCACCGATGCCATGCTCTCCGTCGCCAAAAGTACTGGCGATTCGCGAATTGTACACTTAATCACCCTTCATCAAAGCATGATCAGCCACCTGCGCGGTCTCGCGATGTCGATGAAGCGACACAACCTGCTTCCTTCTGGAAACGACCCCGCGCCCCTCGTTCAGTCCATCGATTCCAGCATCTGGATGAAATATCCGTTCTTTGCCCCTGACATCTCCGCTATTCTATCGGGCTCTTTCTCCAAATCGATGCTCGTTGACACGTCGATAAAGCAACCGGATCTGGGCGATATGATGCCCATGGGCGACACTAGTAGATACTTCTGCTACGGTCGCATGTTTGTAGAGGCGCATATCAGCTCTGGCGATGACGACTGCCAGCAGATCGCCATACCCTGCGTTCTGTCGATCACCCGTGAACGAGGGGATTGGAACGTCATCGCGACAATCACCAGCCAAACTGAGCTGGTCAACATTATCATCCAGGCCGATAAGAAACAAGGCGCGACGTGGACGGATGTCACTTGGCATGTAAGATCGTGTTCGATGCAGCTGCGCCTCCCTCGGGGGTTCGAGCTGGACGTTCGGTTCCATCAGGCCGATTTCTCGATGATATGGAAGATCGTGGAATATTCCCGCAAAGTCGAAGCCAGCCTGCAGCCCGAAGCCGGCGAACGATTGGTCTTCGAAGAAGTGCTGGGTATTTTCCAGTACATGGACTCTCGTCCCACCAAGGCCTTCCCCCCCGAGCCTTCGCCGCGCTGTCGAATCCGACTGTTTGAGAAAACTGTAAAAATCACGGAGGGCACGGGAACGCGTGAGTCGCACCGTGGATATCGATTCATCGCCGTGACCAGCCCCAATGTGAAAACCCTCACCAGCGTCTCTCACTACCTGGGCAGCGGCGAGCCCATCGTGTTTGGCTATCTCCGCGGCGACAATGGCGCGCCTGCTCTCGTTCTCAAGGTTAGAGAAGGCGACGACGTCTGCTCCATGATTCTCACGTTCGTCGATGCTGAGCATCGAACGAAAATGCATTCGCTCCTACTGGGGATCGTTCCCAACGGCGCTGAGTTCAAGACCGCCGATATACCGCTCAAGTCGTTTTCCATTGACAAGCCGACGGCGGGCAGCAGCGGCGGCCTGATGCTGAAAACACCTCTGCAGTTTTCTACCTCTACGATCACGGTTATAGATCAGTCTCCCGGGCCGGCGGAGCATGGATACGGGCGGACGGTTTTGTCTGAGCATCTTCGGGTTTTTGTCAGCTCGCAATGGGGTTCGGTTACGGATAGGGTTAATCTGGGTAAGTAAATACCACATAGATGTGGTCTGATTCGGAACATTTTTAATTGACTGGTGGTTTTAGGGCCCGGTGAGCTGAAGATTGGTCTTGATGTCAATATTCCAACGGCAATGAGTCTATATCGCCCAGCACAAAATGATTTGGGTGTAGCTATAGCAGAGAACCTGGTGCCAAAGGAGCTACCCAATGAATTAGCGGGCTTCCTCAAGACTGTGGGCACAAATTCTTCTGTTAGAAAGTATAATTTTGCATCAGTTCCAGGTTTGATCTCCCTGAGTGTATCTTTTGAGGTATATCAGCTGACGACTTGTTAGATCTACATACCTTCCAACATGCAATTACGGGCTATACGGTTCGCTTTGATGGGTAACTCTCACCTGGTGATCTATGATGCGATGAACTCTGCTAACCCAGAAAAACAGATATGCCTCTAGCTTCGCCATATCACGTCGAAGAATGGTGGTTCCTATCTACAAGAAATTCGAGGCAGGCCGAACTCGCCTTCAAGTCATCCAGCAAGAGAAAGTGTTCCAGCTGGTTGTATTCTTTTCTGACTTCAGCCTCGGAAAGTGTATGAATTTCGCCCTCAAGAGCACCGACATTTTCGAAAGCTTGCATCGCACGGGTAAATACGGTCTGAAGATCGTAGATGCCAAATTTGCTCTACCCAACTGCAGCGACGATGAGTCCGCTAGTTTTGTATGTCTAGATATGCCCGAATACCCTGGCGAGCACGACGATATTACAATTTGCTTTGATTCCGAAACCGGTGAGTGAAATCCCTGTTGTCATACTACGTTATTAAACTAATGTTTGGTTGCACAGATCAAAATAACTTCCAGTCTGCAATCCCTGGCACTGTCCGACGTCCTTTAAGGGTAGGCTCGTTTAAAAGATGAGCATGGCGATTTCTTTCCCCATTTCTAGGCGCAAGTCGGTGTACTTTTTTTCTTTTGTTCTTTTCAAGGTGTTCTTTCGTGGCAACTTGTGGGCTTGGGAATCTGATGACGGCAAATGAGCTCTTCTTTGTAACATTGTCTTATCTACATTTGCTTTCATTTATGCTTGCTATTCTGGATTTGCAGAAGGATAACCCCCTGGAGCTATGGCCAGTTTCTTTTCATTTTTCATTTTGCAATTTCATCTGGTCGGATCTTAGACTGTTCTCTCTCCCGAAGAGTAGTTTTCCAGCTATGTAGAAAATGACATGCTCATCCTCTCTAACGACCCTCTGCCCTGTATCAAAGCACGCCCTTTGAGTAGCTTATGTCATATTTAGCTAGGTTTCGGGGCGAAATCCGCCCCTCAATCCAACTATATATGGCACCAATAATCTCGATTCCGAGTCGTATATGGCCATCGTCGCTCGCAATGGCGGATAGTACTTGTAAAGGCATGGCTAAGCTGAGCCTGGAGGGCCGCGACAAAGCTACCATTGCCATTCACGCCGACGATCCCCTCAACGTCGTCACGGATGTCGCCCCGCCACTCCACGTCTCCACGACATTCCGATACTCGGACAACCCGGACGATCTGCTCCCATTCGACTTTGAAGTATGAGCCCCTTAATATCCCCTGATCAAGGTATACATAACCAGTTCAAAAATGCACTCACACAACTCTTTTCTCCCCCTTTCTGTAGCGCGACACGGCCCCCAACCCGGACCCCACCTGTCACATCTACTCCCGCGACAGCGCCCCCAACTACACGCGCTTCGAAACCATCCTGTCCGCGCTCCTCGGCGGCCACTGCACCGCCTACGCATCCGGCCTCGCCGCGTTCAATGCCGCGCTGGTCCTACTCAATCCCAAGCGCATTGCGGTCGGCAATGGGTACCACGGCTGCCATGGCGTGATCGGGCTCATGTCCCGGCTCACGGGGCTGGAGAAAATCGCGCTGGATTGTCCGGCCGAAGAGCTGGGGAAAGGGGATGTCATTTTGTTGGAGACGCCTCTGAATCCGTATGGAACGTCGTCTAATATCAAGGACTACGCCGACAAGGCGCATTCGCGCGGGGCGTATTTGATTGTGGACAGTACGTTTGGTCCGCCCGGTTTGCAGGATCCGTTTCTCTGGGGAGCGGATGTCGTCATGCATTCCGGCTCGAAGTTTTTTGGTGGGCATAGTGATATGCTCTGCGGTGTGCTTGCGACTAAGAACGAGGAGTGGAGGAATAGGCTGTTTGCAGACAGGTTGTTCTTGGGTAACATGATGGGTAACATGGAGGGTTGGCTGGGGGTTCGCAGCCTGAGGACCCTAGAGATCCGGGTGCAGCGACAGAGCCAGAATGTCACGGCGCTAGTTGGGTTCTTGGATCAAGCTTTGAAGAAGCCCAACCCTGAGCCTGGCGATGATGCGAGTGTTGTGCAGGCCGTAGTTAGGGAGATAACTCATTCCAGCCTTCAGCAAGGGGACATGGCCTGGCTGCCGAAGCAGATGTCTGGCGGGTACGGTCCCGTATTTTCTCTTATACTGAAGGAGGAACGCATGGCAAAGATGCTGCCTGCGAGACTACGCCTTTTCCACCATGCTACCAGTCTCGGAGGTGTTGAGTCTTTGATTGAGTGGCGTGCAATGACCGATGCAGCTATTGATCGAAGCCTTCTGAGAGTGAGCGTAGGGTTGGAGAGCTGGACTGATCTCCGGGATGATTTGCTAGCCGCATTTAAGACTCTACTAAATTGATAGGAACATTTCATAGCAATATTGTGTAAATAGTGGTTGAATAGAGATTTTGATATTCTATAACATTTTCTCCACGGGGCGTTGGGGAAAATCGGGATATTCCCCGCACTGGAACTGCTTGTTCCCCGCACCAATCCCACCCCCACCTAAAGTTCATTTTTGAGTTGACCGAAACCTTTCCATCCGAACCTTTCTCAGTATGGATCAATCTCAACCCAACAAAGATTGACCTTGATCGGCGAACACCACGCGTACGTTGAGCGACCGGAGCCCATATATTCATCGCATTCTCCACCTCTGTCCTTCCCAAAACTCCATAGTCATGTCTAACAAACAACCGACTTTTCAAATCCTCTATTTCGCCAGTGCCGCCTCCTTTACTCGCAAAGCCTCGGAGTCACTTCCTGCTCCTTTACCTGTGCACAAACTCTTCGATGTTCTAGAAGAAAGATACCCCGGCATGAAGGACAAAGTGCTCGTGAGCTGTGCAGTTAGTGTGGAACTGGACTATGTGCAGCTGGAGGACGATGGTACCGATGGCAGGGTGATCCAAGCTGGCGAAGAGGTCGCTATTATACCACCAGTCAGCTCCGGTTAAACCATGTTGTATAGGACCTTGGTCATTTGATTTGCATATAACTATACAATTGCCAAAAGCTTGACTATGCAAGAGTGGACGCTTGGGAAGGCCGTGTATCCGAGGGCGGGGGGTTGTGCCTCGTGTCATTACTATCTTGCAGAAGACATCTCACAATCTATTGATATCTTGCTGCAGAATTATCTACGTTGCTAGTAGATCCTGCCGCCCTTTGATAGAACGCGCGCCGCTGGCAACCGCCGGGGGAAGGTACGGGTGAGAAGAATGAAAGCCGGGTCGCACCCGTCGTGCCAGGACAGTCCCGGATGCAGAAGGAGCAGAAAGAGGCAGGCACCCCGTCGCACGTTGTTTATTTCAACGTCCGCCGCCGCCTTCGCCGCCTTTCTTTGACCAGTACCGATCCATCGTCCTCTCATCTGCGTCACAACGCCGCCGGTTTCGCCATATATCAGCCATCTTCCAGCTCGTATTTTCCATCACCTCGTTGATCAAAGCACATCTCTACTTCCCTACAGTCTCAAAATGAAGTTTATTGACGCCCTTGTCGGTGCGCTGCTAGTTGGATGGAGCCTAGCCATCGACGTCCCACCTTGCTCCGTAGGTTGTTCAAGTCTCCTGTCGCCAGACCTCGATGTTAATATGTGATTCAGAAACGCTGCTTCGACGTCGCCGAATCTAACCGTGGATGCAATGTCCCTGTGCAATACAGCTGCCTTTGTGTGGCGTCACAGTTGAGCAACGATTTTTACCGCTGCATCCATGTGCGCTGCAGTTCGGAAGATCAGAGCATTGCCCGAAACGTCGTCAATCGTCAATGTGGACGGCCACCTCAGCGGCGATCTGCACTAGAGGATATGAAAGGTACGGCATTTTCACGTTTTCAAGATCGTCAAAATGGCTTTTCTGCGAACCATGCGGCCCAAAGGAGGGCTCCTACAACTAAACGAAACCCTACTCCCCCAGTCCGCCTTCGTCCAAAAAGATCTTTGACCTTGGGACAGGTAGTTAGGGGCGTTTTATTTTCCATATTTTGCTCTTCATTAATTTTGTCCGTGGCGGTCATGATCGTATCGCTTATATTTGCTAGGGGGGTCACAGTGAGGGATGAAACGCTACCACATAGCGAAAGACTGCCCACCTCTAGTGATGATGGATTATGCCGCAGACTTTCGCTCCATTTTCGAGGAAAGAAATTATCCAACACAGTGCAGGATCAAGAACGTGAATTCTACAGCCAGGGTGTCTAAAAGGCAGAGTTTCTGTCCAACAGCTTTTATGCAGCAGAATTAGAGATGTGTCGACTTATTATTACAGTGCATAATAATATTCACTAGTTTTCACAATGGCAAGGTTTATTTTGTTGTAGGCGTGCTGCAATGGGACTCTAAAGTTTCACTTCTTAGATATGTGCATAGATATAACATCAGATGGAATGGACTTAGCATTAGGAATGCGAAGTATATATGTAGCTCCTTGTAGACGCCTTTTAACCACCTCAGAAACCCTCCTAGCATCCCCAGAGCAAACCAGGGGTCAGTTTAAGTGTCATTAGAAATCAAGGCATATTGTTATTGGACTGATCTTTCTCAAGTGCCCACCTATAGCTCACCTACTATAGCTAATATTAACTAGGTAGTTGATTTGTTAACATTCTCATCAAATATAGTTGGCCTAATAACTTTCTTGCCTTTCTAAAATAAGCCCTTCTTCACGACCTACTAGTAGAAAACTACAAGACTGAGGGCTGTCTGCCTTGAAGCTCCGATATCCATTAATTAAGCAGTCTTTAAGCTAACTACATCATGAACTCTCCCCTGTTACAGTTAGGATTCTAATATGGTAAAAGCTACGACTTGCTTGTCTATGGAAACTTTTATCTTCGAACGATTCTTTCCATTTGACTAACTAAATGATTAAAGATACTGATCTTCCCCTATGTCTCTCTCAACGATGCTCTTTGAACCTTAGGCTTGACGCTCTCAACATCCAACAGGCAAGGCCTTAACGTTTGTTGGGGTTTTGGCCAGATTAACCTCCGCATTTCGTCTGCGAACAAGACCTGGAAGCACCTGGCCACCGGCCTTGTTCCACTTGGGCAACTCCTCGGAGATGACAGTGTTAGGGGCCTGTCCAGCATTTAACCTCTGGATGAGGGTAGATGACTTTGCAGCGGCACTGCCAACGTTGAAGGACCAGGAGACAAGGGCACCGTATTGGTTGGCGTTGAGGACCACGAGGGTCTTAGTTGAAAGTGTGATAGTTTGTTGGAACTCCTATTGAAAGACGTTAGTAAGTATCAAATATAATCAGCAGAGGCGGTGGGTTGATCTCACTTTCAGGTCGGATTTCAACAGGCTTGTGGCGGTGTCTTGCGTTAGGGGAAATGGGTATGGGACTTCACTGCATCCCTTGCTTTTGCAAAGATGTCCATAGCCGACAGTCGGCAAACCGATTGGATCTGGGGCAGGTCTGGGAACAAAACCTTCGAATTCTTTAATCAAGCTGATTGTTGCAGCGTTTACATCTGGACCGATACAGGCGCGGGCTTCGAGATCAGAAGCCCGAGCTTCTGTCGTGGGAGCAGCTAAGCCCGAAGAGAAGAGGAAAAGGGCGGCAGTGATAATGGTGGAGTAACGCATGTTTACTCTCTTTGCTTAGCTGCAGGTAAAAGAAGATGAAAATATCTGATAATCTTGACTTTGGCAGTGGAATTGTTCTACCGAAGAAGCCATGGAGGCCCTTTATGTATGCGTTTGCGGCAACTTCCACGTCAGCCGGCGCCTTGCTATTTCTCTGCCTTGCATGGAGAATGCTGATCACGTTGCGAGATTTTTGGACGTTTTTGAGATCTGGTCATCTCCAATGCAACCTTTCTAGCCATGGAAACCTGGAGGGAAACACCCTGTCAAGTAAAGCATCAACTTGGAAACCGTCTTCTTACCAATTTTGGTGCCTCAGAATGTAAAAACTAGTCGGAGCTGAGCGTCCAGCCATTGGGATGTCTTAGTCTTGTCGATTGATATCCCAGGTAAATGAGTGCAGAAGTTTCGAAACCAATACACGGTGCAGCGGCAGAGAAAGCGAATCAAGTCGCATGCGTATTCGTAAGAAGAATCACATTCTCAATCGGATATCAGTATATGGAACGAAGGAACGAAGCTGGCGAGGTGACAGAGATCGCCTGGTTTTGAAGAGTCAGCTTTATGCTCATGATTCGTTCGCTGAACTGCATGCAGGAAATAGACCTTGATACCCGGCTATCCGCAGCCGAAGCAGCTTCTTATCTTCAATGGCACAGTATTATTAACTCGTACCAGTGAATACGAGTTTGAGCTGTTTGACCGTTCTCTCCGAGTCTGCCTTGCCTAGAAGCTGGGGCATTGAGCTAATAAATGTCGGACAATGTACTCCGTACGGAGTAATAATTGGCCACTGAAGCAAGCAGTCGACAGATTTCCCAGAAAAATTCTCCAATAAATATTTACTCATTTATTTTCATTTTCATTTTTGTTTTTTTGAGAATCTGCACTCTTTAATCCTGAGACGCATGACATAGTTCCAGGTAATGCGAACCAAGTATGAAATTGCAGGTTTTTATGGGATTCAAAGGCAAAAAAAAAAAAAAAAAAAAAAAAAAAAAAAAAAACAAAGAGCTCCTGAAAGCCAGGGCAGCCGAAAGTAAATCAATCTTCAAAAAAAAGTCACACATTACAAGGGCGACAGAAGCAAGTTAAACTAGGACAATTCAACAAGATCGCTATCTTCAACTCTATCTTCAGCTCCCCCGCTCATTTGAGCAGCAGGTCGTTTCCGATCTATTATTGGAGACAATGTTTGTTCGCCACTTTGTACCGCTATCAGGGATATAATATGCTCGTAGAAATTGGCGCCTAGAATACGTTCCACATCACTGCGGACTCCTAAAGACGAAATCATTTGTTTGGCAAGATTAGCTCGTTTTTCCCATTCTAAATGTGCATTGCTTGTTTTTGTGATTCCCAGAAAATGGGAATCGCCGCTTTTCATTAGTTTGATTTTAAGTCCATGCTTGTGATGGGTTTTCAAGTGACCCATTTTGCTACCTGAATCCAGGATTCGAGTTGTTCTTAGACTCGGGCTCTGCAGAAATGCATTCATTTCCTGGCAGCTTTCGCAGCAGCAAGTACACAAATCTGTATCTGTAAAATCCATCCGGCTTGGTTCCTTTTTAACATACAGCTCCAAGTATAATCGAAGAAAATCTGTTGCAAATCGCACACACTCCTCATCGGGAGAATCTATGTCAATAAGGCACCATGAAATCATGCGTTTCAAGAAGGGAAATATTAGGGCATGAGACCCCTTTTCACCATTTTTTGCATTGGTAGCCGCCTTTCTTAGGCCGTCATATAGTGGCATGGCCGAGATTTTAAGCAGCTGACACTGACAAACTATATTAAGTAGATCACAGTCGTTTAGTCTTTCAGTAATCCGATGCTCAAAAAACGGGTCCTTCGAAGTCATAGTGCTGCGATGCTCTCCAATCTTCAAGTAAGGTACCATTTTCGCTAAGAGGTCTTCATAAAATGGCGAAATTTTTCCGCCTGCTTACCTGTGTTGTTTTGACATAAGTTTGTTAAGAACGTGGAAATGAATGACGGCTGTGTTATGAAACTCATAAGGACTGCGTTGACCCTATGACTGCAGCTTAGCTTCTCTTAATTTCATATCGACAGGCTCTATATATGTTTCACTTACTTAGATTTCATCCTATAATCTGGATAGAGAGTCATAATCCAAACAAGATGCTTTGTGTCCTCGCGCCTGGCAGATGGTATTAACGACAGAGAACTTTCAATATTTGTTCTTTGCCATTCTTCGAGTGCCTTTTTTTTCTCCAAAATATCATTACCAAGGTGCTCCAAGCAAGCGTTTGCAATCATTGGTATGGCCATGGCCCTTAGGGAGATCGTGGAGCCAGTTTTCTTAAGAATGGTATCCAATCTTGAATTATTGTTACCAAAATATCCGCAGTTCATAGTAGGACATACTTACAGTCGAATTCCTTCTTTACAAGCCTGGTTGCAAAAACTCTTCGATATAATTTCTATGAAAGGTGGCAACAGGGGGTTGCTAAGATGATCAATGACCCTTTCACAAAGGTCCATATTTTCTCCTTCGGCAACCTTGCAGAGGATTGCATCGGCAAACGGAACTAATGTGTCATCACCTTGAAAATAGACAGGTCTCTCGATTCTTTTCATCTTATTGTTATGATAAAACACGAGATTCGCGATGGTTTCAAATTCACTTCGCGCATCAGTGTTTTTAGGGCCCGATAGTAAACAAAGTAGGCGGTCTATCCATTCTGACATGCCGGGTTTCGGGGGTAACATGCGTTTGAAGAGAAATTTCACCCTAGATATACGTGGCACTATGACCACAACCTAGTATATTCAGTAGATCGCTCCGTATAAACGAGTGAGGTATACAGTCAAGAGGCTTACAGTTCGTCTGTAGAAATGGGTTGCCGATACTCCTTCATTTCCAGTGTAGCCCGAATAGTTTTCCGAATCTGGCGCCCCAGTGACAGCATTGTCTTAAATAAAGTCACCAGTACCAATGTCCGAACTATCAAAGGCCTTGGTTCCATCCAAATGCACCACATTTCCAAGCACAGTCTTCTCATAGCAAACGTCAATAATTTCGTGGTACTCGCAATTCTCTGTTCCAATAGGAAAGTCATCATACTCATCGCACCCCCCATCAGCCTGTCGCTCAACAGTGCCCAGGTATAGAGTGGTATCCAGTACCTTGCATACAGATCGAAGCTGAGCGACATGTGAGTCGTCTTTCTCTTTCATGCTTTCAAACTTCAGTCTAGACGTTGGATTTTCATGGGATAACATATACAGCAAAAGTTCAGGGGCAAGTCCTCGTCCAGATTCAGCCTCCGAGATCCAGCCCTTCATCGCTGTCTCAAGATTAGGATCCACTAGAACGAATGAAGGGGTATCACCAGGGCCATCATGTATGAGGTTATAAGTTATCACCATCCGATACCCGCTTTTGACAGGCTTGATCTCATGGGTGACATCTGAGTACCAGGCCGCAAAGGACGTACTAGAACCGGACGTTGCTGCAGATTCGAAAATGCGAGATTCTCCCTGATGAGTGACAACTACCTCGCCACCATCATGTTTCGAAGGGAGGCACACAATCAGAGTACCGAACATTCCATTTGCTTTAGGGGGACTCGAAATGGCAGGAGAAGATATTCAGTGGCATCATGAAGACTGTTATAAAGGGGCTCGGAGTGTCAGGCAACACCGGGCGTATCAGGGCAGAGCGATACAAATTTCTACTCTACGAGCCGGGTGCCTTCTGTCTACCACATCAAGATTTTGCAGTTCGAACTGACTCGCATCTAGTTCCCAGCATTTTCGGACCGATGTCACTAGAGTCTCCGTTCCCTGACCAAAGGGGCTTCGATGGCAGACGTCGATGATAGCTGCGGCATCGGCCTGGGATAAAGGAAGTTTAACAAGGCCCAGACCGTTGATGTGGAGACCGGGCGAGACACTGGGCGAAACCCGGTCACAGCAGGCAAAATCGCCAGCTGTCTCGATTTTCTGGAGGGCGCTGAGAATCTTCGTTTTGATCGCTGTGGTGGTGCGTTTTCGGGCAGCTTTGAAAGTACGCTCGCTCGCCGCTGGCATTTTCACAGCCTAAAAGGCAAACTGTTACATTGGCAGCAACAGAGTCAACTGATTTGATCTGTTCGCTTGAGGGCTATTTAAGCAAATTACGCGTAGCTAGCGCGACTGTGACGCGTCGAAGATCGGCTAGGCAACAATATCTGCAAGACAGGTCAGTCTTGCATCCTTTGTTTAGTTAACCAGTACATGAAAATGAGTACGAAAATGAGTGCGGAGTACTGAGACCTTTATCGGCCATGATTTGTTTTAGGCTTGGTGTACGGAGAATCTTGCTCATACCTTATTTTTTTATAAAGAGAAGATCACACTTGGCAACTGGAAAGGAGAATTCAGAGAAAAGGCTGTAATTGATACATGAGTCGCGCCGCATTCTTCATTCCCACCACCATCTAAAGTAGGAAACTGAAATTCATAGGATATATATCGAGCATTTTGTTGCTGCAATTCCAAGTTCCCACACCTATTTTGTGGAAAGAGCCTTATTCCCACAGTATTCTACTCCATCTACAGCATACCCCTCGGGCATGTACCCGGATATTTGGAAGTATTTACGGAGGCTTTCTTGCTTCAAAATCTTGTCAGAGGCAGTCATGGGGACTTCCTCATCATCCTGGAGCACTCGCAGAAGGGTGGGCAGCTTGTACCAAGACATCTTAGCAGCAGTAAGGTCCTCGCGTATTTTCTGGAGAGTAATGCGCTCATACTCTTCGCCCGTCGTTTTCCGCTTTCGGGGCCGGACAAGTGCAGCAACCACACCACTTGCTTCGTGGTCTAAAACCGGTAGGATATGGGCCTCGGAAATGTACGGCAGATTCATTAAGCACTGCTCGACGGCTAAAATAGGCACTTTCTTGTCGTAGACCGGAATCCCTTAGGTTAAAGCTTAGTTTAGGTGGTCGAAAGGAGAATAAAGAACCTACAGTCACTTGAAACTCTTCCATCGAAAAAATATTTATCCCCAATACGATGAACATAGTCGCCCGTTTTATAAAAGCCTTCATCATCAAATGCCTTGCGCGTCCTCTCCTCATCATTGATATAACTAAGTCAGGATGTAAATACACAAAGTCTTCCATGGGTGTTGGAATCGATGCACTTACCCGACAAACATGCTATCACTTTTGACAAGGAGTTCACCGCGATCGCCATCAGAAAGCTTCACTGAGAATCCCGGAAGAGGCGTTCCAATACATCGCTAGCACTTATCAGCAAAGAAAGGGGGAGATTATATTGCAGCAGCATGTACGTACCTCCAAGCTTTCCCAGCCATCTGGAGTGATCATCACACCTCCACCCATCTCGGTGATTCCGTAGCCATTCTTGATAGGCATATTCACGAGGTCTTTAAAAAATTTCCTTGCAGAGGGATTAAGCATCGCGCCGCTCGGGAGAACGGTATGCAGACTTCGAAGCCCATTGACATACTTGTCACGTTCCTGGGGCGAGAAATCACGAATGTTGTCATTATAGTATTCCATCATTGCCCTTAAACGCCTTGGAGGCAGGCTCATAATTGTAATTTTTCCATCCTTCAAAATTTCCCAGAACTGTTCAGGCCCCGACTCACTCTTCATTATATGCATTCTTTCTCCATTCAATACTGAAATCAGAAGTCCCATTGCGCCGCCTATCCAGTGTATCGGGCTAGACGCAAGATAAAAATTTGTTGGGTCTTCCTGACCTTCCGTGAAATAAAACAGTTGGCGAGGGAGAATAGCCCCTTTCGGTTGGCCGAGCGTTCCAGATGTAAACAGAACCAAGCATCCAGTGCATGGAGGAAGAGACAAGTATTCACTAAGCTCTAATCCGGCATAGCCTTTTGGCCAGGAGGTTGCCCTTGATATTAGAATGGTATCCAGCTCCTGCCTAGATTGGGCTTTAATATATTCTCTTGTTGCTTCGGCGTAATCAAGAGTCTCAGCCTCTGTAAGGACACAGGTAGCATCGCTTTTATTGAGAAAATACGTCGTCTTCTCCAACGCAATTCCCGGCTCTACATTTTTTCATGTTAACATTTTGGTTGAACTGATTGAGAGGTTAGTCATACTTAATGGAACACAGTTACCCCCTAGAGCAGCAATAGCTAGGAAGCTAATTATGAAGTTGTAGCCGCTGAATCCGAGGAATGCTATTGACGTTGCATGGTCTTGCAGAATTCCTCGTTCATCAAAAGAGGTGTCAGGGAGACGCCGCTGTAGGACTTGGCGCAAGTGAATAACATCGTTAATTAAGTCATCGTAGCTGGCATCTATACTGCCGTACTCGTCATGAATTACATTTCCTGGTACTTCTTTGGAGAATCGGCGCAGCTGACTGAATATAGGGTCATCTGGAAACAAACAGGGTGCAAGTTCAATTTGGTTCTTCAAACCAGGCATTTTTGCGAGGAAAGGATAGTTTTCTCGGGTATCAATCTTAGATCATATAAACGACCGAACTCGAAAATTGCAAAGCAATTTCTCTCCTTTTCTTTTTTATATTGCAGACAGTCTGAACGAAAAAGGGCTGGTGGAAATCATGGAAAAGGTTTGTGCAATTAAAGATATGGGTCCTCTCCGACCAGCTGCAAGGTAGCGCGAGCCATTAGAAAGACAGAACGTGCATCGGGTTCGCACAGCCAATAACTCAATGATGTGTGATCATCCATATTCGCTTGAAGTCGGCTTGTGGCTAACTAATGAGTTAGTTATCTGGTTGAGACGTAGAGAAGAACGGCGCTCAGTGGAGCCGTTGAAGATGTCCCAGCCCGTTTATGGTGGTGATACGAAGACGTGGTGTGATGGCGTTGATGGCGTCTTCTTGGCGGTACCAGAGGCGGTAATTTACATTGAAATGAAAATACAGCCTCTTCGCGAGAGGGCGTGCATCCCTGTAGTATGGCCCTGAAGGGCCACAAAACGCCCCAGCTCTAGGGCATGAAGCCCCCAATTCCAGGCTTGCCTCAGCTCGAACGTCAGCTCGTATTTTTGTGTCAAACTAGTTATGTATCAAAATTTCTGTCCCACCGAAGCGCTCAATAACACCACAAAAAAACACTTTTCCCTCGGGTTTGACGCCCACTGCGCAATATTCTGTACTTCATACGGAGTGTGCCGCCGGCCATCACACTCTGTCCTCCATACTATTATGCGATCAACTGTCGATCGTACAGTAACCTGATGTTCCCTGCAGAGACTATTGAGTGGTGTTTCTACCTACGGAGTTCAGAGTAGTTACAAAGCTCAAACATCACCGCATTCGAGAACAGAGTTATTCTTGCATATCTTATTCCCAGGAAAAATTACTCCCCCAAACATCGCAAAAATGGCGAAAGCAAGAAAGAGAAATAAAACTAGTATCACTAAAAAAGCTCATACCATATAAGAGCGCGAGGCGCGGTTCGGAGCTCTATCATGGACCTTTTTTCAACGCAGAGCAAGCTGCAAGGAATGTCAACAAGCCATCCATTCTGTATATTTTTAAATCCATTTTTCAACTCCTATACCTTCAGACAGGTCTTGATTTGGGATATTGCAGCCGCCACAACCCAATGATTATTTTTGCCCCAACACGTTCTAGGAAGCCCATCTATAAAAGTGACGGTGCCCCTCCATACCCTTGGTTTTCAGCGAATATAAAGTGCTACAGTGCACTTCCATACATTGAAAAAAGCGAAGTGTCCCTATTTTTATATTAAAGAGGACAAAATGTCACATCGGCTCAATGCAAAGGCTCGTAAGTATTAGGCCACATATTCTCCTTCTTGTCTGCACTGTACTATGTAAGGAGTGTAATTATATCGCGAAATTTATTTAGAACATTACATATAGCTGGTTGTTGCAAGAGGATTATCGATGATATACTCTGTACAGGAAGATGTGCTCGTCATTATCAGCGTGCCGCGTACGGAGTATTCAGCGGCCAGAAGCAGTCAGAAGTAACCACTGTACAAGCTACCTGTCAGCCACCGTCTCAAGGAATGCCTGCAATCAGGTAAGGGCCTTCTAAAGACCCGCAGCAGCGTGACTATATCACGAGGGAATCAAGAAAGGTAGAAGGACTAGATGAGGCGGCTTATATCGAGGCGTTCGGAGGTTGAGTTGAGGAGAAGAGGGGGGTCCTCGCTGCGCGTTCATGTTGGAGCTAACTTAATTTATCATTGGGCTTATGCGTGCTCTGAACTCCCATAGCTAAATCAATTGCTCTTCATCTTATTCATATTAGATGCTATAACCTGTTCAATTATAGGGCCAAAGTATGATGTTACTCTGAGGGATTATCAGGGAAATGGGAGGCAACAGATTATGGAGTAACTGGTGGAAATCAGTTCCCCAACATTAATTCTAGCGCCATTGAGAACTTTGTAAATGCCTTGATTCCCATGATATTTGGAACAGTAGCAATTCACTACAATCAACACTTAAACCCTCCTTAAAAATAGTCCGAATCTCGCCATTTAGTGATACAGGCGATGATCAAACGGCCATATAAAATTAAATACTTATTTATCGGTTCCCAAATATTTTCCTATGTTGGCCCAGCAGGGAATGTTGTACCGGAGACCTTTGGCATCCACTTTGCGGAGTCTTTGCAGTAGATCTCTGTAGAGACAGGCCAACTCTTAGAATCCTCAAGTGCAGCAGTGCGGATTATGTATTTGGACCCCAAAACGGTTTGTTGATGGTACACGTGGGTAGAGCAAGAAGAGCAGAAAAAGCAGTGAACAGGATTTCCTATCATTTTTTTTGTCAGTCTAACTATGTTTTGGGGGTGTAACAGCCAATACATACCAGAGTCTCCGCTATACGTATATTTGGTCAGATTCCCCTTTTTAAGGCTGAAATTTTGCTCTGAAATGACCTGATTCATTGTGAATTCTCCGCCATTTATCTCTTTACAGGCATTGCAGTGACTAGATACCAAGTCAGCTAATATCACTGAGGGCTTGTCTGGCTGGGCTAGAAGACAGAAAATGCGTTTTTGGGGGGGTGAAGGTACCAGAGAACATGGGATTTCTCCTGCTCCTCCAGTTTTACCGTCCATTCAGCTTGGCCACAGTGGCATCTCCCTTTTATGGTGGCCATTGCGGGGTAGTGGCGCAGGTATTTATGTGAAGTAGTATTTTGATACTTCGTACGGCGTACTCTGTATGGGGAGTCGCGTCGATCAAAATCGAAAAAAATGGGGCCTTGGGAGATGGGCGAGACTTTTTGTTTATACGCAACTTGGCCACAGTATCTGACGCTTCCCATCCCCAGCATGGCATTTGCGTCGCACAGACAGCAATCTCGTTCCGGTCGCCATGACGTCTTTTCCCATACTTTGTTGTAACTTTAGAATCGGAGTTTGGCATCTGATCAAGTCCGAATTTATGCAAGGGTTTGTTCAAAACAATGCAAGATATCACAATCCTGCAGGGAACGGGTTACAGCATGCCTGCTTCAGTCCCCCTATGAAGACCAAGAATAACAAGTTTAGATTAGGCTGAAGGTGCGAGAGATTATCAATCTCATTATCCCTGCGGAAAATTCATAGAATTAACCATAATCCAACAAACTGGCATGGCCTGCCACCACCGCTTCTTATTCCAAATTCTTAACCAACATCACAGCAGGCTGGGCACGGGGCGAATCGCCGGTTTACTCTCCTTGCTTTAGGATTAATGGCTAGAGAGCGAACCGGTCATGCAGCTGTGCAACGGCCAGATCCATAATACCTGGTCCCCTACGGGGTACTCCGTACTCAAACCTCAAACCCAACTCAGTTCGTGACAACAAAGAAGTGGCGATCGCGGCTCAGCTTAGAGTTTCCCGGAAAACTGAGTTTTGGCACGTGATTTCCCGAGAGTGGGTCCTTGCCAGCCAATTGGGCTATCGGGCATACCGATGATTATATAATAGGGTCCAGACTGTTTGTGAGCGGCGAATGGTTACATTAGAAATCGACAGCCAGAGCGGCGGGTGCAATGTCTCGGGGTTGTATAACTGTCATCCTCTGCTCAGAGTGGGGGCTTCGTACTCCCTCGACGCTCCTTGACTCTGATTGTGTGTTTTTATCCTTCTTCCGATCCCGTTTTGTACCACCCGAGTGAATGCTCCTCTCGATCTGGAGTATAGTCGCTGGAGCCTGTCTAGCGCCTAAATTCGTATCAGCACTCTTCAGATGCGTTATATAGCGCACATCTGCTTTGTTTAAACGAGACCCTCAGACCGTCATGACCGGCTCTAGTGGCAGACCAAGCAATACCGTGAAACCGGCACCCCTGGCTTGCTTAGAATGCCGCCGGAAGCATCTCAAATGCGACGGCGGGACCCCCGTCTGTGGAAGATGTCGCAGGGCCCAGTCAGAATGTCAATATACTCCTTCCCGGCGTGGGTATAAACCAAGCTCGAAGTCGTTGGTACATTTGTCAATAAGCGGCACTCCTAGCTGTGGAGCCCCTAATAGACCTGGGCCCTCTATAATAGGGTTGCCGCAATCGCCGTTTTTGACCCCAACGTTGCCCATTTCGAGACCGACACCTTCACTGTCCTTGGATAACATTGGACTATTGTCAGAGGATCGTATTCCTCCGAACTCGGCTACCTTTGGGGTACCGGATTCATCATGTTTGCAAAGAGACAACCTGCTTCTCGACTATTACTATGCCTTTTTTCATGAAGCACACCCTATTCTTCCACCGTCACATCTATTACATCGCATTTCACCAATCCCGACATGTCTCGAGACGGTCATAAAATTCATTGGGGCCCATTATACACAGAACCCTTCAGCACATCTATATAGAGATTCTGCCCAGGCAGAATTAACGGCCAACGCTGAGCCGTCCTTTTGCAAAGTTCAGGCGTTACTGTTGTTTGCGATTGTTCTGCATGCCCGTAATGAACGCGCGGAATCTGTTGATTTCTTTAGAGCCGCGGTTCAACTGGCATTTGGATTGGGTATGAACAGGGCCTCATTTGCATCTGCCATTGGTGGTGGTGATCCGGTACGTGTGGAAACGATTCGCCGTACTTGGTGGGAGTTATATATTGTCGACGGCCTATTTTCGGCGTTTGACCAGATGCCTTCAGCAATTAGTAACAATACGTTGATGGACACGCTCCTGCCCTGTGACGATTTGAGCTATTCTGCTGGCGTTTATCTTGCTGAAATTCCGACTGTGACTCAATTTTACGATCGCGTTTTTAATGAAGATGATGAGGATTTTTCCTCTTTCTGCTACGCCGTTGAGGCTACTCGAATATTTAAACGGACGCTTGATCTTGGCTACGCCATTGATGAATATCAGCTAGCAGACCAGGTTGAAGCCATTGATGCGAGCATAGGCAGTTGGTTTCACCATCTACCGAACTCAAAACGAAACGTTCTTTGCGCAGATAACACAATAGATCAGCTCCTTTTCCGAGCCCACATGATTGTCAACTGCGCTTTGATATACCTCCATCTTCCCCGCTCCAACCTTCTATCCACTCCAGCGGCTGCAGCCAGCATTCCATGCGCCCGCAGAAGCCTCTGCATTGCTGCTGCGTCATCCACAAACCTAACGCACGCCATCAAATCCATCAAAGCCGCCAACGATCTTTCCGCTCTAGCGGCGCTTCGGTTTCCGATCGTCAAACAGACGCCGTTTTTCATCTGTGGGCTTGTACTCAGTGCCATCGTTCAGCTCTGTGCCTGCTCAGTACGAGCATCGACGTGCCTGGAGCCACGCCGTGATCGAATTGCGCTGATCATTGGTGAGCTCAAGGCGCTCAATCCGACGTGGCCAATTTCGCAATTGGTCATGAAACAGATCAAGTTAGTGGCAAGAGAGGTGCTGGAGATTGGGGTACAACAGCCGATGCTTTCCCAAGGGGAAGACCAGGGCCCCGATATCAGTTCGATCGTCAGCAGTGATGTGTGGCTTGGTGATATTCCAATTGAGCAATGATTTTGCAGGCTGGGAGTATCACTATTTCTTTTTTGTATTACTAGACCAAGCACTCTTATAGAGCCCTTCCTATCTCGGGAACCCTTTCCAGATACTCCGTACCACATTCATATACGGGGATCTACATACATATCAATACTTAATATCTATTGGCCAGGTTTTCTCTTCTTCACATCTGACGTGTCCCCACTCAAGAAATAGCTTCGGCATATCCGAGGTAATGGCTCATAACCGACCAGGTAATACGGCAAATTTCCAAGGCTGAGTTAAGCTCGCCAAGCCCAGAACCCTCCTGCAGTTCTAGATTTCTTCGGGAAATGATGTATGAGAAAGCTTAGCCTAGTAGGTGGTTGTTAACCGTTCATATAAAATGAGAGTTGACCCGTAAAAATGATGCATATGATCGTAGGTTTAAAGATTCCAACTTTTTCTTAGAGGCTCATTTCGCGTATTAATTGTATTCATGGATTAAATAAGTGGTATCACAAGTGGCCAGGCACTTAAAAGACAAACTAATAACCAAGAGTGGCAAACAATTGCTGCCTATTTTTTTCTCAGTGTCAACATCGCCCATCCGAACAATCGATATACTGCGGTTATGCCGATCAAAATTCCGACCCATTTTCCTTCTCTCCCGGTTTTGTATCCATAGGCACGAAGTACACCAGTTCCAGCAATCTTGCACTGATCAGCAAGTTCGCTGGGATACATGCACTGGCATCCTGGGCCGCAGTTGTACGTTCGTTCCGCAAATTCGTTCACCATCATTCCCTGGAATACGTAGGCTTGGTAGTCGATATAATGGAAAACGTATTTCCAAAATACATTGAGAATAGTTGGAGAGACGAGAAACCCTCCAACGCTCATCCATAAGCCATTCGCGAAGGCGGTGAGCGCAAGGGCAATTACGAAGTTAGGAAACATGGAGGCCATAAGGACGACAAGGGATTCGGCGGCAAGAAGATCAAGGAAAAGCCACATCACAAAAGTGAAAAATGGCTCTGCACCATTTCGGAAGTTGACAAGCCAGTATGCAACGACTGAAAATAGTAGGGTAATCAAAACTGTCCGCTTATTAGGAAATAATAATATGGAACAGCCAGAGATTTATGCACTCACATAGGAATGGAATTCCAATGATGAAGTTGGAGATAACAAAGGATGCTGCACCATAAAGGCCATTGGCCCTTTCTTTCACAAACGTTGACCTATCCTCAAGGAATGAAGGCACGTATGCAACGGCCATGAAGGACATAAAAGCAGAACCAAAAAACTGCTAGTGTGTCAGCAATATACCCATTGCATATCCCATGATGTGTACATACCAGGGCGTTAATAAATGGCTGGATATGTTCTTGGTTATCCCCCAGTCGTAGCCAAACAGTGCCCATCATGATGGCCAAACCTTTCTTCAATTAGCAATCGCTCAAGGGGCCGTTGTAGGAAGGCAGCATACCAAGATACATTGCAATCCGAATGCCATAGGCAACGACATCCCGGTAACTCTTTATCAGTGATCTATGAAGTAAAGTAAGGATTGTCATTAAGAAATTGACCTTCCCACCCTTTGGGATGGGGATGTCTTGATATTTCTCCGATACTCCAACTAGTGAATCTACCATATTATCGACGTTCGACGCAGCTGAAGAGCTAGCCCAGGTCTCATGAATTCGATTAAGTTGGGTGTCCGCCGCCTCCCTATCAGTAGCAAAATCCGTGCTAACCAAATCAAGAACGAACTCAGCAGGGTTGGTTTGGATGGGCATGGGATACCCAATTCCATCGAAGTAATGTTTCATCTGCGTTCCTGCTCCAAAATAGCATGTCTTTCCAGCAGACAATATAAGCAGCTTGTCGAAGGTCTCAAAAGTAGCGGTTGACGGTTGGTGGATGCTTGCAATTACAATAAGCTAGAAAAACTATAGTGAGTTCCGGAAGGCAACACAGGGAGAAATAAAAATAGGCACACACCTTGTTTTTCATAGCAAGATTCTTGACAAAGGACATGATCTCGAAACTGGCAGTGGAATCCAATCCGCTCGTAGGCTCGTCCAGAAACAAAATCTTTGGGCGAGTAATAAGTTGGCTGGCAACACTGACACGCCGTTTTTGACCTCCACTGATGCCCTTCTGGATTGGCGTTCCAATGAGAGTTTTCGCTTGATTCTGTATACCAAACGCATTCATAAGGCTGTTAATACGCTGCAAACGCTCTTTTTTTGTAATTGAACTACTTTTTGTTAACAGGTAGTTGATATGACAAGATTTGGAACGGGGCTCACCTTGACAAAGACAACTGGGCGGCGAAATAGAGAGTCTCCTCGACAGTCAAAGACCCAATGAGGACATCCTCTTGCTCAACGTAGGTGCTGATGTGCCTGAAAGTATCCAACGGTAGTTTCTTCCCGTTTACAAGAACTTCACCTTCAACATCGGCTGTCCCGAGGCTGCTGTTTCGATGCGCGAGGACATTTAGCAAAGTGGTTTTACCACTACCCGAAGGGCCCATCAGAACCATGAGCTCCCCTACCAAATAAGGAATTAATATTAATTGGATGAAAAGATATCCAGACGCAGACCACAGCTCACCTTGGTCGACATAACCAGAGGCATTTTGCAGAATGCTCTTTTTATTTCCACTTTCGCGGTCCTTGACGTTGACTGTGACATTCCTCCATGCAAAGCTGCAGACATCATCGTTCATAAGAAATCCATGTTCGTTTTGGTGAGACTCGAGGTCTAGGCTGGCATTTGGATCATCTGCAGACATCTTGGAAGAAACTCGACTGCAGCTCGGAGGAAAGTGAGATTCCTTCAGTTGGGAAAATAGCGTTATATAACACGAGGCCTAGATCGAGGGGCTGTTCCCTGCCTGTCCTCTCGTTAGTTAATAATATTTTATCTTCAGTTAGAAATGCCGCCGAAGCGGCTCGGGATCCCCACCCAACGTCGGCGAACTGCGGCGACCACCAAAACACAGGAAAACGAGGGTGCTTCGTACATAAAAAGAGCGAGAAATGAGGGTTTTTATTTTGAGAATATCGCTCGTCAGGGGCAACCTCGTGGCCGAGACCGACCCCGGCCAGGCGGCGCGGCAGATTCAGCATGTTCTGTCAGTGTCAAGCCCAAATGTGATGCGTTGTTTGGGACACGGCGACCACGTCCACCCAGCCCAGTTCAAGTGCTCTTCATGTGAACTGCCGGGGGGGTGGAGCTCGAGTGCCCGGAAGCTTAAAAGCTCAGCCGCGTTGTACAAAAAAGGCCGATGCTGAACCCCGGACGGTTACAGCGACAAGGAAGTGCTGTTTCAAGCTCGCTGTGCGAACATGTTCGGCACGGAACATTGCTGGCCTGCGCAAATTTCCAGCACAGTTGTTAAGTCTGCAGAGAGACAGACGCGAATTGGAATCTTAACCTGTTCGAGTCGTGCAGTCCAGCAGTAATAATAATGGTATGCAGACATCGTGGACCCAATAGCGATCGAAGACAGTGTCATCTGTCTGGCTTAAAGAGCGGTGACCTCTGGGAGAACTAGCTAGTTAACCCACTAACTACTTAACCCGGGTGCTCCCTGCAAGCCCGCGCGCTTGAATGGCCCATGGGACTCCAGTCGTTCTCTCGTGGCAGATGGGCTCCCTTTTTTCGGCGATGATGAAGGTTAAAATGCACTCTCGTGGACCGTGCTCTGGCGGGGCTGAAGTGGCTAACTAGCATCATGATCATTGCAAAGCCTAAGGACGCTCATCCAGAACCACCAATTGGACGCCACGGATGCATGTCGACATCGCTACCATCAGTGTTTTTGTTGTTATGCTCGTCCTTCAGGAGAAACACAGAGTATTAGTCCTTACATCCAAATCCAAATTTTGGGTGTGGGAGAAAGGTGCAGTCTCCGCTCGAGGCTACAAGCCTGATCCATGACTGGTATGATTAGTTGTTTTTATTCCTTGATTCGAGCTACGATCTTCTAGCCAAGTCGTCAGCGTGAGGAGTGGAATAAGTGGGTTATCTTTCGGAGCCTTGTACCGTACAGAGTACGGAGTACTCCGTAAAGAGAGAAGTCATGCCTTTCAGGGCGTCAAAGGCACTGCTATCACCACCAATGACAGCGACGCGTGTCGTGTTTTAAAACGGACCAGCAGCCACGAGGAAAGAAAGCCGTGGACCTCTCGTTTCAATGTCCCAGCCATTCCGCTTTTGTGCAGCGTCGGTTCTCATTTGTCGACCTGAAGATAGCGGGTGTTGACGAGGGCTGGGAGAACTGTCAAATGCGAGTTTCACAACATAACTACCTGTTATGGAGTGAGCGCAGGCACAAGGGTGCTTTAATCAATGTGTGCACCCTCGTCAGACCCTTAAGGCTTGTGGTTGCACAAACTGCTCCGTGCGCATAAGACACTGAAACAGTTTATGGTGCTTGTACTCCGTACTCCGTATGTACTCCGTAGTGAGATGAATGTGAGTGAACGTGATTTATGGTGCCTGCGACTCCAAACTCCTAAGACACATTCTCACATCAAATTGGGGCCTACTATGAGGCCTATTCCTCTCAACACAGGAAGGAGCATTAACAAACATGATATATTTATTTCAGTGGTTAAGTCATATTTACAGAGAAAGGAAAAATAAGCTACAAGGGGGATAACACCAGGGTCCCAAGTTTAGGCCGCTGAGAAGGGTCATTAAGAGAATCTATAGAATCATGCCTAAATGCGAAGCAGCGAATTCAATGCTTTTCTTGCTCCACTGGTGCTTCTCCTCGCCAAACTTCCTGTTCTTCTCCTCGTAGAGCTTCATGAGAAGCTCTCTTGATTGAAACAATCCATTGTTGTTGTATCTAATGCCGTGGTCGGAGTCCGTGAACCACGTAGAATCCATTTTGGAGGGAGAGACTCTGGCACCCATGAGTAGGTCTGATAGAGCAGCAGCGTTCTGGAAGTGGACATTGTCATCGCCAGTGCCGTGCTGGATGAGGAAGCTTCCTCGGATCTTCTTGAAACCGTCAGGCTTGCGGACGGCGCTGGCGTTGTAGCCGGCCTGGTTCTGCTCGTAGGTCTTCATGTATCGTTCGGTGTACATACTGTCGTAGAAACGCCAGTCGGAAACTGGGGCAGTGATAACACCGAACGAGAAGGCGTCGCTATCAGCCTCAATGGTCTTCGAGGTCAAGTAGCCGCCATAACTCCAGCCCCACATGCCAATGCGCTCCTTGTCCACGTAGGGGAATTTCGAAAAGGCCTTGGCAGCAAAGATTTGATCCTCGGGTTCTAAGGAACCGAGCCTCTTAGCGACGGAGGCACGGAAAGCCCTGCCTTGGAAGCCAGTACCACGGTTATCGACGGTCAAGGTGATATACTCGAGTTCTGGGTCGGATGCAATATATGCATTCAAGTTGAAGGCCTGGAAGACCTTGCTGACTGTTTGAGAACCGGGTCCGCCATATGGGGTGAACAACACGGGATACTTCTTTGTAGGGGAGAAATTGGCTGGGAGGCGCTGCATGACGTTCAACTTCTCGCCAGATGGCAGGGTGATGTCGAAATAATCAATTCTCGGAAGCTTGTACTCCTTGAGCTTTTCAACAACATCGTTGTTGCTTCGGAGCGTTCGAACGACCTTGTTCTTCTCCACCGCGACAAGATCCTGGTATGGCACATTAGGGCCGCGGTAAGAGAGAATATAGTATCCGCCTTTCGGTGAGAAAGACGCTCCATAGTAAGCTGCCTCACGGTCATTGACCAGAGCTTCCATCCTCATCGTACTGTAAGAAACAGAGTACAGGTGGCGTTCAGTGCTGTGATGTTTGGTAGAAAGAAAATAAACCAGCTGACGCTCTGTGTCAACATGACTGATGCTAACAACTTCCCAATTGCCACGAGTGAGCTGAACGGGCTTTCCATTGCCGACAGGGAAGAGATAAATGTGAGACCAGCCGTCCATGTCAGAAATGTCCACATAGTAAGTCTCCTTGGAGGTGCTTTTGCTACCCTTTACCTTGCCGACATATCGAATGGCCATGCCATTATCAATCCACCCATCAGTGCCATCGCGGTCTCTAACTACAGAGCCCTTAGCGGAGCTAGTATCAACCAAGACGACCTTCTCCCTGTCCTGGACACGGTTGAAAACACGAACGGCAACCTTATCGTGGCCTTCAGTCAACCACGACACTTCCCCAATAATCAAATCATCTGGCTTGAAAGCATCCAGCGACACCGTCGTGCTCTTTTCAGATGCGACTTCGAGGACACGGAATTGGACAGTTGGGTTGGTTTGCGATACTTTCGGATAGCGGAGCTCCAGTTCCCTAGGGTATGGTGGGGCAAACTTTTGGTTGTTCATGTAATACGGCACTCTGAAGGTGGGAACGCCAGTCTCATCAGTTCTCATGTATGCGAGCTGTTCACCATCGGGAGAGAACCACAAGGCATAGTGATTGCCAAAGATTTCTTCCTCGTAAACCCAGTCAGGAACACCATTGAAGGTGTCTGGGCCGCCGTCTTTTGTGATTTGGCTGGATTTGCCGTCTTTCCAGAGGAAGAGATTGTTGCCACGAACATAAGCAATAACATTTCCTTTGGGACTCCAGGCAGCATACTGGATATCGGCTTTTTGATCTGGGGTCAACGGAGCAAGCGATCCCGTTTTGATATCCATAACGTGGTAGTTAGCAAAGAATGAATGGCGATATTGCTTTCGATAGTCTGTGGCCCATAAAACAGCGGAGAGATCGGGTTTGATGAAGAATTCTCTGTTTCCTTGGGGGACTTTGTCGGCGGGCACCAATACCTGCGAAGTATTTGTGACGATGCTTTGGATTCTGAGCGCACCGCTATCATCCATGATCACGTATTGCCCATCTTCCTTGCCCGCAATCCAATTCACGGTATCGGCACGGGGCGCGATCGCGCGTCCAGTGACAGTCTCATTGTATGCTAACAGCTTGTTGCCGCCGCCCCGAGGTGGGTTAGGCTCACGAGGCGGATCGATGGCCAGGCAGAGGCCTCCGAAGACGAGGAGGGAAGAGAGCTAGAATATTCAATTAGCCCTGCCGGGCACATTGTGGACTGCATTCACGAGCCCAAATACCTTCATGTTTAAACGAGTGTAGAGTGAACAGGATCAATTAAGTATCCCATTCGAAAGACAACACACGGCAACTCTCTTCGCAGCAAATTGAAATCCGGACGGTATACCAGATCTGCCTCCGCGACTGCTGGGTTCAGAACAGATCCATGGTGGAGTGAAAACCCGGGCGCCCCCAGCTTTATCAACTCTCTATGATAATAACGAGTTCCACGCTGGTCGACGGCACAGCTCCACCGAGCCTCTGTCACCACTGGTCATCATCAAACTAAAATCACCCGGCGAGCCTTGGCTAATCGGACAGAATGGAGAGGATGTAACGTCAAGTTCCGGCACTGGCATTTTTCCTACCAGCAGGCGGCATGTCTAGTGATGCCAGCGAGGATAGCGGCGGAAATTTACAGGGCCAGTGCTATAATTATTAAGACAACCAAGCCATCCATGTTACTGGCAGGCCCTTGTCTGGAGCAACCAAAGCGCAGACGCTGGGTTGTGAGCTGCAAGCCGAGGATTTTCGCCTGTGCAAGAACTAAAAACGCGTCTACTGGCTTCTGCAGCCCTCCCAGGAACCGTTCATAGGCTAGGAGGCAATAAACATTAGCCGTCCTCTGGGTTTCTCGCCGGCGCGTGTAACGTTATTTTCCGCCGTATAAACGAACAACTTACTTGGTCTCTCGCGCCTCGGGTTTCCTTCAAAAGAGGCGAGTCATGCGTTGCCTGGGCTGGAGAGCGATACGAGATGCTCTCCAGGCCACCGTGGAATTCGACTTGGGGGATCGTGACATTATTATTATTATTGCCGATGCCCAGCATCCGCAAATCCTACCTTGTCTCTGCGCTCATCTCGCTCACCCCAGTCTCATTTTGACTTTCCTGGGGAACTGTCGCCCTGATCCTGGGGCCCGTGGCAATCGGCAGATAGCTGGGTGAAGAGAATTCCGTCTCTCGCCCTGTAACTGCTATTCCTTTGCAGAGAAGTCAGAAATACGGAGTAATCCCATCTTGGTTTCCTCCTTGTTTCCCAGAAAGTCCCTCTTCTTACACGACCCAAGTTATTATGCTATGGTAACCTTAAAAAATACACACAAAAGTTCTGCGGAGCGCTCCGTCGATCATATGCGAGCTCTCCCATGGTTCGCCCTCGCAAGGATTTCAACTGTCCCTTAACCTTGTGACACACCAACTCTATCTTGTGATAAGAGGTTGATTCCCGGCCCATCGGCAACTTCACGACCGACTCTCCCACGTTGATTTTTTTTAGAAATGAGGCAATTGGTACAGAGTCATGCTGAGTTTACTACTACACCATGTATTTATCTTCGACACTAGAGGCGTGGCTACCAAAAAAATGATAGGGATCAGAGTCCGTCTTTTGCGGAGGAGTCAGACCCCCGTTAAGTGGCATCATTACGAGTGGACTGCGGTTTTAAAAAACGAGGCCATATTAAAGTCGCCAAGGGGAAGAATCTACGAGGGCCACCTGGTCTGAAGATGGGAATTCTCACAAACCACAGCGAACAACACCCCGAGCTCCGATGATAGAAGTATTCCGATGCTGATCGCATATTCTTGAACGAACGGAGTTGGACACATGGCCCGGCCATGCTGCACGCAGCTCGAAGCAGTGCTCGGTCTCAGGTTTTTCTACACTCCACGAACAATGAGAAATAATCGAGACACACGCCACACCGCAACTGTAGGTACATTTTCTAATACCGAAAACTACCGAGTCTCCATGGATATCACATAATAAGCCGTATAGAGACATCCAGCCCTTGAGGGGTATCACACATTTGCGCGGGTTCGGGAAATAGCGATTACCAGACAAAACGATGGCGACGCTATGTTCGCGAGTCGTGCTCAGCCATCTTCAGACGGAGTTGTCGCTAGGCGGCATTGGGCGCCGGAATTCGCTCTGTAGGGGCCTGTGAGATGAAGGGCCAACTACTGGAAAGTTTTGAGACAAACCATAGCCTCGACTTCAACCTTTGCTTCACCTCATTCCACGGCGTTGTCACTGCATTGCCCACCCACTGCCAGGCACCGGAATCGCCAACAGGTTTTACCCAAGAGTCCCTGAACCGTCGTCGACACTCAACCTCTTTTAGTAACCAGTCTTCGTCGAAGCCAGTCCATTCACCGGCGACCTCCAGCAGATTTGGGTAAAGAATTGGGAACAGATCATGGCGGAGGACGTGGTCTAGGGACTCGAGGCTCATGTCAAGAGGCCGTAAAGCGGCGGCGATGTCGTTATAGTCATCGGTAAGGAATTGTGTGTTTAGAAAGAGACGTGAGAGAGCGACACATGCCGTTTTTTCGGAGTCAGTCAGCATGGTGAGCTGTGGTCTCTGGATGGGATGGTGTTTCCATGCAGAGGCATGTCCAGCATTCACCTTACTGTGCTTAGTTTGTTACTGGCGTGTTGATCATCAACGCATTCAACAAGCATTCCAATGAGGGGGCACCAGCCTCGGGCAGCGCTTTCCGGGCCGGACTTATAATTTTCCTAAGCCCGTTCCAACCTTGGTAGGAATCCGACCTTCAGAGTACTGATTTTTGAGGCTCCCAACTGTCCACAATGCAAACTTCAGTGAAAGGAACCATTTATAGCTAAATGCTCCTCTGAATAGCTTTTTACTATGATACCCACGCCAACCCTGCTTATTGACTGCCTAGGCTTCTTTATTATCTGAAGCATAACGTTATGCTTCTGGGTAAGACGGATACGAGTCAATCGCATTTCTGGTTATTTTGTATAAGGCATAACAACATGCTTGCTCCTCGTGCGAAAAATCCACACTTTCATCACTTGATGATGTGGGTTTTCATGTCATCGAAATGTATTCATGCGTAAGGCTAAATGGGCTTGAGCTATATAAACCTGTCTCGCATCCTGTCGATCCGTTTACTTTGATTTTGAAGACAGAAAATTTCTCCCAACCCAAAATCATAGTTATCGAGAAACTACTTGCGTCTTTCCTTTCACTTCTCATCGAGCACTATGCAGGCTAACAATAACTGGACCTACCACTCGATTGCTGGTGCCTTCGGGCTTAGCTTGCTACCGCATGGATACTACTTTTTCAAAATGATGCAAGCCACTAACTGGAAAACCTCAAATCTCACGTTCGTACTTTATCCATGGGTGTGCTACCACTATTTCGAGACTCAGCTAACACAAAATATCGCTCTCAGACCCCGCGACAACCTCAACTCCCTCCGTGAAAAGATCCCTGCAGATATCTGGGCCAAACTCTGCCGCGCTCGTAGCGCTCATCTAAATGCATTAGAAGGTTTTCCTCTATTTGCTTCTGCAATGGTAATCGGCAACGCATCGCCTGCCCTATCGATTTACACCATGCTCACAAAATATTTGTAGATCGCGAGCAATATCGCAAATATTCCTGCTAAGGAACGAAACATCTTGGCAGCGGAGTATCTTGGTGTGAGATTATTGTATACAGTGGTATACATTGGTGCAAGATCTGAGCTCATGAGTTATCTGAGAACTGGTCTATATGGTTGGAGCATTAGCATCCCAATATACTTGCTAGTCAAAGCGGGAAATAATACGCTATCAGGTGGAAGTATCTAGTTCGATAGATTAGAATACGTGAAAGTAGTGTACAGAGTACGGATTAGAGATCAACCCAGTAACAGGACCAAATCAGCGGATGCGTAAATTGTCTCATACCACTTAACTCGTGTGACTAAGGGGTACCCAATGTTTATGGTTATACGATACGATCATATCATCAATATAGTGGGGAGGGTATTTTTATTTGATAATCTACCTCCATATATCCAGGCCACAACTCCATATTTAAAGGTTTGACACGATTATCATTATGTTGCAGCCCAACAATTTTAAAGGAGCGAGAATGACAGGCAAAAAAAAAAAAGAAAAAAAAAAGAAAAACACAGCATTGATAGCAGAAAGCGAAGCAAAGAAGAGACGGAGATGACAGCGGGTCAATTTGTTACTACTACTTATTGAACCGAGTTCAAAATCCACTATCCAACACATAAGACCCTGCCGAAGAAAAAAGTAGTAGCGGAAACGACATTATCCTTCAACATCCTTGGGAGGGACTGGCTTCTTTTGGCGCCACATAACGATGCTGCACGTGGCGGACAGCGCAAAGAGAATACTAAACAAGATATTTTAGCATTCACTTTTGATAAGCCAAGAGGAAGAGCCAGTAAAATACATACCAGAGAGCAATACTCAACCCCCAAATGGATTTCATTTCAAGGCAGCTTTGCTTTGAAGTGCCGATCCAGTGTGTATAACTGATTTTATCACCATTCTTGGCAAGAGAGTTACCCAGCGCGGCGGTGAAGGTATAAGCCGAAGACATACTGCTCGCAACCCTGCCAAGAATGTTACAATTGACGTAAGACAATGGTTTTCCAACGGTAACAGCAACAACAACCACAGCAATAAGGTGAAGGCCGTCCAGCCCAGTACTGATTAAGAATGGGAGGATGTCATCGAGAAAGAGAATGAATGTGACGACGCAGTACAAGACTGCAATACAGGTCTATAAGGCGGCGGTTAACGTAAATATTCCCCTTTTCTCTTTGGATGAAAACAGGCTTTTAAAACATACCACACTAAGAGTACCCACAAGCACTTCCGGAGGATTGGTATTGTTCGAGACCATCTGGGAAATGAAGTTTGAAGTCATGCCAATAATTGCAATTAAACACACGGCCTGGAGAATGCGGACAATTTTGAATGTCAGGCCGATCGCACCGTATTGAGTACCAGCCATTATTGCGGTGTTTATGGCGAGAATAGAGCGGGTATAAGATGAATAAAAGTCGGGTGATGTTGTATTGGAATATTTTTGATAAGAACTGACAAGCGGAAGATGAGAATGGCTTTCCAGAGCCAGCAAAAATAAGGAAGGTATCTGAAGAAAATGGAAAAAGTCTGAAGAATTAAGAAATGGAAAGTCTGTTTAACTTTCAAATTTTTGAGGGAGCAAGTAAAGGAGACAGGAGGGATAGGAAACAGAAAAGGAAAAGGAAAAAAAATGTTAAGGAAACGACTTAAAGGAAACAAAATGCTTTTGCTTGTCTGATTGCTATTGAAGAAAACAAAAAGAGAGAGAAGCCATCAGGATGACAACCAATCCTTATATACATCTCAAGACAGGATATTTCCAAGCTCAAGGGTGATGAAAGTCTGTTTATTTTAGAGACTTTTCTCATAAAGCTGTTTGTAGGTATTTGGATCTTCACTGAAGATGCATCGGGTGATCCAATCAGAACATGATCAGGTCACACCCTCTGGAGATCCAGGCACACAGACATCAAGCCGAGACGAGGCCAGAACAAAGTCCACATACAGGGGTAAAATAGCTGAAATGATGTTCTCCACCCCGGCGCTTGCAGCTGGCCCGAGCCTTGGGGAAACTTGATGTTATCCAAACAATCCACGGTGCATCCTGGGCTTTGAAGCCGTAGTGGGCCGGGATCCGGGATTCCGTGTTAGAGAATGCCAACGGCGCCCTATTTTTGGACCCGCTTCCCTGGAGAGCCTAGAACACAAGGAGATCTAAAGCTTTGCGAGAAAGGTGTTTGCCAGATGGTGGAGACCTACGGGAAGCTCTCAAACAGGCCGGCTCAACAAAATGTCACTTTGGGGGCTAGCAACAGGAAAAGGAAAACACCTTGTGTTTCGGAGACCGCATATCAGGGCAGAGTCCAGAGTGATTGGAGGGTATATTTGGATTCTCAAAGTCTCCCAGCGAGATTGCTTTGGCATGTTGGATGTTTGATGATACGGGGCATCCTGATTGGCCAGAGCAGCGCGTAGGGAAACGCGATATTTCATTGGTTCATTGGTAGTTAGTTCACTAGTTAACTATCGAACCAGCTTAGTCATTTGATTACTAATAAATAGTGCCCAACATCTCGTTCATTGAGTTCAACTTCACGAATTTCCATCGCAATAATACGCAGGCTGTCATGAATCCTCCTCATTCATCCTAATTCTAAGTCATCCCTTATGCTTCATTTGTGCATTGTCCACCACCGCATCGTCGGACTGCCGCGTAGTATAGATCCGCGATTCTCTGGCATTCACTCCTCTTCGCTCCACTGTGTTTACCACACTCCTTGTACAGATCGGCCTTGAACATATCATCAATTCGCAGTCTAAGTGGTTCGGTGAATCGCTGCTGCTTTTTGGTATTGCGGTATCCGAAATCGTGTCGCTGGCATGATGGGGCGAAGTTGAACCCAGCCGGTCTGTCTGGAGATGCCGTGCAGCCGTCGGAACTCCAGTCGAAGCAGGATGGGTTCTTGCTGTTACGGTTTCCTTGAAAGACCTCGATGGAGTCGCTGAACATATATCGGTCTGTCAACGCGATGGTGCATGCATCTGCCTTCTTAGTGAGCACGGCATCCCCCGTCTCGACCGGTACGGCGAGCGCGAGAGAAGACAGCGCGAGAATCACGAGGGGCTGCGCGGTAAACTTCATGGTGGGTTTGTTATTCCTTTTGAAAACGGCTTTTAAAAAGTGATAGAAAATGGATCTTCAAGACTGGGGTCTATTTTGACTCAAGTATGAGGTGGATCTTTGGCCTTTTATGTCTTGACCTGTACGGAGTAGAGCCAGCTCGAATTACATACCACCGTTATATCCTGTCTCTTCAATTGACAAGCAATTACTTTGATAATTGAGAGCACTGCAATTAGCCCGATGATAGTGATCGTCGCAATGCAACCACGTGGAACAAATTTTTTTCCTGAATTGCGCTTCTAATCCTGTCCAAGGCAGACAAGCTGGCATTAAGTATTACATAGTCCTCGTATCTGCATGATTGTGTTGTACCCGGCTGTGTGTGGTGGTCATTCCCCAAGTCCTTAAGCCTGAAGATTCTATATTTGTCACCTACATAAAATTTCCAAACTAGTAGTAACGACTATGTATTTGCTATGTGTGATATAGTTATTGCTGGAATGTGGAAAAATCATTAACGACTCAGTGCCTTGTTAACCCAGACTTCCTATTGTAGTATTGGACGTGGGTGTCAACATAGTTACATAGTTTGGCTTGAGATGCAAAATTTTTCCACCCCCCGAAATTTTCTTCCAATCCTCGAAAGGTGCACACCTCTACCACTCAAATTTCGAATGTTTAAAATGGCTCTTCGGCAAACCCCTGTTACTACATTAGGTACAGCGTTACTGGGATTCATTTGACAGTTGTCCATATGAAGTTCTCGGATTTCCTGGACGCCATCGGCGACGAGGTGGAGGATGCGGAGGAAGGTGGGCATCAACCCTGCTGTCTGGACAGGATGCAGCCGAGTAACGAGTTTCCGTTATGCTGCAGAAGCGTTTCTTCTCTTCTCACAAGATATCCCTTCGCAGAACCTCGGCTTCGTCGACTCCCAGTCACACTCCGTTGAGATATCTGTGCACGATCGAGACCTTACGATTCGCCAGTCACCAACGTTACTCTCTTCCAGGCGGGCGGGGGGGACTACAGGGGCAGGTAAGCTCTCCACCCCGTGTACCTTTGCAGCAAAAGCGGGTAGCAGATGAGGGTAGTTACAGTATGCTGACTGCAACTGAGCTGTGTGCGAAGCATATCAGTTCTTTGGAAGATCACTCCAATATTTGCACAGTGGCTTTGCCAGCAAACCAATATTCTCTGGGAAGCATGCGTTCTTCGTCAAGACTCTTCAGCAATAGAACTGGGATGCGGCGTTGCGGGCGTCCTGGCGCTTTCGCTCGGGCCTTCCATCAGACTGTATACCGCTACAGACCAGGAATATGTCCGGAAGCTGTTTCAAGAAAATAAGGAGCAAAACTATCAGCCTGGATCGGGATACCACGCTGCAAAGCAGGCGAGCGCTGCTCATTCCCGTAATACTAATCATCCTCGTTTTTACAAATCGAATAGCAACACTACGGGCCGCCTTTCCGCTGATTCCCACTCCCGCTCACGCACTAGACATCATACCCATTCAAATACCCTAAGTAAAAGTCCTAGTTCTCGTTCCGGGAAGTCAAACCAGAATATTCACTTCATGCCACTTGATTGGGAGACCGATACTGCGTCTGATCTAGTGGCTACTGCTCCAGATGGGTTTGACGTGCTTCTCGCTTGTGACTGCATCTATAATGATGCGCTTATTGCTCCATTTGTGCAGACCTGTGTGGATGTGGCGCGTCTTCGCCCTTCGCTCGGAGTGTCCGCAGCTCAGGGATATGGTGACGCGCTTTTGAAGCCCACAGTGTGCATTATTGCTCAACAGCTACGCGCCCATGAAGTATTCGAGAGTTGGCTTCGCACATCATGTGCCGACTTTGCGGTATGGAGGGTGAAGGATGAGGTTTTGGGGACGGGGCTGGGCACAGGATCAGGGTATGTTGTTCATGTCCTTGTGCTGAGAGAATAGTTTGCAGCGAGCTATGCTTGAAATGTCGATACAATTAGAGTGCTGTCTTTCCAATTCGGTCAATGATATCTAGGTCATTCTACTACGCAAAGGACTTCGTGCAGTGGTCTATTTAAACAACCAAGCTTTGGAATTCATCAAAAAATTTTGTTTCATTTGTAAATATACATCAAGAGAGGAGAATTCCTAGTTCAGGGGCACCTTCGACCTTGCTCAAAAGCTGAAGACAAATACATGAACTTTCAAGATCATAGAAAAAAAGGTCCGCCATGGTTAAATTATAATACGGGGGCATATAAAGTATCAATCGATCTTTTTCGACCGGGCCTAGCCTGACCCCTCTTTTTTGCCGATCAAAAATATGCCCGAAAACTCCCCTCCCGTCCGGAGCCCATGCGTAAAGGATGTTCAGATGACAAAAACAAGACATGCTGAAGTTTGACAGAAAATTCACCAACATCATAACTCCAACACCTCGTGGATGTATAACCCTGTAAATATCGGCGAAGAAAGACGAAGAAGTTGTATGGTTACAGGTAAAGGTCAAGAGAAAATAATCACAAATCAAGGGGAAATGAAAAAAAGGAGCTAGATGTAGAAGACAAGGTAAAGAGAAGTGTTAAAAGGGAGACATTAGGTAAGAGTAAATGCATTACTTTTGGGAATTTCGCACTTGTCCTCAGGAACGCTTAAGGTTTCTTCTCCTCTCCAGAGGCTTCGCCAGCCTGGGATTGTTGCTGGTTGTTAGTGTCTTCTTGGCGAGCCTTGTGCATCTTGTCAAAGAGGGTCAAGCTAGCAGTCTGGAGCTCATCGACCTTTTGCTTGAGTTCTTCGGCAGTAGCAGTTCCTTCACCAGACTGGTTCTTGGCAACAAACTCACGAAGAGAAGCAATCTTCTCCTTGATCTGGTCAGCCTCGGTCTTGTCAAGGCGGTCCTCGAATTCCTTCAGGGCCTTCTCGGTATCATTCAAAACGCTGTCAGCACGGTTGGCAGCCTCAATAGTAGCTTTGCGCTCGCTATCCTGGGCACGATATTTCTCAGCGTCCTCAACCATATTTTGAATTTCCGAATCGGAGAGACCGGAGCCGGAAGCGATGGTGATAGATTGATCCTTGTTAGTGGACTTGTCTTTAGCGTGCACGTGAACAATGGAGTCAGCATCGATATCGAATGTGACCTCAATTTGTGGAACGCCGCGGTGAGCAGGAGGAATGCCAACAAGCTGGAAGTTTCCAAGGAGCTTGTTATCCTTGACGAGTTCACGCTCGCCCTGATAAACTTTGATTTCGACAGCAGTCTGGAAGTCGGCGGCAGTGGAGAAAGTCTGGGATTTCTTTGTAGGAATGGTAGTGTTGCGGTTGATCAATCGAGTGAAGACACCGCCGAGAGTTTCAATGCCGAGAGAGAGAGGAGTGACATCAAGAAGCAAAACATCGGTAACTTCACCGGCAAGAACAGCACCTTGAATGGCAGCGCCAATAGCAACGGCCTCGTCTGGGTTGACAGATTTAGCGGGGTCGCGTCCGAAAATGCTCTTGACAGATTCCGTAACCTTAGGCATACGGGTCATACCACCGACCAAAATAACGTCCTGAATATCCTTGGCTTGAAGGTTGGCATCTTTCAATGCCTTACGCACAGGTTCAACAGTCTTCGAGATCAAGGGGTCAACAAGAGCTTCAAGCTGAGCACGAGTCATCTTAACATTGATATGCTTAGCACCAGAAGCATCAGCAGCAATGAAGGGAAGGTTGATATCGGTAGACAAAGTAGAGGAAAGTTCGATCTTCGCCTTCTCAGCAGCCTCGCGAATACGCTGGATAGCCATGCGGTCACCGGAGAGATCGAGCCCAGTATCTTTCTTGAATTGCTGAACAATGTTTCGGACCAGAGTGATATCAAAATCTTCACCACCGAGATGGGTATCACCATTCGTAGACTTAACTTCGAAGACGCCCTTCTGAATTTCGAGAATGGAGATATCGAAGGTACCACCGCCAAGATCATAGACAGCAACGACACGGTCTTGCTCTTTCTCCAAGCCATAGGCAAGAGCAGCAGCAGTTGGCTCGTTGACGACACGAAGCACATTCAGACCAGCAATCTGACCTGCATCCTTGGTAGCTTGACGTTGAGAGTCATTGAAGTAGGCGGGAACTGTGACAACACCGTTCTTGACCGGCTTGCTAAGGTAGGCTTCGGCGGTCTCCTTCATCTTCTGGAGAACGAAACCGCCAATCTGCGAAGGAGAGTATTTTTGGCCCTGGGCCTCAACCCAGGCGTCACCATTGGTGTGCTGAACGATCTTATATGGAACTTCTTTGAGGTCTCGCTGGCACTCTGCATCGGAGAATTTACGTCCGATGAGACGCTTTGTAGCGAAAAGAGTGTTCTCTGGGTTGACAACAGCCTGTCGCTTAGCAGCGATACCCACAAGCCTCTCACCGTCCTTTGTGAAAGCGACGACGGAAGGCGTAGTTCGTTGACCTGGCGCACTGTCAGTCATAGGTTTGCGGGTTGGCTAGGATGTGCAAGATTTCGCTCACCTTCCGAGTTTTCAATAATTTTGGGAGTCTTGCCCTCCATCAGGGCAACAGCAGAGTTTGTTGTGCCTGCATAAAATATTAGAGAACACAAACCCTCAATTGACTATTTTCCGAAGCAGCGCGTGAGCTGTCGGCGCATCAGGACCACCTACCAAGATCGATACCAATGACAGCTCCCTTGACCTTCTCTGTGCTCTCCGTAGACTCCCATCTTCTGAATGTAGTTGCAGGGATTTTGAAGGTGTTAGAACGGGCAAATGACGAGGCGGCGCGAGGAATCTGCAGGTCGAGTCAGCACGTTCCTGTCTAGATTCCGGCTTGGACATAGCTGCTTACCGCGCGGGATAGGCGCGAAGAGAGCATTGTAAACTTTTGTATATCTCGGGCTGGAGGACGAGAGCAATGAAACTATGAATACAGGTAAGAAGAGAGGTGATGGGATGGATGGGAAGATGCGAGGCCAGTGTTGGGGAAGAAGAGAAGAAAAAGATTTCGCGGAAAGAAATTTTGCACATCAAATACCAAGGCCGCCATGCCATGTCGGGCCTAGCGCAATAGCGATCGAAATCCATGGAAGACGGTCGGAACAACGCCGGCCCGTGATGACTAAGCGAGGTAAGCCCGACTGTAATCCTGCTGGTTGGTCACCGTCGTCGCGTGCCGTCATCGACGTTGCCATGCGATCTCCAGCGCCTCACCTGTCAAAATCCAGCTCTGCATTGCTCGCCGGCCCTCTGTCTGTCTGTGCTGCATCTTTCTGCTCTGGCTCTCTTGGCTGCTGCTCTGTTGCTTCTGCTCCCGTATGGTGAACAACCCTTGCTCAAGCTCTCGTGACGAGGATGACGCTTGACTCAGCATTACTGTGAGTCCAGCACGACCCCGGCGCCCATGGCTGTGGCCCGTGTGTTTGCTCACCCTGTCTAATAACTAGCACCTACCGACCGACCGAATCCCTCGTTCTACCAACCGACCGAAAATTCTTCCCTTTCAAGATCCCGAATTCGTGGGTCTTGCTCCGCTGAATTCCCTTTGCCACGCCACTGACATGGCGCTTCTAGGCATCACCAGCTCCGCCATTATATTAGCACTGCCGATCCCGATAAGATCCACGTCGCAGTGGGCAGGATTATATTCACCATCCACATTTCTACTCGAAAACGCGAGGTGGTAACTATCCTGCCCTTTGAACCAAAGTGCCTGACGGCTGGGCTTGGGTGGATTGTCGTTGGCGGCAGCGAAAATGGCGATTGTGCTTTTATCAAACTAGCTGTCTCGGGCGCCGTGCTTTCTCCACGAACTAGGGCCAATAACATTGACATTGATATTGACTCACCTCTCCCTCTCTACATCGACCCTGTCACTCGAAGACGAGCGTCATCCAATCACGGTCAGTTGTTAAACTCAAACCTACTAGATTCGAGAAGTGTTAACAGTGATGATGATTAGAAATAATAATTCATGGATTTGGGGGAAGCATCGTCAACTCCGTCACTGTACACCGATTACCTCCCCGGTGCGACCGATTCAGCTACGAAGATATCGCCGTTGCAAGGTAGATCAATCTCGTTCTATATGCTAAATGTCGGCAGTATACTAATATCGAGTGTTACAGCAATAATGACAGAAGTGTCAGCATTTATTCTCTGTCGAAGAAAGAAAATTTAAAAACCATCCATCACACTGTCTGCATGAACTATGCTCTTATATCTCCAGACTCGAAGGTGCTGGCCGCTGTGGGCGATTCGAATCAGGTTTGGTTTTACCGCATTATGCCTGTTACGAGTGCCAGGTCCCGTGATTTTCCGGGGGAAGGCCTGCTTTATGACTGGGAATGGCCGTTGATTAAAAGAATAGATTTCAATTCCGTTTCTGAGACCGAAAATCAATGCTGCTTTACAATTGCTTTTTCGCCCTGCAGTAGTCTATGCGCTGTTGGTTCGCAAGGGGGGACTATCACGATATTCGATCTGAATCGCATTCGCGACGGAGATGCCGATGAGCAAGGAGAAGTAGCAGTTAAAGAAAAACAAAATGACGGCGATGACGTAATTTGTGTCTTTCGATCTTCCCGGTCTTACCTTGATGTTGGTGCCGTCCGTTGCATGACGTTTTCTCCCAGGCCCTGGGACCTTCTTGTGTGGGTTGAAGACCATGGCCGGGTCGGGATTGCGGACATTCGACAAGCGTTTTCTCGGAGGCAGATTGTAAAGCTGGATATCGAAGAAAAGGATTTAGAACATGTTCGAACACATCGTCTCGATAAAATGCCAGACGGTGAACCTTCTGGGTCGGAGGATGAAGATGATTCATTAGACCATTTGACTTATGAGCCCGAAAGCCACCCAACTTCTCACAGAAGAAGGCTTAACGGGGATCAAGATCTCAATTCCATCCGTGAGGAATTATTGGCTCAAGATCTGACTGCGAGAGAAAGACAGATCATTGACTTTTTAAACGCCGCTCGGTGGGCTTCCTCGATTGAAGAAGGACGCCAGCGAACTCCCAGACATGTTAGCCCATTGCAATTATCTGGAGGCTCCCGTGCTTCCCCATTTTCTACTTCTCCTCCAGAGAACTCTCAGCCTGCTGAAGACCGAAATTCTGGTCGTCCTCGTACCCTCGAACCGCGAAGGCGAAGCTCTGTTGTTTTGTCGCACCAAAACCAGTCGCTTTCTTCTTCCCCAGCTCCATCGGGTCTTGGATTAATGCCTCATCCAACTGTCGCGTTGAGATGGACTACATCCCCTTCCCAACTGCCTCCTGGTGATTCTCCGTTTCAAGCAGCGTCTGGCAATGCCGGTGAGTCATCTGCCTCTGCAATGGACGAAGAAGGAACAATCTTTAGGTCCCCTTCTGGGGAAAGACTCGCTGAGATCGCTTTTGGGACCCGTATCATCTTTGACCGGCCCCGGCGTACCTCAAACAACAGCAGCGGGCATCGGCAGCGTAGTTTACGGTCAAGATCCATACCTCGTCGCGCCGAGAGAGATCCGGCTGCGACCGAGGCACAAGCTCGTCAAGACTTGCGCTCAAATCTGGCGACTGAGCGGTTACGGTTACAGCGACGTGCTGCAATAGAAGAGAGTCAGAGACTCAGCCAATGGGACTATCAGTATCGTCGGCACGCGGATTATAGTCGACGCACACCTCCCCGTCTTAGAACCGAGCTCTCGGGGGCAACGGACCGCGCAGAAATTGGCGTGGGGACCGCCGGGGTCGGCTGGGGTGCGGATGGTCGAACATTGTAGGTTTTTTCCCCATCTGTACTTTGGATTTAAATGAAAGCTAATCGAAATATTCTCACAGGTATATCGGCACTGAAGAAGGCATTTTTGAATATAAAATCAACACTCAAGACCGGAAGACTTTTCCAGGCATTTCATGCAGGTAATTTATCTGCCACATAATATTAAGAAATACTACAAAATCAATTTTTGGCCTTCTCTATCTATATTCTGCAGTGCTTTCCCTGGAGTCTTGGTGCACAAAATGACAGCGTTTGTGGGGTTTTCAACAATATAGTTTTACATAATTTATGTTTCGGACGTCTCAATTTTATGGATGTGAAGTAGATTTTGTCAACAGGGTGGGGCATCTGCTACACGGAGCACTTCACGAGTCATGATGGGTTTATAACTTGGATATGGTAGATTGCAGATTCCTGACGAGTAGTTGGCGTGTGCAGATAAGTACGCTATGGTTTTTAATAATGACTACAGGAGTGTTTGCTTGTTCAGATATTACCCCTTCGGTACAACAGCACTTCGAAGCCTGAATGTATGTATGCACGTAGCTCTCGATATTTTAAGAATCCATAAATGCCAGGTGTGGCATCAAGGCAAGTTTTCGTATCGAGCTGATGACCTGGCTCTCTCACTGTAGTTGGTCTATAACTAACTACAGTAACTATTTGTCGAGTTGTTGAAGCGGCTGCTGCCACACCAAAAGCTTCTTTATGTACACCCTAACTAGTTGGCTGGCAACCTCCCACAAAACTGCAGAATACCTCCCACATTCCATGGTGAGAAGTTACTTTCCACTTCTACAATACTATCCAAAAGACTAGAATATATTTCTTCAGGTCTCAAATGCAGAAACGCCATAATGGCTAGACACCTAGCTGAAGCTATGCACGAGGTGCAAAAGCACGCAGAAAAGCTAGATGCCGCTGACTACGATCTTGACGCCTGGATGGGCAGCGCCGACAGACAAAGCAGCCGGCGGGAGCGACGGATTCAATCCACAGAAGATCTAAAACGAGAACTGGAGAGAGAATTTCTCACTCCCTCGCCGCGGTTCAGTACAGAGTGGCTTAATCGCCTGCAGAGGCGCTGGGAGATTCCGGTCGATTATACAGAGCTATTTGCACTCGCACCTACGCAAACCCGTACAGTAACTCGATTCACACGTGAGGGTTTGGAAGGTAGGGTTACTGGTTACCATGAAGTTACTGTTCCTGCCGGCAGTGCCACAGCAAAGAACTCGACATCATTCCGCAGAAGGCCTGCAGGTCGAGCGGAGTTTGTCAGAGGGGCGGCTGGTTTCTACCCCTTTGAACCAGGCGGTCTAGAAGGAGTCGAGGCGATTTCAGCTCTGGAGAGTGATGCGCAAGTTGATGGGCAACGGGCTAATGATGCTGCAGGAAAGTCTGCGCTGGATCGTATTATCAAGCTTGGTGTTGAAGGCGGGCTGCTAGAAGTTGCGCCAGGCTTATCGCGTGGACTAGATTTCTCGAAAGCGACGACTGTTTCTACTGAAGTTGCAAAAAATGCTGAGGATGCGTTGCAGCAAGACGATAGCGAGCTCGATCGCATGGTTGGAGGGAGCGCTTCTGAGGTTTACGGTCAGATCAAAAAAGGCGATTTGGAGGAAGATTTAACCGCTGGTGAAGAAGAAGATATTGACTCTCTTCTCCCTGTCGAGTATCCTGCCTTAGAACCACGGGGGCAACTGCTTACAGCATCGACAAAAAAGGCCGGCAGAGAATGGGCGCACGTCGTAGACGTCAATAAAGAGATTACGAATTTTTACGAACTTGTACCAGATATGGCCCGAGATTATCCATTTGAATTGGATACGTTTCAAAAAGAAGCAGTCTACCACCTTGAAAATGGTGACTCTGTCTTTGTTGCGGCCCACACCTCTGCTGGAAAAACAGTTGTCGCTGAATATGCGATTGCGCTAGCAGCCAAGCATATGACAAAGGCCATATATACGTCTCCAATTAAGGCTTTGAGCAACCAGAAATTCCGCGATTTTAGGAATACGTTTGATGATGTTGGAATTTTGACCGGGGATGTCCAAATTAACCCTGAAGCCAGCTGCTTGATAATGACAACGGAGATTTTGCGCAGTATGCTTTACCGGGGTGCTGACCTGATAAGAGACGTGGAATTTGTTATATTTGATGAAGTTCATTATGTCAACGATCTCGAAAGAGGAGTGGTGTGGGAAGAAGTTATTATCATGCTTCCAGAGCACGTCACGCTTATTCTGCTATCTGCTACAGTGCCAAATACCTATGAATTTGCTTCCTGGGTTGGACGGACAAAAAAGAAAGATATATATGTGATATCAACTCCTAAGCGACCTGTTCCGCTCGAGCATTACCTCTGGGCTGGGAAGAGCATGCATAAGATCGTCGATGCCAATAAGAAGTTTATTGAAAAGGGCTGGAAAGATGCAGATGATATTTTGTCTGGACGTGATAAGCTCCGGGAAAAGAAAGCTGCGGAAGCAAAGAGCGGCAATACCCGTGGTGGGCCAGCTGATCGGGGTCGCGGCCAGCGCGGTGGACCGCAACGTGGCGGTGGAAATCAACGAGGGGGTCCGCAGCAGCGAGGAAGAGGCCAACCTGCACAGCGAGGTGTCGGTAATATTGCACGTACCGGGAGAGGTGGTGGACGTACCACGGCAGCTCAGGACCGGAATATCTGGGTGCATCTCGTGCTGCATCTCAAAAAGGAAAGTATGCTTCCAGCATGTATATTCGTATTTTCAAAGAAAAGATGCGAAGAGAATGCAGATTCCTTGTCCAACCAAGATTTCTGCACGGCAACTGAAAAGAGCTCAACCCACATGCTCATTGAAAAGTCGCTAGCTCGCCTTAAGACGGAAGATAGGGTTCTTCCTCAAATTCGAAGAGTAAGAGAACTGCTCAGTCGGGGGATTGGTGTGCACCACGGAGGCTTGCTCCCTATCATTAAGGAGATTGTTGAAATTCTATTTGCTCGAGGTCTTGTCAAGGTATTATTCGCTACGGAAACTTTCGCCATGGGCTTGAATTTGCCTACTAGAACTGTGGTTTTCTCTGGCTTCCGAAAGCATGACGGCAGGCAATTCCGCGACCTTCTTCCTGGAGAGTACACTCAAATGGCCGGTAGGGCTGGACGTCGTGGCCTGGACACTGTTGGATCTGTGATAATCGCCACTTCTGGCCGAGACGAAGCTCCTCCAATCGGGGCCTTAAGGAGAATGATCCTTGGTGATCCCACGAAACTCCGCTCCCAGTTCAGGTTAACGTATAACATGATTTTGAATCTTTTACGTGTCGAAGCACTCAAAATTGAGGAAATGATTAAGAGGAGTTTTAGCGAGAATGCAACACAAGCACTACTGCCGGAACACCAGAAGCAAGTTCAGCTATCTGAGGAAACGCTTCAAAAGATCAAACGAAAATCTTGTGCTATTTGTGACATCGATTTAGAGGCTTGCCATTCAGCATCAATTGAATTTCAACGACTCACGTCTCAACTCCATATCCTTCTTCTGGCTTCTCCTGTTGGAAAGCGATTGTTTTCTGCAAAGCGATTGATAGTATATAAAAAAGTAAGTATCGTGCCTGCACCGCTTTTGTTAACTACTAATAATATATAGAATGGCGTTCGAACGGTTGGATTTCTGACGAAAGATGGAGTCAGCGCTGGACCTGCACCTGTATTCCTGGTGTTTGAATTTGGACCATTGAATCTCATCCGTCATCCTAGCGACATTCTCCCTTTCCTACCTATGTTCCGGCATTACTTTGCCCCACTGCCGAACTCTGCAACTGAAATGCATTTGAAGGCTTGTAAGGTTCCTATCATGGATTTGGAATGTGTCACTTCTACCATTGTAAAAATAGGAGGGCCAACCTGGTATTTAAATATCAAGAGAGGTGTGTAAGGCACTGCAGATTACCCTGGAATGATTTCCACTAATGCAAAGCAGAGGCATTGAAAGCGGCAGACAAGGAACTCGTGCCTTTAACTTCAACCTGGGAAAAGCCAGATTGGGATGAACTTGATTGGGATCGGGTAAAGGAACTCCAAGTAATAGAAGTTCTCAACGAGAGGCAAAAGCAGCTTGAAATTTCTCAATCATGTGGATGCTTTCAATGCCCGCATTTCTTACAACACGTAAGTCCATGCTGTGTACTCTGATCCGTATATACGACTGACTCAAAGACACAGTTTGAAATGCAACACGACGAGTGGCAAGTAAAGGAAAACATATCGCAACTGAAGCAGCTCATGTCGGATCAGAATCTTCAATTGCTACCCGACTACGAGCAGCGGGTAGAAGTCATGAAAGAGCTTGGTTTTGTGGATGAAGCCTGTCGTGTGCAGCTAAAAGGGAAAGTTGCTTGTGAAGTAAGTGCATGGCTGACTTCCATATTCTCCATAAGTATCAAAGCCTTGTTAACAATTCCCCATATAGATCCACTCGGCAGACGAGTTAGTTCTTACGGAGCTAATATTAGAAAATGTTCTTGCGGAGTACGAGCCTGAAGAGATCGTGGCACTCCTTTCTGCCTTTGTCTTCGAGGAGAAAACGGAAAATGTTCCAACATTGACGCCTAGGTTGGAGAAGGGCAAGGAAGCCATCATTGCAATCTCCACGAAGGTCAATGATCTTCAGATCAAACACCAAGTTATACTGTCAAGTGAAGGTGCTGGCGACTTCGCGACAAAACCGCGTTTCAACCTGGTAGAAGTCGTTTATGAATGGGCACGCGGCATGTCTTTCAATCGCATCACGGGCTTGACTGATGTGATGGAGGGAACAATCGTGCGGGTGATTACCCGCCTGGATGAAACATGCCGGGAAGTGAAGAATGCCGCGAAGCTCGTTGGCGACCCTTCCTTATACACGAAAATGCAGACGGCACAGGAGATGATCAAGCGAGACGTGATTTTCGCTGCCTCTCTATATATGTAGACGTTGTATTTACACGTGTTTTCCTTGGGGATGGCTGTTCCATGATCCATTCACCGACGTTTGTGGGTGGTTACGTGCGCCATGTTGACGAGTTTCTATGCTAGCACACTTGAATAAGTATAGATAAGCGTAGAGGAACTGACCGTGTTCAATCTGTGTTTCTCCCAAAGTCGCGTAGAGGCCGGCTATGTGGGAGTTGTCACGCAAATTCGACGACGCGACGTCAGGCGGGATAACCACGCTGTAACTAACTAAGTGGACAGCACCCGTCGAGCGTAGCGTGTAGTTGGCCAGCCACTCCTCTTACTTTCGCTGCCCTTCGCAGACTTTGTTTCGCGGTTTCAACGGTGTCGTTGTCGTTGCCGTTGGCTGGTGTGGTCGTTTGGGCGCGCAGGTGCCTGGAAAAAAAGGTTTTAGGGAGCCACTCGATTTATTTTTTTCGACCGTCCCCGCCAACCCTATACATTCAAACAATCCTGCCCCCAGACGACTGTCTTCCCCGAGCCAACGGTCGTCCCGGTCGTCAGCCTATTCGAGCCCGGCCCATTAATGCACGAGGCGCGCTCTCTTCACCACCTTCTGAGCCGATAAATCTTTTGCCTTTGCGTGGGTGCTGGGGGCTGCATCGACTCCGCAAACATGGACGTGGCAGGTCTGCGAAACCGTATCCAGGCCACCCTCGATGCCAATGGCGATATCAGGCGACAGGCTGAGCTGGATCTCAAATACGTAGGTTTCTGATGCCCTTCCTGCGAATGCATGGCCTTCGTGTTCTATCAGCTAATGGTGCTTCTTTTTCATTTCGTATTTAGGCTGAGGGCCAACCTGGATTTCCAAATGCGCTGTGCGATATTCTCCAGGCCGAGCAAGACCAGGCTGTTCGACTCTCCAGTATGACGAAAGTCCTGTTATTGCTTTGCTATGGCCCGATTTCTGATTACTTGTAGCCGTTGTCTACTTAAAAAACAGAGTGATTCGAGGATGGTCGCCGGAAGAGGACCATTCGCCTCACAAGCCCATCCTAGAGGAGGAACGGGCGCCGCTGCGAAACCGCTTACTTCCCATGCTCGCGTCGACACCACCGCCGATCAGATCGCAACTGATCCCCATGCTTTCGAAGATCTTGCAGCACGATTTTCCGCAAAAATGGCCGGATTTCATGGATATCACGCTACAGCTATTGAACGGCAGTGATGTTAACTCGGTATTTGCTGGACTTCAATGCCTACTGGCTATTTGCCGGGTCTACAGTTATAAAGCGACCGAGAAGAAAGCCGAATTCGATGAAATCGTGAACCATTCGTTCCCTCAGTTACTTAACATTGGTTCTCGCTTAGTTAACGAGGAAAATGAGGAGGCTGGAGAGATGCTTCGAACCGTAATGAAGGCGTACAAACATGCCATTTATGTGAGGACCTACGGCTATGCATCATATATACTTGCATCTTCAGAAAGCTGACTGGTTCACCCTTCCCTTTCAACAGCTGGAGCTCCCCTCGCACCTCATGTCCCACCAAGCCACCGTCGATTGGTGCACATTGTTCCTGAGGATAATCGACAAAACACCCCCTGCAAGCTCGATGCCTGAAGATCCTGCTGAACGGGAGCTCACTCATTGGTGGAAATCTAAAAAATGGGCATACGCCAACTTAAATCGTCTGTTTGTTAGGTATGTCATCATGCATCTTTGTGATTTTAAGTAGTCTCATATGTTGCTATTCACCAGATACGGCAACCCATCGACGCTGGGAAAGACTAGCCAAGCGGATTATTCTGCTTACTCCAAAACGTTTATCACCACTTTCGCCCCAGAAATTCTAAAAGGATATCTGCAGCAAGTAGACAAATGGGTTTCCGGAGGATTATGGCTAAGCAAACCAGCTCTCTCTTACACCCTGGTATTCCTCGAGGAGTGTGTCAAACCTAAGTTGGTCTGGGAACATTTAAAGCATCACATCGACAATTTAATTGCACATCTAGTTTTCCCTCTTCTCTGCCAGACTGATGAGGATATCGAGTTGTTTGATTCTGATCCAGCAGAATATCTTCACCGCAAATTGAACGTATTTGAAGAGGTCTCCGCTCCGGATGTTGCCGCCACCAATTTCCTTATTGCCCTGACGAAAACCCGAAAGAAGCAGACTTTCTCGATCCTTACTTTTGTGAACAGCGTTGTTAGCAAATACGAATCTGCACCAGATGAGCAGAAACAGCCTCGCGAAAAAGAAGGCGCTCTGCGCATGATTGGGTCCTTAGCTTCAGTCATCCTTGGGAAGAAAAGTCCCATTGCTGATCAAGTAGAATATTTTTTTGTGCGCCATGTCTTCCCAGAATTCCGCAGTCCTCATGGTTATCTCCGTGCCCGTGCCTGCGATACCTTGGAAAAATTTGAGCAACTTGATTTCCAGGATCCGAACAATCTTATGACTATTTACAGGAGCATTTTGGATGCTCTAGCGGACCCTGCTTTGCCTGTCAGGGTTGAAGCTGCCCTTGCTTTACAGCCTTTAATTCGCCATAACGTTATCCGCACCTCAATGCAGACTAATATTCCACAAATCATGCAGCAACTTCTGAAATTGGCCAATGAAGTGGATGTCGACGCTTTGGCAAACGTCATGGAAGATTTTGTTGAAGTATTTTCCGCTGAGTTGACTCCTTTTGCTGTTGCTTTGTGCGAACAACTGCGTGACACGTATATGCGCATCATCCGGGATTTGCTTGACCGAAAGAGCACCAAAGGTGAGGACGATATTTATGGAGACTTCTTGGATGATAAGAGTATCACTGCACTGGGTGTTCTGCAAACAATTGGAACACTTATTCTCACTCTCGAAAGCACGCCTGATGTACTGCTACATCTGGAAACAATTTTGATGCCAATTATCTCAATTACTTTAGAAAATAAGCTCTATGGTTTGTTAATCCCGTGTGCTGTCTATAGTCTAAATCGCTAACGTGATACTACTAGACCTGTACAACGAGATTTTCGAAATCATCGACTCCTGCACGTATGCTGCAAAGTCAATATCCCCAACCATGTGGCAGGCTTTCATTCTGGTTCACAAAACATTCAAAACAGGGGCAGAGCTCTACCTAGAAGGTTCAAAATTTCACACCCTGTTTATTTGGTATTAGCTAATTTTGGTAGATATGCTCCCTGCCCTGGATAATTATGTGACCTATGGAACTTCTATGTTAATAGAGAACCCGGAATACTTGGCCGCGATTGTAAGCATGGTAGAAGATATTTTCCACGACGACAAAACAGGAGGCGTGGACAGAATCTGCGCATGCAAACTTGCCGAGGCCATAATGCTAAATCTGCGTGGCCATGTGGATCAATACGTCCCGGTGTTTATTAGCCTTTCCATGCCAATCTTATCCAACGATGAAACCAAGACAAAGTCGTACCGCATTCACCTCATGGAAATGGTAATCAATGCAATCTACTATAACCCCGTGCTAGCGCTACAAGTTTTGGAGGGTAATGGGTGGACCAACAAGTTTTTCAGCAGTTGGTTCTCAAATATTGATGGTTTCAAGAGGGTTCATGACAAGAAGCTGTCTATTGTAGCCATCAGCGCCCTTTTGACGCTGAGAGCTGAAGATGTACCAGCAAGTGTACAGCCAGGCTGGCCCCGGCTTCTCCAAGGCATTAGCAGACTTTTCCAAACTTTGCCAGCTGCCGTCAAGTGTAAGTTGGTTAGGAAGATAAATATTTATATTGTGCGGAGAAAAAATGCTGATCAGGATATTAGTGCGGGAGCAAGCGACGAAGGATTCTGACTTGCAGTTCGATGATACTGGGGACGATGATGATGACTACGATAATGACTGGAGTGGAGAAGTCGAGTGGACTGAGCAAGATGAGGCAGAAGGTGGTGACGGTGACGTTGCCGATGAGGGCTCTGCCTATATTGAGTTCTTGAATCGTGAGGTTAGTTACCAGCCATAAACAAGGTGTATTGGTGATTTTTACTAACGGCGTTTTGAAGGCGGCAAAACTTTCATCTCTGCCAGACGATGATGAAGACGAGCTGGAGGAAGGAAGTTTGCTGGAATCTCCACTTGACAAAGTTGAACCATACTCTGTGTTTAAATCTTCTCTATTGAGTAAGTCCTTTTGCCTTGAAAACATTTGTGGTCCTTAATTTCGCTGACATAGCCATACAGACCTTCAACAGGGCCAGCCGCATCTTTACGAGAACCTGACCAAAATTCTCAGCGCGGAGGAGCAACAAATTATTCAGGGAGTGATTAATGAGGCAGATGCGCAGGCTTTGGCAGCAGAGGCAAATGCTGGCCTGGCTAAGTCGAACGGCGGTACTTGATACTAAAAGCGTTTATTGAAATAGAACGGATGACCGAGTAGGGTATTTGGAGATTGGGTGCCATGCCATCGTCCTTTTGTTGTTTCCTGGGTTTTCTTTGTTTTGCTGTCTACTTTCTTCTTTCATTTTTATACTTTTCCCTGTACCCCCTCC